CGGGAGGTATTATAGGAGGGGTGGGAGGGACGAGATGGATCGGGAGGTATTTTCGGGAGGTATTATAGGAGGGACGAGGTGGACGGAGAGGTACGAACTATTAATAGATGGTGGGAGGGTAGGTCTCAGAGACTACTTTCCCATAACATAGTAACCGGGTCTGATAGACCCTTTATAGGTACCGAAAAGTAATGCCTGAGGTGCAACCAACTGATGTCAAAATGTGCACAATGGACGCATATATGCGTTCGAATTGATGATGTCGGGCGGTGTGCAAGCATCCAATGTGCCTTGCCAACCCCAAAACGCCGAAGTGTGCAAACGCCGAGGCGTGCAATGTGTGAAACGCCGAAGCGTGCAAATGTAAAACGCCGAAGCGTGCAAATGTAAAAACGCCGAAGCGTGCAAGGTAAAATGCCGTGGCATGCAAGGTACAATAACGCCGAAGCGTGCAAAGGAACAACGCCGAAGCATGCAAGTGTGATGAGTGAAAGTGCTTACAATTTCAGCTACTTATGCTGCTGTTCCCCACTCTGTGGGAAAATCATCCGAGTCTAAAAGGCCGTTGACAGAAATAACCGTCTGCATTTTGGTAAGACAGGTCTCTGACTACGCGAAACTTTCCAGGCTCTCCGGTTTTCTCAACAACGCCCAGCGGAGAAGACACAAAGTGTCCACTGAGCGTGTCAGAGACCTCCTCCGCCGAAAACGGGCCCGACATCCTGCCCAAGGCCACTTCCTCTTGACAGTAAGTGCGAATAACATCAATGTGATCTAGAGCCGATTTGTGGTTTTTAGGGATATAAGTGCGAGTGGGTGGAGGGATATCAGGACCCCGGCTGCTCCCTATACCACATGTCCACAAATTTTCTAAATTTTTTCTCTTGGGGCGCAACGTTTTTGAGGCTTGTTGGGGCGCACTTCGGACATGCTTGCTCCCCGAAACATACCAAAAAAGGAAATTTTCCGTACAAATTTCGTGCTGCTAGATTCTAGCTAGGTACACCCATGATTCTGCTTCTTGCGAGACCGTACAGTGAACTGTGATGCAATAATCTCGCGCACTGTCACAATACCCGCTGTTTCCCACCTATAGAGAAAGATAATATATGTTTTACAGTGTTTTGTAGAATAAAAACTTGCCGTTCAAAAGCCCACAGTTTCAGGACGTGATACCAACACTGAGCGCGGGTTGTTCCGAGATTGTAGACAAGTTCCTTGATACTGGCAAGTGTCCATAAATGTCCCGTGGACTTGCTGTAGTGCCAGAACAAGTTTTCACTTTCTTCAGGGTGCGTCTTAGGAGTTTGCGAATTAAAATCAGTACAAGCAAGCAGGAAAAAAGGCACCACTTGCCTGAATAAAAACCCGTAATCCTAAGTTTGTCAATGAAGGAACATCTTTTGTGCCAGCAAGGAGAATACTCTCGTGTCGAGTGCTTTTACCACCACCATTTAGGGCGTGTCATTGGCACCATTCTTCTTGTACATAGTACAAACCACTTGGCCAATATAGTAGCCCTGCGAGCGTTGCATGATAACATAGACCTCCTTCTTGTCCCCAACCAAAGATGGCGTGAACGAGAGCGTGAAGTTCCTCCCAATGGTCTGCAGAATGCTGGAGCGTCAAGTGCTTAACTCCGAGGATGCTCTCAGATGTCGTCGGTCTGGGCTGTCTAACACCCTCTAACACCCCCTCCGATCTGGGATCGAGGAGGATCCAGGGCCTCTTGGGGCGCTACCGACGGACATAAGGTGGGTGCTACAGGCTCGTGAGGCGCACATTTTAGGACCATAGGATGGGTGATTTGGAGGGCATGTGAGGCGCTACCGGTGGACATGCAGTATAGGGAGCAGCCGGGGTCCTGGGATATCGCCGATAGGGAAACCGTGTTGCAGGTTGAAGACTAGATTTGGGTATTTTTTGGTTAAGTTAAAACGCTTCAAGAAGTGATCGTACGCCTCAGGTGCGTAGGGCGTGACGATCCTGCTAAACACATCAGTTACACGACTTTGAGTTGGCCCCATGGTTTTTGCTTCCACAGATAGAGCACACGTGGACGACGTCGCTCGAGTGTCTGGGTGCAGTGCATCTTCCAATATTGAAGGAGATGCAGATCGCAGCTGAGGAAGACTTAAGGATGAGTTTGTCCGTCACATGCTGACGACGGGGTTGTTCTTTGTAGTGTGTGTATGCGTGCAGCTACTGGCTCTATGTCCGAGTCTACCACAAATGACGCAAAGGAGGTGCTCGGACGGCATGTCTCCTTTGCTCCTCCAAAAGGGGGGCTTTCCGTCGTTCGACAGGTTGACAGATGACGAGCCTTCCGGTTTGCAAGGTGGGTAGGGTTGGTAGTGGTTGCTGTTCGAGCTTTGTTGAGCGAGGGTGGTTCTGATCATCACGTTTCTCCACCTATCCTGGTATGCTGCCCGAGAGAGGAATGTATGCGTATTGAAGAACTTCCTGCGGATCTCGATGTCGAAGGCAAGAACGGACTCGAAGTTGTCACCGAATTTGTCTCTCGAGAGACAGAAATCTTGGTGATATGTGAAACGCTGTACTGTCACCTTGTCAGCTACTTGTGCAAGCAACTTGATAAAGTTTGTGGCCGCCTCGTAGAAGAGGTGCGGCTGCAGACTTGACTCTGGGGGGAAACCGGCCGAAGTGTCCATCACGAACAGCTTCAGGTCGTCGGTTACTAATCCTTTCTTCATTTTGACGCAAGCAGGATCCTCGTGAATTTTTCAGAGGGATGCAAGAGTAAGCAACGTAAGTGGAATATGGACCTTTGACCTTGCTAGGTTCAGAAGGACTCGAGGTATCTCGAAGGCCGTCACCTCACCGTCGACGATGCGGGTGTTCGCCTCCGTGAAGACCGGCGCGTCTGACGCGGCCGCTGTCCCAGATGACCCTGTAAGGTTAGAACTGTAAGAGATTGTGCCTTGGCCGTCATTGAGGCAAGGATAGATTTAGTGGTAGGCGTGAGGTGAACCTATGAAGTCCACGGTATCAACAATGAAGCTAGGGATAGAGGGCTTAGCGACCGGGGCTTTCTCTGGGATGTCTGATTCATCCAGGAAAGGTTCATCCTCGGAGACTTCTTCAATGTAATTTTCATCCATCCTTCGATTCGCTCTCTTCAGGTTGCGCTCGGCGCGTGCGATGTTCTCCTCTTTGACAGCTTCGCGATCATGAAGATTTACGCGTCTCTGTTTGTTCTTAGCGAGGGATGACGCGACTCTCGACGCGTATTCGTCGGATAAAAGGTATTGTCAGGTGGGTCAAAAACCTTGTATCTTTCCCTCCGGCTCCTTCAGGATGCCCAGGATTCGGCGTCTCTGTAGATGTCATGATAGTACTAATAATTATACGAACGGTACGTTGGATGAGTCGAATCCTCAAACTGAGAAAAAGCAGCGAGTGAGAGCGCAATAAGAAAAAGATAAGATACGCGTATGACTACGCGTTACAGCTTATTGCGCTCACTCGCTTAGTAAGCACTAGTTTGAGCTCTATGCTCGCAGGCTCGCTTTACAGTGTGTTGCATATGAGATTGCAGTGCGTGTTTTTCAAAACTCGGCCTCGCTACCTTTACCGGCACTTGTATACCATAATTAGATGTCACATCTTGTAATACGCCGTGCGTCTGTGTGAGTGACTCAGTGCTTTGACCACCATCAGCATCGACCTGCGGTCCAACACACCACATGTGAGTCTTTGCACTTTCGCTACTTGCGAACGACTTTGACCTGTTGTTTTTTGACTAGATGAATACTGTTAGTCGTTCTAACCTATCTGCCGCATTCTCGGCTCACGTACTGCAAGACATGGAATGCTCGTCTCGATTTGAAGAAAGCTGAGAAGAGGCAGCGCATTAATTGACTTAACTATAGATTGTTTTTCATTGATATTGACTATGCTCCGAGTCGTTCCTACATTATCACTCAATTTAGTTCGTGATGTGGTTGGATTCATACTACACTATATACTGATACTACACATTGAAGGACTGCCCTCGAATGAAAGTTGATCTGCGAACACACACGCGCCCGATATCTGCCTATCCCTGCATCCTCTGATTGGTCTTGTCATCAACACTGGACTCATCCAGCCAGACAAAGTATTCAGCCGGTATATCCCATATGCGGCTTGCCAAGTTACCCGCAAGAGCTCATTCCTCTCCGCAGCCGTTTTGGAAATGTCTTTGTGGGTCATTCCCAGCCTTCGAGTGGCGGGTGAAAGGGTAGCGAGAGAAATGTCTTTGTTCCGAGCAGTGAGAAGTTGTTCTTATAGTTCATCCAAGTACATGGCAGGGTTTGCCTGGAGTAGTGCATGGATGTATTCGGTGTCGACGGTGTCAAGAACGCGGGGACGACCCCCTGCGGCGTGCAAAGGGGTTGGTGACTTGACCATAGTCTCGGTGCAAGCGAAGAATATTGTATACTGTCTTCTCTGAGCATTGAGCAAGCTGAGATATTTCAAGAGCTGTCCTGTGCTGTTCAAACCGCCAGAATACGATATTCTGGCGCATTTCCTGGCTAGTGAATGACCCTGGCATAACGAACTGACTGAGGTTTCGTTTCATCAAGCGGCAGTGGCTAGAGTGACATGTCACATCCCTTGACCTAGTTAAGGTATACAAGTGCCGGTAAAGGTAGCGAGGGCCGAGTTTTGAAAAACACGCACTGCAATCTCATATGCAACACACTGTATAGCTCAAACTGCACGCTTCTTTCCGGTAAAATGTGCGGGAAGGTTTTATGTCAGCTCAACCCCTCAGTTTCACACGAATCACACCGCTTTGGATCTGTTAGCTAGAGCGCTGGTTATCATCACTGTTCCATCATCCCCGTCGACTCTCCCTTGGTTCGTGCAAAGCTGCCTCTTTTTTGCACTCATTGGAATGGCATCTCCTTTGGTTCTATCCCAGTGAAGAGAACATCAGATCTCACCTGGATACTCTTGGCTTTGCCTCTATCTTAGTCTTTTCAGGTGTTTTAGGTCTAGCTGTCGCTCGGTGCACCAAATCCAACTTTCTCGCCGCCATTTGCCACCACTTCTTTCAACTATGTACGTCGTTGTTGGCGAAGTCTGTTCCGGATCTCTTGCAAATTTTTTTGTCTGTGCAGCTTCCGATTAAATGTGAACGTCGATTTCTGCCGCTGCTGTGTGCTTTACTTGAAACGTTTTGGCTCTGAGGTGGCCGCAGTGCTGCGCCGTCCTGCCCCTCCCCTCCTACTGATGTCTATCATTCTGTTGGCGATGGCGTGGCACCTTGGTCGTTGTTGCCTACTGAGGATCTCGTTCATCACCTACGCAAGATCAAGCTTGCCACCTTATGTGACTTTATCCACGGACTGCCTTTGCTCGACCGGCCAGTGCTACATACTCGCTCTCACTCCAAGACGTCTAACGTTTTGGTCTGCCACATCCGCGCTTGCATTTATACCTGCAACTTGTAGGCACGCCTGTGTTATGTGACATCTGGTTTGCGTACTCTCCTTACATCAATCTATTTCCAGTGCTAACCTCGGAATTCGTTACATGCATATTGGAGTTTGAGTATGGGTTCGCTGTTGTTCAAGCATTGTCCCATGATTCGTTGACTCTGTCTGAGCATCGCAAACCTATCCGCCGTGAAAGTTGACTTCAGTTAGAAGTCAGTGGGATACGGCTCCAGGTGGGGATGTCTCAGACCTCATTGCAGGCCATCTGTTGCAAAGCGATGGACTCAAGAATGGAAGGCAGATAAATATTGATTAATTGGATAACTATAGAAATAGGCACTGCTCAGGCAAGATGAGCGTGGAGAATAGATATGAATACAGGTCCGATACCACGATTGCCAAGCATGTTCGTATCTGTATAGAAACTCCAGGAAATGCATATCACTTGAACAGCGATATAGCGATTGCCACTCGTGGCTATATGGTATCAAGACACTTGGTAATCGGGGTCGCAGTGAAATCTTGACCAAAAGGAATATTGATGTGATATGACAGGACAGGACAACTGAGGATATGACGATGTCTATGAATTATGTAAAGCACTTTGGCGCGTACGCGGCGCTACGATTTGGAACGAATCGTGACAACAATTGAACTTGAGCGTGCGCGTGACTCTATCATTCTAATTCTAGTCCAGCGCCGCAAGCAATTCTCTGGCCCTCTCAATTGATAAAGCTTAAAGCTTAAAGTCTCACTTCAATTTACTGTGTATGTTCCGGCAATAATAAGTCTTTGAATGGACCAGTCCATCCTTGTTTATTCAGTCACTGCTCTGGTCATCTCGTTATCGTGCGTGAGTGATAATTCCAACGTCAAGTTGTCAACGTCTCAGGGTATTTGGATTTTGTATGATGAACACCCATTTCATCCTTGTTCTTTGAGCCATGAGTCGTCTCGAGAGACATTGCGCCGCGGCGAGGACGACAAACTCTAGGTCAGGGAATCATTTCCCTCTTGTCTGACTTTCTTCTCTATACTATATACAAATGTACGATTTAGAATTTTCACTAATCATCACTAGCTCCATCTAGCTCTCATCTTGCTTTCGCCTCTCCCAATAACAATCCGACCCTTAGAAAGGACATACCGCTCACGAAAATCCCTCAATGCCCCTTTCAACTTCGCATCTCTTGCCGATGTAGGCTCCATTGATCTCAGCGTCATTAGTTCCCGCGTACAACGAAACATCCCGTCTCCCATCCATGCTCGAAACCACACTTAATCGCCTCAACTCTGCTTCCATTCGGCACGCACATACGAGCTCGTCATCGTCGACGACGGTTCAAAAGATGACACGTCCGCACTCGCACTAAAACTGGCACAACAACACCTCAACAGCAATATTCGGGTCGTCACGCTTGAAAAGATTCAAAAGAACCTCGGCGAGGGGAGTGCGGTCGTCATGGGATGCTACACGCATGCAGAAACAGGTTGTTGATGGTGGGTGCGGACATTGCGAGTCGCTTTGAGAACTTGGAACTACTTTGGAAGAATATGGACGAACTTGGGCTGAAAGACGAGCCGATGGTGGTCGTCAGCAGTCGAACGCACCTCGTCAAGACTGAAGTTGTGGTCAAGGTGTGCCTTGTCTCCGACGTGACATACTAGCTTCTTACACCGCTCTCCATCAGCGCTCTGTGCTCTGCAACATCCTCATGTGTGACTTGCATACTATCCTACGCTGGACATCGTACGCATCCACATTCGCAACCTTCAACTCAGGTGCACTCGTGGATGCCGTTCCCCTTGGCAAGAAGAGAGGGAGAGAGTGATGATGGAACGCGAATGCCAGCGCGAGCACTTTGAGCGTGAGAGGATGGAAAGAGAGAGGATGGAGAGGGAGCACCTTGAGTGCGAGTACATGGAACGAGAACGTGGGCAGGGGATGAGTATGAGTAATGCTGAATGAGAGAGGATGGAGCGCGAGCATCTCGAACGTATGGAACGACAGCAGCATCACGACGCCCTTGAGCGTGAGCGCTTTGATGCTCGCGAACGCGGACACGATCTCATTTCGCGCGAACATATCGAAGCTCGTAAACGTGCAGAGCGCTCGAGACAATGGAGCGTGAACGCGCTGAACGGGAAGCCCTCGAGCGTCTTCCCCCCCCCAGGAGCTTGCGCTGCTTCTCCAATCTCGCGTGGAGCGCTCGTATATTGATCTTGGGCTTATGGGTGCTCCCTGCATTGCCGTCCCCCTGGTTTTTTGGAGACCACATGCCATGCATAAAGCAGGGAGGTGCACAGGAAATTACCAAACTCTAACGCCCCCTCCACCCGAATCACCTCGAAAGCTCCCTGCACCGTCCGTATGTTCAGTATCTTTTGTAATGAGAAGATGTCCATGTCACTTTCCGTGCGTCAAGGAGGTTATCGGATGCGTTCTCAAGGTGATCGAGCCTGAGTTTGGTTTCCCAGAGGCATGCAACTTCGGTTTCGGAATCCAAGAGCGCGTTGTTCTTGGTCTGCGATAGCATTCTGGTAGCGCTTTGGACTTCCATGTCATGATGGGTCTCCCTGGTGCCCGTGCTGCTAGAGGGAGGAGAGACTGAGACATATGTCCTCTAGCCAGAGTGAGGAGTATGAGTCGGTTCATGCAGCGGGTTTGATGGTACTATATTAGTGAGTCCAATTAATTCTTTGCAAATCGTTAATCTGTCATCTAGAACTAATCACTGCGACCCCTTGCTGTGCTTCTGGAGCAGCACTACGGGCCTTTATGGGTTCTGTATGTGACTACATGTCCTTCGAATGTCAATCGAAGTGCACGTTTCTTCGAGAGGAAGCATGGAACATTCCGGGGGACCACCAACATGAAATTGGCGCTCTTCCCGTGGTCATTTATCTCTTTATTGTGAGCTCATCATTACTTTTGGGAGGCAAATGCTGAGTCGACAACGAGCACCAAGCTTAGGCGTGTACATCTCGTCCCGATTTTCCAAAAATTGCCAATGATCTACATCTTTTCGTACACGTACATACAGGTGAATACATTACAAGACCAGTGAACTCCTCTCCCTAAATGTTGCGGTCGATTCGGGACGCAAGAGCAGTTTGTTTAACTGACGCAATTAATCTTCAGCCAAATTTCTTTCGGATGAACTCGACGACCTACTAGCTCCGGTGCAATTTGGCGATGCTACATTTATCATGACGCATTCGCCAAACGTGTTACCGCTCAACACCACACTTCCATGACAGTGCTCCTCTGGTTCTTGCTGGTTTACCAACGGAGGGCTCAAGGGCGTGGGCTCTGCCGTCAGTGCAGCGTGATCTAACTTGGTCACGGCTTATTCACAAGGTTAGTATCTAGTAAGTCAGACATGCGAAGAACTCACTGGAGCCGTTGGAGTTACTTGAAAGTATGTTAATGGTTCCCCCCTCCGCAATGTAGTTGTTCTGTATGATGATAACGGGGATCGGGGGTGGTTGTGTAAGACTCAGTAACGGAGTCCCATCAGCGTGAGTGGAGGGTGTTGCACTCGCATCTCGGAGTGGGGTAGAGATGAGAGATAAATCTCAGTCGTTTGAAGCACAAGGGTGGGTATGCTTTGGTGGAATCCATTGCGGAGAAGGGTTGTGAAGATTATGTCCACTGGGCTTTATACGTACTACCAGGTAGCAATCACACCGATGAATTTCAAAATTCTTGCTCAAAAGCTATATATACGTATACACGAAACTCATAGGCACTTCTGATGAGCTCCATTTCAACGCCAGCAACCATGTCATCGGAATGAGATAAGGTTTGTTTACACCTTAATGGCAAGTCTAGACCCGTGTGTCGGCCATGAAAATATGGGTGGGATATTCAGCAAGATTGTCGTACTCGCGCTTCGCCTCGAGAATGAATTTGTTTCAAAGTGGCATTGGTACGAGCGATCACACTGCAGAGCGATAAGAATGTTAAAGAAACACCAAAACAAAATAAGAACTGGTCTAATCTTCAAGCTTCAGGGTCGAACTGGCATGTCCGCAGTCCGGGGTAGCGCTCTGTCTTGGTAATCAATCAAAGCATGTTAATCTAAGGACAATGATAACACACCCATTGAAGCCAATGACCTCGTATCTAGCAAACATTGAGGCGTTTGGAATCCACATACAGCAATAGCTTACCTATACTTGGCATGAATGCCACGTCCTGGTTGTCTATGGAAGCACGTTAGTACTTATTCCAAGAATAATAATAACATGCCCCTCGAAGTCAATAACCTCATATCTAACAAAACATTCAGGCGTGTGGAATCTATATACGGCAATAGCTTACCTATCCTTGGAATGAACGCTACGTCCTGGTTGTCTATCGAAGCACGTTAGTACTTATTCCAAGAATAATAATAACACACCTTTCGAGGCCAAGACTTCGTATCTAGCAAGATATTCAGGCATGTGGAATCTATATATGGCAATAGCTTACCTATACTTGGCATGAACGCTGCGTCCTGTCTATCAATTAGTACTTATTCCAAGGATAATAATAACACACCTTCGAGGCCAAGACTTTGTATCTAGCAAAACATTCAGGCGTGTGGAATCCATATACGGCAATAGCTTACCTATATTTGGCATGAACGCCGCGTTTGCGATGATCACGCAGTACGAGAGCAGTGAGCACATGTCTTCATATCTGTCTTCATCTTTCTCGTCTAGGTCACCGCGTGAGACCATTACGGCTGACAGTCCAGGTGGAAAATTCAAATTCACGACTCCGTCTCCAGGCCGGTTGCTGCGCTTATTATCAATACCATTCATGGTTGGTCCTGGTTGATCATGTTCAAATTGCTACCGACCTCCGAAAGCCGGTGCATAAACCTACAAGAAAACAGTAAGAACTTGGTCATAGTTTATTAGATATACCAGGAATACGGGGCGTTCCTGGCTGAAACGGTCAAGAAGAAGGCTGCAGATGCTGAGCGGTAGCTACGAGTATTCCTGTACAGTTAAGCCGTGTTCCTGCCGAAGTTCTTCTGACTGTTTTGACAGTCCCCCGATGGCAACAAGATTCTGTAGCGAAAAATTGGCATCAGTACATTCACTGCTTCTCAACGGATGCAGGTGTATCATAATCAATAAGACTCACCATTACCATCGTGAGTAACTCTCATGCTCGAATAGAATTTGAACGTGTACCTCGGAGGATTTAAGATCACAGACGATGCAGTTTTGTTTGATTTGTTATGTTCCATAATGTCTTCCGAAGGCATTGCGAGCTCATTTTAGCTTTCGTGAAGTAGGCACGTCGAAATGACTCCAAGCACCAAGTACATACAGTCCATCGCAACGTTGTTTTCAAAAAACCGTCAGTGAATTGCATCTCTCTATATAGGTGCACGGGTAAACGAGTCTGTCAATACCTTGTCTTGCTAGATGTCGCGGTCAACTTGGGATACAAGCGGTTTGTTTAGACAACCATAAAATCTATTCTCAGTTCAAATGACCTACCACCTCCCACCACCAATTTAATTTGACGATCCTACTTTATCAGCGCCATGCTTCATAATCATGCTCTGCTGTCGCTGTCTACCTCACTAACGAAGGCCACAGGGGGCTCTGCGGTTGGAGCAGCGTGATCTATTTTTTACAGGGTGAGTATTTTGGCAAGTCAGACACTTTGAGAACTCACTGGAACTGTTTTAACGACTCAAAAACACGTTGATGGTCCCCCCCTTCGCAATATAGTTGTTTTGTATGATTATGATGGAGTCGTTGGGGTTCGGAGGGGGGTGATTGACATTCGGCTGGGGTGTACTATCAGCCTTCGAAGCATGAGCTGGCCTCTGCTTTGCACTAGTATCTTGCAGTGGCGCAAGAGGTGAAAGGATCTCTGTCGAAGCGCAAGGTGGAGATACTCCAGTGGAAGTATCCATTGCAGAGAGCTGAGGAAGTGCGTGTTGCAATAAAGGTATTATAGCGGTGTGTGATAATTGCAAGATTCTTGTGGCGCCAGAAGCCTCGTCACCAGTAGCGGCTCGCCTTCTCTTGCACGACAAATGGTGGAAAGGCAAGGTCTCTTATGAGATCCGATTCCGAACTCTGTTTAACTGTATTCAAACTCCGCTAACAGTATTGCCAATTCATCTGATTAGATGTTGTGTATTATAAGTAACCGCGTAGTTTTGGTAGCGAGTGTGGGGGTGAGCGATGTGAAGTTGTCAATGAGCGGACGACATCTCCAGACTGTGGGATGCTGGGTTGCCGATTTTCTGCAACGTTTCTTCCATGCGAGACTTCGGTTTGTTAGCTCAAGTACTTATTTTAGACCGCCGTTTACTAAAGTGCCAGGCATTCGTCTTTATTTCATCGTATGTATAGTGAGTATCGAGTAAGTACATGACAACGTCCGACATAAGGTTGTGAATAACCGCACAGGACTAAAAGTCTAATAGTAGAAATACAATGTCCAACATAGGGTCCTGAATGACCGCATAGGACTTAACTGAGTGACAAGTCGAAGGGATTGCCCTTGCTTTGCGAAGATGTCATGCTTAGTTTGGGATCTTAGAAAGAGCTGTTTGCTTAACTGGTCAGCGGCAAAAGATCGTCAAGCTCTTGGATGTTTGGTCAGAGGTAAAAGGACCCACCAGCGCCTGTGCAATCTTGAGATCCTATGTTAATCATGACGTGCTGGCCAAAAGTATTGCCATTGAATATGACGCTCTCGCGACCATATTCTACTGGTGCCAATTGTCTCGCTAACGGAGGATACGGGGAAGTAGGCTCAGCAGTCCCAGCAACATAGTCCAGCTTGGTCATAGCTTGTTTGAAAGGTCAGTCTAAATGGTAAGTTGGATGTGTGAAGAGCTCACTTGAACCATTACAGTTACTTGAGAATATGTTGATGGTTGCACCCTCTGCAATGAAGTTGTTCTGGATGACGGTGATGCGATTGTTTGTGTCCAGCGGTTGACTTGGTAGGGGAGTTCCATCAGCTATCACAGTGGAAGCCTGATAAGATGGTGATTTCAGTGTTCCATTAGCATCAGACAAATTGGACTCAGTTGAAGCAAGGAGTAGGGGTGCTTCAGTGACGGTCGCCATTGTAGAGATAAAATTGCTGAGAAAAACAGAGGAACGTCCTACATATTTAAACTAATTCATTGGTAAGATTTGGCCTGTTAATGACACCGAGGAGGATGCGCGTTAGGATGGATGTATTATTGCCAATTGGTACCGAGGGATGATGCGCGTTAGGAACGATGGATTATTGATATAATAGGTACCGAGGATGATGCCCGTTAGGAAACGGATTTTTATATAATAGTACCGAGGATGATGCCCGTTAGTCGGAAGCTTAAGATGAATTATTGACACCGACGAGGAAGTTAGGAAGAACACCGAGGATAGGACAGCCGGAGTTTGAAAAGCATTCAACCCTGGACCGAGCTTGTACAGCTTCAATATTCAATGACACGATTGTCCTCGTCAGTCAATCTGAAACCAAAAACACCCGGTCATTCACATCACTGCATGATCAGTGTGCTGAGAAACTCCCAAACTGGCGGGAACTAAAATAAATCGCTGGTTCGAAGACAGATGAGTGTCCTACCAATGATTACAGCTCCGACGAACGAGTGATTCTTGTTACAGAGGCATATATATGCATACCATGTGATATAAGTTCGGTATGACTTATCGTAGCGCTGATATTCATTTTTGATAGCTTATACCAGCCCATCGGATGTCCTCTTCTGCAGCATTTATACCTGCTCGTATATCAATACCCGCATCCCGCGCACGCGAGTTATAATTCAACGTCTGCAAGTCTTTTCCGCGTTGTAAAATCATATCTTGCTTTTGCCTAACCAATAATAACTAGCTACCCTCAGAAAAAGTGACCATACCGCCTACGGAAATCCCTTAAGGCCCCCCTACTATTAGCCTTCCATCTCTCGCTGATGCAGCCTCCATTGATCTTGATGTCCTTATTCCCGCCTACAATGAGACATCCCGTCTCTCGTCCATATTCAAGATTCAGGTATCTCAACTCCGCCCACATCCGGCGGGCGCGCACGTATGAGCTCGTCATCATTGACGACAGTTCAAAAGACCATACGTCCGCACTCGCGCTAAAACTAACACAGCAGCACTTCAAGAGCGATATTCGGACGTGAGGTGAACCTCAGGAAGGCTAGACCAATGCTCGTTGTATATGCGCTCTTCCTGCACCTCGCAGATCTTGCATGCAGTAACCCATCTGGAGGTGCAAGAGACCTACGAATGCACGTAAATTGCGCCGGTAGGGACGAGCGTCAAGTAGTGGCTCTCAAGAGCAACGACTATACAGATCTGGGTCTAACCCGAGTGAAGTATATGCGTTGTCTGTCCGCCTGCATGCATCTTCTACAGACATGAAGGGGATGAACGACCTTGAGGAGCTTGCGAATGCTAAAGATGCAGCTTAAGACGCCTTCGCCCACGTCCGGTGCTGGCAAAAAACTTTGGCCTGGGAATCCAGGAGCGTATGGTGCCGGCTATAATTCAGCATGTTCGATATGGCCTTCTATGTTATGTCGTGATCGGTCCCTCTGGTGCCCGTGTTACTGGGAGAGAGGAGGAACAGCATATTAAGTTCCACTACCGAGGGAGGGATAACAATTCAAACAGCAGTATTATTTAGTGAGTCCAATTCCTGTAGCAACCTGCAGCTGTGTTAATGTTGTCGCCTGAAAATAATCATCGTCCTCGCTGTGCCTTTTCACGAGTAGAACTGCCGCTTTAAAGGTTCTGTATCATCCAGATATTGTGCAACTTCATACTCATACGATATCCATCAAAATGCACGACATTTTCCAGAGGAAGCACGGAACATTCCGAGGGACCGTCTTTTCTTTTTTAATCCTTGACCGACCACCACCATGCAATTGGCGCTCTTTCCGTGGGTATTTGTTTCTTTATGGCGAGCTTATTATTACCTTTGAGGAGGCAGGTAGCGAGATGGCTACGAGCACAAAGCTTAGGCGCATACTGTGCGTCCCGAATTTTTTTTTAATTGTTGGTCGATATCTCCGCACAAGCATACAGGTAGGTGCGAAATACAAGACTGATATATTCAACTTCGGCCCTTACTTCCTTTCACTACACGTTGCGGTCAAATCGGGACGCAAGAGCGGTTTGCTTAACTGATGGGCCAATCAACCGTAAGTCAAGTTTCTTTCGGATGAATTAAACGACCTACTAGCTCCAGTGCAATTTGGCGATCCCACGTTTATCATGACGCACTCGCCAAACGTGTTGCCGCTCAATACTATGCTTTCACGACCGTGCTCCGCGGGCTCTGCCTGCGTTGCTGGCGGAGGTTCCAAGGGCGTGGGCTCTGCAGTTGTGGCGACATGTTCTAACTTCGTCACGGCTTTTTACATCGTGAGGTGAGTCTTCTGGTAGGTTTGCGATACGAAGAACTCACTGAAACCGTTACAGTGACTTGAAAATATATTGATGGTTCCGCCCTCCGCAATATAGTTGTTCTGTATGATTACGATACAGTTGTTTGGTGGGTTCTGGGATGACTGTTCGACGCTTGGCAGCGGAGTGCCATCAGTCAACTCATGGCGGGAAGGTGGTCTCGGAGTGGCACTAGCATCTTGCAATGAGACGATGGCAAGAGGCAGATAAAACTTTGTTGAAGCACAGGGTGAATGTGCTCCAGTGCAAGTATCCATTGTAGAGATGAGGGTACTGTTATAAGCAGGATAAAGTGCGTCTTTTAAATAATCTGTGATGACTCCTTTAAGTAATGATTAAGCTCCCGTCACCCTTCGCCATCGACGCGGGTATGCACCCGGATTGATATTCAAACTCCGCATATGGTTTCGCTTGGCCGTGCACACTGCACGATCAGGAGTCATCCCCCTTCTTCTTCCCCTTCCCCTTCTATTTCTATCTTTAGATCCCAGCATGAAATTGAGATCCACACGAGTGAGACTAATGGTCATTACGCACCTTGCAAGAAACAACAACGGAGACCTGGAATTCGGGTCCTAGGGACCTCATACCAATTTCATGATAATCTCACAAATTTTGAAGTTGTTCAATGATCATCTTCAGTCACGTTTCTTTGGCAGCACACCCCAAATGAATTATTCTGAGGCAAAGGAAGCAAGACCATTTGCTAGATTTTTGACAACTATTCTCGGAACTGTGAGGAAAAGATACTGGACATCGTGATTTCGTCTGGTACCAAAGTTTTCGGTTCTGCGAGTCCAGACTCATCATGACGTGTCTGTGTGTACTCTTATCTGCTACACAGCTGGGTTTACATTGTGATTGCTGAGGTCCGTAGAAGTCACGGAAAAAAGCGTGAATGTGCTTGGCTGGATGAGGTGACGCCATTCACAAGCACTGGCAGCGGCGCTATAATTAATATTTTCTGAGTGCCGCACTGACCGGGAGTCCAGATCCGAATTGAAAATGGAGTGCGGTATCACTCCAGTATCTATCAGATCAAAAGCTATACAAATAAATTAACTTCGTATGATCAATCATTCACACTCGTTCTGAAAGGAGCCGCATGCTGTGTGTCCTTGGTGTGTCCTACCGGTCGGATTAACCATTCAAACTGGTTCCGAAAGAAGCATGCCTATTAGCTCCTGTCCTTATGTCCAGAAGATTCGTAATTCTGGGCCAGTAGTATAGCATTAAGCTTTGTCCCATGACGAACTAATATATGAGAATACATGCGAAGTAAGCGAGTCAGGATTTAGGACACCGTTGTCAACGAGCACACAGGACCACACTGAAACTGTCTAACACAGGGCCAACAGAACAACACTGAAAATGTCCAACATAGGGCCAACGACCAACCCCACAGGATAATACTTAATCATGGACTAAACCCTTTGCTTTGAAGAGTGATGTCAACAACTTCTCTAGATGTCGTGTTTAGTTTGAGATGGAAGAGCAATTGGTTTAACTGATCAGCAGCAAAGAATCGTCGACTCTTGAATTGTTTCTCAGAAGTAAAAGACCCACCAGCCCCGTGCAATCTGGAGATTCTATCTTTATCATGGCGTGCTGACCAAAAGCATTGCCGTTGAATACTACGCTCTCACGACTAGTCGACTGGCGCCGACTGTCTCGTCAACGGAGGCTGTGAGGATGTTGGCTTTGCAATCTCAGCGCCGTCCAGCTTAGTTATAGCTTGTTGGAAAGGTAAGTCTAAATGGTAAGTTGGATGTGTGAACAACTCACTGTAACCATTGCAGTTGCTCGAAAATATGTTGACGGTTCCCCCCTCCCAGGTAGTGAAGTTGTTCTGGATGACGGTGGTGCGATTGTTCGCGTCCAGGGCTTGACTCGGCAGGGGAGTTTCAGTAGGTATCGTGAAAGCTTGATAGGACGCACAGGCTTGAATGGCGGTCGCCATGGTGGGGATGCGGTTGAGATGCATGAAATATGTGGCACATCCCCGTGTTTTTATAAGTAGGATCGACTCCCCATTCTGGCCGAAGATCTTGACGGGGCTTCTGGGCGAACTGGCTGCACCGTGACACTGAGATGGATCTAATTCAATATTCGCGGAGATAAAACAAGGCACACCGCACGCGCGGCCGAAAAGGCTGCAGTCGCAAGTGTTTTCAAAGGGGGGCCGGCCAGCGCGCACGCAAACTTGCACTAATCAGAGACAAATCTGTTGTGGGTCCGCTCAAGATCGATTTAAACGCCCCGCAAGTTCAACCGAAATGGGTATGCATCGTCTATCCTCACAAAGGCTCGTCGTGCTTGCGGAACGATGCGCAGAACAGCGTGGTCGAGGCAATGCTCGCTCGTTAGCATCTCGAGTTTGTCCGAGTCTATGCCTTGCAAGGCAATTGTAAGATGCGCGTGATTGTAGTGACCAGATTTATGTGACATAGCGTGACACACCATGAAAGTGTGACACACGAAGCAGCATAGTACTTTTACTAATAACTACGAGTCTACGGGTAGGTCAGCGTGTATGGTTTAATACAGCTATAGGGCTCACCGTCTATCGTCTTTGAAATGGATCAGTCCGTCCTTGTTTATTCGTTCACTGCTCTGGCCGTCTTGTTACCCTGTGTGAGTGATAATTTCAACGTCAACATCTGGTCTTTGGTTTTTATATGATGAGCACCCATTTCATCCTTGTTCTTCGAGCCATGGGCCGTCTCAAGAGACGTTGCGCCGCGGCGAAGACGACAAACCCTGGGTCAGGGAATCATTTCCCTCTTGTCTGACTTTCTTCATACAAATCTATGGTTTAGCATTTTCGCTAATCATCACTAGCTCTATCTAGCTCTCATCTTGCTTTCACCTCCCCCAATAATAACCCGACCCTCAGAAAAGACATACCGCTCACGAAAATCCTTCAAAGACCCTCTCAAACTTCCATCTCTCGCCGATGTAGGCTCCATTGATCTCAGCGTCATCATTCCTGCGTACAATGAGACATCCCGTCTCCCATCTATGCTCGAAACCACACTTAATCACCTCAACTCTGCTTCCATCCGGCAGACACGCACATACGAGCTCGTCATCGTCGACGACGGTTCAAAAGATGACACGTCCGCACTCGCGCTAAAGCTGGCACAGCAACATCTCAATAGTGATATTCGGGTCGTTACGCTTGAAAAGAACCTTGGCAAGGGCGGTGCGGTGCGCCATGGAATGCTACACGCACGCGGAAACAGGCTGTTGATGGTGGATGCGGATGGTGCAAGTCGCTTTGAGGACTTAGAACTGCTGTGGAAGAAAATGGACGAACTTGGACCGAGGAACGAGCCGACGGTGGTCGTTGGCAGTCGAGCGCACCTCGTCAAGACCGAGGCTGTGGTCAAGGTGCGCCTTGTCTCCGACGTGACATGACTAGCTTCTTACACTGCTGTCCGCTAGCGTTCTGTGCTTCGCAACATCCTTATGTATGGCTTGCACACTATCCTACGCATAGTGGGTGTGGGACATATTCGTGACACGCAGTGCGGATTCAAACTATTCTCGCGCCGCGCTGCACAGCAGATTTTCCCCGTACAACATCTTGCCACTTGGATATTCGATGTTGAGCTACTCTTGCTTGCGAAGCAGCTGGGTATACCTGTTGCAGAAGTGCCCGTACAATGGCATGAGGTGGCGGGGAGCAAACTGAATGTTGTCAAGGACTCATTACAGATGCTCAGGGACCTGCTCGTTCTTCGCGCTAACCAGCTCACCGGACGATGGAAAGTATCACCGTGATGATATACCACGGCCAAGCCAGTCACGGAACAATAGATTTTGTCTATGCACATGGTGAATGTGCTCTCACCGGCCCTGCAAAGACAAACTTGAAATAGATCATGATTGTACATAGAGCAACATTAATTATTATAAATGTAGTATTGCGGGCGTCATCATGAGTGGTGCGGCAGCTTTATAGGCGTACTCTGAAGGTCAAGCTGTAATATTAGAACAGTTCAGCGCAATAGTTAGAACCGGGTGATGGCGACGAACTCGAACGATAGTACGAAGAAAGCGGATAGTCCCAGTGTCCTTCTGCAGTGGACGTCTTCAGATGGCGTTGAAAAGTCAAGTGCATGTATTAATTTCAAATGTCTAATTTCCATGCATACGAGCCTGTCATCCTCTCAATCATGACGGTAAAACTCTTTCAACACAAGAATGTGAGACTCCACCAAAATGATGTTGTGAATATCGATGAGTCGACCTCCCCCCAAGATTGATATTGCAATTTCAACGTGACACTCTACTTGGCGGACGTGATCAGTTGATGGGCACTACAATTGAGAGACTCGAGGAGTAAGTCAAATCCCGGTCGATTGAGTTACTTCAAATAAGTCAACTGCCAACTTAGCACATGAATAATCTTGCTCTTAGCGAGATTGTTCGTCTGCTGAATTGGGCGAGTACGCGTTGTCCATGGAGTCAGTCTTTGCTCGACACAATGGCTTCAATCACGAGGGCCCTGGAGCACTAGTCAACGTAGCGGGCTTCACCATGCAGGCTAGTCCTACATCTCACAGTAAGTATAACGTATGAACCTGAAAGAACGAATACGAACCGCCCTATAAAAGTGGATTACAACCATCTTGCGGAAGATAAAAAATACTGGCAGTGTAGTTGACGGTCATCACTGACTCGCGGAACGAGTCTCGGTTCCGGACTTGGTGGAATTTGAAGAGAAGATGTAAAACTGTAATTCACGAGTCGGACAGCTTGTCTTAAAATTCCGACGTCAGCTCCAGAACATCTGGAAAGATCTGGAACCGGGATGAAGTACTGTCAGTAGATTACCTCTGGAAAACTCAAATTGAGATAAGGACCCGTTCTAAGAGGTGAAATGACTCTGGAAATCATCTGGGTGTGACGGTGACACTCCGAGAGAGACGGGCGAAACAGAGGGTGAAAGGAGTGTGGAATGAGGAATATTTATATTTGAAGCAGACCAACTTAGTATATATAGAACAAACATGAATAAAGTTCAATAAACACAGGTGCTCAGGCGATTTTTATAACGGTACTCATAATACTTGGTTTGTAACTTTGATTGGAGCTTTCAAAACTGCTTGATCATCGGGGCATTACACGTTAGTGCTTTAGCCATGACATTAGTGGCTAGCTGCAGAGCTAGAGACACAGGGTACGTTTGGCACACCGTTCCTAGTCATTAACGGTAAATGGTGGCATACACTAGTAGGAGTGTCTCTTGTGCGCCTATAGGATGTCGTACACCGTGTATTATGGTTCGTTCACATATTAATGTTCGCTGTGTTTTGGTCAACTTTCCTCTCTGTTTGCAGTTCCCGTTCACTCGTGACAAGCATCCGAATCGATCATCCGCCATCCGCCGCGGCAAATCATCTTCATTTCACAACAAGACAGGTGTTTTCTCTTCTTTAGGTTAGCACTTTCCAAAAATACCCCCTGATGAGCTAAACCGCTGGCAACATGAAATGAAGTCACAAGACGCTTTTCGTCATTCGTATATAAAATGGGGCCCTCGTATCACCCTCGTACACTCCCAAGCCATCCAGGTTATTCTCGCCATGGCTTCAACAGGCATACCGCTAGATACCGCTACTATCATTTCAACAGCGCTGGAAGGCATCTTATACGGTGAGTATCACGATAAGCATTCGTCACATACCCGTCAAGCTAGGGTTCTCCAGGCTTTTCAGTTCTCATGTTTATGGGCACCATGTGGGTAATCTACTACAAACCTAACGCAAATCGCCCGATCGCTTTGGCGGCAATCCTGCTATTGATATTGAGTACTGCAGTGAGCTCTTCGCCTCTCACACCTGATGCCACCTGCTGAATTCGCTCAAGCACTTGATCATAGACATCATTCGCCTTGAAAATGGATTCGTCAAGTATCACGACATTCCTGGTGGACCAGTGGCATTCTTCCAAGACATCAGCCAGCCAACATTTGTGACAAAGAACCTAATATATGCCCTGCAAACTATGATTGGCGATGGGGTGGTGGTGTGTTCTATTTTTGTTTGCCAGCTCACAACTCCCTGGGCTGAAAAAGCGCCTTGTTTGGTAAAAGATTTATCGCTGTTATGTCGTTTGGCAATCCGTTTGGGCTATCATCCTACCAGTTACACTGTGGTGCGGGTCCTCAGGTCAGGTCGCCGTGTTTGGGAAATTACCTGTGCTGATTCTGTATCGAAGTGGCTGCTTTAATCGCGCCCTACTACGCTTCACGGGCAACTGGCGGAAACATTTATACCAATCAGACTGCACAATGGATCACGACGTTGTTTGTCTTGACACTTTCAACCAATCTGATAAGTTCAGGTAAGCGTGATTCTGCGTGAACGCGATGTCGAAATCTCATAACGACCTGAATTTGTCCAGGATTACTCGTGTATCGCATCTGGACGATCGAACGTAGAGTCTCTGCAAATCGTGCTACGATTGGCACCATGATGCCTATCGTGCACGTGCTCATAGATGCCGCTATCATATACTCTGCAGCCCTGTTCACCATACTAATCTGTTTCGTCTGCGCGAACAACGCCCAATTCATTATGCTGGATATGGTAATTATTACCGTCAACGCCCGTTATGATATCTTGCTGAACCGAGACAAAGATCATGCCAATCATCTCGATTGCCTTCTGCATGGTGTTGATTCGCCTTACACCCAAGAAAAATACTCCAAGTTACCTCCCGACTTATAGCGCGCAAATTAGCGCGGAAATCAACGAAAGGGAAAGAAGAGATTCGCAGCAATACCACATGAAGCCTTTGCAGGTCCACGTATCCCAGTGGACACATATTGACGGTATGGAGTAGAAAGTGAGGACTGAAACATAAATTATACGGAAGCTTGCAACGTATCCGAAGGTGATGGGTAACAGCTCTAGCTCTTTGTCAGGTTCAAAGAGTCAAAAGCAGATTATTCCAGCCCTACTCAATACTTATTGTATTTCGCAATGATAATCTTCGTCCCTGGACAAAGCCGCACATGCGTGAATACCTTTATAACACCCTGACAGATTCGCCGTTCATTGTGTAATCACAATACAACCCTAATGTACTCACAATTATGAGCTGTCGTCAGACCTTTGTTTTTCATTGGAAAAGGGTCATCTCTTTTCAGGTGCTGCATCATGACACACCTAGCCCGAACACACTAGACCTCAGTCGCAGTTAAGTAAATCACTTGCTGGCGCAGGAGACAGAAATTTGTCGACTATTACCGTACAGCCAGCAATCCGACTCGAACCGTCGTCCTTTTTTTTTCAGACTTCCATATTGTCACATTGCCACGCAGCCAACAGCCACAAGATAACAACAAGATACAAAACTAGACACCAAGAAGCTTTTGAAATATCATGCACGGACAGCAACGATAACAATATGAAAAACACGTATGCGGGGGTGAATAAAGATAGACAAAAAGATCCAACGTGAAAAATGTTGCGCAATCCTATACGTGAAAGATACAAGATACAAGAACACAAATTGTTCACGGTAGATAAGAATGCTGTAAGCAAAGAGGTCAAATAAGCCCATTGGCATTGAGGTCATCAAAGTTCATAATTTTTGTCGCCGCTCGTCCGCAATCGTCAACATGTTCACCAGGCTAGATTCAAAGACAGGTTTTGTCAAGATGCTGGTAGAAATTTAGTTGGATTTGAACGTTATGAACTGGGGGAGTCACATACTGGTCCACACCCGCCTCGGTGTATTCTTTCTGGTCATTGATGAGTGCATTACCTGCTTCAGCGTCAGAACACTTGAGGCACGATTCAACTGCAGTACTAACCGGTAATTCCAACGACAAAATCGGCCCTACCCATTTCTCGAAGTTTGGAGATCACCTCCAAACCTGACATAACGGGCATCTGATTGTCAAGAAAGACGGCATCATATGCACAACCATTCTCTGTCCCTCCCCCATTCTGATCCTTTTCACTGTCATGACTAGGGTCGAAGACCCTGTCATCTTCGACTTTTGATGTTCCTGGACCGCTGATTATCATCTCCAACGCGATCCCACCATTTTCAGCGGTTGAGACGTTGCATCCTAATCTCGTCAGCATTCGAGACATGACGGTACGAGTGAGGCGGTCATCGTCAACGACTAAAACAATTATAGGTGGGTTAAAGCCGGCCGTGGACCCCTTGCGGCTCAAGGGAAACGGTAGGGACCCCCGATAATTGGGAAAATAGTGACGGCCTTCGAACTGGTGAATCTGGGAGAGTCGACATAGATGAAATAGCTGGAAGTGGAGTGGCATCATCAAGACTCTTCAGCGAATCCGCAACGACCGTAGGTGAGCTGTCAATTGAGGAGTTTCCCATTCGAGAGAACATCACGGGACTACCCAGGTTCTCGCCAAACTCATCGACAGGTGGAGTGGGAAGTGGAGGGCCAAGCTGGGTGCCCAACTTGGACGAGGGTTCGCTGGTAGTCCGGGCGGACCCGTGGGTTTCAGAGCCGTCAACTGTATTTGGTAAATTCAACTGCACTAGCCCCCCTAAAATCGGATGTTTGCTTTACACGACAAATTCAGAGTATGCATAATGCTGACCTTTGTCCATCATGGTCTGCATAATGTTCGTCGAGACTACCTGCGTTGGGGCACCGGTTGTGAGTAGATCTACTGATAGTGGCCCTGCTAGCTCAAAAGTGCGCTGCTTCTCGCGCAGAGTCGACTCCGCGTCTGGTTCATCGACAACTTTAACTCCGACTCCCAGCGCTATTGCAAAACATGTGAACAAAAAATTAAACATCAGTCTGTACAATCTAGATAACTTACGTAGCTCAACCCAAAACGTCGACCCATGACCGACTTTAGAACGCAGACCCAGCCGACCGCCGCTGAGCCTCACGATCTGGCGGACGAGAGCCAGGCCGAGACCAGTGCCCTTTCCGCCTTGTTGTCTACCTTGCTCTGTCTGATTAAATGCAGCTAAAAAAAGTGAGCGTCTCGCAACGAATTCAAGAGACGATCACTCACAAAATAGCTTGCCCTGCGCCATTTCGCTGCGCGGAATTCCGTGTCCGGTATCGCTAACTTCAATCCGCACAACGATTTGCTTCAGTGGGCCCTTATTTTTTGAGGATTCCATGCCTTGTCCCCCGCTCGTCGTTGGTTCACGTAGGGGATCGGAATCATCAGCAGGAGCGCAGAGTACCTCCTCTATCATGTCTTCGCCCATATCAATCTTTGGCCTTGAATTGACGGAAGGTTCTAGCGCAGGATGTGCGGGAAATATCAGGCGCGTTGAACATTTTATTCTTCCTCCCACAGGGGTAAATTTACAGGCGTTGCTGAAAATGAAATGTCCCAGATAGTCTTGATGGCGTATAGATAGATGCGGACCTTGCGAGATTATTGATGATCTGTCGCAGCCTAGTAGCATCCCCGAGAACGATACCGTCTTCCTTGTTGTTCAGATCCTCCTCGGATTCTGCCAAATTGTCGCCTGCGGCCTCGTAAGCGGCTTGTCGCGCAACTTTGTCGATGGTCTCGTCAAGACAAGTCACGAGTTCAAGGTTGCGGGCATCTGTTGCCATGCGCAGTGGAATGAACAACGAGCGCATAACAGCATGGAATTTGTAAGGTTTGTACAAGATCTCGAATAGACCGCTATCCATGCGATTGCTGGGAGCGGTGTCAGACACGATTCCTAGAAGCGAGAGAGCTACTCAAACAAGTCAAGCATGTCGTTGAGAACTACTGAGCAATTAGTTAGCTGCAGAAGATGAATGAAGATGGACTTGCCTTTGGACATCATGACCAAGCTGCCCCCTAATGCCATGAATTCTATTTCTTGCGCTTTAGACACGGCACACGATGCCTCCATATTCTGCACGGCAAGAACTAGACGCTCGATTAGCACCAGTTACACACCTGTACCTGATAGCACCTACGAGCTGTGTTCAAGGGCACTCGGACCTGTAAATTTCCGGTGAGTCAGGCAAGGGCAAGAAGGTACTGTACTTATCATGGAAGACATATCTGACGACAATAGGCAGTCAGCAAATATACAGGCATGCGAGCATAATGCGCACGACGTAAGCCTCCTCTTAGAGTCCGCTTCTTTTCGCTCGTTAATTTGAGCCTTCTGGGTAGCCTTGAACTGTGTTTTGAGTTGCTCTCGGAGAATAAAGAGACGCCGTTCGGACTGTGAGGGTGAGAATAAAAAAAACAGGGACACTTGTTTCCACTTACATTCTCGTGCATGTAGTGAACAAACAAGAGGAATGTGTGATACAGGAGAAAATTAAGCATGTCTGGAATTTTTGGTGAGCTAGCTGAGCAAGATTATATACATTCAACGTACGCTTGGTCCATATTGGCTTATATGGCAAGATAAGAGTACTTGAGCTATGAGAAATCAGTATAGGCCTCGCAACACATGAACTCGTGCACATCTCACATGATCAAAAAAGTCAGTGCCCCCACCATAGCAGCGACTCTATCCATCCTCATCCCGAACAATGCTATAGTTTGTAATGCAGAGGTATAGCTAGAAGCAAAGATGAGTGGTTTTGAGCTCGAAGACCGGTTAACGCACTAGAATGTTCCGAGGAAATCCTTTGTTCCGCATGTATTATCTGCACTATAATATCCACATACATATCTTTACCCAGTATCAGAGTCCCAGTAACGGGCATAACCCTAAGGCGTACATTGTCACGATCTCATACAAACACCTCGAGGGAAGTCAAAACTGTTCTACTTGCAAACTACATATATGTGACGCTCACCATGACCATGTTGAGATCATTAAAAGTAACTGGTAAGGTATTGGGCGGTCGAGTGGGAAATCGAATGTGACCAAGAAGAGGAGAGGAATGGTATGCGCAGGTATAAACTACAACATATGAACACTGCTAATGCACGCAAACTAAATTTGTACTCACACCCCATATCCATGATTTATCGAGTATGGTAATAGGCGTGGCAATTGTTGCTGCTCCGATGACCCAGTTGGCGATGAAAAATATGGCCGACCAAACTGCTAATAGCTGAGCAAAGCGTCAGTTACGTAGCAGGGAAGTTCAGAAGGCACAGCACCTTTCTAATACACCAACGCTCCCCTTGATATCGTTCTTCCGTCTTTTCATCGTTAAAACGAACATGAAAGAATCTATGCACTGCTGGCCAAACCTCCCAGCGGAGAAGAACGAGAAATTGACGAAAGAAGCCACCATCATCTAGGAATGCGGCACTTTCATGGCCGACGCCTGTACCAGTCCCTGTACCGACGTGAGCCACGTAGCTATCCCCTGAATTATCCAGAGCGTATTCCGAGTGGTCTGGCGAGTTCCTCATATCCTCTGTCCAATTTCGGTCCACGACAATTTCGTCGACTTCATCAACGTCGGTACCAACCTCTGTTCTTAGCCGAACTTGGCCGCTATCACGAATACTGTCCACGAGGGTGGAGGATAGGGAGGGGGACTCAGTGCCCATGCGCTTCATGAAGCATTCCAAATACACGCGGAGACCGCGCGCGCGCGCTCTTTTTGTTTTTTGGCCGCCTGGATCCGCAGTACTAGGCTGTGTACCCGTGACAGGAAGTGGCAAGCCCGGGAAGTCCTCCGAGTCCGGCTGATAGGTAAAGGGAGTAGACGCCGTATGGCCTATATTTGCCTCAGCAAGCTGACGTTGAGTACCATCATTGAACTTGGACATTGCTGCAAGGCAACCGGCCGAGCAACATGTGGAGGGTGTATATGAGGTCTAACGTGGCGATCTAATGAATAGCCGGGAAAGTGTAACTGTGGATAAGAAACGACACACAATTGCATCATGAGCTTACTATCTCCCCATAGAATCCGCATTCAAGGCCCGCTCGGATGCTTAAGCCTTCTTCTTCTTTGGAGTCATCGTGGAAAGTCAATGTATGTACTGCATCAGTAGACAAGCGCGCATGGGGTATGATAAAATTGACAATGCTGGCGCAGCGGGGAATTCGCTGTAATCATTGGTTGCGAATGCATCATTCAGCTCACGGAAGGTTCCTGAAGATGTGTTGCAAATGACAAGCTACATACTTTCTCGGTATAACGGATCCAAGAGGTAGGTCGATATGCACAGCTAGCGGAAAGCCTAGGTACTTACGGCCAGGTACGGCATGTGAACTGAAATGGAAACAAATGTCCAGCTCCGACATAGGCTGCCACACTATCGACATGTCCACGTCGCAATAATCAGACATTGGTTTCACTTTTATTCTCGTGAAAATATTCAATAAAATAAAGGCTGAAATTTAACATACATGGTAGTGGGCTTGTGCACTGATTATTAGTGTTTTGTGTGAGCCGGCGGGAATATTCGCGCCCATCGGAGTTTGATTACCATGCAGGCTTCTGCCTTTCGTGGATCACACCTTCTCCACCTCGTTTCCTTCGTTGTACAGCTCATCCTATCCACACAACAACACAATAAACAGCCGAGGTGAGTCAAAATTTTACGGTGTTGGACTTAATTAAGGTCAAAGAGTTTGTTTTGATCCCCTGCAGATTTTTCTTGCAACCTTTTCCGACAAGCGCTTATGGCAGCCCAGGTCACCCTGAAAAGCGGGGAGAAGGTCAAAGTCAACGGTAAAAATCCAACTCCTTTCTGTATCTTCTTCTGACATCATTTTGACTTGATTTATGAAGACCATGTATATTGCTCTCCACCATGGTCTGTTCGAGATGGTACCCCATACTCCGTAGCTCGTATCATGGAATTCCTGCCACCGGAAGGGGCAGGCAAAGGCAAAGGGAAGGGAAAGGAAATATATACCCGCGTTCGATTGGCTTGGTATTATCGTCCAAGCGACGTCAGTGATCGTCCGGTCGCGGATTCTCGCCTCCTTCTCGCCGCCATATATTCAGAGATCTGCGACATAAACCAACTTCGCTCCCGGTGCCACGTTTTGCATAGGGATAAAATAACCGACCTAGCTGGATGGAAAAAACGCCCTGACAGATTTTATTTCAATCGTCTTTTTGATCCTTATATCAAGAAGGAGTTTGATGTTATTCAAGCGACTGACGTTCGGAATTGTACGTACAACTTCTCGTTACCTCCACCGTTTCGAGTCAACATTTTCCTGCAGTGCCCGATAACATCAGACAGGTTTTGATTTCAAGATATGAATATATAGTAGCCGAGAAAGACGTGGTTCCCGACCTCACCGACACTCTGCGGTTGTGTGCGACCTGCAGTGAATGGTGTGCAAAGTACGTTGTTGATGGAGGGAATATTTCTATTTTATGCATATTCTAACATTATAACACTAGTCCTGACACAGTAGGGTGTGATAGATGCAAAAATTTCTTCCACATGAGCTGCGTACAACCTCCACTTCTGGCAAAGCCATCACGTGGCTACGGATGGACATGCGCCCCTTGCTCTAAGCGTCATGAAGAAGAGGTAGATAAACATGACGTCCGACATCCGACCCCCATTATGAAGCCAAAGTCTAATGCGCCTGCTCCACGAGGTCGAGGACGCCCACGTAAAGACAGGAGCCTTGCGGAAAAGGAAGAAAACGTCGATATCAAGTACTTTAAAATGTGGCCGTTTCGGTACTTTGGGTAAGTGTATGCGCCTGATCGCATCCCTATCTCGATAGGTATTTAAGAGCGAAAGCTGACCGCCCATATTCCCATGAAGGCAATACACAGTGGCAGAAGACACTCTTGGTAAGTGCGGGTTTGACAAGGAATGTGTGAAGCTTAGTACATCTGGACAACAGATCCTGACGATCTCATCTTCCCTCGATCCGCTACCCGCGTTGGCCCTAAATATCAAGCTACTGTTCCGACTACGCTTGATGTGCCCTCGCCTTCAGGTAGGGTTTTTCTCCTCTTAGCCCGTGACGCTGCTCAAGGCAACTTAGATCCGGAACAACGGGGCGGAGACTATACCGTCGAAGTTCTGAGTGCGATCAACACCTTGACAGATGAAGAAAGTACGTATTTTTAGCCTTCCCTAGGCTTAGGTAAACAACTTTGCTTACTCATTTTGCAGTCGTCGAAAGTAGGTGCTTTATGACCTTGGGTGACCAGGTTGTCTAAAACAAAGATTTCAGTGGAAGCATGGAAGGTGGTGTTGAGCAGAAATCAGGAAAAATTGCACAGTGTCGACTGGCTGACCGAGGCCCTCAGGCGGTTTTCTCAGGCACATTTGTTGAATCGTGGCTGGTCCACTGTTGATATGAGTGTTATTCCCACCCGTCCAGAGAAGGTAATGTCCCAGACGACAATTAGTGGATTTTTTTTAGTGAGAAAATCTGACTGGTTCGATAGTGGAAGAAGGGTGAAACGAGGCATACCGACCGGGAGTGGACCGCAGATGAGGTGACTGCTTTTGAGGATGGCATTTTCCTCTACGGCGCTGAGCTTCGGGCGGTACATGACGAAATCGGTACCCGTTCCATGGCCGAGGTTGTGCGGTTTTACGGGCACTGGAAAAAGTAGGCATGGATTATCTTCTTTGATTTTTATCTTATTATTTTTTCCTGTCCAGCTCGAGACTAAAGGAAGAGAATGCACAAATTAGAGCTGCGAGACTCAAGGCCAAAGACCAGGGAAAAGATGAGGTGCCCTCCGCCACTGCTATCGTTGCCGATCAATTCTCCGACGACGAAGGTTCAATTATGCTTGGGTTGTCCAAACACAACAATAGTTGTGGCGCATGCCGTACTCGTGAATCTGAGAATTGGTGGAGGGCCCCCAAGGGCCTTGCCACCGATATTCTCTGCGATACTTGTGGGACAAACTGGCGTAAATATGCGGACCTTAATTTCCGTACAGTTCGTGAGGATGCTGTACCGTCCAGCAAGAAGGGCTCGGATAAACGTGAAGGGACACCCCTAAATGGACCTAGTACGAAGCGCGTGAAGGTAAAGCGAACACACCCTGATATTTCAATTATTTATTTTCGTTTTCTCTCAGACCTCAACATCGGCCTCCGTCAATGCGACACCTCCCCCTAATGCTCCAACGGCCCCACAACTGCGCTGCCTGGCATGCCAGAAGAATGGTCCAGTGGGTAAGGTGCTGAGGTGCAACCAGTGCCAATTCCGAGTGCACGCAGGTGAGGTCGCTGATCTACTCACGTCATACACCAATTCAACACCACAAATATCTAGCATCATGCGGCGTCCACATGGACAAGAGCGTCGTTGATTCGTGGATGTGTGACATTTGCCAGAACGAGGAAACCCTGGAATCATCTATGGTAAATCGACAAAAAATCGGTTTGTTCTAGCCGTATGATAATAACATGTATTATCTAGCACACTGACTGTTTGTTGTGCCCACGGCGCAAATCCAAGAAGAAGGCTCAATTTCCCAATGCTGATTCGTTCTTACGTGCTTCCAAGCCTACAGAAGGGCAAGGGTGGGCACATGTACTGTGTGCTGTCTTTACTCCAGAGATCAGCTTCTCGGATGTGTCGCAACTCCGGCTCGTTGAGGGCATTAGCACCATACCCAAACAGAGATGGGCATCTGTAAGGACGCATCCGTTTCCTTTATTCTTGTTTAGCTGACACGGATCACCAGAAATGTACTCTATGCGGCGAAACCAGCGGTGCAGTTATCCGATGCAGTGACTGTGTACGGGAATATCATTCATCTTGTGCTTGGAGGAAAGGTCACCATTTTGGCTTCGAGATTCAGCCGGTACGGTTTTTTCGTTTTTTTCGTCGTTTTGCATCATAGGATAATTATTGCAGGTGCGTCATCCACGTCGGGATGGTATAATTACCACCTTCAAGGGTGAGACTGGCAACATGGTTCCTGTCGTATATTGCCAGGAACATGAGAACAGCAAACGGGAACTATACGATGTGTGTGAAACGGATGAGACTGGAGAGGTGAGGGATCAAAATGTTTCATCTGTTAGGATTGCTGACGCCTGTACGGCAGACTGCTCTGCAAGTTTACTGCCGGATCTATAAACAGGCGCCGGTAACTCAGGCGCATGCTCTACTTCGGAAGGCTAGGAGACTCGACCAGACCTTGAATATCCGCACGGACGGCACTTCGTCGGTTGATGTTTCGGCTGAGCCTGTGCTCCAATGTGATATGTGCTCTACACAATATTCCCCTGCATTCTATCCGAGCGAACATTACTCGGGTCGTTGGCGGTGCCACAAATGCCACTTTGAGCACCGAAATGGGGTCGGTGCTGGTCATTCTCCTGATGGTAGTCTTTCTCCCCTTGATGACACAATGGATGGTTAGATACGGATATTTTGGAATACCCCGTTGTATTTTGTACAGTACATTTGTCGTTCAAGAAAGAAACATTAATGTTGAGAGTTAGTTGTTGTTGAGTTATGTAATCGGGATTGTCGGTACTATTTGTCACACGTTGTGGGACCAAGTTGTGTTGTTCTGCCTAGTATTTCGCTCCGTCGCCGAGCGGCTCAGTACCTGCCACGCACTGAATCGCCGACTCTACTCGGGGCTACTCGAGGCTACTCCTTTCATTCTCTTGGATGCCTGGTGTCGTTGTTCTTCCTCCATCACATAGTCTCGTAGGGTTCGGTCCAGACACTCACAGCGGAGCACACTTGCCTCGACCTATCAATCCTCTCTTGAATTCTCCAACTATGCACAATGGCTCTTCATCTTCAGTATCTGTTCTGGAGATCAAGGAACATGCTAAAAGTACTGCGGAACGCAGTAAAGGTTTTAGTGCCAAATCACTCATTGGGTCGGCCCGTTCCCAGATGCAGCTGGCTCAGTCGAGGGACGCCGCTCGGGACCCAAAGGCAGCTCTACATGCCCTCTACGTCGCAGCTAACCTTGTCACGACTTATATGAACCACCCCAGTTACGCCGCAGACAGGACTAAAGGGAACCCAATTCACCATGAGTTCCTACAGTTCTTCCAGGTTCGCACTATGTCTTTTCGTGTAGAGTACTGTCCAATGATATTATCCACAGGAAAACAGTGCTTCTCTGAACCGTATCAAAACCCTCGAGGCGGAAATTGATCTTGAGAGATCGACTACAACGTGAGTGCTAGCGTCCAACAGATTGACCTTCGTATATATTGATTCTTCTTTTTTTCCATAGTGTCTCACCTCATCAGGGAGAATTATCCAGTATAACGTCGCTCGCGGATCGGATGAAGATGCTTAGTCAAAATGGATTCGTCGACACTACGACGAAACGTTATTCACGGGAAATCCCCCCCTGGGACTCCCCCTCCCCTGTACCTGCCAGATTTAGCTCCGCTCTAATCGACCGTCACCCTCGTCGTCCTCTACTGCTGTTCTCAGCACCGCATCATCTGCATCAAACTCTACAGCACCTTCACCATACGCAGTCGTCCCACCGTCGTCATTGGGCCCACCGTCACCGACGTCTACCGAATCGTCAGAGACGGGCCTTGATCAAGTTGCGTTCGGTGCTGCTGAAGTCGCTGGAGTCAATGAAGTAGAGGAACGAAATGCAGAGAAGGATATGGGAGGTACACCAACATTCGAACCAGCTTCGCGCCCCTGGAAACCTACAATAAATGGCGCGCTGTCTGGCATACCCTCATCGCCTGAGCGCCGGTTTCCGGAATTGCTGATCGACCCTTCAGGGTGAGCATTCATTCTTCCAGCCTGCGTCCAGTATTGATATTTCGGTACTAGGAGAACATTTGAATCATCTGAGCGCCCCTGGAAACCTACGATAAATGGCGCGCTATCTGGCATACCCTCATCACCTGAGCGCCGGTTTCCGGAATTGCCGAACGATTCCCCAGGGTAAGCTAAACTTTTTCCACCCTGCATCCAGTATTAATGTTCCGATACTAGGCTATTGCTTAAGTCCCACGATTCAGAAACATTAAGTGACACTCCCCGCTTCCATAAGCCGCGCGAACATTCTTACACACATCCCGTCATCCATATCATACAGCTATAGTCGTCCTGATAGTGTACGTGGCACTTGCCCTGATTTGATTACACGTTGCTCATTGTCCCACAGACGCCCCGCACACCTCCCGTAATACCCCATTCTCTCACAAACAGTTCTGCACCGATACAATACCCCTCCTTCTCAACCACAAGTACTTCCTCTGCTTCCAGGTCAGGGGCCACGTCCTTAATCTCTCGGCCCCCAGCGATTCCACCGCAGGCGAGCATCAACCACTCTCCACTTGTCCGGAGGCGAAGCGACTACGTCGAACAAGGTAGTGCTAGTGCGTCGTTTAGCGCCCGCCTCCCCATCGATTACCCCGATCTACCTCATTCTCACATTATTCGCCCTCCCCCTCCGGTCGCTTCCTCCTCGTTCCAGCGGCATCATTCGCACTCGCAGTCATATTCCGTTAGTACACTTAAGGAGCCTCCCAAGCCGCCTACAATAGCCTCTACTTATCCCGTGACATACTGGTCTGACATGCAAATTGTCACGGTTGGCCTCAAGAATTTGGGAAATACATGTTACATGAATGCTACAATTCAGTGTCTCAGTGCCACGGTGCCATTTGCGAGATTCTTCACTGGTATGAATGTCAAAATCCACACCCAAATGGAGGGCTTACGAGAGATGACTCTGATATAGAAGGCCGGTGGAAGAAGGCTGTCAACTGCGATCAACCCCATGGGAACGAAGGGGCGCCTCGCATCGGCATTTGCACACATTCTCTACGAAATGTCGCACTCTGAACTTCCGCATCTGATCCCCGCTTCGTTCAGGGTAAGTTTACTATTTTCATTGGTACACAACTGACTTCGTCGGCAAGAAATCAATCTGCACACATGCTCCTCAATTCTCGGGATCTGACCAGCATGACTCGCAAGAATTCCTCACCTTCTTACTCGATGGTCTCCACGAGGACCTCAACCGTGTCCTTAATAAACCATCCAATGGAACGACGCCAGAACGCGAGGCCGAACTGGAGCGGCTTCCTCAGGCGATTGCCAGTGCACAGGAATGGGAGATTTATCGGATGCGGAATGATTCACTTATTGTAGATTTCTTCCAAGGACAATTCAAGAATCGGCTGGTGTGTTTGACATGTCGTAAGGTGGGTTTGGATCTTTCATGGACGTTCTCAAATACTTGACAATGCCTGCAAATATCATGCAGACATCGACAACGTATAATTCCTTCATGTACCTTTCGCTTCCCGTGCCTTCCGTGAAGGGCCCGTCCAAGACATCCCTGCAGTTGTGCCTAGATGCTTTTGTCAAAGAAGAAGTGCTTTCAGGAACGGAGGCTTGGTATGGTGTCGCGCAATTTTATGGCATTGTTCTCATGTCATTACTAGGCACTGTCCGTATTGCAAAACTTTGCGTAACGCCACCAAACAGCTCTCAGTTATCACGCCTTCCGCCAATCCTGCTTATTCACCTGAAGCGCTTCTCGCACAAAGGGGTATTCACAGACAAGATCGAAACCGTCGTCGACTTTCCTCTCAAGGGTCTGGATTTGACGAATTACATGCCTCCAGCTCTACCCCCTGGGATGTGTAATTCAACGAATGGTATTGGCGGTGATGATCCGCGAGTGCAGACGCCACCATACAAATACGATCTATACGGCGTGACGAATCATTTTGGAAATCTAAGCAACGGACATTGTGAGCTTTTCCGTTGTTGCTATGTTGCCTTTTTGTCAACAACGTGTCCAGATACCGCTTTTATCGCATCTCGTGGAGGATGGGTTTATTGTGACGACAGTCGGGTCACGCCGACTGACGCCAAGGATATAGTGGTAAGCTTTTTGATTCGCCCGTCAGACTCAACTCTGATGATTTTCTTAGGGACGCCCAGCATACGTGTTGTACTACAAGAGAACCGAATCATAGATCAAATCACTATTTAAGATGCTTATTTGGATGTTTATTTCCTCGAATCAAATCAAACTTACATCACTATACCTGTTGTCATCCCCTGTAGCTCGCCTGCCGACGTGTCGTTGCTTATTATTTGCTTCTCTTCACGGAATTTACGTAGTCTACATACTCTCACATCGATAATGACATTTACTCTCGACTACATCGATCTATCATGGACACCACGCGCATCGTGTAGTGTATACCTGCTGTTAATGGGGCCTGGTAATAGCTGGGGATTAATTAAGTCGAGAAACGCATCGTAGGAGGATGGATACAATATTGAAGTCGATATCTTGTTAACGAACACATACCATAGGTTCAAGGAATAACGACTGACTTCCTTCTATTGGTCTTTCCTACGGGAGAAAAACGATCTGCCATGATCCTGTAGTCAGACGAGGATTTCATCGCGGTACGTAAAGCCAGGCCCTCGACTTAATTCAGTGGGTGAGTGTTGGGTGAGTGAGGTCGTCGAAAACTCAGTCAAGAATGGATCCTGTTGCATGTTAGTTTCAGAAAGAACGGAAAAAAGGACTGACAAGCGGATATGACGAGTCTATGGGGAAAGACACGCAGAAAATATGAAGTCAATGAAACTTTGAGCTTCGCAAATTTCGAGTGTAATACAGGTGACAAGTTTCCGTGACTCTGGATTAAAGCCTGGTCTCCAGTCCTTAAGGCCTTATGAACTGGGGGAGATGAACCTGATGAATGTCACATATTTTGCTCTGTCACGCGTTAACATTGATTACACGTGACCGAGTCGCGTCAGAAATAGTTCAACATCGACGACGCCGACACCGACGACAACGACAACAACCAACAATCCATCACCACGACAGACGATGGCCGTCACACCACGAAAGCTGGTGCACTGGACTCTTGATGTCTCTGTCTCTGACTTTGGATCACCATGCTCGGAAGCAACATCCTCCGATTCCGTCGCGTCAACATCCAGTCTGGAATACATTAACTCTCAGCTTGTAGCACATGGATTCACTCATTCACCTGGGCTCTCCTTTGAAGGACTCTCAAATTCTGACACCGATCAGCTGGCAAAGTGTTTGCTTGCTATGCTAAGCCAAAGAGTGGTGCGTGAGCGCAGTCATGTAATACCGCGAGTGACACCAGTCTCATTCAAGACTTTCCTTTGAAATATTAGAATGATATATCTCGCGCTGAAGATCTATCGACCAGTTTACGCACCCTTTCTTATGACCACGAGCGGCTCACGGGGATGCATCGCTCAGCCACTGAGAAGGCAGCTAATGCAGAGCGCGAAATGAACGTTTACAAGTCACGAATTGCGTGAGCAATTGGTTGGTTTTATCGAAAATTTAATCTAAATTATGTGGCAGAACGGCCTCCAAAACCTTGGCAGCTTCGGAATCAGCCCATAAGCAAACCTCGGCTGAACTTCAGCGGACCCGCTCGTCGTTAATCGCTCTCCGGGCGACTCACTCAGCAGAAATCAAAAAGAAAGAGAAAGAAGTCGAGCGCGTTATCGAGAAATGGTCAAAGCTTTCCGACACGCAGACTAAGCTATCGACTTTATCCTCAGGATTGACTTTTCGATGCGGCAATGCCGACGTGGTGAGCGGGTCCGAAACCCTCGGCAAGGGGAAGGGATACCTTGAGATTGCTCTTGAGCAAGCCGAATCTGCTCGTGCTTCACTAGCTGATGAAACGTTGGTGTTACAGCGGCTTGTTGTAAATGTCGCAAACCGACTGCAGTCCGTACTGCACGAACTGCGATGCTTGGTTTCACCTTGTAATGAAGAGGTGTGACTACAGCTTCGAGCACAGACCAGCCTGCTAACCTGTCCGTAGCCTGCAATAATAACGCACAGCGTATTGTTCCCTTTAGCACATTCTAACGCTGCCAATGAGAAGCTTTCTACTCTCTTCTCCTCGGCGCACAGCGTCCTCGATGTCATTTCAGAACGACTGTCACAGCGAGCTGCCGCACCACCAGCACCAGACTACACCAAGGCCCCGGATGCTCTGGAAAATAAACGATTACAAGGAATCGTTGACGGGTTGCGCTCAGAACTTGGTACGTCTCTAGATGCCATCGGATTTCGTTGCGTATACCTAACAAGTCTTCCGAACAGATGAGGCTAAGAAACTCCATGAGAGGCAAGTTGTAGAGACTCAGGCCCTCTTAATGCAAATTGCATCCCAAACATCATCTACGGAATGCGATTCCAAGGGACGAAAGCGTCGAGCTCATGACACAGCCAGAGCGAGACTTTGCTGCTGAGCGCCTTGAGCGAATGAAGACTGAACTTGATGAGGAGCGGACAAAGTTTACCGATGCTGCTGTCAAACTTGGCAAGGAGAAAGCCGCTCTGGAGGTAAAAATCCAACACTTGGGTCTAGCGCATTACTGATGATCGCACTCAGACTGAGCGCATCCAATTCCTTGAGGAGAAGCGTTCCTGGCATGTCGAGCAGATGCTCTCCCATCTCCCACCGACGCCTGCCACATCTTCCCAACCTGCGCCTCGACCGCCTCAGGCTCATAAGATCAAGTCGCCCCGAAAGTCGCCTATGAAGCCCAAGGTCGTCGGCAAGGTGGCAAGTAGAAAGACCCGAGTGTCTCGACGCTCCTCGTCATTCCCAATCCCACCACCAAATAAAGTGGAGCCTGCATACGAGACGGAGGTAATTCCTATCGCTATCCCACCGGCTGCCTTCGAGGCAGTTGGACAAAAAGTCGACCTTGGCGCAGTCTATTTTACCCTCAGCGTTCGTGCTCCCTCCGCGTTCACCCCGGACATCCTTACCCCCTGTAGAGGCATTCCTTCCTCCAGTCATAACCACACATCAGACAACATCAGGAGGGAAATCGTACACGTCCACTGACGCCGAGTCAGGTTTCGCTTCGAACACTGACACTTCGTTAGAACACACGTCGGCCCCTGCTCAGGCACTGGCTGCAATACCGAAAATTATCCTCCCGTCACCTAAAACACCCCCTGCTCCTGTTGTGAATACACGCCGCCCATTCCCACTTGCGAAGCCACTCGCACCACACATGTCGCATGCTTACTCGCCTGCCAAACCGAGTCCACTCTCCCGCATTCTCATGCTTGCGAACTCTCCTGACAGCGTGGACGGGGCATCAGAAGAGAGCGGAGACTCTCCGACATCTGTTGTTTCCCCGCCCGTTGCTACAAAGAAGACATTCCTAAGCGGATCAGAGTCAGATGATAGTCCTTTGAGGGAGAAGAAAACCGAGCCGAATGTTGTTCCTCTACCTCCCTTAAAGAACATGCTACCCCCCGAATCGAAGCCCTTTTCGACGAAGGAGAAGGGAAAGACCAAAGCGGAGCTTATCGTACCTGGAAAGCTGAAGCCAGAGAAAGAAAACCGCGACAAGGTCTTCCGAAAACCATCTCCTTCGTTGCCTCCTGCTCCTCAACCAAAGCTGAAGGTTAGCAGCTTAGCTACAAGCAAGCCTGCACCAAAACTGCCTTCCGGAAAGGGTGGTGCGAGGAGGGTATTAATTGGAAGTGCCGAAGCCGCTCCCTTGCCTGGATGGCGAGGATGAGAGAGCGGGTGACTGATAGTCTTTTGTGGTTGACTTGCATGCTCCTACACACGTCCGTGATTTTTTTCCTTCCATATCATTATGATACACCTACGGTTTTCATTGTAAACATTAACACTTGCAGCTACAACAACGTTTCATAAGAGGAAGTATCAAGACAGAAACCTACTGCCAGAGTCAAAGGAATGCCTTACAGCGAGGGATGATGAAGTTCTTCTCCCTGAGGGGCCGTCACTGATTGAACCATCAGGCGGCCGGCCGATCACAAGGTGTTATCTCCTCCGGATTGATATCAACATGCTCAATAGGCGGCCGGGCCCGATTGTCCTTGTGACATTCGTATCGTTATTCAGAACTTTGTCGAATGATAGAGTATAAGCAAGAAATAAAGCCGAGGCTTCGGATCCTAAAAACTTGTCTTGACTCGGTACCAGTGGAATTTAAACGGCAGCCTCAGACCGGCGGAAGTCATGGCACCCGCGGCGACCAAACACCGATGAGTATTTTCCCTCCAAGAGGTAGTCGGCTGAACTTCTCCAAGCGCAGTCTCCACGTGTCTGCACCGAGTTATGAACGTTCTAGATATCATATAATCGAGGTCTGCAGCTTTGGCAAATAATATACTGAAGCACGCGACGGGAGTGGGGTGATTTCCACTGAATCGATTTTATGGAATTGTTCTCATTGATTGATTCTACGTATGTAAAATCATTACAACCTACACCATAACGAGCATGCACTATCTAGATAATCTAAAGTCACCTACAGTAACCAAACGGGTATAATCATGTGTCGATATTTTCCTACCCCATTGTCTTACCTTTGCTCGACAACTAAACGGATCTGCAAGTTGCGCTGAATCGTTGGACAGTTTAATTGAAGCAGGTACGATGAAACGATCAACTATGTATATGAGACCTTGTCTGAGCATGAAATCGACAAAGGTTGACAGATCCTTGGATCTCAATTGAAAGATCGAGTTATTAGGGCCCATCATGATAAACGTAGTGTGCATTTTAATGAACGAATCGTCATCAACAACCGTTGGGCTGCAACGACAAGTATTGCGCGTTTTTGCAGTCTGCTTTACACACATGTGCATTTGGTAACCTTCCTTGAGAAATCGCTGCGGAGGCCGTAGCTCTGGTAGGCTAGTGAGTCACGACAATACCGTGACGGTACAGAGCCATGGTCCACTGGAGATAATCAATATCGACCTGAAGAACTTCAATGATTCGTCCTAGATCGGACACCGTCCACCTGTCCTATTGATACTTGCGATCATCTGCATTGAATAAAGTTGGCATGAGTACCGTAAATTAAGACCTTTGCCAGTTCACAAATTTGACATTCGAAATCCCAGCAGTAACATTAGTACACATCATCGTGACCACTGCTGGACCAGCACCCACGATAAACCCATTAACATGGTTTCTATATTTTAGGAGGCCAATGACAAACAGGAGCATCTTGAGAGCCTCGGACACGTTTGCCAGACAGATGAACAATTATTCAATCAAAGTAGACCCAGAGGCAAGCACGACTCACCGGGCGGCCCGGGACTCCGAAGCGCAGCTGTACCGAGATCACGTAGTGGCCGGCGGCATACGGACCTACAATGTGCACAATATCACGGTCAATCCTTGGCCCCGTAATGACATCCGAGTCCAGCAATCCGTAAGTTCTGATGGCGGTTAAAACAAACGTTATGTAAATGTCGTACCATGATATCGTAGTAGTGGTCAGCCAATGAGAATTCGTTTCTCGTTATCAGATGGCGGAGAGTAAGTTGTTTTACATACAGCATCTCTGCCCCTTACGGAAGCCCAGGCCCATGACCAACTATATCCAGTCATTATAATTGACAAGCTTGTAGTACATGATGCATGATGAGCCATTGAACCAACCTCACACTCGTACATGCTTTTGGTGTCTATTGGTGATATACTACAGAGATACCTATGAAACAAGATGAATCGTCATATGAAACGCGATGCTGTACGGTAGCGCATTACTCCCCCGGGTTCAAGTTTTTCCTATCAGGAAGGAACCGAAGTACTTATCCATGCTCTCTAGTGCAGTGGATGGTGCGATCATACCGACATAACCGTCAGGCCGAACAACTACCATCGTTATCTCCTTTTCATCGATACCGAATCTCGAATACGCGCCTCCACCCAAGCGGCCTGTCACATCCGTGTCGTCGATCAAGACCCTGCGTGATCATACGTCGGTATTGCGGGACAGTAGGAAGTACGACAACTCACTTAGACCAGTGTGACCTGAACACCGGAGGAAGGTCGAGGAAATTCACATCATCCTTGTGACCAGCAGCTATCGGAATAATGTCGAACACAGACTGTGTCTTGCCCTGGTCAGAGTAGCCGTACTTCTGCAGGAAACTTGTGGGGAGTTGCAACTCCTCAGCGAGCCTTCGAACATTCGCGAGCTGCTCGGACGTCAAAAGACCAACGAAAAGAAGAAGCTTGAAGCGAGTGTCCGCGGGAAGCATGTCTTGAATATCAACAGGACGAGCGTCCGCTGCACGGACAAATATTTGCGGCAGCATCCGCTCGCCAATGATGATCTCTGGCGCGCAACTTTGATGAATAGTATCGACAATTGCTGAAGGCGAGTAATGGACACCGATACCGCTGCTGAAGCCACCGGAAGCCTGGAAAGCCCTGAGAAGCGTAATTCAGACACCGTTGTAAAACGCCATTGAGACAACTCAACCTCAAGAATTGTTCATGGGTAACACCCTCTTGGTTCTCCGACGTCCTGGGTTTGCCAGAAAATAGAGCGGAGAACTCGCGATCGAAATCAATGAGAGCTTGAGCATATTTCCGGCGCTCGAACTCGTACTGAGAGGTGATAAGTCCTTGACATGAACAAGTGACACGCGAACATACAGTTTTCAAAAGGGAAATATCCGCCCTACCCCGCAGGACTTGTGCCAGCTTCCACGCTGTTTGCAAAGACTCTGAGAAATACACTGCCTGAAATAGGAAAACCCGTACCAAGGTTATGGGTGTCGTTCATGCTCGCATTCATACCCTGCCCTGCAACGCAATCAGACTCGTATATCTTCTTGGACCATCTCGTTGCTCACCTGCTTTCGGAGAGTGCGTATGACAAGCGTCACCAGCGATGAAGACACGCTCGTGTTTAGAGAAATTAGAGGCTACACGTTGACCAACTGGAGTGACAACCGTTTAACTTTGCAATCTCAATGATAGGAGTGTAGCACCCTTACTGATGTAGATTGAACACCAGTCCACTTCTTTTGGTTGGTTGACTACATACGGGTGGAATGTTTTGCGAGCAGTCTGTTCAGAAAGGTATTAGTAGTCTTTTGAGGCGATCAAATCGGTGCATACGTTGATGAGGTTCTCAGCGGTCACCTTGCGCTTGTCGATTCGTCCTGTCTCAGGATCCATGACATCTTTGTCCGCCATTTGCAGGTAGAACCGGACTTTGTCTCCTTCGCGGGGTATGATCATACATGAGCCATTGAGGGAGTGGATTGCGGCACGATTGCGGATGTCTGGGAAGTCAGTATCAGGAACGAAGTCGATCACACCCCATATGTATTCTGAAATAAACACCACACATTAGAATATCACGTGTTAGATTGGCTACCAAAATTGACCTGTTTGTTCTCCATCCATCGAAAAACCCAGGTTTTTCCGAACCCACGAATGTGCACCTGAGTAACAGGTACCATCAGTTCTACAGGAGCGTTCGAGGTGTTGCATGTCTCACCGTCTGCACCGAGGACGAACTTCGCGTGAACGATTTCCTGTTCTGGAGTAGCGTCCGAGTCCGAAGAGGGTATGTGGTCCAATACCACCTGTGCTAATGTGTCAAAAGTAGCGTCTTGTTGGGATTAGAATTTTGAGCACCTTTACAGGGTATGCGGATGGGTCCAGAAGCTCCTCAGGATCCTCTGAAATTTCTAGGGAAGAAGGTGCCATCGGACGATCAACTGATACTCCTTGGGACTTCATGGACTCGATGAACAGTGATTCAATTGACCCTTGATCGATCGTGATCTACCCGACAATAAGAATCAGATATGAACGAGCCGAATGATAAAACATACCTTGAAGGGATAGCGGGCCGATGGAGCTGTCACGTCTGGAGCTCGGCCAGTGCGCTGCGAGCATTGTTTGAACGAATAGCGACAGAGCGGTCAAAAAAAACATACTTCGATGCCGCCATCAGGGCCAGGGTTGTAAAAGGCCTGCACAAACATTACTACCCAGAATCTGAATCAACTGGAAGTCTGAGACTTACACACAAATACATCTGAGCGCCGTCCTTCAATAAAGAATCTGCCAAACCATAACTCTGGAGGAATTGGATATCACTCTTCTTCTATTGCAAACGTTGGGACATACTTGAAGAACTTCGATCGTCCTAGGCTGTATGCCATCGGCTTGCCCAGCGGCCACACCAACCGGCCTGCGTCGACGTGAGCCATCCATCTTCACCCAAGACTCCAAACAACATACCTGTTGTCTATGATCCTAAAGTCCACTCCAGCGCCCGCTAGTGCATTGGCACACATGAGCCCAGATGGACCTGCACCGATGATGAGCACATCAACTCGACTTTCCTTGACCATGACGATAGGGATAGTATAGGAATGATATATCGGTACTTTGGGATAAGGGCTTATATATACTATCACGCGTTTACGCCACTGTTCTGTTAACAAGGACCCGCCCGAACAGAGTTGATAATTATTCGCTTCGCACTCATTCGAAAGCTGTCAGGCTGTGAGATCTGTTGTATGCTTGTACGGTATTCGACACTTATAAATGGTACGATAACAAATACTTAGATCCGAGCAAGATGGATGGCCTGAGGGTTAGAAAAGTTCTAGCCATGATACATAATTAATATCCCCAGACAGATTTATGAATCTATTCTTTGAAGTGAATATGTCCCCGCGGACTCTTATTTCACAAGTCTTGTCAAAATAAACCTCGTCCCTCGAGGTTGAGGATGTGTTTTGAGACTGCAAGTGTTAAGTACAAGTCCCGTTTAGGACAGGTTTAGCAGTTTGGGTCCCAAACGACAGGTGCACGGCCATGTACGCACATTCCCAGGCTCTTTCCCACCTTATGTCTCGACATCGCCGCGACTCATCTGAAAATGGTCAGAAAGTCTCGGAATCCGAATTTCCGGCAGTCTCCGTCCGGCTGTCCGGGGTCTGTTCAGTTTCACTATGATACAATCAGCTCGTTTTTATGTCTTGTTACACTCTCAAACACATTCAACTAGCACAGTCATTACTGAATGTCAAGTTGACATTCAGTAATGACTGTGCTAGTGATATCCCAACCTGGATCGTAGCTTTTGCACAGCTGCAAATGGCTTGGGCTTTCACTCGCCATCATCCCCTATCAACACTACCACATGCTTGCATCATCATGCCACACCAGGGTCTGCCGCGTTGCTAACCCCCCTCATTCATGTCCTCAACACATGCACTCCTGTGTCAGCGTTTGACCATCAAGCCCTAGGATGACACGGAAAACGCTCAAGCTCGTCTGGAATGAATGTCCAGATTCCAAACTATTACATGTAGTCTTGTTAATATAGTATATTAGTGCCCCTCCACATATGAATTAATGTTTATATAACAGTTGGGTGAACTGGACAGATCCTCTGAGATGGACCCTGAAATTCTAATTCCCAGATGCCCTCTACAGGGTATGTCCGCCGAGCCTGTGGAAACTTTGCAAGGGGTCAACTTCCCAGAAAAAGGTGCTTCCCTGGCGATCACCTTCTTTGGAAAAACAATCTGAGGAGGATTCAGGCCCCTGAATATAGGTGGGCATGCGATTTTCTAGCATTTGAGGATGAAGATCGCAAGATTTCTTCTCTACATAGCCCTATAGAGTTTTGCCAGTTCTGCGATATCGTCCCTCGACACTCGAAACAGAGGCTGGGAAGTCTAAAAAGCCCGCTTCACTCTATGACCGTCGGATGCTTAAACTTAAGTTTAAACACCCGCAGCAATATTTGCATGATTGAGGTGACATGTGTAGATTTCAAACCAAAAGTATGTTTCCAATGCGTCCGATGGTGGCTCTATAGTAGTACAGCAAGATGGTAGTACAGCAAGACCTTTGATGTGTGAAGAATGAATATGGTGTTATCATGAAGCAATATATAAAACAAATTTGTCGTGAAAACTAAGCGGAAATCTTCATGAAAGAGGCGAAATACGCGTCGAGCTCTTCGACGTGATCCAGGGGCGCGATGGCTCCAACATAGCCATCAGGGCGAACAGCAACCACTGCGCCCTCAGGACCTATACCATAATACGAGTAACCTGTCCCCCCAAAGCTACCGGACATATCGATGTCATCGACAAACACCCTAACAACACCTCAATCAATGACATCACATGACACAAATTAAGCACTCACTTCGACCAATGAGAGCGAAGAAGTGTTGGGAACTGCAAGAAATCAAATCCATCCTTCCGGCCTTTGCTGATTGTGATGATGTCAAACCGTGAGTTTTCAGAGCTCTTGCCAGGTGTTGTGTAACGGTTTAGGAAGCTCTCGGGTGTCTGCAAGTTAGCAACCATTGACTTGACACTCGCTTGTTGACGTGGGTCACTGTAGTCACCAGTAAAGACGAGCAGTTTGAAGCGGAAGTCCGAGGGAAGAAGGTCCTGGATCTCAAAGGGCCATGCGTCTGCTGCGCGGATGAATTTGTATGGTGGGAAACGTTCGCCAATCACTAGACCACTAGCCAGCTCTTGATTTCTGTCAAGTACTGCAACCGATGGGTCATAATGTACCCCAATGCCACTGGTGAAGCCTCCGAACTTTTGGAATGTCCTACAACCCCGCGGCATTAGTAACAAGGCAACACTGTTGGCAAAATAATCTCACTTCATGAAATGTTCTGGGGCAACCCCATCGCTGTTCTCCTCGGTCAAAGGCTTCCCAGAAAAAAGCGTGGAAAACATTTTATCAAATGCGATCAGGTCCAATGCGTATTTACGGCGCTCTGATTCGTACTAATGGCGATATGTGAGCAAGTGGTCAAATGGGTGCAAAAGAGCTTACTGTTGACAAAAGGGACGAATCTGCCCAACCACGAACCACTAGGGCAATTTTCCAAGCTGAAAAGGCTCATTGGCTTCAACTGACGCTGCGGGAAAAAGAATACGTACCTAGATTGTGGGCATCGTTCATACTTGCATTCATTCCTTGCCCTGAGAATTCCATTGTAAGCAGACTGATGGGGAAGCGCCAGATTTAAAACACTTGCCTGCTTTGGGAGAGTGTGTGTGGCAAGCATCGCCGGCGATAAGTACTCGATTTTCGACAGAAAATCTTGAGGCCACTCGTTGCCCGACTTGAGCGAATGTCAAAACAAACATTTCATAGCAAGCGGGTCAGATGCATACTGATATATAGTGTCCACCACAAAATCCCAGTCGTCGGGTTAAGACTGTAAGGGTAAAGCGATCTTCGTGCAACCTGAGGGGGATATTAACGACCGCTGATCCATTAAACGGATATCGCTTACTCTGAGCAGCTCCTCTGGACCTATTCTCTCCTTATCTACTCTACCTGTCGCTGGATCGATGACATCTTTGTCCTCCAGTTGCATATATATGCGAAGACGATCTTGTTCTCGAGGTACGAGAAGAGCTGAGCCATGGTTGGAATGCACAAGGCTCTTATTCCTAACATCCGGGAAGTTGGTGTCAGGCACCATGTCCAAGACACCCCAGATGAATTCTATCAATCGAGATTGAGCTTGCTGAGAACTTTGACTGATATAGATACTCACCAGATTGTTCTCCCTCCATCGCAATATCTAATTGTTTGCGGACCCATGAGTGAGCGCCTATAGGGGAAAATGATTAAGTTGGCCAGATGGATATATTCGGAACACACCATCAGCCCCAACAACAAATTTAGCATGTACAATCTCTTCTTGTGGTTGACCCTCAGGAACGTCTAGTCTTTGGAGCGCAACGCGGACAGGATGCGATGCAGGATCTGCCAGCTCATTTTCATCCTTGGAGATATATAGCGAAGTTGGTATCGTTGACCGCTCCACCTCAACGCCGAGCGCGCTCATGGAATCTAGGAAAATGGCTTCAATACCTCCTTGATGAAGTGCAACCTTCATTTCGATCAGCTTCTATAATTTGTCTATTTGAATAATGAGCACACCTCGAATGGGTATCTTGCAGATGGAGCTGTCACATCTGGTGCTCGGCTGGTAAGCTGATGGCCGACATTTATCAAATATTCCTCGTCAATCACGAAAAGTTACGAACCTCGATACCTCCGGACGCGGAAGGGTTATAGAAGGCCTGAGAGATAATGAGTTATATACTCGGTGAGCCCCTGTTGAAGGACATACTGCTTGATGGACTTGAGCAGACTCCTTTAGAAGGCGCTCTCCAATGCCATAGCTCTGTTATGGAGCCTTAGTCAGTCGGCATTGAGTAAAGAAGTATTTTCACCTGGAAAACTTCAATGGTACGAGGTGAAATCCCATCAGCCTGACCAGCGGCAATTTTAGCAGCCCTGACGGAAAATCAAGTAAGCAGGAATGCTAGCCACCAACCAACATACCTTTTATCAACGATCCGAACATTTACTCTCGCATTTGCCAGAGCGTTCGCACACATGAGCCCAGCGGGGCCAGCCCCAATAATGAGGACATCGACTTCAGAGTATGGTACCACGGAGACAGGCATTGCAAATAACTTGACAATGGAGGAAAATGCAGAGCGTCTTTATACAGGGGATACAGGTGCGAGAATCCCTATCCTTAAGAGAGCATTCTTAAGAAGCAGGGCGCTGGCACGTGGACCTCACGGGGGAGTAAGCGATGTAGCACCAATGGAAGTGCTAAATCAGCTACTGGCTCCAATCAAGACTAGACCTGCACTCACCAGAGCCATACCAAAGGCCCGGAAATTATGCGATCCGTATCCACAATGCCCAGAGAGTTCGTGAGAGCAGATGACTGCAAATGGCGGATATAAATATAACCTATCTCACAGTAGCGGTGGGCATGGGTCAACCCCCATCTACGGAATCTCCGGATAAGAGTATGTGGCGGGCGATTTCGGCCTCCTGCAAATGACAATATACCCGTTACCCGGAAACATTTAGGATGAATCAATCGAGGATTCCTTAAACGTGCAGTCGTTCACGATGGATTGGACGAGTACTTGAAAGGGAAGCCGACGCCCCGCGCTGTGATGTGGTTGATTGTTGAATTTCCACTAGCGACGAGCAAAGGAGCTAGTCGAGCTGGCAAAAAATCTTCAACTGAGTTTTTGGTGAGGCCTCGCCCCTTCGGGTGTTCACGACCAAGTCTTCATCGACATAGTAGCCAATCACCGGTCCGGCCGACCTTGCCACAGGTCATGGACAAACAGAGAAATTCCAATGGAAGATAACGAGACCTGGCTCGAGTGAAACTGTGAGAAACACTGGCATGCATGCATAGACGTTTATGATCACATGCAGAAGGTTAAATCTAAAATGCATATGGTGTGAGCTGAGCCGCATTCAATATGGGTACCACAATCCAAGTGATAAAATAAAGGATGTATCTTTTTTCGCATATCAACGCTCTTCCACTGCGCAATCCCCTTCGACGTGTTTCCACTAGAACCTGCAATAAACTTGCCAGGGCCCCGAGCACTACCACAAGGACTAGCTGCGGTTGCCAGCAGCCGCGTCAGAAGAGTTATACAAAGGTCTCTGAGAACGGGCTACCTAGATAAGTCCGTGTCGGTCTTGTGTGGAAATCAGCTTGAAAATTTATCCGCAATCCGCGCTAGGTTCGATATAATTCAGCGAAAGGAACGGTAAGCATTGTTGGTTCTCGACTCTCGAGCACAGTAGAAGAGCTCAAGACGCACTAGGAGTGCATGTGCGGTGCTTGCCACAAAAACCTTCGTCGTATGACACTGAGTGTCAAGTGAATATTGATTAATCTGATTGTTGCCTTGCGGAGGTCATGTTGAATGGGAGATAATCTGTCAGTCACCTGATATGAACATCATGTGTAATCACGTGAGATAAAAGAACATCGTAGATCTAGCAATTGCAGAAATCCAAAGCACCAGCCAATTGCCTGTATATTGGAGCAAAGTTACAAGTTCGCAACGCCAACCCCTAGTTCTCGAACGTTGGCAGTGAATCTGACCAATATTTGTCGACTACAGTGACGTCACTCTCTGGTGATGACTAAGCCGCCTAAACCCTCGACTGCTCGTGATTCGATAGCAATAACTATTTTACCTTAAAGGCCCCACGATACGCTGCATCATGCCCATGGAAGAAATGCTTCCCTGATTGGACTTTGTGTGTTCTAATATTCCTTATTTCATCATCATTAGGCGGCCAGACCCGAGCGACTCGGAGCGAGGCGCTGACTTCAAATTTGAATTTGCATAGACCTATCATCCTGCGAACAAAATATCACCCATATTATTCTTAATCACAGGCAGGCGTCATCCAGACGATCCTTTTGTGCGTGGCAGCGGCGTACAGCACATTTGGTGAGAGATCGGACCTGACATGAGATCCTTCCGTGAGACCAGTAATCCTGACTTGGATAGCACAACGAATGTCAACATAACAAAGTGAACAACAGCTGAGATTAGTACAACAGGAAAGTATAGAACAAGTACTTTAATACACACTACTGATGGAGCAATGGAGCTTATCGTGTGTCACATATTTGTCCGGAAGCGCCCGCAGCGCGCATGAATATATCGGACAGTAGGAAAAACTAGACTTAGCAAGACAATTCATGAGTCACATGAACCGGGTGAACGCGTAAGTACTTACATCGAAGTCGAACAAATGACAAAGCTACACTTCTCCATAGAGAACACATTGGGAATATTCATCCTTATCGACTCCTTCTCCGGTCAAGAGAATATGCCGAACCTGATCACAATGCAAGTGTGTATGTTGAAGTGTGATTGTGTACATGCACATACCTCATCAGGTGGGTTGAGGCCAAGCGAAGCAGCTCTCTCCCAGCGCTCAAGACGTGACATGCCAACACACGGGCCGTACTCGTAGGACCTAACAAAAACTCAAATAAGATCAAGCTTCTTAGGAGCGTCCGAAATTTACATACATGTCAAATAAGCGAAGTATCTGATGGATTTTATTCTGCCCTTCGGCATGAACTAAATATATTGCATCACTTAGACCTCGTGGACGATAGAGAGGCGCATATAGCTGACTCACTCGGTTCAAGGTAGCCCATCTTTTCTCGCACTTGCCCATAGTGTTTGCGGTAGATCTTGCCTGACACATCTAATGTCGGCCGTGGCTCCACAGGTTTAGCAGCAGGAGGGTCATCCTTTAGCCTCTTGGCAGAACTAGATATCGATGCTTTCGTGGCGTTAGGAGTTCCACTCCGCTTCACAGAAGCTGGTGAGTACTCCTCTTCTGAGGATATCTCAAGCACAACATTACTGTCCTCTTCGTTGTTTATCTCCAAGTCTACTGCATCTTCAGCTGTATGTTTTTCAATCCAAGAGGATGACCGTTGTGCCAGGGGAGGCCCCTTCGTCTTAGTAGTGGTGTGTGAGTTTGTGCGTTTGGTAGTAAACGCCAAGGTGCCTTGTTTAAGGGCCGGAGCACCACTTTTTCGTGAGCCTGACTTCTTTGTGGAGGACATTGTGGACTTGGTTCGAATTTAAGAATTGTTGACAGGGGGCCGTAATTGAGTTCTCACATTCAAGCGTACTTTTGATGTCAACTACTCATAGGGATTGAGTGCGTTCATTTCACAACGGCCGACTAGCTCAGTTGGTTAGAGCGTCGTGCTAATAACGCGAAGGTCTTGGGTTCGATCCCCACGTTGGCCATAATTTTTGCCCTGCCACAACACCAAATCCAAATGCTAGCATAGTAAGTTACAACATTCCTGAAACTCGGAAATTCCAGTCTGAATTCACCGTGTGTGCATGCCACAGCTGTGATAGCGTCCCCAGTAAGCCTGACCGGGAGTTGGCCATGATAAAGAAGAAACAAATGTTTTGCTTCTGTCTGGTCTGTCTACTACAGTCTGCTCACTGACACTAAGTACTCTCAATCAAAGCAGCTTCGCAAGATTTTTGCCCAAAAACCTGATGCGGCAAGCTGATCCCCGCGCTCTGCTGCGATATATATACCGCATATATATCCCACCAAAATTCAACACAAACACAAAAAATTCTCATATGGCTGAACCGCTCAATGAAACTCATGCTGCCCCCCCGAATGAAAATGAAAGCTGGCCCCTTGCCCTCCGCCAAACCCTCCGCCTCCGCCTCCACCAAACCCTCCACCTCCACCTCCACCAAACGGTCCCCCACCAAATCCGCCATGAAACTGACTAAATATCTCAGCCAAATCAGCCGTATTAAACGCTCCAGCGCCGCCCATCCCACCCTCTGTCTGTCCATCCTCGTCTTCGCCCATGTCATAGCGTTCGCGGCGTTGGGGATCACTGAGGACCGCGTGCGCTTCCACTACTAGTTTAAATTTCTCTTCGTCACCTCCTTTGTCTGGGTGGTGTTTGAGGCTTTCGCGTCTGTAGGCTTTCTTGATTTCGACTTCGGTGCAGTCTTTCGCGACGCCTGACAGGTGCGCGGTCATAATCGATCATGACACCCACTTCGAGCACAAAGAGAAGGACGTACCGAGGATATTATAATAATCCTTTGTCTTACTCCTCTTAAGTGCAGCCTCTGCTTTCTTAAGCTCGCTCCTCAGCGCCCTAACATCTGCCTCTACACCCTCGAACTCTGCTTGTTCCATCGACGCTCTGAAATCAGCGATTGCAGCATCGTATTTCTCGAGATGGAGGTTGATGCGTGCGCGTGTGCGGAGGGCTTTGAAGGAGGTGGGGTAGAGTGCGAGTGATGCTTCTGTGTCTAGGAGTGCTTCTTCGTATTTGTCAAGCTGCGAATGATGTGAGAATCTGAGTGAGGCGGCGGAGGGGATGTACCTTTACGAGCGTCGTAGCGCGATTTGAAAGAAGGGTAGCGCGGATTTGACCGCCTTTGCCTTCTTCTTGGATTTCGCCTATTCGCTGAAATGAAGGATTAGTATGGGTATGAGTGTGAGTGGTTGGAGTGAGGAGGGACGTACGTCGAGCGCTTCTGTGTATCGCTCGATTGCATCTTGGAGTCTGCTACCTTTGAAGGCGGTGTTTCCCTCTTCCTTGAGGCGCTCTACGTCTTTTACGCGCTTGCGCAGGCGGTGCGTGGGCTCGTGTCCAGGATCGAGGCGAAGCGCCGAAGCCACGTGTTGTAGTGCTTGGGGTAGTTTACCGCTGAGGAAGAGCACGAGACCACGGAGTGCGAGTACTTCAGGTGAGTTTGGTTCTAATCGAAGAGCATCGCTGGAAGTTTGTCAATCAGAGATCGGCAGTAATAGGGTCAGACTCACTTTGCAGCAATGTTGGCAGCATCCCAGTTCCCTCTAGAGAGCTCGAGTTCGACTCTCCATAGCCGCCACTGAATTGGTATCTCGCCACCTTCGGCTTCGATGCTTTGTAGACATTTATCTAATGCGAGACGTGCCATGCCCCATTCCTTGCGTGTGCGGGAAGACTCAAAGTTACGCAAATGAACTTCTAGTTCGAGTACTTTGTCTCTCAGTTGTGCAGCGGCTACATTTGTAGGTTCGAGATTGAGGACAGTGCGTAGTGTTGATAATGCAGGCTCTGATAAACCAAGTGCAAATTGACAACGTGCAAGACGGATGAGAGTCTTTGATGAGGGTTCTGAGGATTGGAGTGTAGCTGCTTGTTGACAATCTGATAGTGCAGGGCGGAAGCGCTTCAAAGCCATGTAAGAGGCTGCGCGATTAGTAAGATACGATGGTTCCGTTGATTTGATATCTGGAAGGATGTTTCTATCAGTAGGGAAGGTGAGGTATGCTGTGTTTTTGGATTATACCGATGGCTTTGGTATAGAGTTCGATAGCTTCCGTGTATTGTTTTGCTTTGAAGGCCACATTACCTTGCTCTTTTACGTCATCTGCAGAAGGGCCCTTAGGAACGGGGGGTGAGGGAGAACGCTGGGCAGAAGGAGGTGGATTTTTGCTGTTGGAGGAGGTCAATTGCAAGTGAATGAATTGAGTTGAATCATACTTTACGCCATTTGCAGCAGCCTGAGCCTGCTTTTTCTTTGCCTGAGTCTTCTTTTTGGTCATTAGAGCAGTTGAATGAATCCCCTAAGGTAATTGCAATGAAAATTGAGGATCTTGATTCTTGAGCCTTGAGGTCGAGAGTAAGTCACGTGGTTACAATACAGTCACATGATCACATTTGTCACATGATCATCATGATGTCTAAAAATGGGCGCCTCCTGGCTTTGAGTCTTGACCCTCACGCACCTGCAATAATATGTCTGACTTCATGCCAATCGTATCGCCACCAACACCAGCTCCTTCTCCTCGTCCTTCCCCCTTTCATTACTCAACATTTCAACCCAAATACAATCCTTTAATCCCATCCGAATTCTCAACTCTAGGTCCCGCCTCACGCAAACAATATCTTATCTCAATCCTCCATGAATGTTCCCCAGCAGAACTCCGTTTCATCTCACAAACAATAACCCCCATGCTAAAGCGTGATGTGCTAACAGAACTACCAGCAGAACTCGCCCTCCACATCCTAGCTTACGTCGATGACCCGTGCACTCTCGCTCGCGCAAGTCAAGTCTGCAAACGCTGGCACGACCTCGTCGCAGATGACTGGCTTTGGAAAGTCTTATGCGATACATACAGCTTCAGAGCGGATACAGAAGACAAATCTGGTACTAATCTACTTGAAGACGACGAATCTTGGGACGAGACGGATAAATTCACTTCGAATTCAATAGACCCGTGGCTCGCAGCACGAGATCGACTCAAACGGCAAGAACTTACTTCCGTATCCCACTGGGGTCCATATTCCTCGGATGAACTTTTACATGCTAGAACCCAGTTTTCTCATCAAGAATATTTCAGGCGCGCTTATGGCACAAGTACGTCGCTTCTCACCACCCATATCGTCACTAATTAATTATCTAGTGCTTAATCTGAGGAAGGGCGGTAATATCCTCCGCGCTCACCGCATGCCAATCCCAACACCAGACAGTGGTGTAGTTACATCCGTAGCCCTCGACACAGAATGGGTAGTCGTTGGCCTAGCAAACTCAAAGATCCATCTATTCAGCGCAATCACAGGCGTACTCAGCCGAACGCTTATGGGTCACGAACTAGGCGTATGGGCAGTTCATCTCATCTGCCGCGGCGGCTATTGGGGTCGCGGAGAGATGGATGAAGACGGATTCCCAGACGACGCAGACGATCCAGTCGTACCCGCAGCCCTAAAAACCGCACTCGGCATCGACAGGCGCAGGCGGATGCAATACCCAGCGAGCGTTGGAGACGACTCTTCTAAGCCGAGCGATATATGCTGTACAAGTGAAGGATGGGGCCAGCCAAATTCTATCATCGTCAGTGCTAGTTGCGACAAGACGCTTCGCGTTTGGGACGCCAGATCTGGGTATGTTCCTGGGTTCGTTCTGGTTCTGGTTCTGGGCTTACGGGCGCTTAGACATTGTATTTACGTCCTTCGTGGTCACACTGCCACTGTCAGATGTGCCCGAGTTCTGCACAACCGCCCGATCGCAGTAACAGGTTCTCGAGACTCTACTCTCCGTGTATGGAACATCCAAAAGGGAGTCATGCTCCGTGTACTTCACGGGCATACCGCGAGCGTAAGATGTCTCGACGTATGTGGCAATAAAGTTGTCAGTGGTAGTTACGACACCACATGTCGAGTCAGTGTTATTTTAAAATCCAAAGCGAGGATTTATTTTGACGATTTGCAGATATGGGACGTCGATACAGGTGAATGCATACGAGTCCTCCGAGGTCACAGCCATCAAATCTACTCCATCGCAATCGACGGCAACTTTGTCGCTTCAGGGGGCATGGACACCATCGTCAGAATATGGGACGCAACCACAGGGTATGTCCCATCCCTTTCTCACCCCGTCTTCTCACACTCATTCATTCATGACAGAAACTGCATCGCCCAACTCACAGGTCACACCGCCCTAGTCTGCCAACTCCAACTCAGCACCAGCACCAGCCTCCTCGCCACAGGCGGCTCCGACGGCCGAGTCATCACCTTCTCCCTCCGCTCTTTCACCGCCCTTCAACGTCTCGCCGCACACGACAGCAGCGTCACCTCTCTCCAATTCGACGCCAACTTCCTCATCACGGGCGGAAATGACGGCCGCGTGCGGGTATTTGAGACGCAGACTGGGACGTGGGTGCGGGATCTGAGTGAGCGGTCCGAGAGCGTGTGGAAAGTGCTTTATAAGAAGGGGGTGTGTGCGATTATGTGTAAGAGGGCGGGGAAGACCGTTATGGAGATTTGGACTTTTAAGCCTAAGGAACGATGAAATGAGACGATTTATTTATTGTTTGCACCGATGTAAGAGTCAGTGTAAGTGTGATTGTACGGAGTACTATAATTTGGATTAATTGAATTTTGGATCTGGTGAGCAAAAAGTATGGCCAACGTGGGGATCGAACCCAAGACCTTCGCGTTATTAGCACGACGCTCTAACCAACTGAGCTAGTCGGCCGATGAGATCTTATCCATCACAACGAATTTCAGTCAGCCACCAGGATTTCCCCAACGGTCGAAGACCCTATGTTGAACATAGCTTTATCCACGGGGGGCTTACTCCCGTCTATCATAAAATGTATGTAGTCTTTGCGTGCGATGAATGGAAAACGCGTACTTCGTCAGCATGATATCGGGCAAAGGCTGATGCTGATTTAATACAGGGTGAATGACGTGGTGTGATGATATGATTAGTCGGTAATGTCTTGACATTAACGCGTCCTTGGTCTTAAGTGATTCCTAAGTCCAATTAATCTATCTCCTCTGTGAGCAAAGTTGCCATCAAACATCCTCACATATTACTGGAAGCACAACTGTCTGTCGGAAAATAAACATAATTGCGATGTTCAAGTCACGTCCGAGCAACATCATCTTTTTCCGCATATAAAGTCGGACCTAAAACAGTCAGCCGGATATCCTAACAATCAATCACATCGAGACGCACGGTCCAGTTTCTGCCTCCGACGTTGGGCCCTGGACAGGCACATATGATGGCGTCCCACAAACGATCCCGATCCATGAGCTGCTAACCACTGAGAGTTCGCGAAGCGGTAGTAGTTCATTTTGTACATCAGACTGTCACGTCTCGCCGGGCTTGCTTCGCTGTCTACGCGGTACTCGCTGCGGTTGAAGCAATTTGACACTTGGATCTCATCGGGCCAGATGCGTACTGTCCAGAAGAACTTGTTGCATTGTCGATGCTCGATAAGCCCACCGAAAACGATGAGCACATAGCTGACATCGTGTGTGCATGATGGGGTAGGACGACACCGTGACTTCACCCACTACTGCCGCAGTGTGTGCTATTGCATGAGTCAGCGTCAATTAGGGTTGTCGCGGTTATGTCATGGGAATAACTCATTGTTATTCCGGGTGTTGTTATCCACCAACGTCAGACAATCTGCCATTCCTGCGATCTGGAGTGAGCAGTTGAGGACTCACTCTCACCGTCATGATGACAATCAGCGAGGTTTTGGAGGTTTTGAATCAGGTCCATGTATTCAAGCAGATTCAACAACGGCTACACTTCCGGTATTTACATGAGGTCGCTCAGCGCTGCCATTTCGGCTCCCCCACTCTCCTTGATACCAATCTCCCAGTCTAAAACGCAAGACGTACATCAGTCAGTGCGAGCGTTCTTCGGGAAAGACGAAAGTACTTACAGCTGTAAATGATCGTAACAGCCATCAGAATACCCGTGCCACTTCCAATAGCGCCCATGAGATCAGCAGCAACAGAAAGTAAGCCCAGAATAGCGCCTCCGAATGCAGCAGCGGTAGGAATAACACGCTTGAGTTCCTTGTACATCGAACCTTCACGATGACCAGCCATGACCATCTGTTGGTCCTTGAGCTGTTTAGCGATCTCGCGTGGGCCACTGCCAGACACCTCTATCCAGGTTTTTGAGAAGAGTGCACAGGCAGAGACTACAAATGTGATATAGAGGACTGTGTGGATGGGGTCGAGGAAGGCTTCTTTGACGGTGTGGGGGGGGTGACATGTAATATGCGATACCAGCTACAGCGCGAAGCTGGGGAGAGTCTTCTAGAGGCTGTGATGTACTTTTAGTGCCTATTAAAACCATCGAGTTACAGATAACCAACCTCCCAGACGCCAAGAATCTTGACCAAGATGTTGGAGGGGAAGCGCGTTGCGAGCATTTGCGATACAATGAACACGTTTGATACAAGTGCGCTCTGGAGCATGATGGGCATGTTGCTAGTATAGAACAGCTTGACGGGGTAGCTGCCGCGCTGACCACGGAATCTGTTGCTCTTGACGGGGATCTCAATGCGGAAGCCTTGCATATAGATGACAGCGGCAAACACGACGACAGTCGCAAGAAGGTTCATGATGTTTGGGAGTCTGTCACGCCAGAACGCCTCGCGGAGAGCACGTCCCTTGTCATTCCACGTGAAGAGCAGGTGGAAGAGCGCGACGATGGCACCTTCAAACTCAGGGCCACGACCGGTGTTAACAGTTGTAGGTGAGAAGGCCTTCCAGATGATGGATTCGCAGATGTTGGTGGCGATGAAAAGGGAGATACCGGACCCGAGACCGTAACCTTTCTGGAGAAGCTCGTCGAGGAGGATGACGATGAGGGCGGCAGCGACAAGCTGAATGATGAGCAGAAGGCAAACACCAGCACCGAGATCACCTGGTTGTCCGTAAAGACCTGTCAAGACGTATACAGTAGCGTGGCCGAGTGAAATGATCAAAGCAAACACTGAAACAAGTATTCGTCAGTAAAGTTCGGAAAGCGGCCAAGTAATACGTACATTTTTGTGCACCGCTGAACAATGCCCGGTCTTCCTTCAAGCTGAAGTCGACCTCGATTAAATTTGCGCCAGCTAATAGTTGCATAATCATTCCGGACGTAACAATAGGGCTTATACCGAGCTCCATGAGGGTTCCACGGTTGGAAGCGAGGATGACACGCATCCAGTAAAGAGGATCAGACGAATCTGAAGACATGATACCATATAATGGTACTTGAGAGCAGACCAAGAAAATGAGGAGCGTGACGGCGGTCCATAGCAGCTTTTGGTTGAAAGGAACCTAAAAATGAAGGAAGTTGGTAAGCCTTGCGTGTTATAACCTACAAACACATATATAGCACATACTTTGCGATCAGGTGAAGAAACCTCTGGCAGGAGTGGAAGAAATGGTCGGACGAGATTCAGAAACCGGACTGTAAGCAGCTACAGTCAGTACTAGTCGACCAATAGACTCTCTGTTTGAGACTCACAGCCGCTCATCGTAGCTTGAAGTCCAAGAGCGGACGAGTGAAGAAGAAGAAATGAAAGGTGTTTGCTGATTTTGTAGGATTAATGCAAACCGAAACTCCTTACGTGGCACATGACAAACAGTCACAAATACTTGAAATGCTTCCTGTAGGCTGTGAACCAAATCATAATTTGATCCAAACAACAACCTCAACCTCTAGCTTGATGATTAGTCAGTCACAGGTCACCATTTGCCCTGCCATGCAGTTTCTGCTAGTCCCACAACTCTCATCGACTCCGAAGTTGCTTATAGCTGTATATATGAATGTGAGGTGTTCACTTTACCAAGGGCCCGAACAAATCATCTATCATAGCAATAACCATATCGTCATCACGTATTCATTTTAATTGGAGATATATTAGTTAGGTGCGCTGCTGCTGATGTCTAAGAAATACTAGTGTCAACTGTAGGGCAAGTGCCAATTTGACATAATACCAGCCGACTCATCACTTAATAAACACCGCCATTGACGATTCTCTTCACCAGTGCCGATATCAGCAACGATAAGATAGAGTGTATGTGAATGAGAGAACGGGGCTGAAATTGTGCGTAGAGGCCTTGAGGTCGTAGGCTATGAGACTCATGTTGAGGCCGGCCGGGTCACAGTTTGCAGATTAGCATTACTGACCAGTTGATTTGAACATCTTCAAAAATGTCGAGAGGCATGCTAGTATTCGTGGCATGTGGGATTCCTGGCGTACCCATTTTCTTCTGTTTCGAGCACGCAGGAACCATGATAAATGAATCGTTTAGGAGTAAGTCTGATCAGGAGGACCATGAGCTCGCTGGCAAGTGGAGTGTTCACGTCGGGTCGATTATGTGGAAGGCGCCTCGCGTCGTGATCATAGAAATTGTAACTGGAAAAAGAGGAGGAGGAGAGAATGTTAGTTAGTGCGGAGACCTCATTAGTACTTTGGCCACGCTCAAACACATCTCGCACTCGATCATCTTCTCTAAGACTTGCATTGTTGGGTACTCAATCCACTGAAATCAGCTACCACTATCATAAAGTTAAACTTCAAATATCTATTCCGATTCCACCACCGCCTGGAGACATGGAACAAACAGTGAATTGAAAATGTGAAAGATATATGTGAACACAATAAAGGAATCAGGGAGCTAAGGTATCTAGACCGAAGTACATTGTAAGATTATTTGTAACAAGGAAGGGAGACGCAGTGGAATGAAGTGCTTGAAATGGAGACTATCACAACGAAACAAATGCCAACTGGAGAACATCATAAGTCCGTAGAAAAAAGCGCCGGCTTGATCCAATCCACATTTGAAACGCGTGGTTTCTCACAGTAAGGTAGGCGAAACCAAACCGGTGCTGTGTAAATGTCCAATCCACGTTTTAAGTCTGGCAGCGAATCAGGCAGTTCTTCGCGTTCAAGCGCTACAATTCATTTTAAGCAGGATGTTCTCAGAAAAATGAGATTTAACCTACCACGAGAGAATGCGCCGGAGAATTCTGACGTGCCACATCGGAGCAAGAACGCTTTATGGACTATGAGCTCACGGAATCCATACCGTGAGGATGGGTCACAATGTAGCAGCTACCACAGTAAAGATAAATGATAGTGTTGGAGAATGAACGATACAAAACTTACTCCTGAAAGTAAATCGGCGATAACTTCATGGAGTTCTTCGAAGGCAGGGAACCGCTTGGACGTTCTGTCAGGGTTGGAGACCCAAGAAACATAGAATGATATGTCATCCTGCGTGGAAAATAACGTCTGACAAGATGGTATCAGTAAGATAGGAGCGAAGGAAGACGCGAAACGTGCCTTATGTGTCTTTGAAACAAGCTCGTAGATGATACAGCCTAGCCCCCACCAGTCTACGGGTACTCCGTACCCCATAGAACGGGGGTCGGTTTTGTTGCGCAGGACCTCCGGTGCCATGCAGTGGGTCGTTCCTATCGTACCTCTCGTATACACCCACTGTCGCTCCAGGGGCCCCTTGTCTGTGTGTACATAACACAAGCCAAAATCAGTGATCCTAGCGTTCTCTCGAACATCGATCAGGATGTTTTCGGCTTTGATATCCCGGTGAATTATTCCAATCTTGTGAAGGGCATTTATCCCGAGGGCCTTCAAAGTCGGAGGTATAAGACATCAAAAACCAGGAAAGACAACTACTTACTATTTGGGTGGTCCACCTGCGACCATGCTGGAAGCAATATGAAGAGCGATCTCTCATAAAATTGTAAAGGTCGCCGGCCGCGAGTTCCTAGAGATGTCCAATGGAGTCAAACAACTCAAACGGCTCGCAGGGGGAGAAGAACATACCATGACCAAACATATTCGATCCTTTGTCTGAAACGAGATTTCAAGCCCCATGATAAATGTAGTTGCGGGACACGGCATCGCTAATGAAATTCGCTTGTACACTTCGAGTTCATTCAAAAGAACCTCTTTTGTAGACTTGTACTTAAGACGGTCCTTCCGGAAGACCTTGAGACACAACAAGCGATTTGTCGTTATGTCTTGGGCTCCCATTGCCGTAGCGTACCCGCCCTGGCCCAAAACACGACAAACACGAAAGGGGCCATAGGTGCATGACACCGGAAGAATTCGAGATGCCTCTTCTGGACCCGGATATGTGAAGGTGAAGGTGTGAGTGGGGGCTGGAGGGTCGGCCGACTCTGAGCCAGGGTCTGGAAGAAGGGAGATATCTGGGTAAAGATCCGTAGGCATTATGATGGGTGCGTTGGATGAAGCTGGAATGGGGTTCCGAAGAAGGAATGATCAGAATAAGGAGAAGGGGACGATAATGTGAAGGAGCAATTCGATGGACGTATTGAAGAGATTCCTCGTAGGACCACAGCACGCCTTAAATGGTGAGCCATGGACGCGCCGATCTGTGAATTGTCTTAAAGCACCCACAGCGTAATAGTGGTGACCGAATAATGCCACCGTCAATCACGACGGTGACTAGCACGATGGGGGAGATTGTGGACGCGTATACTGTGGAACAATCAAAGCTCATTTCGACCACAATTAAGCATTAATTGTCGGCACACATCACTACCAGCTGCCAAGTGTTCGATATGACTTACGATATCGAAACAATGCAATGCCGCAGAAACCTGCATATTTGAGTCTAGAATGTAAGTACTCTTAGCACCGACTATTCTAGTCCAAGTGTTGGCCGCTGCAAGGCATGCTATTACAGGCGTTTGACTTCTTCTGAATATTTATTCATCATTGTGGCCGGCCATCCAGAATAGGTACTCTTGTCACATTGGCCGTGTAGTGATAAGATGGTCCACAACGACTCCAAATCTGTGTACGAAATCGCGCCATAGTTCGAGGTGCAGGTTGTAACTTCTACCGCCGCTGTTCTGTGTAGGAACCTATGCAAAATGCTCAATGGTGACTCGGAGGACACAGAACAGAATAAACAATCCAACGAGTTAGAAACAAGCTCTCAGGGAGGCTGGTGTCGGCAGCGAAGAAAGAAATTTCATGTGGAAAGAAACTCACTTGAAGACGTCTCATAGCCTCGTAAGTATGTTTTTTCAACTTCAGGTTGTTCATATCTTCTTTCACCTAAGTAGATATTATCATTCCTGTTGAACTATGAGAAAAAGCGCACTTAAAGCTTGAGGGCGAGTGCTGCATTGTGGTGATTAACATACTGACGGTCTGCTTATTTTACAGCGATGAGGACTCAGGAGGGCGAGAAGGATAAGCCCTACACTCACCCTCTTTCCCCTGGTTATTTCTCCTCCTGTCATCGACAACCTTTTCCACCTAACGGGTTCCAAACCGCTGTTTGTCGACACAGAGAAAGGGTTCGCACAGGGGTATCTTCGGAAGAACCTGTATATTATTCTTCATATACTTATCCATGAATTTCAAGTTGATATCCCTAGCTAAGTCAGTCGCCTAAGGTAGTCCCCACAGAGGCGGTATTGAAATTTAAAGTGTGTAAATCTATGTTGAGCAGAAGGATCGGAGTGGTGCAGGACCTACACCTTTGAGCGACAGCATGATGGAGACATGAAATGACAGCGTTCAAAGGCAATAACAGGGTTGCGACGTTGATACATGATGATTCAGATTGTGTACATAGACGAGGCCAACTGTACGTCGTAGGCGTTCGCGGGATAAGTTCAACAAACGATGACAAATACTACTACTAGTAATAGCGATTCAAGTCGTTCGGCAAGTGCCGTCGTCACTTCAATTCGAAATTTGGTCAGCCCGCCCTATCATGCGGCTACTCTTCACTCCTTCGGTGAACCGTTGCAGTCAATCAGAATTTGACTGTAGTAGGGAATCCAAACACACCAGAAGTTGAGAGCATCTTGGCGGCACTTGCAGTTACAGGATCTTGGGATATACGAGTAATGAAATCGCTGCGTCGCCAGTCGCTCCAGCAAGCTTCTGAAGGACTCGGAGCGCATAACTATTATCTATACATGCAAACCGCGTCAGGCCAACTCCATACGTTACGTGAGCAAATGTTTGCGAAGGAGAATACCCGACCACCTTGTAATTCATTGGGTGCCAATATTGTAAGACTATTATTCTCTGATCAGAAGTTTCGAGAGCATATGCAAGTTCACTAGCCCAGAAGTAAAGTATCATCAGATTCAAACAACCATCCCTAGCTTAATCATCCGTGAAATTAATGCGGTCACCATCGACACAGCTGTTATCCAGATTGTTTCTGCGGCCCAGAAGTCCCGCAGCTCCGTTCTAGCTCCTCTTCGTTCCTAAGGCGTGCTGTGGCAGCTTCCAGTGCCTTTTTCCGACGATCTTCCGTGGTATCGTTACCTCGAAGGCCTGTGCCTCCTAGAACGTGAATAAGTGCCTCTACTTCTTCATCCGACGATGGCTGATAGGCGTCTCGTAAATCAGAAAGTTGATGTGTTCCTGCTCCTGTTGCAGCCTCAAATTCTGCAACCTCACGATTGAGCTGAGAATTCAGCTCTTTGAACTAGGAGTATACGACTGTCGTGTAAACGGGATATTAGAATATGGAGGTTATGACTCACATCATTGTTGTGTTCGCCCCATACATTGTGTGCCAGTTCATGGCACAACACGCGTCTGACCTCCAAGTACGGACGAAATCCATCATATGTGTCAAGCCGAATTCGCAGCTTGATGGTAGCTCCACTCCCGACATTGAGACCTAAAAGTCCGGGATGCTCATGTGGTGCAAGCTCGGTAAGCAAGCCCACAGAAAAATGATGCTTCTGCATGACATGTAGGACTGCAGGGTCCTTGGAAAGCGTTGTGAGACACTCCGTCGCTGTTTCAGGTCGCGGCAGATGGGTGAGCGGTTCTATACGGTGAAAGCGGTACTGGTGTGACGAAATAGATGATGAGCCTGTCGAACGAAGCTAATTGCCTCTCATCATGATTGACAGTCTCAATAATAAGAACGGATGTCGGGACATACCTTTACCTGTGGCTTCAGCGCCCTCTCTCTAAGAATTTGCTCTTTCTTCTGATGTGCCGAGTCAGCTGCATTCAGTTGTCCGAGTTCTTCTACTGTCGAGCCAAGCATTTGCACTTTGAGGCCATCGCGAAGACCTGCTTGGGCAATGGTGGGTTCTGGATTGGAGTCATCCTGTTGATGCTGGATTTTCTTTCCTCTATAAATGAGTTTCTGCAATGATGGCGGAACAGAAGTGAGGAGCTCGAGACGGGAGTGGAGAGCAGAGAGGGAGGCGTCATTCGGAAGGGAAACAGTGTGTGATGTCCCACGAAAGGTAACGGTCAGTATGATATCTTCATGGGACATGATTTCCTTCAGCTGTCTGGTGATAGTTGCTAGTCGAGTTGTAATCAGTCCTGCGGGACCAGCCTGACCAATATTAGATCAGGCTGACTAAAGGTGCAATATTGTGAGGGTGAAGTACTTGTTCGCTGGGCTACCGGCGCTGAATTGATTCCCGGAGTCACCGGTAACCTGGCTCGCTGATCTACTGGAAATATGCACATGGATAGATAGATAGAATGGAAGGACACAAACGTGAACGTCGCATGCAATAGGGTATGGTATAGTATGTAGTAGAGATATAATTCTAATCCGAACGCAGTAATGCATACGGCTTGAACTTGAGTCGACTTTTCTACTTATAATATACGCAATATTTCTCCTATAAAGTTCCATGACCGCCTTCCAGCATTCTCAAACTGAGTCACGAGCCAAGAGCATATCGAATCCTTTTAAATAAATTATGGTAGGCCGCACTTCTACACATAGCTATTACATACAAGCTCGATATATGCTGAGACTTTATGAACATGATAGTACATAGTTACACAGAAAAATTGGGCCCTGGACTGCTTGCTCCCATGAAGTAGCAGAGAATTTTCTAGGACGAGAGCATGAGAGAAGGACTCCAATCTACCTTCTTCCTCAAGTCGAAACATTATACGCGGGAGTCCATCTCGTGCTGCTCCAATCTCGGCGGCGAAGTCCAACAGACGCAATCCTCGAATGTCGTACTGACATTTACACAGTTGTCATTGGCATGCGTATCCCAAATGCTCATGATAAGACGTGGCACGATAATAAACGGCGACGTATCGTTAAACAACAGTACGAGATTCATCGCCACCGTCTGTGCATGCCTACATTAGAGCAGATCTTTCTAGAATCACAGGAGATCATACCGGAAGGTCGTCCCACAACATCGCCATGATTATTTGACTTGCCAAATTCCTAGCGTGTTTCAATGAATGCTTTCAGAGAACACACAAAACGAAGGGGAGCTTACAGGACAAAGTATATGACATGATATCGGACGATCATGATTACATAGGCGTTAGGTTTCATTCTAAGTTCCTTCCGTTCTCTCAGGTGCTTCCCGAGGACGATAATGGCGAGGATAACCAGGAAAATATCAAAGCATATGACGGGGATAGAAGCATATATCGCAGGCATAGGCCCGATGTGGAAGACAGTCGTGCAGTACTTGATGTCTGGAGTTATTGTTATTTCTTGCACTATAGGCCAAGGCATCAGCTTGCACAGAATTCGATCAAAGTAGAAATTCACCTGAGATTGCTGAGGGTCGACTCCATAAAAATATGTCCATCGCTATATAGATCGCGATGATGGGTAGGAACAACCCCAGCAGAACATAAAGTAGGAGCTTAGATTGGTTGTATATGGCATAAAGACGCCAGATGAGAACGACTGCAAATCCAAAATGGGTACGCGTAAAGGTACGAGAATGTATGCATCGACTTACCTTCCGCCAAGCAATAATATACAGAATAACTCCATTGCATCAACAGAAACATACCATAACCTAATTCAATTTCATGATGGGCAAATATAGTTCCAGTTGAATACGATATACTCACAACTAAACAAGAGGTCAGCAGCAGATCAGGCTTAGCTGTGAAATGAACTTCTGACGTACGGCTGAATCTGGGTCAACCTAGAATTCTCTAAAGAAAGAATTGACACACTCACTGCTTCAGGTATATAAAATAGACCTCCCCCTGGCGCTAGCCAGTTAATAACGGCTCAGCTAGTATCACGTCACGTACAGCAGGCACCAAATCTAGATGTCAACGTCAATATATAATGTACTATCTAAAAGATACCACCACCACGACGCACATTGCAAGGAAGATACCAAAATATCGAACCTGACACAGCAACAAAAATGTGAAACCATGAAGCACTTTGACATGGTGGAACTCACGGCAAGGTATAGATATGTCATCACTGACCACTGTCTTTGCTGCATATCCAGTCAGTTCCGGGTCTTAATTTCGTTGGGGGTAGAGCTCTAACCCAAACATACGTGACCTGTGATGATATGATCATGAGTACTCGACGAAAACAAGACGAGCTCCTCGTTACCTCTTTCTCGAACTGAAGCACTAGATAATATCATGCTCAGCGACACTACAAGGTTCACGAAAGCCACTGACTGTACTCATAGGATATCAGGGTTATGACTGCAACTGGAAAACGATGAAGTTCAGCACAATGATTCATTTCCAACAAGGCTGACGAACCTGATATGGAGTTATTCCAATTAAGAGCGTAGAAGGATTCTTCTAGTTCCGACATGAAACTGTGCAGATCAAATGACGAGTTAGTGAGGGATGGGCTGCTGATCCATCGACGTACAATACTTATAGGGCAGCGTTGTACTACAGGGTTGTAAACTTGTGGCGTCCTACTGAAAATTGTACGACATGGTGCCGAGCTTGGGGCGCCGCACTTTTCCATTTGATATCACGAATTACTATCCTCGATAAATCGTTGCCAACGGAAAGGTCGTAAGTATATCGATGATCACACGGCTGACAACTTGAAGCTTGAAGGGTCGCTGTAACAGTGGCATCGTGCGACGTGTGCAGCTAACTTGGAGCGTCCCTAAATTAAAATAATTAAATATTAACATGATTTCAATTGGTGACGCCTAAGTCGGATGCACACCAGGAGAGGTTGTGCACAAATCTCTATGAAGCAGTGGTCCCAGGGGTTTGACCAAACAAAAATATTGGATGCTTAGCCGAAGTTGATCACTCCCGCTTTCCATGATATGCATTAGCCGTCTACCTGCAGGACTCATTGATTTCCACTGTCAGACTTCTTCTGATCAGAGCAGGGTCCACGGCGTTTCGCCCGCGTTCAAATCTACTACCACCTACTACAATGTTGTATATAGTATGGGAATACTAAACCTTAACCTTATTTCTCCACCAAGGTCCCGATTTACTGTTACTTGACACTCGAGGTCATAGTGCGCCAAGGGCAACTGATGGGACTACGTATAACGTACATGATGACTGCGGCCTGCTTATGCACTTGTGATTCATTTTACACGTTGTTTCTCGTTTTGAATTTCACCGTGACACTCCATCGAACCACTCCTGGACTCTTCACAATAGTATTAACGATGAGCAGAGTGTCTGACACGCAAGCCGGTCTGCAAGGGCTATTGAACGTCACAGCAGATTCGTTGGCCGAGTACTGCGGGTTGACCGGCGATCAACAGGAAAATCCAGTGTTTCTCGACCGACAGGTTCGTGTCCTCTTGGCAACACCGTCGTCCTCACCGTTTCATCCGCACAATCAGCTTGGTTTACTCCAAAGGAATCCATCCCAAAGCGCGATCAATTCGTGCGTTTAGCAGCCCTTTCCGTCAGATTCCTTGGCTGAACCATAAGTTTCTGTCTTGCTTCTGTCAGTGAATTTTGCGCCAAGTATCTCCCGGCCCTCGTGGACGCCTACAATGCGCAAGATACGGCATTCAGCGTACCCATGAGAATGCTCAATGTTGTTGCTTACCTGTAAATTCTCTTTGACTACTTGTCCCACTCCATTCACTACATGGCTTCCAGGCCTTACTTTGCTAGGTTTCTATTAACCACGGCCAAAACGTCGATTTGTAACACTCAAGCGCGTCGCATGGCCACTGCATCTTCAGCTCCAGCAGACACTACGTACCTCGTAGAAATGTGTCAATTTCTCTCGACCCTCTTAGCCCTGCAAGGCACGAATTCCGTCAGCGAGGAAGATAAGCAAGCGCTTCTCCCCAAACTGCGTGAATGGAATAGGAAGTACCAGAGGCAACAGATCACGCGCTGCCTTAAGCAGCTGGAGGGCGATCCGTGAGTCACGTGTTTCGTCGTCGAGAAAGGTAGTGACAAGCCCCAATCAAGGGAGACAACGCTCATAGCAGATGGCCTGAAAAAACACTGTGAAAGGTCCCTCAATGAATGTGGCTTTGACGGCTGTGGAAAGTCCGGAACCTCGAAGCTCTTGCAATGCTCTCGGTATGATCATATTCTCATTCTTTAGTTCACCTGGATCTCACTAGTGACGCCACAGGTGCAAAACGGCTGTTTATGCAAGTACCTGCACGTCTATTTCTTGTGTCTGACTCATTCTGTTTTACCAACAGTGCGACCGTGATCATCAGAAGAAATCTTGGCCGTTTCATAAGGCAACGTGTTTCCCAGCGGCCTTTTGAGAAACATGTGGAAATCAGATTATGGGTTAGGACTTGGCACAGCCAAGAGATATCTCTGTAGCAGTGTAGCATATTCACAACCCTTTATTTCGTCAGGTGACAGGAAGTAACTTTTCAAAACACATTGAATAAACAAATGTTCAATTTAATATACATCAGCCTTTCACCAATGAATGATTGAATCCCTCGTCTCTGCATAAATACCGAGAGAAGCCTCCGGGCATGAACCTGATTGCTCGATCGACATAGCCACATCAACATGAGCAGAACCTTGCTCCTTAATAGAACCAGAGCTTGTGACCTCCGTCGCAACATCCTCCTTTTCATGAGCAAGTATATCCGCAGCCGTTTCCATCTCTGCCAAGGCGCGCCTGGAAGCAACGTGTTCTCGTGAAATATCTGACGGATGATAAGAGGACTTACTGGAAAGCTTCCCGACATTGCTTCTTAATCCTGGGTGTTTTCCACTTTTGAACCATCGAAGTTGGCGAAAGTAGAGAAGCATCAACCTCTAATGGGGGAATCAGGGGTGGCAGACACAAAACTCCGCCAGCACCTACCATTATCCTCACCCAGTAATAACATGTTGCCAATGGCGACCCATGTCCTGTTCAAATAGTCAGCAAAGTCCGACTGTTCATTTTCGGAGGTGTACCATGACATCGTGGGGTCATAAAATTGTACGACATGACGTGAATTATCTTGAGGCCTCTTCTTCCTGACATCTTCTGGAATCATTGGGTCATCTGGTTCCCAAACAACTGCAGGCCACCATGGATACGTGTCTAATATATGAAGTGATATCAGCAAGAGTCTGTAGACAGCCAGATTCCATTCATGTCTGACCTGCTTTGGCCCAAACTAACATGGGATCGTCGTCAAATGAGAGTATTCTGTGAGAGTATCGGCTGACCTACCAAGAGTGCCATTTTCTAACTGCTTTCCCGGTTCAAGGACAACAAGAGCTTTTCCTGTGGTAACGAAAGTGGCTGGCGCTCGTTGCGGTTGACGCGTTCCGACGAGCTTTACTTCGGGTATGGCACTGGATGTAGTCGTATTGCCCCGTGCCACAGGTTTCTCATCAGTATCACTGTCCAGCTCGCTCAGAGAAGATAAATCGGAGACGTCATCTTGAGTGGTCCCGACGTTGGTTTTCGGGATCTCGACTTTGGCTTGCGGAAGGCCTTGGGCAGCAGCAGTAGCAGCGGCGGCGGCGGCGGCCTTTTCTGCCTTCCGCTGCCTTGCCTTTTCCCGTCGAAGTTTGGGCGTGTCTAGTTCCTCCACGACAATTTTCCCATTCTCGACATTGATCGTCGTGTTTGGTCGAATGGGGATCTTGGCTATCCGCGCTTCTAACTCTGATCGTGTCTCCTCCCTGTCCTCTTCTAACTCTGTGGCCTCCGGCTGAATTATTGTCTGCAGTTGAACTTCAGGTTCTGGTTCTGGTTCTGGTTCTGGTACTGGTTCTGGTACTGGTTCTGGCTGTAGTTGCCTCTCCATTTCTTCCTCCTGGTGCTTCTCTGGAATATCGAGAGCTATGGATGCCACCATCTCCTCATTGACAAGGCCCAAGCCTGCCTGTGCATCCATGTCAAGGGCACCAGCACTTGCCTCGGACATTACTCCAAACTCGACATCCACCTGTGCTTTCTCTTCTACGGACAAGCCAGAAGGTCCAGAAATCTCGTCCAGAGTCTGATTATCCGATGCGTTTGTGCTGAATACAGACAACCTCGACGTCCCACGATCTTCATTACGACGGTCAGTTTGAGAAAACAGCAAAGGAGATCAACTTACCCATCTTCTTTTTCTTCGGTGGAAGCGGAGCCCTCTCCACAGGCTGACGTCCTCCCCTTCGTTGTCCCGTCGGTAAAATCCATCCGGCATCGAACATTTTGAATAATCCCTGACTGTCTACATCTGTGACCATGGGTGGCGTTTCTGCTTGCCCAGGCATTGCACTCTGCCGGCGTCGTTTCTTTGGTGGTTCAGAAGCCACTTTCTGATCGATCTCAATTGCTCCCAGTTCAGGTTCGGCAGTAGATTGAAATTCGGGTTCGAAGCCAGCCTCGGCCTCGAAAGCTGCGGCTGCCGCATGAGCTCGGCGGGTTCGCGGGGCACGGAAACCTGGGGAGGTGTCCAGAGGACCAGGTTCGACGGTCTTGAGATGACGCTTCTTTTTGGGCGCCTTGGACTTGGGAGGCGGCGGGGGAGATGGAGCTGGGGGAGGAGGCGGTGGAGGCTTGATGCGCGGAAGTTCAAAGTTGAATAGTGATGAGATGGGATCGGAATGAAGAAGAAGATTGACGTTATCTTGGATGTCTTGAGTTGACGTTAGTAGCTGGAGTGTCTCCATCAAAGGTTCTAGGTCTCCGATGGACATCTGGGAGAGAACGGAGGAGTCAGAAGAATCAGGGGGAGTAAGGGGTGAGTGATTGTAGGCGAGGGAAGTGAGTTCCTGAAGGATGGGTTGACTGCTTATTTGCATTCTTTGTGCGGTCTTGTAGAACGATGTACCAGGCTTGTTGTACAGGATTGCATTAGACAGTACTAACTCGATGTCACTCTGCAAAACGTTAAGCGGAAGCGTAAAACCAGCCCAAGTATGGTTCACCTTGAAACCTTCGAGGTCCCAGTACTCGTGACGGTCAAGCTTCGCATCAATCGCATCCCAAGTCATGGGCTTTTTCACGACATCATAGTAGTCGGGGACCTCCGTCCTTGACACCGGATGCTTGAAGAGACCGTGGCGATCAAGACTGATGGAATGTTAGGATGTTTCAATGTAAAGATTTGGAGTACTGCGTACGCAAGAACTTTCTCAAACGCAAGCCGGAGTAGTGCCTCGTGAGGAAAGAGTGCAATCTCGAGCACTTTCTGGATGCTTTCAGTCTGTGCAAGCTTCCGGCTCTCCCGTCTGCGAGTTTGTAGTGCCAATTCGCGAACAGACTCCAGATCTCTGCGCAAATGTTTCAAATGCTGCACGAACATCAACTACTGCAGAAGCAATAGAAAGGAAAACTAACCTCTAGTTTCGCAGTCTTTTCTTCTTCCGTCTGTACTTTCCCTGCGTTTGATGCTGTCCATGGTTCGAGATGCAGTCTCTTCAATAGTGGCGCCCCTCGCCTCGCCTCACGCTTCAAGCTCCAGTATTTACAAACCATGTATACAAATTCGGTTTTCTTGCGCACATTTACCTTGGTAATATAATTCAGGATGCGTTCAACAATGATGTGTGGCACAAGCGGTGGGCCGGTCTTGTAGGTTTTGGCATATGCACGTGCAGATTTGGACAGCTTGGAACTGGGGCTGGTCATCAGGCCATCTTGTGCAAGAGCTTTGAGGCGAGCGTCTTGCTGCTCTTTCTGAAAATAAAATAAAATAATGAGTTGTTTCCATGCAAAGGAGACGACATTGCATACAGGAAGGTGCTTCTCACAATAACATGCCAGCGTACCAGGCTCAGAACCCTGGGAGCTCTTCATTGGCATGAGAAACCTTTCCTTGCGAGCGCAGGTTGTGTGGAAGGCCAGGAAGCATGAGTTCTTTGTACACTGGATGCATGCACCCTCGCGAATGCCACATATTGAGCATTTCTGCATGGATTGTCAATGGACAAAAGGAACATGATGCAAAGGAATATACCAATTTCCAGCGTTGCTTCGGAATTTTATCAGATCCAGTGATAGGTTCCATGAATACCTCATTTGCCACCCGCGTCTCGGGTATCCAAATGGCACACAGAAGATGGGCCCAGTCACCGAATACCGTTTGTTTGAACGCTCCCCCTTCGTTTGGGCAAAGTATGCATGACTGAATGTCCGTTAGTGACAGATGCGTGCCCTTTCGACATTCTCCTCACCACTGGATTCTCCGGAGAGACGGTGCACTTGCGACATAACCACTGGCCTTCAGGTATGTACGGGACTCCATAGCAGTCTGTCGGTATATGAGTAAAATTATATGCCCAAAAGTTCGAGGGAAAATACCCTGATGAACAGCGAGGTTGCAACCGTCACAAAATACGATAGCATTGCTGTTTTCTCCCTCGGAATCGTCACAAATGGCGCAAGTCGAATCCTCAGAAGGCATAGCATAATCAGATTTGGGTATACTCTTGGTCTGGATAGTGACAAAATGAGAGGAGCCTATACATGGTGCAGAAGGGCGTACCAAGTCGAAGTATTCTTTCTCCAGGCGATCCATAATAATCTCAAACGTCTCGTACGTAACCACATTCAGTTGATCCTTCTTCCTTTCAACGTTCACTGCGTCAAGCCATTCCTGGTCTGCTCTAACATATTAATAGAGTGAAGGAGAGGGAAAGAGGGTGCCCACCTTGGTCGTCCATGTCATATTCAACCTGAATAGCAAGGTCTTTCTCGAGGGGCTCTATTTTCCGTCAAATAAATACATTGATTACGCGTGGACATGCTCACCAATGTACCGAATGTAATGATCCGGTCTCAGGAATTCGGTGAAGTCGTTGTCTGCAAAGGAGTTAGCTCGAGTGGTTTGACAGGGCGTATACGCTGCACACATCCGTAAGATCTGGCTTGTAGGTCGTGCACTCCAGCAGGTTGGTTGATATCATCATCCTGGACGATAATAAATGACACTTTAGGCAGTGGTACTTGAGCAGTAGGGGATTTGAAGCCGCGGGCCATGGTGTGGCAAACAAGGAAAACAAAGTGAAGAGATTGGCGAGACTTCCGAACTACCGCTCAAAGTTTCCGTACTGGTTTCGAGTCGCTCACTAGGCGAGCTGAGGAGAAACAGCGAGAAACATATCCAAATGCTGATAGCAGCCTTAGCCTACTAAGGGACACTAGCCACCGTAACCGTGACCTGACACATCATGTGACCTCCGCGTAGTGTGACCTACTAGTACTTCAAACTTCAAAGTGGTTGGTGTCTCAAAATCATTAGCGCTGAGCGATCCCATCGATCAGTGCAGCTATCCTGCAATTTTCTGTGTCGCATTGATTGCATTCGACCCGGGAAATTGAAGAGATAGATCTATAACGATCAGCCTTTCGTGCTTCCTACATGTCTCAAACGCTAGTGGATTCGATAAAAAATCATACACAACTTACTGATCTGCAAAATGGTCTCAATAATCCACGCTTTCACCGAAGATGGTCGAACACGTATGATTGAAGGCTTCCGGCTGAAGGATTATCATGTGCACCTGCTATCCCCTGCAAGGTGAACTGGTAGGGACGTCATGTTCGTGACTTCGGAGTCCTAAGATGTTGCACAGGTATGTGTCAATGGAGGCCACAGTGCGGGGGTACGGTGTCTGGAATTGACCAGCAACTAAGCACTATGCGGCTACGCCAAGGGTCTTACGTGGTTTCTCAGTTCCTCGCAGTCTGATTTCCCCCTTCGATCAAGTTCCTCCAAGGACTTCTGCACACGACGATCTCGATCGCAGCTTCGCCTTCTCGTTCAAATTCAGCAGCAGGTCGTTATCGGAGAGCACGCCTAGCAAGACTCATGTGGTTATTTATTTTTCCATTCAAGCTTTCCAACCACGGATGGGCACTAAGTTACTGACGCTGGGCTGCTCAGTACATAACTTTCAAGGTCGGTCGCCCCACCCATGGCGATTAACTCGTGAGACTTCTACTTCGATACATCCATTCATATCTTCTATCACATTCACAACAACCAACTATTAACACCGGTGTTAATGCAGAGCAGACGAAGCACAGCATCATGAAATTCGGAAGTAATTTCAGACGCGGTGCTAATTCAGCTTTGTATTTCACTATATCCCGTTATCTTGCTCAGCATCTTTTCTAACTAATTAGAATTGCCAGGTGAGCCTGGCGGTGCTGTAATCAACGAAGATCATGGACATTCAAGGAAATATTGAAGCTTGGCGGAAGGTGATATGGAGCTTTAACTCATCGGGAACTGACGACACACCCCATGGGGCAATACCCTTCAGCAAAAGTAAGTGCTATTTGCTCCGATGTTCCAGGAAAAATCTGAAAGGACTGATGAGTCGAGTAAGATAAGAACCTGCCTTACACGGCCTCGATCACTGCTTCTCGGAAGCATAGCTGCGGAAATGGACGTTCTGGCTGTGCTCTACAAACTCAGCTTCCATACTTCCGAAGTGGTCTTTCAAGACAGTCTATTAAAACAGTTTAAGCTCTCAAGCACATAACACGGTTATGAAGGTCAGATTGAATGACTGGCCCATCTGCCAACTTTGTAGTAGAAGCTCGCTGCACAATGCACGACAGTTTTACCGTGCTAAGCATTCGAAACATACGTTTTATTTATCAAAGTGGGCCAGACTGCGATCAGGGATACATTATCCAAAATATTCACTTAGCGCCCTTCCTGAGACAGTGAGAGCACAAAAATATGTGATCTGCCACTATTCCGACCATGCCGCAGTTGTGATCTTCTCGAGTTCCCGACAACTTAGCACTGAAATCATGATTCTATTGAGTAGATGTACAAGCTCGCCTAGAAAATATATTGTGAATGCAACACGAGCAAAAATTCGTACAATCTTTTGTGGGTATTCAATATACAGTGTCGGGATATCTATAACTGTTCCTAGTGGTCTGAACGTGCTGACTCTGCTGAGGCCTTTCACCAACCAAGCCAATTTCGCACATGTGATGAAGTCGTTGACATCCTGTCATACAACTTGCTACCCGAACGCATATGGCGTCCTAAAGAAGATGTCCAGCATCTTGCGACATGACACATGTCATCTGCCATTGACCTCCATGGAGGGGGGTATTATGACGCCTTGAGACGATCGTTTGCGCAGAGTGTTTGAGCAAAAGCCTTGAAATCGGCCTTCGATGCACGCCCCGGCTGCATGTCGACCGATTAACCGAATTGATCTTGGCTTAAAGTTCTGTTACCTACCTTGAGGGCATAGATCACAACCTCGTCTTTCGGTTCCTTCCCCTCAACAGCGACCTGCTCCATCAGCACGACTCGGAGAATATTTTCCCCTGCATCATAATGGCACCGCACTGCGGACCGCAATGCTACATTCATCGACACCTGGCCCAGGGGATCCCGCCTGAATACTGATACACCGCACCGTGATCAATACCGACATTTTACAAGGAAGATGTACTTACGCAAGCGTGTGCGTTCGTTCTGCGTCAGGAGTTTGATATGTCCAAAGTTACCATCCGTGAACTCTTTGCGTCCGCGCTTTATAAAGATTTTGACACCTTTGAGCTCGGAGGAGACGGATTCGTCTTCTTCACCGGTTACAGCTAGGGATACCATAGATTAATGAAGTGGCCAGGTCGCCGCAGGCGGTGACGCACGTGAGGATGTTTTTGGTGCTGTGGATGCCTGCGTGCGGTCACCTAGAGCACCGGCTGAAGACGTCTCAGTAACTTCATTTGGAGACGGCGAGAGCGCATTATCATTCGGACACGGCACTGGTGCGTTGTCAATAGAAAAGACTGGGGTACGGGATTCGCCGCATCGCCAGGCAGGTGTGAACGTCGACGTAGATGATGGGAAGGGAGTGTTGGAATACTTGGTGAAAGGAGATTTGGTGTTTGCGAAAGATGAGAATGCAGTGACATTCGACCTAAGAGTGACTGGCTTGGGAGCTGGTGGTGGCGGCGGCGTAACGGGGCGAGGCTCACTGGGCTCATTGGTCCTCAATGATTGAGACTGATTCTCGGGATGCTTAGGCTGTGACTCAGCCTCCTCCGGCTGTGGTTCGGCTGGCTGAACATTTTCGTTAACAATGGTAGCCGGTGGGATATGTGCTTCTGGAGCGGGCTGCAGAAGATTAATTTAAGTCACCTGGTGCGTAATCAGATTGAATCTTAACTTTACCTCGTTAGCGCTCGGAGCGACTTCTTCGACTTGCGCGGTCCCGATTTGAACAGCTGTAGACACTTCTTCTCGAACAGCTGGTTCAGGATGGGGTGCCGCGTTCTGGGCCTCTTGATATGAAGGGGGCGGGATGACAACTTCCCACTCCTAGCAGAAGTTACTCAACAAATGAAAACAATATCATCGTCTTCGATCAAAACTTACTTCCTCCTCGTGGTCGTTGGGAGGTGTTCTGCTCCTTTTGACGGGTCTCTCCTGTTCACCCTCGGATTCGCCATCAGATTCATCGAGCTTACGCTTGAGAGACTTCTCCTCGCTGAGTCCGCGTTATGGATTACTACTACTTGGCTGGGTTGCGTGACTCACGGTTCGACATCGACGTGGCTTGGTTGCGCGTTCAGGGACGAGGCTCTGCGAGCACATGCGTAGCCGAAGGTGGCCGCAAAAGTCGCGATCCCACAGAACGCAAACTGGAATTCGGTAATGGGGAGCATGATTTGGCCGATCTACGAATAACGTGAAAGGGATTAGGGTACGAATATACCCGCAAGGTTGGATAACTGTGGTTATTGCTCAGTATGTATTCAGTCACCAGGACGTGAATATGATAGTGGCTCTGCTATTGAAGAGCTGCAAGATGAAGAGAGCTGGAAGAAAAGTGCAGAATGCCGTTGCATCTGAAGTCGCTTATGAGGGCTACATGCTGCGCCTCGAGGCTTCAGCACGCCTGCCCTAGATGGAAGGTTGATGAGAGACACGTGTTGAACTAGCACTGTTGTAGAAATTCCATCAATACTTACACGGCGCATTCTAATGGTGTTGTCACTGCCTTATGACGCACCAAAGCTGATAAGGGTAGCGGTTCGTTATCGAGGTGGAGGGTAGGTTTTGTGATACTGGACTACCAAGCTCCGGCTGGGCGGCGAGTGCAAAATGCCAGGACGTTTAAACTGGTGTGAATGATGGATCCGGGCGCGTTGTCCAGCGTGTTGCCCCGGCGTTTGATCCAGCAGGCATAATCTATTGTTAAGCCAGCCTGACTCAATGAGTATTCCGTATCTCGAGGTGAATGTCTGTGTTATTCCTCCCACACCAGGTTCGCGGCACCGGTCACTGCAGGCACCACTTCACTGCCAATAGATTTAGGGCCCATATGCCAGCATCTCCCCTGCAGATGGATAATATGACGGATGCCACGATGAATTTCCTGGACCGCGGCGGCAGTCATCGGAAAAGCAGTACTGCCAATACCAGAAGCCAGCTGCACTGACTCGTCCCACCTTATATCCATGTTAGGTTTCTACTGAGGACACCTTGAGCTACTATGAGTAGCACATAAACCACGGGTCACTAGCAGCATATGAATGGCAGTGATGAGTAGTAGTAGATAGCCTGCACTGTGGCAGTATACTAGATGCGTGTGACCCTCCAGGGAGGGGTCAAAGTTCACATTTATTGGACACGTCGACTTTCGGTTAACGCCAAGGTTTCGCATTTCCGCTACTTGGAGGGTTGCACAAGTTGCAGCTCATATTTCGGTCTCTTCATTCAACGTTGCTAAAAGACTATTCACCACAGTCGGCAATAATTACTAGCGGCCATGCCGGCTGCCTACCCACTCCCTTCTGATTTGTCTCCTGCAACCGTTACCAATACCGCGTCCCTCCTCCGTATCATTGCACTTGCCCTCATATCAGGCGCTGCTATTGCCTCTCGTCTATTTGCTGTTATCAATTTTGAGAGTATTATTCATGAATTGTACGTGAAACTGTATATGAACATGTGGTGACTGACACAATGAATTCTTAACAGCGACCCATGGTTTAACTAGTACGTAGATTTCGTGTGTCTATTCGCGTGCTCAGCCCCTCCTTTACAGTCGAGCAACGAAGGTTCTCGCCTCGCAAGGTTTCTATGTGAGCACCTACATTCAGGCTCTTCAACTAGCACTTCACAAGTCACGTTTCTCAGGAATTTTGGAACTGGTTTGACCCAACGGCATGGTACCCCCTTGGACGTGTAGTCGGTGGAACCATCTACCCCGGTCCTTATGGCAACCAGCGGTGTAATATACAACTTACTCCATGCACTCAATCTCCCGGTCGATATCCGCAACATTTGCGTCCTCCTAGCTCCAGGATTTAGCGCCTTAACCGCTTGGGCCACGTACATGTGCGCGCGCTCTGCACTCCATTATGCCAGTTAATATTTTATCACTTGCCAGGTTTACGAAAGAATTGAAAGACTGAAAGTGCTGGTCTTCTTGCAGCCGCGTTCATCGGCATCGTGCCCGGTTACATCTCGCGTTCTGTCGCCGGCTCGTACGATCAATGAGGCTATTGCCATATTCTTGCTCATGTTTACCTTTTTCGCATGGATCAAGGCACTCAAGCAGGGAAGCGCATTTTGGGGCACTATTGCTGCTGTATTTTACTTCTACATGGTCGCTGCATGGGGTATGTCGTCATATAAGTGATTTGTTTCATGTTTAGATTCTGATAATAGTGCACTAGGCGGGTATGCATTCATCACAAATATGATTCCTATGCATGCCCTCGTCTTGTTGTTGATGGGTCGTTTCACGGGCCGGCTTTACGTTGCGTATTCGTCCTGGTACGCGATCGGCACTTTGTCCAGTATGCAGGTCCCCTTCGTTGGCTTCCAGCCTGTTCGCACTAGCGAACACATGGCCGCGCTCGGTACATTCTTTAGTCCCGTTTCTTGCATTATATTAATACCTTTACAGGTGTGTTCGGCCTATTGCAGATCGTTGCTTTCGCGCAACTCGTCCGCGCACACGTTTCTTCAAAGCAGTTCCAGGAGTTACTGTTCGGTGCGGTCATCTCTGTTGGCCTGATCGGCTTCTTTGGGTTTGTTGGCCTTACTTATAAGGGCTGGATTGCCCCTTGGACTGGGCGATTCTACTCCCTGTGGGACACCGGCTACGCCAAGAAGTATGTGAAGATACCTGCGCATAACCCTCCATTACTGACTAGACGCTCAGGTACATCCCCATCATCGCTTCGGTATCCGAGCACCAGCCTACCGCGTGGCCCTCGTTCTTCATGGACTTGCACTTCCTGATTTTCCTTTTCCCTGTGGGCGTCGTGATGTGTTTCCGTACGTTGAGGGACGAGCACGTCTTCGTGATCATCTACGCAGTCGTTGCCAGCTACTTCGCAGGCGTGATGGTGCGTCTGATGCTTACCCTCACCCCGGTCGTCTGTGTGTCTGCCGCTGTAGCGCTCTCGACTCTCATGGATACGTACCTGGACCCTAGCGAACCGAATGTTGAAGACGAACAAGAATGGGTCCTCAACTCCTCACTCCACTGGAACAACACCTACCACGACGCCCGCCACCAGCAAGAAGACGAAAAAGAACAAGGAGAAGGAAAAGGAAGTGTCCTGCATCTACTGGCAGTGTCTTAGGCGATCTTGTCTCCAACGTTACCTCCTCTGCTGTAGCTGCCAAATCTGCCACTACTGCCGAAAAGGGCGTCTTTGGTATGGACACGCGCCTAATCGTTCTCCTGAACTCGCTCGGATTGCTTCTCTTCTTCGTTGTGCACTGCACATGGGTGACTTCGAACGCATATTCCTCGCCATCCGTCGTGCTGAGTTCGACTTCTCCCCGATGGAAGCAAGAACATCATTGATGATTTCAGAGAGGCATACCACTGGCTGAGGCAAAACACGGCAGAGGATGCAGTTGTCATGAGTTGGTGGGATTATGGCTACCAGATCGCAGGAATGGCGGATCGCCCGACGTTGGTGGACAACAACACCTGGAACAACAGTGAGTTGCTCCCAGTGACGTAACAACCTTAATTGATGCTGAGTCGTGCAACAGCACACATTGCGACAGTGGGCAAAGCCATGTCGTCACCAGAGGACATTGCATACCCCATCCTGCGTAAACACGATGTCAGCTATGTGCTTATCATTTTTGGTGGGTTGATCGGATACAGTGGCGACGACATCAACAAGTTCCTCTGGATGGTACGCATCGCGCAGGGTGTCTGGCCCGATGAGATCCAAGAGCCAAATTACTTCAACCGTGGAGAGTACCGCGTAGACAGCGAGGCAGCTCCGGCGATGCGCGACAGTCTGATGTACAAGATGAGTTACTATCGCTTTGCGGAGCTGTTTGGTGGTCAGCAGCCCGTGGATCGTGTGCGGGGACAGCATATGCCTATCCAGGGCCCAACTTTGGATTACCTCGAGGAGGCATATACATCAGAAAACTGGATTGTGCGTCTCGATGTGATTGGCTTGCGGTATTTGGCTGACTGTACTCTAGGTCCGCATTTATGAAGTGAAGAAGGATGATGTGCTCGGACGTGACTTGAAAATCGCGAATGCGTTCGATCAGGGGAAGAAACGCAAGCGGACAAAACCTGTGTCGAGAAGGAAGGCTATCAGTGCTTGAGCGAGGGAGTGGGGCGAATGCGATACAGAAAAGCCTTGATCGAGGCCTCGGAACGATGGGTCGACCTGACATAGAGATCGTATTTCCTTGTAGTATTGTAGACCTTGTCTGGAGCTGCAACCTTCGTTCGCCCTCTTCTTCGTCTCGTCGTAGTACACATATTGTCTCGGTCCGACAAGCAGTACCTAGTGATAATACATCAACTTATGCAAAGAATGGGATTATGTATGTAAATCATGTGCGATTATTGAACTGCTCGCTTCCTTTCAACGCCGTTGGTGGGTTTATCAAAGTGTCTGTTCCTCGCCGTTTTCCGCCTGGAAGGTGACATTTACGTCCTCTCGATCTTGACCGTGCATGACACACTCTGCTCGGGCTCCTCCTTCGTCGAGGTGTTGGATATCCGAGGGTTGACATTGATCCACTAGGCTATTCCAAATCCGTGATGACTCGATCCTCGTCCGTGTCATTCAACTCTGGTCACTTGTCGGAGAGTATAGAAGTGCTTCCTCATTGCATCGAACATCTTCTTACTGTCCCTCACAGCGGCTGGGCTGCCGATCATCGAGGTATGTTAGGAGTCTGGACTGCGACAGATCGTTGGTACTTTTGAGCAACTTTATTAACCCAGATGACATTATTGTTCGCGGCCGTCATCTCTGCGGCTGGCCTGATTTCCCGCAGAAGCCTTGGACGATTGCTGACCAGATGCTGGTACGTACGCAGGCACATTCTCATCAACATTAATACCTCGAGCACCAGCCATTGTTGCCCACCCCTCATCTTCCTAGACCTGCCGGCACTTTTTTTGATTTTCCTCTTCCTGGTGGGCGTGGGCTCTCGTCACTCATTTATACGTATCTGGATCTACCGAGCTGAATATTCAAGACAAGATCTAGAGTGAGTTAGAGATTGGGTCAATGAGCCTCCACTGGGCACCTCGGGCCGGCAGCTTCAAGACTCGAGCTCGAGAGCCGCTACCTTTGTTCACTCACTGCGGCTTCCTCGATTTGTACATACATAGACATACATACATATATATCATTGCATATATTATCCAAGCAGCCAGTGCCAGTTTGATGGGATTGAGGAGTTGTGTACGATGTGTAGTAGGTGACAAAATTCCGAACGCCACGTCAGCGTCAAAGTTTGTCTTGTTGCCGACGCAGCGCGTTATGGCATATCAATTAGCAACGACATCCACACTCTACTTCGACTCGATACACCTTCTGGCGGGCTCGTCTGCTCGTTTACTTGCTAGTATCGGCCTGTTTCGCAATGTTTCTATTTCCTTTAGCCGCGCTTCTGGTGTTATTGCCCACAATAGGTGTCTGCAGCCATATTTCCTCCTGATACCAAGGTTAAGATGCTGGACCCAAAAGGTTTTCGCAGGGCTATGAGGAGTAATGTAGGCGGCCTTGACTCTGCCCTTACATTAAAACTGAATATCCTCATTCAACCAGAGGACGAGCGTGGTTGCGTTTGTCGCCCCGTGGTGCGGGGTGGGTTCCAGAATTATGGTTTCGTTTTCAAATCCAACTGACGAACAAGCACATCAGCACTGTCAACGAATGGCTCCCGAGTACAGCAAGGCCGCCGAGAATTTGAGTCCACTCATCCCGTTTTATGCAGTAGACTGCGATGCCGAGTTGAACAAGCGGTTGTGCGGAGAACAGGTGCACATTCCATTACACTTGGACGCAGTCGTTTCTGACACTCGTTCAGGGTGTTCAAGGGTTCCCAACAGTCAAAGTCTTCCCTCGTGGTAGCCTGGCCCAGCCTGAGCCGTACGACTCCAACGAACGTACTCTGGCAAGTTCATCCGCTGGGCCTCGCGCTCCGTGCCCAATAACGTAAAATCTCTCCCGACATATCCACGACATCCCAGCGTGGTTAGATAAGGTTCGGCTCTTAGCTTGGTATCCAGCCTCTTGGCCTCATGTGACCCGCGCATGCCCCACAGACGAGCGATCTCCCACGTGTCATTCTCTTGAATAAGGACAAGAAGTTTCCGCTGCTCTGGCAGGTCTTTGCCAATAATTACTGGAAGAAGATGGCGTTTGGCCATCATACAGACCCAGATGGCGCATTTGCGACATCCTTGGGGTTCCCAGCGACTGTCGAGGGAAAGGCGTCAAAGGTCATTGTGTATCCACCAGGATCCAGCGTGCCGGTTTTGTATGAAGGTGCGTGCTTTGCGCATACGGCTTTGATTACTTGACAAATATGACTACTCAGGGACGACCAAGTATGAGCCGTTGACCAAATTCTTTAGGTCCATATTGGATGGGTCAGCAGACTTCCTTCAAACATCACCAGAGCAATCTGTCAGGGATGAACTGTAATTTACTTGGATTAACTTAAAGTAATTGACATCTTCTTCTCCAACGTGTTTGGTGTCACCCTCAGATGTGTCACCAATCTCACACGGTGTTCAGCAGTGGCCGACATTATCGCTATTCTGGCCAGTTTCTTAATGGGAGGGGAAGCCACGCGCGTGCTCACGGACAAAAAAATTTTGATTATGATTCGTGTTCTATGTTCTGCATAACCCCCAGTTTCCCGCAGATATGGGTGAGCGCTCGTCTCACATTCTATTGAAGTTTGCATTCGAAGTATGTATCCCAACACGCGTTCTTTATCAGTCTTTCGCCCCCTTGTGAAGTCTCTCAGGTCAATTCGTTAAACCGTCTTCCTGGCGTATCTGTTCAGCCAACACCCTTCGCTTTGCTTCTTCGGCGTTCCTCTTGATTCCTTTCTGTATCTCTCGGTCCCAGTTTGTCCCGAGCCATACCATACCATATTCAGATAGGCCTACTGTGAAGAGGCCGATGACTTGACCTGAATGAGGATGAGCAGTAGTCTCACAAGAGGTACAGGAATGCGCACCGATCCAGAGTCCCTGCAGGCCAATACCAGTCTTGAATGCGAGGGTGATTCCGATCGGTAATGCAAGAATGTAGTATGCAACAAGGTTGAACATGGCGCCAAGGTGTTGTCGGCCTGAAAGCGCTGATAGGTGAGTTTCCCATTTCACACCAAATGCTTGCTCACCTTGACCGCGAAGGACGCCACCACAGGAATTTGCAAGACCGTCGGCGATCTCAAGGTATTCTCTAATTTGTAGATATCGCGCATGAAATGTACTCACTTGAAATGAAGCGACCAGAGGCATTACTTTGCTGACGAGCCGGACGACGTCCTCGTCATCGCTGAAGATATAGCCAAATTTCTATCTGTCGTTTGGTACAAAGGCACAGTAGCGAGACGATCACTGACGTACATTTCTGGCTGCTAACATGATGATCATCACTATGAAGCCAACAATGACGCTAATAAAGGCAATAGCGTGGGCTGCGTTCCTTGCCCCGATGGCCGTTCGTGCCCCGATCAGATTTCCGATGCGATTGGAGGCGACGACCCCTGGTGAGATGTCAGACGCATGAATTATTTATCGCACTGGACACTAACCGAACCCAAAAGGTAGCGTGCTTATGACTATGGATGTGGTTAATACATTATGAGGTGTATAAGGGAAATCGATACTTTGGTCGGTGGTCATGATGACAGACTGCGCCGCCAGTGGAAGCTCTCCGAGCCGGCCGGCTGCGAGAGCTACTATTTCGAATGCAGCCCTGTTCACAGTAAGTGGAACGCCCGAGTTGGGGGCAGTAACGGCTCACCATTCTGTGCCTACCATTAAGATACCCGGGAGTGCCAACTTCAGGAACCCGATGCAACTCTCGATGTTGAAGACAGCCTTGGGTTGAAAGCCACCCCACGTAGCGTTTTGTTTGTGCACTGGAAGACATCGATGTCATTGCAATCAAGAGGAAAAATGCACACCAGTATGTGATGGAAAGCGCAACAGGGCAGCCGAGCATGCCCAATGAAGTATAATGGACCAGGAAAATGTTTAGGGCGATATTGATTGGCGATATCATGATCAGTACCCAAGTAGCGGCCTTCATAATTCCTGCATATCTTGTTAGTCAACAGACGAATGCTCGGCATGCGACTGACCTTGGCATTGCAGGTATTTCTTGAGGGACTCGAAAGCAATATACCCAGGTGCGCCGAACAACAAGATCCGCAAAATATCTTGCACATCCTTGCAAAGACGAGGGGGTTCTTTGATAGCCAAAAGGACAGGCTCCATGAATGCCCAGAGCACACCGACGGGAATCAGAAGAATCCAAAGTAACACTACGCAACGCTGGAAATGCACAGACAGATCGGTAGAACGACTTCCTCCCGTAAATGCCTGAGAGCCTAAGGTATCGAGAGCCGATCCCCCTCCCAGTGCAATGCACCAGCCTACAGGACGTGGGATCATCCTTGCAAAAGATAATCGACGGGACTACTCGCCAGTAACGTAGGCCAGCATCATCGAAAATGCCGCCGCAGAAAGTTCTTCTGGGCCCAGACGGCCTGTGATCACGATCGACACTGTCTGGATAGAATTCTGTAAAATATAGGACAAAATGACTGATTGACATCGGTTGTTAGTACATGCTTCTTGGGGTTGACGAAGCATATCCTACCAGGGATTGAATCGATGACAAGGGAGGCGACAAGGCGGGGTCCGATTGTTCGGTTCTCTCCTGCCACTTCGGGAAAGTTCTGAAGGGAATGGACATTCAGTTGCTGCTGTGTGCGCTGAGCGTTGGGGAGAAGGGGTGCAGTTTCATCCATGGATCTAGTACGTGACATGATACGAAACTTGGTGAATAGCCGCTACCAATTCAGTGTTTATAGCGGATTCCGAGGTAACGGACTATATAACGGAACCTCGGATTGTCCCATGCCAATTCCCTTTCGAAATCCTCTGGGACAACATGTATCCTTCTCAAAATGAGGCTTGCATCGTGTTTGATCCTATCTCTGGAGTATTTTTGTGAGCCGATTTTTCCGGTGCATTTCCATTTCACTTTCCCTGATAAGATTCATCTGGCAGATTGGGTCTTGCGTTTTCTGCCTCATGGCGGAAAGCATCTTGCACCTGTGATGTTATCAAGACAGAACCACCATTTTTTGCGGTACTCGTGGCGTGATAGCGGGTCATGAGATACGATTTTTTTCCCGCAAGAAAAGCTTTTTAGATGGCCTAACGCTCATTGAAACTCATCAGCATCTACCCTCTATAATTTTCCCCCGAGATGAAATTGCAAACTGTCACTCTGTTCGCTTTGGTGTTCGCTGCCGTTGGCCTCGCACACGACCATCACCACGAAGACCAAATTCCTCTGAATTATGTCAAATATCCCTACCAGGCTGTGTATCCAGGCGACGATGAAGGTATACGATAAAATACCCCCCTTTTAACTGCCGCTCACCAACAATGCAGTGACTGCGGACTCCATTTTTTCTGGAATTACCACATTTGCGAAGCTACCATGGGTTCAATGTCTTGGCAAGGACCGAGATACTACTTTTGACATCGCATTTATCGGTGCCCCTTTTGTACGTCATCACATCTCTGTTTATTCAAAAGGTTTATTCGAGTGTTCTACACAGGATACAGGGACATCCTACCGTCCTGGTGCCCGGTTCGGGCCTGCCGGTATTCGCGCCGGATCCCGTCGGTTGACCTTATACGGGGGATATAACGTTCCCCTCGAGGTTAACCCATTCCTTTCTGGACTCAAAATTGTAGATTGCGGTGACATCCCAGTCACGCCCTACGACAACAAGTACGCCATCCGGCAAATTGAAGGCGGGCACAAGGAGCTCCTTCACCGACCTGCTTTTTCCCCACTTGGCAAGGACGCTCTCACCGGCAAGCCCCTCGTTCCAATTTCGGTCGACGGAAAGAATCATCCACGTATAGTCACACTTGGTGGTGACCACACAATTGTTCTGCCTCTGCTTAGGTCCGTTTCGTTTTTAGTGGGTGATTTGCAATTAGTGCTCAATGTTTACTGCACCCTGGCAGGTCCATTCACTCTGCATATGGCCCAATTTCTGTCATCCACTTTGACTCCCACTTAGATACCTGGAAACCCTCTGTGTTTGGAGGCGCCCCTTCCGATCAGGCCGCTATTAACCACGGCACATATTTTTACTGGGCTAGTCAGGAGGGTCTGATTAGGAATGGAAGCTCTATTGCAAGTATCTCATTTCCTTACCTTCCAACACCCATTTCTGTCACCGAATTCTTTGATCCTAGTTTATCATTGAATATCTAGCATGGCGCTATCCGGACTACGCTATCAGGACCAGCCGATTATGCTAATGACGACGATTCTGGCTTCCAACGAATCGAAGCCCGTGAAATCGACACCATAGGTGAAACAAGGCCGACCATTTATCATTGTTCATTATCTGAACATCTCACAGGCACCGACGGAATTATCGAAAAGATTCGGAAGACCGTCGGCGATCGACCCGTTTATCTGTCCATTGATGTGTGTTGGCATTTCATCTCGCTGATGAGCGGTCAATCAACTTATTACAGATTGATTCAATCGATCCCGCATTCGCTCCTGCGACGGGCACCCCGGAAACTGGCGGTGAGTTCGTACATAATTGGTTAGATGAAGGTGATGAGCTCAGCTACCGGAAGGCTGGTCCACACGCGAGTTACGCACCATCCTCAGAGGCCTAGATGGTCTCCACATTGTCTCGGCCGATATTGTTGAAGTTGCTCCTGCATATGACACCAATGCAGAGCTTACGACCATGGCCGCAGCCGACGTACGTCATGTATATCAAATTCTGAACCGTTTTTAACCCTGGCTTCACAGGTACTTTTCGAGGTCATCAGTGTAATGGCCAAAACCCCCTTGGGTAAAGTCGCGAATTGAGAAGACTGATTTTACCTATCAAGTTAGTCAGAGCACCAAAATAAATTTCTTGGTACTCATTTCCTGCTTCATTTGAGATTCCATCTATGCACTGTTTGGTTAGTCCTGTATCAAATGCCGTTGGTTCTAGAGTAATCACTATTTGCGTTCGCACTGTACGACATCGTTGGATGGGGATTTCAGATATCCAATCACAGCCTTCATGTAAAATATCAAGCACATGGTACTCGCGGCAATTGTAAATATCGTGGTTTTCGAAGGATCAGCGGCTCGCTAGCCCAAAAAGGAAGGTCATAAAGATCAGCGTGGTCGACTTTGACATTTAGTTAGTCTCCCATCATGATAGGCAGACCCTGATAGAAGGAAGACAGTCGTTCCTCTTGGAAGACACAATCAGTATACACAACAATACGGCTGGTCTCGTTATAATATTCTACAAGAATCCGACGTTCGGTATATTACTAGTATGTGGCCACGTTCTTTTACGTCGTATGCTAACGTACTCGATCTGTAATAGAATCTTAGCATCACTGATGGCATGACACTCCAGCTTCAGGGCACCCCTCACCGTTATTTCGCCATGCTTTCATATGTTTCATGTGTCATGATGGATGCGAAGTCGGTCCACACGTGTTGCATTACATACTGACCGCGGGCATGAAAACGTCATTATCGCTTTTGTGTACTTACTACTTAGGGGCCTGCCGGGCCCGAGATACGTGACTCGGACATGATTCAAGAAAAAATGGAGGGTGAAATTTGTATTGTACACATGCCGCACGTGTAATATTACCTCAGTCTTGAAAAGAAGGGTAACAGCTCTGAATATTGGTAACTAGTACTTGTGCATGTGTAAATCGGATAACAAGTCAGAGCGCATTGGTGGCCCGTTCACCGGACGCGGGTAAGTAACCCTATATTCTTGATTTGAGACAGGATAGATGTACTATACGTCTTTATCGAATTCGAATAGGATGTGTAGATTAGACATGGACAGGAAGTACTGGATTGTTTCTCTATTTCAATTGAGTAGTCTTCTACAGGTGCAGAGCATAATATTTGATTGTACCTACGTTACTAGTATCTACAGATGTGCTTTGACAACAATGGACCAAATATCACCTTTCAAAGCTCTTTCCCCTCTAAAGACGACGTGGAATCATCAATATTCTTGATCGGGCCATGGAACCACTTATGCGCTGAAACGACCCAAGAGATAGACGCAAAGACGAACACGCCCATGATAATCACAACAGCGTAGTCTGTACCATCTCGTCAGCGACCGAATCAAGACCATCAGAATCGGTCGATATACGTACTCATCCCCACCGGGGTGGCTGTTTGTGTTGAGGGAAAGAACAATAATACAACAATGAATGATACCCATGCAACCGCTATGATCCCAATAGGCATATACCACCTTCCCAGGCTGAATGTGCCAGGGACTAGCTTATCACGGCCCGATGTGATACGAAGGAAGATAGGTGTTGCATAAGACACGTACAAGCCGATGACAGAGGCCCTGGAAGGTGGATAACTCCTGAGGATATGGACTTTACGAAGCGAAGTCCAACGTACCCCGCAAGGGATGAAAGTGCAGCAGCAGAGAAGCCTAACAAGCCACAGACAGCAGCACCAGCCATTACCAACCAAACAGCATTTACAGGAGTTTGCGTGTGCCGATTGATCCGCTTCCACCAACGAGAGCCGGGAAGAGCGTTATCTCTCGCAAAAGCGAAGATGACGCGAGATGCATCGACTCCTTGTGCAGCTCCCGTCACGAACTAATCAATCGATTATTCATGCGAAAAACAGATAATGATAATTCTTCACCGTACCTGGACAACAATGATAAAACTCCATATTGCTAGCATCCCTCTTTTTCCAAGTACATCCAAAAATAGCTGACCCATGGGAAGTGGTAAGGCACTAGTCAACAAGTCGGTCACTGAAGCCGTTGCAAAGGAGCACGCGATGAAGAGAAGCCAGCCTAGTACTTGTGTCCCGAATACACCCACGAGGATTGCAATGGGTGCTGTACGCTGAGCACCGGCTACCTCTTCAGAGATGTGCGCAGCGGAGTCATCTGGAGTTCTATGAAGTCAATACTACATCTGCAGACAACATTTGCCTACTCACAGCCCGTGAGCGTCCACATTGGAGATGTGAAAGCAAGAAGGAAAGCCCATCCATCTGTACACGCGGTCGGTCCATGCCCTCAGATTACGGACCAGTACTCACTGTTGCTCCATCCTGTGTTGTTCTCGAACATAGTGAAGGCATCTTTGGTGGATACTTTGTTGTCACCAGAACAGACGAGTAGAGCAACGATGGCGGCTATAGTGGTACCAACTGTTGGAAGAAATTGGGATCCGGAAGTCCATCTACACCTCGTAAACTAGTACTTGCCGTTGACAATGACGTAAAACAGATTCAAGCGGGCCAATACGTTCGTAGCAGCAGAACACACCAGGCCATGGGTAAATAGAATGGTAAGTAAGATGCCGTATGTGGCACCAGAGCTCACTATCGTTGCTCCATCAGAGCTCACCGCAATCGCAGTAGCGATCATCTGCGCACTACACAAAGTAAGTCACAGGAAGTGTAGTGCTGCTTAACAAACCATGTAAAATCAATGGAACACACAAGAGTAACTTGGCCCGTGATATTGGCCCATCCTGGAAACTCCATAATGAGATGAGAGTTTATTTTATAAAATGTTGTCCCAACCTGTGATCCAGCTCGCTAATGCGGAGTATTTCGGAGGTGCGAGTTTAGCGGAAAAGTAATAGAGGCCAGCAGAAGTCCTAGGAGAAAACACGCATATGAGACCCCAAGCCACGGTAATGTAGAAGGCGACAAATATATTTACGGCATTGATGATACCAGCTCCGCCATTGAAGATGCCACCGTCATCACAAAGAAACAGGGGATCAGCCATCCCCAGACCATTCCAACGTGACCACCTACAGATCTCCGAGTCAGCGTCACTTGCGACTGCTGTTGGAGAGTAGGCACACACCTGAGACCAATGGAAATGAGAATGTCGATGTTACAGAAGCCACCACACCCATGATTGAGAAGGCAAAAGCAATTGTCTCGATCATCTGGACAGAATCATTTTGGCTTCCATACGGGCGGTTGATAAGGAGGGACTGACCGAGAACTCGCGCTTGAACTCGGCTTTGTACCCAAGTTCAGCGAGTAGTGTATCGTCTGCATTGCGTTGTGGAGTGGGGTAGCCCTCGATGCTGGTAGTGTGGACGCTAACTTCTGCCTGCTTCTCGCTGATCAACATTTTGTCAATGAATTTCGGACACGCCGATGACAAAAGGGCACTGGGTTCTTACTCTTCTTTTACGGCAAATATATCAGTCGAGTTGGAGATAAGGGGTCCATGTGGGCGCTTGATATCAGTTACTGGGTCATGTCAACTGTTAAGCCTCCCGCCGGAAGGTCGGTAAAAATATCACTTATCTCTTGACAGTCACGGTGACGTGGTTGTCATGTATGACAATGTGGAGTTCGGATAACGGGAGACGCACAATTGGCAATGAAGCCATAAATGATCGTAACGGCCGCGGTGCATGCGCCCCAACTCCCTGACACGTGTTAATTCTTGCTTTGCCTCATGCGCTGAAGCTCAAGTTGTGAGAGGGTGGAGGAGACAACATTTTCCCCTGCCATTATTTGACCCCAATATCTGGTGGGGAGGGAGGAGATGGATAGGTGGAGGAAGGAGGAGGAGCAAGTGTATCATATATATCATATTGTACCCAATTGCTCGGGCACCGAATTCAACGAGCTAGCTCACGCATCAACTTATATGCATCTCAAACGCGAACCCCGTAGGCTACGTACCGTACTATCATACATAATGATATCCCCAACACAGCCCATATATAGGGCACCGCGTCTTAACAGTTTCCTTTTTGTGTTCGACAGAGCCCCCCTCCCAATGTCGGGGATTCCTGCAGCACAAGCTCGTGTTCGAAAGGTCGATACGTTGAAATGTCTGGAAGTTAATAATAGATAGAAACTCTGAGAGCTACTAAATGTGGATATGTTTTACACTGCCACCACTACAACCAATCATCCAACTCGACGTTCAACGTTAACGTTCAGCATTCAATATTCAATATTCAACTGCAACTGTAACAGTAAGCATCGCCACTGCATTACAGTGTACATATTTTAATTCCCTCAGAATTCACGAACAAATTTATAGGTTCAGTAACCAGCTGTTGAACGTCTGCAAATTGTGCAATTGCAGCAAATTCTCGAGTTCAACTAGGAGTCGTGTTCTAGAGTAAATCCATCACCGTCTACTATGCTTATCTTAAATCGTCTGTGAGTGAGCATTCGCTGCCGCCTCCTGTTGCCGGTCCTTGGCAAGGGTCATGGGACCGTTCCCTTGTATATATATTGTTGCGTTGACATTCTCACCATGACTCAGACTTCAGGATTGCCCATCAACACTGTCTGAATCTTCTTGCGAGCCACGAGCACCTAATGCCTAGAAAAGTTCTCATTGGATTTGGCGTAGATGTTGATGCTGTGGCTGGTTGGTATGTCGTTTTCCGTTTGATCATGAAATGAATCAGCGCCGAGGATTATTATGCAGGCTTGGGTCCTATGGAGGAGAAGATTCTCCGTTGGATATTTCCCGAGTATGGTCACGGTAACTTTATATGATTGAGAGCTCAAGCCAGGCAGGGAATGTATGCGGGAGAAGTTGGAGTGCCTCGCCTTCTGAAGCTGTTTGATAAGTATAAGATCACAACAACCTGGTTCATCCCTGGTCGGTCCTAAGTTCAATATTCTCAAGACACGTGTAATTGATTACTCGCATGTATAGGACATAGCTTGGAGACATTTCCGAAGCAAATGGAAGCAGTTCGAGATGCCGGTCATGAAATGTAAGCTTCCCTGGATGAGGTCGTTATCTTTCTCATGTCATGCACAGAGGTCTCCATGGATACTCCCATGAGGCAAGTGGCGATGATATCGATATTAAACACGGAACTGAATGTTTCCAAAGAACCCTGTCTCTATGACCCTGGAACAACAGCGAGACATTTTGGACTACACCTACAAGCTTCTTACCGATTTCAATCATGGTGTCCCTCCAAAGGGCAGCGTCGCCCCTTGGTGGGAAACCAGCAAGGAGGGGACGACACTGTTGTTAGAAAAGGGCATCGAATATGGTCATAACATATTGCCACTCGTTTCAAGCAAGGTACTGACATCATTTCAACAGATCACTCCAACATGTCCCACGAGTAAGGCGGTATACCATTCCAGCCAGTGATCACTCATAGTAATGGTCGCATTCTTCAGTTCGCAGATGTATTATCTTCGTGATGAAGATACGTGGACAAAGATTGATTACCAGGCGCAAGCTCACACGTGGATGAAGCCGCTGCAAAGGGGCAAGGAAACGGGACTGGTCGAGATTCCTGCTAACTGGTCCGTCGATTGTATCATTGGTGTCTTCCATTTCATGCATCTTACACATTTGGAAAGGTACCTTGATGATCTTCCCCCAATGATGTTAGATGCTGCGACTTGTGTGCGAGTTTGACATACTGACATTAATCTAGGTTCATTAAGTCAAGCTCAAACTCGCATGGTTGGGTGTGTCATCATGTTTGAAGTACTTTTGAGATTTATCATTCACGTATCCAACAGGTTAATACTCGAGATGTCGAGCAGCTTTGGAAAGATACTTTCACTTACCTGTATAGGTAATGATGCCAGTTATGTTGCAATCTACTGTCTGATCACACCACTCAGAGAAGAGGAAGATTTCGTGTTCCCTCTCACGATCCACCCAGATGTCAGCGGGTCAGTCTCCCTCCTTTGATACTTGAGCGTCTCTGAGTTTTTTGGTGCAGTCGTCCACACGTGCTTCTTATGCTGGTATGTTCCATCCATCACGCTCCTTACTCTCTAAATAACTAGCGATACATAGGAGCGTTTCATTGAATGGGTCAATACCCACGATAACGTACACTGGGTAACCTTACACGGGATGGCTCAAGATTTTAGAGCCAGAAAAGGACCAGCACCAGGTGCCGTAATGCCTAAAGGCTTCCCACAGTGAAATATTGCACATAGTGTTGTCGAAGACTTCTTCACGTGGATGAATATTGAATGACATGTATCAGCGTTCTATCAAGTTGGTTTGATAACCTACACGTGTAGAAAGCCCCAGGAGATATTAAATCATGGATCGTGCCAAGAGCGAGCCGCAATAGGCCGCAATACAACCCATAGTCATGGGGTCACATAACAGAAGATCCCTCCTGCGATCCTGGTCTTTCTAAAGATATATAAAGAGCCTTTTCTGGTCACCTTTTCACCAGAAGTACTAATCTAGCAAGATGCCCCGCGAGATCCTCATAGGATTTGGTGTTGATGTAGATGCTGTGGCTGGATGGTAAGTGTTATTCCTTGTGAGCTCCGAAATGACTGTTCTATGCGACCACTTTAGGATAGGCTCGTACGGTGGTGAGGACTCGCCCTTGGACATATCTCGCGTATGATCAAATTACTTTCGACCTGTAAGACATTTTTTCCATGATCTTTTAGGGCATGTATGCGGGTGAAGTTGGCGTTTGGCGAGTATTGAAGTTACTTGATAAATACAACATCAAAGCTACTTGGTTTATCCCAGGTGAGTTCGAGTTTTCTTACAGTTACTAGGGCTTTGTACACACCATAATGTGCAGGTCATAGCTTGGAAACGTTCCCGAACGAGATGGCAGCTGTTAGGGACGCAGGTCATGAAATGTTGGTCCTGTGTCTATGTCGCGATGACCATTAACTAATAGCTATCTAGCGGACTCCACGGTTATTCGCATGAGGTGCTTTCGCATACTTAACCCAACTGGACTGAGATGGCTCAACCAATTTTACACAGAATCCAGATTCATTGACGCCAGAGCAACAACGTGACATTCTTGATTACACATATAAATTGCTCACGGACTTCACCATGGAGTGCCTCCAAAGGGCAATGTGGCACCGTGGTGGCAAACAAGCAAGGAAGGCGTTGCCCTCCTTCTAGAGAAAGGAATCGAGTACGGTATGCCTACAGGTCGTGTCATGATACTGGGTCGTTCTTATACTTCTATGTAGATCATTCGAACATGTCTCGCGAGTAAGGATCTGTGATATGTATACCCCGCTTGGATATTGACTACCGTCTTTACAGCTCTCAGGCACACTACCTTCGTGACCAAGATACGTGGACCAAAATCGACTACAAGGCGAAGGCGCATACGTGGATGAAGCCTCTTCAGAGGGGAAAAGAAACAGGTCTCGTTGAAATACCTGCTAGCTGGTAACACTGCCCACTTCCGGAGTGATCAATCATAACTCAATTTTCCATCAAAGGTACCAAGAAGACATGACACCGATGATGTGCGTTTTATACTTCATAGAAAAGCGTGCTTCATTAACGCAAAACCCAGGTTCATGAAGGCTAGCAGTAATTCTCATGGATGGGCAAGCAAAACATGGCACAATTGTTGAGACTGTTTACTGACTTGACCACGTTCAGGTCACCCCTCAAGCCATCGAGCAGCTTTGGAAAGATACCTTCACGTATCTTTACAGGGAAGAACAAGATTTCATTTTCCCGTTATCTATCCATCCGGATGTCAGCGGGTAAGCCTCATACATTGCTTTCGCATTTGAAATGACTGATTTATTCGATTTAGACGTCCGCAAGTATTACTCATGCTGGTGAGTAGCTCTGATGACCTGCAAGCGTGCCTAGGTGACCCGCATTCCTGCGCTTAGGAACGGTTCATCGAATGGATTAATGCTCATGACGACGTGAAGTGGGTTACGTTCCATGAAATGGCAGAAAGGTTTAGGGCGAAGAATGATCCTCCTCCGGGTGCTGTGATGCCAAAAGGATATGTGAAATGCAAAGCACGGCTGTAGTAGAATGGACCCTAAAACGCCAGCTGGCTGAAAATGATACATAAAGTGATACCTAGCCTTAATGGCTAGTGACCTAGGTTATTTGGATGGACGATAAGCGCTTAAGCAACGGTCTAGGCTAAGCTAGAGGTCAATAGGAGGTTCGCCAAAATGGGCTGATAATATATTGCCACCTTACCACGCCAAAGTACAAGAGGGCATTGAAGGCGTTCCGAACATCCCGCTTTACTCATCCGTCCATGTCACGGTAGCCTGAATATATAGCTCCCACCTCGTGATCGATAATACCTAGGTTTCGGTGGCACATGCGCGTCCATATCATGGATCCTATAAGAACTCAAGATTGCCCACCCCGGCCCACTGCCAAGTTCAATTTGAATATCTCAAGTCGTCTTATCATTCACACCCCAAGCAGACATGCCTGCTGCCCCACCTATCCCACATATCCCTGATGAGCTGCAGAAGGGTGTCAGTGTTGTCGTTGAGACGAAGTACGGTCCTGTCAAGGGTGGCAGAACTACAAACGGCGCTTCAGTGTTCTTAGGTGAGGTTTTCGACCAGATCCTTCGCACTCACATGCTGAACCAAGTACCTAGAGGTGCCCTACGCGTTGCCACCAGTTCGCTTCCAGGACCCAAAGCCTCTACCTCCTGATTATCGATATGAAAACAAGGATTACATTTATGAGACTAAACGTATGTCAAATCATCAAACCCTTGTAAATCATTGGCATAAGACGGAATTGCCTTAGACTGCGTTCAGCCCTCGAATGATGGACAGGGCGCAGCGACAGCACCAGTGGATCGTAAGGGCTACGGAGTGCCGTCAGAAGACCCGTAAGCAATCCAGGGTATCGTTTCCAGCTCTAAATCTAACACTTTCATTCTTCAGCCTCTTTGTCAATATTGCGTGCCATTCATCATCGAAACCTGGAGCGAATCTGCCAGTCAAAGTATACATTCACGGAGGGTAAGTCGTGCATATACCTATAACTCTCGGTTACCCATTGTCACAGATTTCTTCAGTTTGGTTCACCCCATGGTTTGAGCTCCCAGTCTCAATACGTGGCCGAGTTAAGGAAGGAAATTCATGTCAACATCGGCTATAGAATCTCGGTGCTTGGTTTCCTTGCGTGCGACGAGCCCAAGATAGACGGAAACTTTGGCTTTAAAGATCAATGGTTAGCGCTTCAGTGGATTTCGGAGAACATTGCATCATTTGGAGGTAAGCTTGAACGCATGTCATGGATTTCGTTGATATCCTGACAACATGTGCAGGTGACCCAAGTAATATCCAACTTTCTGGGCTGTCTGCCGGTAAGTCAAGATTTCCTTTGAACTCACAGCATTGCCAACGAGCAACAGGTGCCCATGCCGTACACCAAATCTTGCATCACCTTTCACACCTGCCACCAGGGCAGAACTCTCCGTTCCGTTCTGCTCATTTGCAATCAAACGCAATGATGTGAGTTACTTTTATCACTTACTGTCAAGTTACTCATTACCCGCAGGACTGTCCCTAAAACTCCGTTGGAGCTGAGGCAGTCCTTCCAAGCCCTTTGCCGTGCCCTCGATCTCGATCCTAATGCCCCTGACATTTTGGAAACTCTGAGAGACCCTGCCAAAGTTCCTATCAAAGCCATGATGAAGGTGATAGAGACAGATGAAGTTGGTGTCGAGCACGGCACGTACCGAGGATGTCTTGATGGCAATTGGATCCCTACCGCACCCGATCCAATGACCTGGCAACGGTCGGGAGGCCTTGCTCGTGCTCTGCGCGATAAAGGAGTCAAGAGCATTTCTATTGGCGATCTGAGCGAGGAGTGGTACCTTTACGCGATCGCGCACCCGGTTAAAGGTCCACAGGATGTGTTCCCTAACATCTTGCGGTACTTCCCACGTCCCGTCGTTGAGAAGCTTGTGAACATGTACCGGACGCTCCCGAGTACAGCAACTGTCGAGGAATCGATGAGGCACATGGGAGACATTCTAAGTGATGGACAAGTGCACATCCCCGTGAGGATGTTTGCAAGAGATTTCCAACAGGCGGGGTTCCCAATTCTCAGGTATGCGATCCGCTGGACTCCAGAACAACTGCGTCCAAAAGGTATCTCATTATCTGTAGGGTTGTGAGGTGATTGCTGATGCTCGTGCAACAGGGTGGGTCACGCATGCAACTGACCGCTGCTTCTGGGCTCTCCGTATTCCGAGCATGAATTATCCGCAGACGAAGAAGGCGATTGAATGGCTTGACGCATTCGACAAGGAGATCGCCGCCCTCGAGCAACAGGGCAAGCCAATGCATAAACTTGATGAAGCCCTGACCATGCAGGAGGACCAAAGCATCGTGTGGGCAGAAGACAAGAGATGGGCCGAGTTAATGAACGTTGCAAAGATATTGCCTGGTGAATCCTAAACGTTGTTGAATCCTTGCACTCATGTAATCTAAGAATGATGATGGTGATCTCCGAGTGAAAATCAATGTATAATACGTTCTACATCATGGATTTGAGTCTGGCAATTAAAATAAAATAAAATGCAAGTTTATTGTCCTTTGTCATAGACCCCTTTCGCAACATTCAGTTATAGATCGCAAGTCATTGCGATGGCTTTTGAAACGCAGAATTCACAAGGACAAGTTGATAGAACATACTAATACAAATCACTAGTTAAACATTCAACGGCGCCTGAAGAAGTCTCAATACGAATGTACTGTAAGAAATGCACTACATTATACAAACAAGCTTAGGCCTTCTTGAAACCCTTAGGCATGACGGCACCTGGTGCTGGGTCATTTGTAGCTCTGAAATCTTGAGTCATTTCATAGAAGGTCAGCCACTGGATGTCATCGTGAGTATTGATCCATTCAATGAATCTCTCCTATGACCACTAATGAGTTGGAGAACAAGGAGGACGTCGGGTGAAACATACCAGCATCAGCAGTACATGTGGACGACTGTGTCAAAGATCGAGGTCAGAACGCTCATATGGCAAGAAGTGGAGACTGAGTCTGACTGACCCGCTAACGTCCGGGTGGATGCTGATGGGAAATACAAAATCTTGCTCTTCTCTGTTTGCTATAAATCAACAAGGGGCTGAAACCCAATAATCTTATCCTTACCTATATAGGTAAGTGAATGTATCTTTCCAAAGCTGCTCGACAGCTTGAGTGCTGACCTGATGGATACGTGAATAGACGCGAAAAGGTTTTTAAACGTGTTGGCATACCCAACCATGCGAGTTCGAGCTTGATTTAATGAACCTTGACTGGTGTCAGCGTGTTGCTTTTGTGCACAACTTGTGTCTTACATCATGGGGGAAGATCGTCAAGGTACCTTACCACACGTATAATCAGCACCAAATCAGCGGGGAAAACATTGGCAATATATTTGACGGACCAGTTACCCGGAATCTCGACGAGCCCAGTCTCCCTGCCCTTTTGCAGCGGCTTCATCCACGTGTGAGCTTTCGCCTGATAATCAATTTTTGTCCATGTATCTTCGTCACGAAGATAATACATCTGCGAACTGGATGAATGTGGGTCTGAGTATTTCATGACTGGTATACCGACTCACTCGTGGCACATATTGGAGTGGTCTGTTTAAAAGGCGTCAATACCTCTCTTGAAACGAGTAGCAATATATTGTGACCATATTCAATGCCCTTGTCTAACAACAGCGCCGTCCCCTCTTTGCTGGTCTCCCACCAAGGAGCGACGCTGCCCTTCGGAGGAACACCATGATTGAAATCCGTAAGAAGCTTAAAAGTATGGTCCAAGATGTCACGTTGTTGTTCCAGGGTCATAGAGACAGGGTTCTTTGGAAACATTCAGTTCCATATCTAATATCGATATTATCGCCACTTGCCTCATGGGAGTATCCATGAAGACCTCTGCACATGACATGAGAAAGATAAGGATTTCATCCAAGGAAGCTTACATTTCATGACCGGCATCTCTAACTGCTTCCATTTGCTTCGGAAATGTCTCCAAGCTATGACCTACACATGCTATCCGTCAGTTCCTCGTGTCTTGGAAGCATTGGACTTGAGACAAACCGGGAATGAACCAGGTTGTTTTGATCTTATACTTATCAAACAGCTTCAGAAGGCGAGGTACCCCAACTTCTCCCGCATACATTCCCTGCGCTGATTTAGGCTCGTAATCATATAGCATCAATGTGAGCATACTCGAGAGATGTCCAATGGCGAATCTTCTCCTCCATAGGACCCAAGCCTGCATCATAATCTCCATTGCTAACTCTTATCATCTACGAATGGAAAACAACGTACCAACCAGCCACAGCATCAACATCTACGCCGAATCCAACGAGAATTTTTCTAGTCATAGGTGCACGTTGTTGCTAAGAGGTCAGGCAGTATCGACAGGGGAGTCGTCAAGTCCGAATAATGGTAAGAACTGCAGCGCAGCGCTATATATATGAAGAACGTATAAGAGGTCCCATGTCAAACCACATGATCCTAGGCCATGGCAGGCGGACCGCCATTATTGCCGGGGAAAGGCAACGGAACGTATGGCTCCAGGCTTGCAGGCGTTTTAAGATAAGCCTTTTCAGACCTCAATACAGCGATGGGTCATGGGTGCCTCCACTCTACTCTGGAGTACTAGTGACATGTTACTAGAAGGCAGCCCGATGCCAAACAGACCAAATAGAAGGAAGATAATCGTTGGTTTTTCGGATCTTTGTCATGATCTGGTGCAAATATTAGCCTGAAACCTCGCATAGATACAGGTCACATAATGTAAAAGAGTGAAACACTACTGTGGTCGAGGTAATCGCTGAGTCGTGGGTGTTCTTTGCAAAGAGCTTCCGTGGTCAAAATTGAGTTTGTCTGACATGTCCAAATTTAGAAACTCTGGTTGTTTAACATCTCAAAGACATAGTCCAGACTGGTTACGAGTCTAACTACCACGGACAATTTAAGGTCGAGTGGTGACTCTACTGTTATTAAATAGACGTGAGGTCAGATCGGTACCTAGTGCCCAGGGCTTGAACCTCAAAACAAGAAAAATACAATCCCTACTTTGATCCACCTAAGTAGCTAAGCTTCAAATACTAGCCCAACTTGTACGCTGCAGCCTGTAGCTCGATACTCCACAGACCGCTTCGGTGTGAGTTATAAATAGGATCCAAGTCAATTATTCGAACTTCGTAGCGGCCTCAATGCGTTTCTCCTGAACACGCTTCTTGAGGTCTTTCCATATGTGAACTCCGAACAACACACTACAGCCCACATAAGCAGCCTGGACGTAAAGTTAAAGGTGCAAGACTCGAGGATTCGTGAAACAAACTCACTGTCACTGCAAAGCCTTTTACGAAACGCCTACAAAGTGACAAGGTATACAGTCCTTCAGCGCTGTGAATAACACCGAGGATTGTAGCAAGAGTTCGAACAGAGAAACCGAACCCGGTGAGGCCTCTAAACGCGTGTGCCAAGGAGAAGAACGCATCCACGTTGGTGACAGGGATAGAGAAGAATGTTGTGCCAGGGGGTGGTGGTGCAAGAAGATAAAAGTACGCGAGAAAAATGAATGGTGTCATGATAGCCTTGGGGGGAAACCGGAATGTGGTCAATTGGGGAGCTTTGAGCTAAAGTGGATGCATCAGAAACAAGACAGGTTGAAACCTATATTACTTGCGAACACGTACAGTACCAAGACCTTCAAGCGCCTCTGTCTTCATAGTCAAGAGGCGGGGTTTGGCATCATCGTATTTTGAAAGCGGTGGATTAAATGATACCCTAACCGACTTCGACTCGGAGAGTCCAGACTGCTTATACAGAAGTGTCATGCCCTGATATATTTGTCAATGCCAGTTGAGCACAGGAAGTCCACTGCCCTAGACTTACCTTTGAGTCAATGCTAGACATCTCGGCAGTAAGTACATGGTCGTCGATATTCCCGAAATATTTGACATATGCAACCAGTGTACTAGGATAGTTCTTCATGTACGTGCACAGGGAGCTAGAGTTCGAAGCGACTGGGTCTGACATGGTTGCCATAGAAAACTTGTTATGTCGTGTCGATTATGGTACTGACGTCGATTCTGGCGGCAAGTTTCGCTCGAGTGATTCCCTACTTAAGATCCCCAAGTCGATCTATATTTACCAGCCTTGCTGGCATACGGCTCGGGGATGGCCCTTGGATGGCCCCGACACGAGTATGCTCCGACTCGGCGGATCCTAGTTCGGAGATAAGACTTACCACTGGTTTGTGCCATCCCCACATCTCATACCACACTTGGTCTGGTAAAAATGTTAAAGCTACTTAAACCAAACTAAATCATAATGCTCCAGAATGCCCTATGAGCTTGAATGAAGAGTGCAGTGCCCTGTTAACATTCCTGAAGTAGATCGGCTCCCAACAGGGTGCCTTAACGTATCAATTACATCAGGGGCAAAGACCTCATAGTAGCCTTGATACCTGGGCCCTAGACCTTCGACACAGCCAAATAAGAGTCTGCAACAGATGCTGCTCAGATTGGCTAAGGAAGCAGAGTCAGAAACAACCCCGCTGGCGCTTTCAGGAATGGAAGAACACGAGGTAGTCCACCAGGCCTGATCTTCATAGTTAGTGTTAAAGCTCTTCAAGTATTCAATGAGCTTGAATGAAGTCACTCGCCATTCGGAGTCGCTAAGTAAATCCATCGAGAGAGTGCCTCTAATTATTCAACTGGATGGCCTGCGCACGATACAGAAAGAGTCGGTTTCGACTTTTCGCCCCATGCCTTTCGTTCGCCTCACCCGTCGTGTTCGTACCACCCGAGGGAATACTTAGTTGCGGCCCGGAAGTTGTATACTTGTGGCGGACCGTGACAGTACCAATGGGCTGGGTTTGCTGTTAAGGCAATGAGCTTGATCAAGGCTTCAGTTTGAATGAAGACGTGAGCGCTGGGTGAGCACACATGAATGATGCGAACCAAGTTACGGAGGTTGGGGCCATGTGGCCTTGGCGAAGCTTGGAGCTTGCCACCTCCATGGGTTCAATGGCGATGTATTCCTGTCAGTGGAACCAGCGGGTCATTAGTACCATGTAATCGAACTGGATCACTGGCTTGAAAATCACGGCAGAAAGCATTTAGAGCGTCGCTATAATTTAGAAATAAGATAGTTTGTCTGTGGTATTGATACAAAAAATGAAATACCGACAGAGAAACGACCCAGTTAAATTGAAAAGATGTGCCCTATTGCTAGTGGGCATACACGCCGCAGACCCAAAAGTTGAAACAGATACAGTGAGATAAATGACTGGGAGATTTGCGAGTAGAGACGGGTATCCGGCATGCTGTGGTAACATGAAGTAGGGGTCTGTACTAATCGTGAGGTCATGAATCTAAAGCATCAAAGCGAAGCCCAGTGCAGAGACGCCCAGGGTTAAAGCAGTCTTCCAGCCGATGCTCTGCGCGGCTAGGCCGAGTCCACCGCCAGTTGCTTGCGAACCAGAGGATGGCGTCGAAGTTGGAGATGCGGTCGTAGTACTAACGCTAGTGTTCTAAATATCACTGCTGGGTGAGTCTGTTCTGCTACCGGTGAGACTGGCATTATTACTTACGGAAGAAGTAGCACTCGGTGTTCCAAGTGCACTGACTGTAGCCGACATAGAGCTCGTGGTACCAACGGTGGTAGTTGAAGTCGAATTGACGAGCGCGCCGGTACCCCAAGGAATGGCCGAGCCGTCGGGCTGGGTGCTCTCAGCCGCAGGGACGATGTCGTTCGCGGTGTCAGTGATCGTGAATCGTCCAGTCCAGACACTGTTAGCGGAAGCTGGAGAAGAAAACTGGTAAAAGTAGATAGGCGAGTAGGGTGTGACCTGGGGGGATAAGAACGATTACGATGTGTATAAAGGTGGAATGAGACTGCCACCAACCTGAGGACAAGGATAAGAGAATGAGGCCTTCGTCGCGTCCGTTCCGTCAACGGTGCCGACCGCTATCAACAGTTGAAGGTTAGTATCTCATGACCGAATATATGAACGCACTGGTCAAGTTGACCATGTCGAAGTTGTTTCCCGTCTTCAACTGGATGATCATAGTCGTCCACACGCCAGTGGTATCCGGGTTCCAGCTAATAGAACAGGCCTGGCCCTCGATGAAGACATCTCCAGGCCCAGGATTAGGTTGGATCTGGATCGGCATGTACGAATATAGCAGCAGATGAGGCCAAAATGGTCAACGCGATAGGCAATAAGCATGTTTTTTGTACGAAAGGACTCGGAGACTGCTTTAAACTGGAGGTTGACAAAAATATAATGTTGGCGGTTGTGCCCATCACTAAGGTGCAGCAATAATGAATATCTTGCGACTTACTGAAAGACTATAGTTAAGACGACTCGCAAGACTGGGAAAATAGTAAAAGAGTGACTGGTGAAGTGCAAGGGAGCTTATGATGGGTGAAGGAATTTTAACTTTCCGAACCAAATTTTTGTACCACGTACGTCAGACCGGCGCCTGTAACCAAGGAAGGTCAGCCCCCAAGTGAACATGCTCCCGATAGGGCCAGCCTCCAGGTTAAGTTTATCCGTCGATCAAGAGGCTATCATACGTGTGCCAGTGCCTGAGTCAAGGATGGGTACCCGAGCACCAACTTGAATCATTGGGTGTGACCCACTGGCTGCTGGTTCACACACTGTGACACAAACCTAGCCAGTGGGGCCTGGGCCTCATGCATGCATAGGGCACTCTGTAGTCCGGACTCCGCTACCTTCAACCTCTCCTCGACCGTTTGCCAACGACGAGCAAACAACAAAGCTATAGACAGCGACATGACCATCAACACCACCGCGCAAGCTGCTGCTCGTGATGGCATTTGAAGTAATAGGTAACGATGGAGACAATGGTTATGAGAAGGTGACAAGCCAAGCCAACGCGTGTCTTCGCTTTGCCTCGATCTCCCCAGCGTCCTAGTGCCCAGCGAGTCGCTTACTCTTGTGCCTCGCATATCCTTGCACGCCCAGGATCGTGTGTGCAACGGGAACAATCACTGCCCGATGTTCAAACTTTTTCGGCCGCAGCAGTAGCGATCCTATTAATCTCAGGTTCCTTTAGTTTCCGGTCCGCGTTTAATCGGGGTTACCAGTGAACATGGCTACAATGTCCTCTATTCACGCGCAACATTATCTCCAATGAAATGGCTCGATTTTTGGGTACGCGCTCTTGCCAACCGTCGTTGAATGTGACCCATCAGCGAGTCATTCGCTCGGACAACCGTGAACTCCGTCAAGACTCATGCTAGGTATTAAATAGACAACAGGTCATGTTTGTGCATGCTCGGTATGCCTGATGTTAGATAATAGACAGAACCTACAAATTTGCCATCACATTGTATCTGACTCATCTCCCTAAGTCGATTGCTGGAATAAGTTCCTTATTAACAAGGTCTAAGGTCCAGAAGAGTTGAGTTTCCCGAATGCACTGGACAGAAGACTTACTTGTCTCGGCAATTCCCCAGTGTGCCATGCGGCTCACGCCAAGCCTCCTCTGGGTCTCACCAATGCAATGCACGGTGCATCAATGCCCGGGGTGCGGGTGGCACCCAGAATAGGAGCTGGCTCTGGGGTCCAACCATCCGTCCAAATCAACTTGCAAAGAAATTGAAGTCCACGAGTAGGCATCTTCGGACGTCCTCTGTGGGATGGGTAGCACAATTCTATCTGGTGAGAATTCTGAGCAATGTGTCTCGGGCTGATGCGTCGGAGTGATCCTGGCTGCACATCACCGCATCGCGATTTCGTCACCTTCAACATTGTACACATACTCCATGCTTGTCGCATCGCATCTCTATTACACTTCCCCCTACTATTCCTGCACTTTTCAGAACTCGTCAGTTTACATTTACGACGAACCCGATATACCTGATATGGACCCTCGCCATCATATCTTCAGGACACGATGTGTGTACACACAGTGTACCTATTAACACCTGCAACATGGCGAGCAGTCGAGGAAGACGAAACAGAGTTCCTCGGAAGATAAACACGGAGGAAAATTACACACCTATTGCACAGAAAAATGAAGGCGATGCAGTCCAATCGTAACACCTTCCATGCACGTGATGCACTCCCAAACACCAACATCTCGGTAATGACGAACCAACGATAGCACGATGGTTGAGATAGCTGTGTTGCTATCTGCAATAATTAGAACTGAGTGTTGGGCAGGCATGACTGTCATTACGAGTGATGAGCTAAACTATGAGAAAGGTAAGTCGAAAGCTGACAAGAGTAGCCTACTTAGCGGAATTATACTGCTTAGCCCACAGAAGTGCACAAGTGAATAGGCAAGTCACTATACCTGAAGGGTAGCGCATTTAAATTACTAGTTCACGGCCCCAAACATACAACAGTGTGAAATATTCTTCGAATAGTCCTGTAGAAGTTCCGATGGTAGTCAACAATCACAGTAAGCGGCCAGATCTAGCCTTTAAGCTTCATGGGAAAAAGACATAGATCAGGTCGATTACTGTGCATGATGAAGTACCAAGATTAGCCAAACCAGGATCAACAGCGGACGCGTATAGTAACGTATCGTTCGAACGTTCTTACAGTCCATCGCTGAGGTTCCATATTCATCCGAGAAATGCAGACCAGCACATTATGCGTCATAGGCATGAATCTTTGAAGATGATTCACGACACGCTAACTAAATATACATAAAAACGTACCTCTGCCGCTAATTTTGTCCACTCCGTCAAGGACCTAAGATACTCGTCTTTGCCTTCATCCACCGGTATGTCTGGGGACCAAACAATCAAGGAAGAAAACCTTGAGACCGGAGTCAGTTTCCGAATTTCAACACGCGAGTCATCATGATCTGCGTCCACCGCATCGTCCTCATCTATCTCCATCTGTCGGCTGCATGTTCGTGTTGCTCGACCCTTGCCTCTTGTTTGAGCCATTGTTTCAACCGTCCCAGTGTCATCGCCTTGACTCTTTGCATCACTGCTCGGTGCACTAAGGACTATGCCGCCGTATCCTTGTGGCAGTTCCACGGTACGACCGTGCACCTGCCTCCCTCTGAATGCTGCGACAAAGTTATTGCTGAGACTATCTTCTATTGGAGGCATCGCAGGTGGCGCGCGAGCTACTTCGCTTGATGAGCTGGCCTGAGCCCCAGAATCCGCGTCGACTACCATAGCGCCCACTCCTGCAGGACATTCCTGTGAATCCCCCTCTAATGAAGCAGATTGTGATTCGGCAATTGTAGTTAAGGAGTATTGAGACTCTTCAGCGACGAGGGTGTTCTGGCTGTTGTCTGTGGACATGTGTGTTTCGTTGGACGTGTTTTGTGTAAGGGAAAGGTGCGGGCTAGAAGGCGCCGAGGGCTTGACGCGAAAGTATGTGGATATTGGTGCGGGCCCTGAGTGAGATATGTGGAATGGCATGAGATTGGGCGAGCATTCTGGGAGGTCGAGAGTAACAGGTGATATTTCCATGCTGGCGGTGCTGGTTGGTCAGATCTAGGGTTTTCATCGAAATTCAAGCTCGTGTCAAATTGTCAATGGTCACGTAATGCTATTACATTCGTTGACTTTGATTATTCTGAACCACTTAATACTTGTCGTCTGTTAAACTTATCCTGCGACACCTACGACGTACAGTTGGCCTCGTCTGCACAATCTGAATCATCAACATTGCAACCCTGCTATTGCCTTTAAATGCTGTCATTTCACATGTCCATCATGCTGTTGCTCAAGTCACAAGGTATGGTTCATGCACCACTCCGATTACTCTGCTCAACATAAATTTACACACTTTAAATTTCAATACCGCTTCCGCGAGGACTATCCTGAGCGACCGACTTAGCTAGGGACATTGGCTTGAAATTCATGGATAATTTATGAAGAACAACATACAGGTTCTTCTGAAGATACCCCTGTGCGAGCCCTTTATCTGCGTCGACAAACAGCGGTTTGGAACCTGTTAGAGGGAAAAGTTTGTTGATGACAGGAGGAGAAGTAACCAAGGGAAAGTGGGTGAGTGTAGGACTTATCGTTCTCGTCCTCCTGAGTCCTCATCTCTGTATGCCTGTAAAAACAAGCAGACCGTCAGCATGTTGACCATCACAAGCAAATTGAAATGCAGCACTCGAACTCAAGCTTCAAGTGCGCTTTTTTGATCTCATAGTTCAACGGGAATGATGATGATATCTACTTAGGCGAAAGAAGATCTGAACGACCTGAAGTTGAAAAACATACTTAGGAGGCTATGAGGCATCTTCAAGTGAGTTTTTTTCCACATAAAAATTCTTCAAGTTCTTCGCTGCCGACACCAGCCTCCCTGAGAGTTTGTTTTTAACTCGTTGGATTGTTTATTCTGTTTTGTGTACTCCGAGTCACCATTGGGCATTTTGCATACGTTTCTACACAGAACGGCGGCGGTAGAAGTTACAACCTGCACATCGAACCATGAGGCGATTTCGTACACAGAATTGGAATCGCTGTGGACTATCTAATCAATACACGGCCAATGTGACAAGAATACTCATTCTGAATGGCCCGCGACAATAATGAATACTCAGAAGAAGTCAAACGTCTGTAACAGCATGCCTTGGAGCGGCTAGCACTTGACTAGAATGGTCGGTGCTAAGAGTACTTACATTCTAGATTCGGATATGCAGGTTTCTGTGGCATTGCATTGTTTCGATATCGCAAGTCTTATCGGACACTTGGCAGCTGGTAGTGATGTGTGCCCACAATTTATGCTTGACTGTGGTCGCAATGAGCTTTGATTGTTCCACAGGGTGCACGTCCACAATCTTCATCGTGCTAGTCACCGTCGTGATTGACGGTGGCATTATTCGGTCGCCATTATCACGCTGTGGGGGCTTTCAGACAATTCACAAATCTGCGCGTCCACAGCTCACCATTTAAGGCGTGTTATGGCCCTACCAGCAATCTCTTAAATACGCTCATCGATTTGCTCCTTCTCATTATCGCCCCCTTCCCCTCATTCTGATCATTGCCCTGTCGCCAGGCAAGGTTACTCAAAAGTTGATCACTCCTTCATCGTCTTCGGAACCCCATTCCAGCGCTTCATCCAACGCGCCCATCATAATGCCTACGGATCTTTGCTTAGACATCCCTCTTCTTCCACACCCGGACTCAGACTCAGACTCGGCCGACCCTCCAGCCCCCACTCACACCTTCGCCTCCACACACCTAGGGACAGCAGAGGCGTCCCAAATTCTTCCGGCGACAGGCTCCTATGGCCCCTTTCGTATTTGGCGTGTTTTGGGCCAGGGTGGGTATGCTACGGCAATGGGAGCCCAAGACATAGCGACAAATCGCTTGTTGTGTCTCAAGGTCTTCCGGAAGGACCGTCTTAAGCACATGTCTACAAAAGAGGTTCTTTTGACTGAACTCGAAGTGTACAAGCGTCTTTCATTATCGATGCCATGCCCCGCCACTAGATTTATCATGGGGCTGGAAATGTCGTTTCAGACAAAGGATCAAATATGTTTGGTCATGGTATGTGCTTTTCCCCTGCGAGCCGTTTGAGTTGTTTGACTCCATTGGACATCCCTAGGACCTCATGGCCGAGGACCTACACACTCTTCTGAGGTGTCGCCCTTCATATTGCGTCCAGCATCGTCGCAGGTGGACTGCCCAAATAGTAAGTATAGTTGACTTTCCTGGTTTTCGATGTCTCATACCTCCGACTTTGAAGGCCCTCGGGATCAATGGTCTGCATGATATAGGGATCATTCATCGGGATATCAAAGCCGAAAACATCCTGATTGATATTCGAGAGAACGTTAGGATCATCGATTTTGGCTTGTGTTATGTACACACAGATGAGGGGCCCTTGGAGCGACAACGGGGGTATGCGACAGGTGTGGCGGGAACGACCTACTGCATGGCACCGGAGGTCCTGTACAACAGAATCAACTTCCATTCTGTGAGGTACGGAGTACCCGTAGACTGGTGGGGGCTAGGCTGTATCCTCTACGAGCTTGTTTCAAAGAAACATAAGGCACGTTTCGCGTCTTCCTTCGCTGCTATCTTACTGATACCATCTTGCCAGGCGTTATTTGCTACAGAGAATCATATGCTGTTCTATCTTTCTTGGTTCTCCGACCCTAACAGAACATCCAAGCCGTCCCCTTTCTTTGAAGGTTTGAATGCAAATATCGTCAATGTACTTCTAGGAGTAAGTTTTGTATCGCTCATTTTCCAACACTATCATTTATCTTTACTGCGGTAGCTGTTGGACCCTAACCCATCATCACGGTATGGGTTCCGTGAGCTCGCAGACCATAAAGCGTTCTTGCTCCGATGTGGCACGTCAGAATTCTCCGACGCATACTCTCGTGGTAGGTTAAATCTAATTTGTCTGACAACATCGTGCTTAAAACGCATTGTAGCGCTGGAACGCGAAGAACTGCCTGATTCGCTGGCAGACTTAAGACATGGACAGGACATTCGCACAGCACCGGTTTGGTTTCCCCTAAACTCCCGGCAGAAACCACGCGTTTCAAATGTGGATTGGATCAAGCCGGCGCTTTTTTCTCCGGACTTATGATGTTCTCCAGTTGATATTTGTTTCGTTGTGATAGTCTCCATTTCAAGAACTTCATTACACTGCGTCTCCCTTCCTTGTTACAAATAATCTCAAAATGTACTTCAATCTAGACACCTTAGCGCCATGTGATTCCCTTTTCTTTCGGTTCACATATATCTTTCACATTTTCAATTCAACGTTTGTTCCATATATCCAGGCGGTGGTGGAAACGGGATGGGTATTTGAAAGTTTGACTAATTATAGTGGTAGCTGATGTCGGTGGATTGAGTACGCCATGTTGCAAGTCTTAGAGTAAGATGCTCGAGTGCAAGGTGTATTTGAACGTGGCCAAAATACTGATGGGAGGCTCTGCGCCAACTATTAGTCCGCAGAGAGCTACCTTTAAGGTCTGTCCGTCCAGAGCCTCATTGATATTCTCCATACGTCCTCCAACATTTATGACACAAATATTATTATTTGAAGCTCGTCAAGGAGAATCCATTTCATACTGATAGTTCGAGCTGACATCTCAGTAGACTATAGTGTCCGTGTGCATGCAGTGGTATGTCAGAATTTAACGGCTTTTTTCTGTCGCAACTGATCTTCTCGTGACAACACAAATTAAACTTGTAAGCCCAGTGAAGAATAGGATCACAGAGGTATAGGAACCGGCTCACAAACATGGACCCTCTTCAAATTGAAGCCACCGGTGGGTTGACACTCCTATCAAACTTCTATTGAAGCCGCTGGCATTTTAACGATTACCATGAGCCAAGTACACCACAATCATGATGACGCTCTTGCCTTCAAACAAGTAATTAGGCCATCCAATGACCCCCGAATTTCATGGCAGGATATATTCGACTCGCAACGGTAATCGTCTCCCCGTCTGCTTGTAGCCCCGACCTCAGCTGGAGTTCTATCACATTTGTACATGAATGGAGGTATGAGGACATGTCGTATCTCGACTCAAATATTCCTTGGCAGTGGCACGAGTTTGCAAAAGTTCGAAATGCAGACTACCCACATGATAGTTCTACTCTACCTCACCCAACATGATCCATGGCCTTGGCAAGCGATTATCGGCCGGGTACAGACTAGCTTGGTACTGGCGTCACCAGGACTCCATCACATGAGCGACACAGGTATGCAATCCTTTAGGACGTTGAGATGAATAGTATCGAAAAGCTCGAACGGCATTCGTCTGTGATGTCTTTGCTCCGCACGTTTGGTAAATCAATCACCAATTGAGTAACACAATTAGTGTCGCGAACCTGAAGTATTTAGCGTGACGGCGAGATTGCCGTCGCAACCCTGCGGCAAGCCCTTCGTCCTTGATGACCTCGCGGGTCAATATCCGCGCACTCAGCTCCTAGTACTCCCCCATCCTCCGAAGACAGGTCAGTCAGTGCTCTAGCGCTGTTTTGCCAACATCCTGGTTTCTGCAATCGCCGTCCAGCGTATTTCTCCTTCTTCTCCTGCTCTACGAGTGCGATACGTTCTTCAACCTCCTTCGAGAACTTGGGCCGGGTAGTGGTGCTCGTACGTGCCCACTCTGGCACGATGAAATTCTTGACGGGCTTTACAGGTGCCTGCGCCGAATGCGGTATGACGAGGGAGGTAGGATACAGAACGGCACATCGGCCTAGAAGGAGATATGACCTTGAACGGAAAAGCTGGAGGAACTGTTGATTCGGATTCCGACTGAGTTTGAAACTGAAGGATAGCTTACTCAGCAACTATTTTCGTTATTTTTCCACTTCTCCTTCAACAAGTCTGTATCGCCTCACAAGTGTCTGAAGTTAATTTGACGCTGCATACATTCTCCCGGTCGTAGCTTCAAGCTACTTGCTTTCCTCATTGATCACTAATTATAGCACGCGATCATATGCAACGACCTTCAACAACCTCGACAGTCTTGAATCTAACCCACAAACAAGTCAAGGTCCTCGTTTGGCTTTCACAATGGGGACCTGTTACGTTCGTGGAATATGAAGTTGGTCCAGTCCGCTTGCTGCGAGGCTTCGTTATGAAGTGGAGCAGATCAACATGTGGCTGGGTCAGATGCATCTCTGCAGAGTTGAGGTCGGCGGCTTTCTTTCGTCGAGCTCGTATTTTTGGGACAGACATTTCTAATTATATTTATTTGAAATTCATCACCGATACTCCATGTTGCTCTGAATACATACATTATGTAATAGACGCGCAGGAAATGTGAGATGCATTTGTCAGAGAGTCAGACTTCACTATAGCGCAATCATGATAGCAGGAAACTAGATATCTCCGTCATCCCTTTCTCGCTGGTGTGAAAGTTGTTGCCCTCTTTCAGACCTGAATCTTAATAGTAACATTCCCGACATTGTTCTGAAGATGTCAGAACTTCAAAACAGCGACTCGGACTTCAGTAGTGCAGACGTCAGTGCCTCGCGTTGACTCGGAAACCAAAGGCACAATGATGTTGGACTTCATTCTTACCCACAAAGCACCAAGCGGTCATATTTGGCTCCGAGGTAGCAGACTGGGAAATACAAATAGAAGTCTACGTCAGGTACACATATTGAGGAGGTATACAATCTCAAAGTCTGAAATATCTTCTTGGCAGCAGGCTGCATGTGACCGCTGGCTAGATGCTACACACAAGGTCGTCGGATTAGCGCGTCAATCATCAAAGCTGGGAGTACGCATGAAATTGATCATACGCCAATATGCATGAACACTATGCGCTGGTCCAAGGGCATGTCCTTGTCCCGAGCCAATGAGTGGACCACTTGGTGCAGCGCTCGCGCAGCTCGTTTAGAATTCATTTTGCCATCCCCGCACAAGTTTTTGTAGAATGCCTCAACTAAGCGCTGCACAGTACTGTCGTTGACATTCCATAATGTCCCAACGACGCTCTTAACCCCAGCGAATTGCAGGCCAGCCGCTAAGTGTATCACTTCGTCAGGAGTATCATGGTCACCGACTGCGGTTTCACAGGCAGAAAGAAATGCAAATTCATGCCGAGACAGATCCGTTTGTGTGATATCCAGGAGTGAAAGCGGTTGGTCGCACATGAGAAAGGCCGAATTGAAGGGGTCCTCATATTTCTGTGTCCCGTGGCACGCAAAATGGAGCCAAGTATTCTCTCGTAGCAGCGTGCAGTGCCCTTGATCTTGTTGCATCAACGCTCGTTATCTTGGTGAAAGAAACCGTCGGGGAAGGGGGTAAAAGACTCTGCACTAATTCCAGTTCAGGCTCCACACTATCCAAAGTGAATGAAGCACCGGCTGGGCGATCTTGACCAATGGCGGCAAAGGACACTGACAGAGACCTGTCATGTCTGCGAGCCTTTATCAGCGTGGTAAGCTGATGGCGTGTATGAAGAGACGTAGAGCTGTGAAAGGAACTGCCCATGTTTCCTGTACTCACCAGCAGTGTGCAGCGGCAAGAAACTGAAGACAGATGTTGGGCACCACCATATTCGGGAACCTCATGGCGCAAATCCGCCCAGCTTTTCGACCACCGAGCGGACAACATCGTCCCACAACTCCACCAAGACCTTTGTCAGTGCTTCTCCACTTGTGCATTGAAGTTTGACCACCAATGTCTGGAGTTTCTCAAGATTGGTAGGGAGTTGAATGCTAGTTGGAGGTTGCTGGTACGGGATAATAATGGTGTCGCAAGACGATTTGCTTGCGATGAGCACAATGATAGGCCCGTCACGAGCTGCATCTTGGAGATCAGAGAACAAAGGAGGAAGTAGGAAGCGAGAGAAGCCCTCGATCTTCCGGATCTCTTCTACAGCTCTATTCCAGTCCTCTACTAGACGTCTGTACCGGGTTTCTTCTGCTTCTACAGCGACTATTGGGGACCCTTCTGGATGGCTTGCAGGAGGTTTATCAAGAAGGGAGCTGAGGTCTCTGAATCTCTTCATCAGGGCCACTGCATGATCACCGCGAGTCTGGAGGCTGTCAAGAGGCGTGCGGAGTCGTGTCATCTGGGTCCAGATGACTGTCCTGCCTTGTTCCAACAACTCAACAGCATGACAGACATCACCACTACGAAGAGCACATGATGCAGCATCCACGGCAAGCGTATTTGGGAAGTTCTTCATAGCATTATGACGAGATGACACTGAAGCTGTTGTGGACATATAAGCGTCCATAAGTTGCATGGAAGTCGCATAAGTGTCCAGTCGAGTGCCATGTGAATGTTGATTAGCCTGATGAACCCACAGTAAACTTAGTCGCAGGGGGCGTAGCAAACCTCCAGAGACGACATTTGCTGCTGCCTTGAAATGATGCATGGCAGCATTCAGATTGCCAGTATCTTCACCTGGGATGGTGCCGTCAAGTCCTGATTGATGGAACGACAAATAGATGGCAGCTAGTGAATAATGAGCCTCTAATCGACGAGGATCATGTTGTGTCAATGGAGTTAAGGCACAGCAGAGATTCTCTCATGACTCATTGAGGTCTTCTCCATTGCCTCAGTGGTCAAAACGGTCAGAGAGTCGATTCGCAAGATCACTCAATGACGAGGACCGATCTGTGTGACCGACAGGGCGCAAAACCAGCGCTTCCCTGTGAAGTGCAATAGCCTGATCCAAGTCTTTGTCATTGCCTCGGTGAGCAAAGCGGGCGGAGAGTCGATTCGCAAGACTACTCAATGACATGGACCGATGTTTGTGACCGACAGGGCGTAAAGCCAGCGCTTCGCTCTGAAGTGCGATAGCCTGATCCAAGTCTTCGTCATTGCGACGATAATCAAAGCGGGCGGAGAGTCGAAGCACAAGATTACTCAATGACATGGACCGACCTGTGTGACCGACAGGACGTAAAGCCAGCGCTTCTCTCTGAAGTTCAATAGCCTGATCCAAGTCTTCGCCACTGCCTCGGTGATCAAACCGGGTGGAGAATAGATTCGCAAGATTATTCAATGACATGGACCGATCTGTGTGACCAACAGGGCACGGAGCCAGCGCTTCCCTCTGAAGTGCAAAAGCCTCATCCAAGTCTTCTCCATTGCCTCGGTGATGAAAGTGGGTGTAGAGTGCAGCCGCAAGATTATTCAATGACAGGGACCGATCTGTGTGACCAACAGGGCACAAAGCCAGCGCTTCCCTGTGAAGTGCGATAGCCTGATCCAAGTCCTCGCCATTGCCTCGCTGATCAAGCCGGGTGCAGAGTAGTTTCGCAAGATTATCCAATGGCAAGGACCGATCTGGGTGACCGACAGGGCACAAAGCCACCGCTTCCCTCTGAAGTGTAATAGCCTGATCCAAGTCTTCGCCATTGCCTTGCTGATCAAAGCGTGTGCAGAGTAGATGCGCAAGATTATGCAATGGCTTGTATCGTTCTGTGTGACCGACAGGGTACAGAGCCAGCGTTTCCCTCTAAAGTGCAATAGCATGATCCAAGTCTTCGCCATTGCCTCGCTGATCAAACCGGGTGCTGAGTAGTTTCGCAAGATTATTCAATGACACGGACCGATCTGTGTGACCGACAGGGCACAAAGCCAGCGCTTCTCTCTGAAGTGCGATAGCCCAATCCAAGTCTTTGTCACTACCTTGACACTCAAAGTGAATGCTCAGCACCATACTCAGATTACAAAGCAATAGCAATTGCCCTCGGAAAGGATGCATGGTGTCGTACAAGTCATGGTCATCATCTCTTTGCAAGCACCGTGCTGCACGACGAGCAAGTTGATCTGGCGATAACGGAAGCATGGATGCAACGGGCCGCTCTTGCCCAAGATCACTTGCATCAGTATTTCCAGCCGGATGCAGAGCGGATGTTTTGATTGCAAGCAAAGCTGCTCTGTGAATGTGGCTGTCTGTGTGGCAGACATCGAGGACTTCACTCAGTGACTCTTCAGCAGCGTCAGCATACGCCTGAAATCCCCGTTTCATGAAGCGAGACAGCAGAGCAATGGCAAGATGAAGCTGGGTGACGGGTCGGTCTGGATGACCAGTGGGACGCAAATCAAGGGCATCTTGAAACAGATTGATAGGGATGTCGAGCTCGAGGTGTCATCCGTCAGCTTGGCAACTGACAAACTTTGTGGTAGCTAGATTGAGCAGTGCTGCAGGGCGGTAGGGATGGTCCATGTGGCAGAGATCTGAGGCGCGTTCAAAGTGCTTTATGGATTGGTCGATATCCATACTGTTCTGCGTCTTGCAGTATCGCGCGAGAAGACAATGTCCGGCATCTGTCTTTAGTACTAACGCATCCATATCGCGGAATGTAAGCTACACATTACAGACTCTCAGTATCAGAATGCCAGACTGCATTGACCACTCACAGTAGTAATGGGGAGAAGAACTGTGGCATCGTTTTCCTCAGAAAGTCAATGCTCCACTGTCATGAGGAGTGAAGTACACGTGGAGACGACTTCCCCCTGCTTGGGCTGAAATATTATGGCTGTGATACTTGTTAACATCTGTCAGGTGTTATTTGAAATAGACGTTACTGACGATGTGACTTTTCACTGCAATCCAGTAATTCTCGGACGGAGATCTCAAACGTGCGGAGGACTTCTCCATGACCGACTCGGAGCATCGGGCCCAATTCAAACGAGGCACACACGCTGATCCAAACTTTAGAAGATGGCTCGCACGGCCTGGAGTCTCTCTTCATACCCGCGGAAAAGATGAGATTAAGGACAACTTACAGAAGTATGGGCTCATTCCATTCGACAACAGCCTGATCTACGTGTACGAGTTTGTTGCTAGTCTGGAATTCAGCACTGTCAGTCTTTACTACCACAGAGAAACCAGCAGGGATCCGTCGGAGACCAAGAGCGAGATCAGTTGCACGAATGACTTAGGGAAAACCGTCAATATGTGCTGAACAGAGATACAACAGTGTCGCATACCGGTAATGACGACTTGTTCCACTCCACCGAGATGTGTCTCTCCTGGGTCCTGGGGGCGTCCCGGGTGGCTTGGCTCCTCACACAAGGCTTGGAGGGTATCGTCGAGTGGGTCTAACATGGAGTCTGTCTCAAAATGAAACAGTAGAGTAATGACAAAATAAAGTGTCGCCAGAATCACTTTAGGAAATCATCGGTACGAGATAGATGACACACTATTGACAGTGACTTGCAATATCTCACTGATCACGAGGTTTGTCTGGTCTGGGTCCTGGGGGCATTCTAGGTGGCTTGGCCCCTCTCCCAAAGGTGGAGGGTATTCACCAAAATGACCAGGGACAAAGCTTGACATATGGCTGAGGGATGGATTCAAACTAACACTTGAGAGTAAAATGTGTGCTGGAGGTCACGAAAACTGCAGTACCTGTGGGGTCCTGATGGACTATAAAGGAGGAAACTACAGCAAGCACGTGGCATCCACGCTGCGCAGCGATGTGCAGCGCCGATGCCAACAGGGACAGAAACGACTTGTGGGATATTGAGTCACCCACTGTCACTAGTCTCATTTAGAGTAGACCCATCAGATTTGCACGAGTGTGGGTGGTATTGATTGAAGTAGTCGAAATGAGGAGACAGGGCATTCCACAGAGGCTCCCTGAAGCTCCCTATAGTTGAATCAAACTTAAGCCATAAAAAGATAAGGTCTGTCCGTTTGGACTCTAGAACCCCCCAAACGGGTGGTCCGAGTCGCATGGTGTGACACACACGTGACCTCCGTTAAAGTGTGACATTTTCCTGGGTCAGGGGTCACGTGGTGTGACGCGCATGCGACCTTTCGTCGCGCAACAGCCAGTTCATGCTCACACTGTGTAAAACATAGACAAGTATGGAGGTACCGGTATGTTAGTACATGGGAACTTCTAACTAGATTTTTTTAGACAATCCTTTTGCCACCGCTGAAAGCTTCAGTATAACTCTTTATGGACGTGCATTGGCATTCGAACGAGCTGCAGAAATGGGCACCGACTTGGCTTGTGAATGGTTTTTTCCCCACGTGGTAGCTAAGAGCCCATCTGAACTGCCCCGAAAAACCTAACTTCGGACAGACATCGACCTTCTGAAAGTGGCCGTTTCAAGCGGATCGCGAGCGTTGAAACGTTGACGCATGAAACATGGCCTTTGTAAGCAGTCACATGAAGATTTGCCAGGTGTGTGCTTCTATTCTATTGTAGCACACATCCGAGTTAGCCCCAGTCAAAAGGACTTGAGAATCGGCACCGCATTCTCTCCTTCTCTGCGCAGTCCTGTTGTCCGTCGCTCACCCGTTTTTTCACACGCACGCACCTCCCTATCTGCTACTTCTAGTGTGTTTTGGTCTGGATTAGTGTTTCCTTTCGGACCCTTCGGTTGGCGCACTTTTCGGACTCAACACGCTCCGAAGGTTTGTCTTCGTCGATCCCAATTCCTCTCCGAGCACAAACTGCTTTTTCAGACTTCGCGGGATCCGTGCGCCTCGCCCATATCCCTGCCTTCCTGCACTGGTCTGGCAAAGCTAGACCTTCCCACACAAAACGAATTAACTAAACAACCCCCCCTTGATGTATGTTCCCCATCACAGAAGTGCACCCTACTGGCAGACATGCAGAGGACATGTCGACATTCTTGACACATCACGGTGCTTCTTGGGCCTGAGAGAGACATGTATCAGAAACAAGGTATGTTTAAGTTGCGAAATGTGAATTCAGATGGAACTGATGAAACTACGCTATGCTATATGGGCTGAGATGCCAGAAAATTGGTCTCTTGATTCCCTTCTTATCTAAGTGAGTTGTTGCATGATGACACGTACAATTCTCATTCTTTATTTTTACATCTAGTACTACCTACTGTCTCAGGTCCGCTTGCTTTCATCGGAATTTCACGATGACTCGTGCGTTTGATCTACTTGGATGGCTATTGGACGGCGGAAGGGACGGTATCAGTATAGAACGCCTGACAGAGTTGGTTATAACTTATAACACGACTTGAGCAGCTTTGGTTGCCAATTCCGATGATTATTCCTTCAGACTCGCTCCCTGTCACGGCGAAGTTCTGCGGGTGGCATCGACGTCAGACTCGTCTTGTATGCTTGCTCAATAATATTTGAGTGCGCGTGATATATGCCGCGCATTGGCGACTTCTGATTCAAAAATGTCTGATCAGAAAGCTGGAGCAAGCCAAAATTGATGCACTCCATGCTGTAACAGTTCTTGACTTGAGTAAATGGAAAGCTCGCCATTTCGGAAAACAATGCGCTCCAGAAAGAGCGGGAGAAGTCGTTTGAGGAGATGATGCATGTAGCATTAATTGAAGCTTGTGATGATGAGTCCCGGACTCAAAGAACTCGGAAATGAAGGATATAGGGGAGAAACAACCGCCTAACGCAATTGAACATCTAGTAACGGTATATAATAGCCATAACATTTCAGATGTGACTTTGATCAATGAGAATGGAATTGTGGTCTAGTAGTCTAGGATAATGCCGACGTCAATAAAACCGCCACGACATCATAATTAGATGTACATAAGGTATATACGCTGTTAAATGGTAGTTTGTAGCTTGATAAAGTTCAAATATCTTTCGGACGACTGGTACCATATAGACGCGTCTCTGTCACGTGCCAAGAAATTAACTGCGGGTCACTGCCAGTGAGCTGAATCGGGACAGCCTCAGAAACCTGAAACGTCCCTTCATCACAGACTGGTCCTTCAAACCTTCAAACCTTCACGGTCGGAGAGCTGCGTTGATCAGTATAGTGGTGAGACCTTTCGCGTCGGTGTGCTAGGCGATGCTCATCCCTCCTTTGTTCAGTCAGCTCCAATGTCCTTGCAGGTCAACTTATCTAGCAAAGAGATCAGTGAGGCATACCAAAACGTCGTTGCTGGCAGAAACATAGATTGGGTAATATACACATACGACAAGGGTGGAAATGACCTCAAAGTGCAGGCCACTGGGAACGGTGGGCTTCAGGAACTAGAAGAAGAATTCTCAGACGGACGGTATGGGCACATCGTCTCTTTACTCAATCCCTCTTTCTGATTTATGTGCAGGATGCAGTACGCATTCGCGCGTGTCATAGATCCTAATGTATGCTTTCATTACGTCTACCTCAGCATAATTCTGATGAGTCGATCTCGTCTCCTTCAGAGTAAACTGGCCAAGTTCGTACAGATCAACTGGTGTGGAGATGGCGTGCCCGTAGCCAAGAAAGGTCTATTCCACACTCACTCCACTGCTGTTGCGAAATTTCTCCGCGGTTCTCATGTTGTGATCAGTGCTCGCAACGAGGTTCGTACCGCATTGAATAATCGTATATCTATAATCTTACTGTTCCCGCAGTCCGATGTCGCGCCTGCGCTCATAATGAAGCGTGTTGAAGCTGCATCTGGGGCAAAATACTCAGCACACAACGAGCAGGCGCGCAAGTTCGAACCGATCGCCCCAGTAGGTAGCAGTTACACGCCTGTCGGGCGCCCCGACATCACTGCCATGCGCAGCGCCCAGCCGCCACCGAGGAACATTTCATCATCCGTGCCTTCAGCACCGAAACCTGTTACGACATTGACATTCTCTAAGCCTGCGATACCCACTGCGCCGCGCCCTGTTGTTGGTGGCGCTGCTTCTGTACGACCTGCTGGTACAGGGAAAGCCCCCGCTGATGCTTGGGAAGAAGAGGCGCCTTCTGCATCGCTGCCTCCACCACCTCCGCCTGCTGCGTCACGTCCGCCGGCCATACCCAGCGCTCCAAGGCCTGCTTTTTCTGTAAGCCTGGGATTTTCTTATCAAATTATGTTTAACCATGGATTTGCAGTCTTATGCTGGCACAACCGCTGCACGCTATACTCCCACAGCCCCCACTACCCCGCCTGCCGTCCTTTCCTCCAATGTTCCTGTTAAACCTGCAGAAGAAGATCGTATTGCCCCAGTAGTAAGTGTGTCGTTATTTACAACCATGTTCTCTTGTGATGTATATCTCAGGGTACCGCGTGGACACCGGTCAAACTCACACCAGGCAGGCTGAAAAATCCGTTTGCACAATTTGAGCAGCAGCAGCAGCAGCAAGCTCCTCCACCCCGAGCATCCGCTGCTGGCGGATCAAAGAAACTCACCTGGAGCGAACGCCAACTTCAAGCGAAGAAACAAGCAGAGGAAGAAGAGCAACGAAGTAAACAGGCTTCGTGGCAAAGCCCCGCGTCTACAGGTTCACGCAGCAGTCCGACACCAGGAAGATTTGGCGGCAAAGTTGCTGCTGCAGCTGTAGGTGGTGCAGTTATCGGTGCGACTGGGGTTGCATTAGCAAGTGCTGCAGAGCCTGAGTCTCAGGCAGAATATGAAGTTCCTGTGAGACTTGTTGATATTGGTGAGAAAACTCACGCTTAACACTTTGTAGCAGCAGCAGCCCCCACCCGCTCCCCCTATTTCAACACGTCCACGATTTGTGCCGCCTCCGCCTCCTGAGCCAGAACCAGAACCGGAAGTAGAAGAGGAGGCTCCTCCGCCACCGCCGCCGCCACCACCACCACCGCCACCAGCATTTGCGCCTGCGCCTATTGAATTGGAAGAAGAGGAAGCAGTGAGTATAAGATGATGGCAAGTGACTCAGTACTTATTCTATCTACAGCCGCCGCCGCCGCCGCCACCACCGCCACCTCCTCCTCCGCCACCTGTAGCCCAGATGCAGGCGCTGAGTGTGGAACCAGAGCCAGAATCAGAGCTAGGGCTAGAGCCAGAGTCCGCTCCTGCGGGCGAGGGTGTCTGTGCTGTGGTGTTGTATGATTATGAGGTTAATAATTGAATTTTTCTTTGTTCTTCAGAAAATCTGACAAAACCCATTTTCCATACTAGGCTACGGAAGATAATGAAATGAACTTGCAGGAAGGTGAACTTATTGAGCAAATCGAACAGATTGACGAAGGTTGGTGGAGTGGCGTTAGCCAAAGAGGTGAGAAGAGCGGGTTGTTCCCAGGTAAGTGTTTCTTTTGTACAATTCACCGGGTCTATACCGACTGCATCATAGCAAATTATGTGGAAATTGTGGAGCAATCTGAAGAAGAGGCTCCACCTCCACCTCCACCTCCGCCGCCACCACCACCGCCTCCAGCTGTGAGTAAATCTAGTGTTGAACGATATGCGTTGGTTCTCATGCAAAAATAGCCGGCAACGCCGCCCGCTCTTGAACCTGAACCTGAGGTCTCTGTTGCCGACGAGGGCATTGTAGCAGTGGCTCTTTACGAGTAGGTCTGTTTCTTAGATTAACTTTACGGACTAACCCCTTTTCCTTTTCTTTTCAGCTATGAAGCTGCCGAAGACAACGAAATATCATTCCTTGTAGGTGACAGGATTGTTGAAATTGAGGCGGTTGGTGAAGGGTGGTGGCAAGGCAAGAATCCACATGGCGATCTCGGAATGTTCCCCGGTATGATGTTCTTACTCGTTGTATGCATCGAGAAGACGAGCTGACCGTGCCCTGCAGAAAATTACGTCGAACTCCAAGAATAAGGAGTGGGCGCTAGCGAATATGATCTGTCTTATAAATTCTGAACAACCACATGTATCAAATGATGAATCAAGTTGTGGCACCATCTGTGAGAACAACCCCATGTCCAACTAGCGTGTGCAATCTTGCAAAGAATAATTGATTCCATTTACACGTTTATTTAGTCGATCCTGTCAAATGTTGGGAACTCCATGTTCAAGATGCCCGCCTTCATCGCAATTTTCAGTGCGATTTCTCGTACGCCTCTGACCTCCTCGATCGTTGCGCCATTTCGAACAGCACCAGTGAGCTTCCATTCAACCTGACTGAGCGTGTCGTTCGCGATCAGGGCAGAAATAATGGTGAATGACGTCTCCTTGGATGAGATCACTTCCAAGAAGGCGTACACATACCCGTACCCAAGTGTCATCGTGAAGTGTTCTGGTGATCGAATTCGGGAGCTAATTCAGGAGCATTTCTCTTTGGGAACATACCTAGGTCTGGGTATATGGATTTAAGCATGGGCTGAATTTCCGCTGCGGTATCACCATATTGCAAATCAAAATATGCCTGACCACCAGCAGCAGCTTCCTCTTTCGATCGAGTGGGGTCGCTGTCGCAGGAAGAGAAGTCTCAGGATAACTCGCACACTGACCGCAGAAGCTCGGTGTCTCGAAGCTCTTCGGGGGTAGCTTCATATAGCGAAATAAGAGCGTGGATAACCTACAGAAATTGTGAGATCATTAACGTCAACGAGTATAGCATATTAACTTTGGGATAACCTGAGAGCAAGCCAGATTTAAAGATACTCTCCCTCATCTTCCGCACGAGCAATCTACGATTCTTCATCTGAGGTGTCAGGGAGTTTCCCAAGATCGTCAAGAACATGGCGGAGTACACATGGGACGGCTTCGGGGTGGTTGCTCGAGCTGAATGCTACAGCAGCAGCTAGGTACATCACTGTCGACATATTTTGCTGGTGCAGGATACAAAGGCTGTAATTCGTTGAGAAGCTCAGGAGTCGCAATATCAGTCATACTCGTGGCGAATGAAGAATTTCTGCTACCGCCTGTGAGCGGGTCTTATAGTCATATGCAGACCCAATAGAAGGAAGCCAGCGCGTTCCGACTGAATCATGGCTGCGTCTGCTTCGAGTGTTACTGAGTTACTGGCAGGGTCGGACTGAGCGTAATTTATCCGGTTGATCAGGATACGCCCCTGTCTACTAAGTCGGCCAAATCACAAATACCCTAGTATCCGCTGTAAACATCAGCTTGCTTGAGCATCTAGAAATAATCAGCGTTTCCCTCGTGGCACCAGCTACAGACTTTTGCGGCATCATATACCTCATATCACCCTCCGGTATCCTTTTCACCCTGTAAGGTCTGTTCCAGGTAATATTCTACAAACTCCGAGCCATGCGGTAAAGCCTCAGCTTGATTGCACTGCACCTGCCGCACCCAGCGAGACCGCAAATGACCATCAGAGACTAATACTCTGTTTGATACACCAACGAATCGCGGCCATGTCGTATATGCGACCTTCCAAAGGCTAATTGATTCCATGTACACATAGAGTACACCTGGATACCACCCGGACGTTAGTCGGTTGTATGTGTAATCGAATAGATCAAATGTTTGGAACTTCAATTTTCAAGGGGACGCCCGCCTTGATTGCGATTCTCAGTGCGATCTCTCGTACAGCTCTTACCTCCTCAACTGTTGCGCCATGGTCAACAGCACGAGTTAGGTGCCATTCAAGCCGACTAAGCGTGGCATTCGCAATCATGGCCGAGATAGTGGCGAATGTCGTCTCCTTGATCGAGATCACTTCCGTGAAGGAGTCCACATACCCGCATCCAATTGACATCGTGAAGTGTTCTGGCGATGATCGATTTAAGGAGCTGAGGAAAAAGAATGTTTATGAAAGCATACCGAGGTCTGGGTATATGGATCTAAGCACGGACTGGATTTTTGTTGCCGGATCACCAAACGTCGAATTAAAATATGCCTGGCCAACTGCAGCGTCTTCCTCGTTCGATCTAGTAGAGTCACTGTGATACATCGAGTGAGAAAGAGAGAGATTTTGATGACTCGCGCACGCACCGTAAAGGCTCGGTGTCTCGAAGGTCTTCTGGGGTGGCTTCATAGAGCGAAACAAGAGCGTTGATAGCCTGCAGATGTGGTTAAGTAGATCGCCTATGTAACGAGTATGACTCATGAACTTTTGGACAACCAGAGAGCATGCCAGACTTAAAGATTCCATCCCTCATCTTCCGCACGAGCAACTTGCGATCTTCATACGACGTGACAGAGAGCTTGTCGAGATCGTCGAGAGCATAGCGAAGTACGCGTGGGACTGCTTCGGGACAGTTGCTCGAGCTGAATGCTACACCGGCAGCTAGGAACCAGTCACCATCGACATATTTTGCAGTTGCAGGATACAAAGACTGTAGTTCCTTGAGAAACTCAGGAGTCGCGATATCAGCCATCCTTGTAGCGATTAGTCAAGTAATGGATTTACGGCAAACAGTTCATACTGAACGGGCCGAAACGGAGGCGGGGCCAAACCGAGGAGGTCATGGGGTACGGTAGCATTGTTTGTACAGAGGTCTCGCATTCGCAACCATTCATTTCAAAGTCACGGTTTGGCGGGTAAAGGACTTGTAACATACTGCCACTGGCTTGGATACAACAGCGTTTACAACTTTCCAAAGGATCATTGATTCATTTATACATATGCATACACCTTTACGTAGTAGATTGTGTCAAATGTCGGGAACCTCATTTTTTAAGGGGACGCCCGCCTTGATCGCGATTTTCAGTGCGATCTCTCGTACACCTCTTACCTCTTCAACTGTTGCGCCATTACGGACAGCGCCAGTCAAGTGCCATTCAACCTGACGAGGCGTGTCATTCGGGATCAGGGCAGAAATCATGGCGAATGACGTCTCCTTGGCTGAAGTCACTCCCATAAAAGCGTACACATATCCGTACCCAAGTTTTGTTGTAAAGTGTTCTGCGGGTATCCAAATTCAGGAGCTGATCACTGGCAGAAGTATGTCTATGGGGACATACCGAGATCTGGGTATATGGATCGAAGCATTGGCTGAACTTTCGCTGCTGTATCACCGTATGTTGAATCAAAATATGCCTGACCAGCAGCTGCAACTTCCTCTTTCGATCGAGTAGAATCGCTATCATACAATTTATGAGGAAGAGAGGAATCACGATAACTTGCACACTGACCGCAGAGGCTCGGTGTCTCGCAGCTCTTCGGGTGTGACTTCATATAGCGACACAAGAGCATCGTAGACCTAGAGATAGTGAGCAATTTGTAAGATCACCAACGTCAACGACTCGATGTGGCATTAACTTTGAGATAACCAGAGATCAAGCCAGACTTAAAGATCCCATCCCTTATCTTCCGCACAAGCAACCTGCGGTCTTCATCCGAGGTGTCAGGGAGCTTGTCGAGATCGTCGAGAGCATAACGGAGTATGTATGGGATGCCTTCAGGACAGTTGCTCGAACTGAATGCTATACTGGCAGCAAGGAACCAGTCACCATCGACATATTTTACTGGTGCAGGATACAAAGACTGTAGTTCGCTGAGAAACTTGGGAGTCGCGATGTCAGCCATTCTGGTAGGGAATCAAATCAACCAATTGAAGGCTAGGACTTGTGTACGCTCTAATTATAGAATCGTAACTGCGCCTACGCGCCTAGCCCCTGACCCCATTTTTCTAGACTGGTGACCAGCCCCTCTATGACTCATGAGGCAAGCCATCGATAGAGGTGGCTTGCCTCATAGAGGGGCTGGTCACCAGTCTACCATTTTTCTAGGATCCTCACATTGACTCGAGCCAATTTTACACTGTCGGGCACCCGCGATTTCTCACCCACTGTTGGAAGCTAAAATCTTGCAAACATAATGCATTTGAATCCATTCAGGCAACGAAGTGGCATCAGGTGTTAGTTGAATAAGTTGAATACACAAACGACATAGAGGGCTCACACTGGACAACAGGCTCGCCGGCTGGCATAAATTCCAGGGAAAAAGTGCTGTCATGCCGCAAGAGGTAAAAAGGTGATAGAGATTCTAGACAGACAGACCAAAATTGTTAGGATTCGCCACCAAACGAAAAGTATTAATGGGGCGGAGGCCAAAATAATGCACACAAGCTAAAGACAGAGTGAGTCTGACAGTCAGGAAAATGATGTACCTCCCCACCCCTAGCTTTCAAGTCATCCTTGGTCGCATCGTAAGAGCCAACGACCCAAGGAGCGTCCATCGGTGAGACTTCAGCAATGCTGGAAGAATTGGAAGTGGACTGAGCCATATCGTTCTGATGTGTGTAATTTGCGTGCGCTCCTAAGTTGGGATGGTGTTCGACAAGGCAGTGCTCCGAGTCCTAATTTTAAAACCGCAGGATTCATGTTCCTAACCCTCAGCAGGCCTAATCCTTAACATTCCTAAATCTTTTCCGACCCTCTCCATAGAGAAGATTTATCAGATGCGTGGGTCTCAAACTAATTTCCTATCACGTAGAAACCGGGTCTGATAGACCCTTATAGGTACCGAGAGATGCTGCCTGAGGTGAAAACTCATATGATAAGTTCTCGCTTAGGCAGGCCTTAGCCAATCAGATGTGATTATATGATACTTTCCGTTGCACTCCCGGTACCTCAATGTACCTGGTATAGCTGTTCACGTTCACCTCTGGATATGAGACGTTCACCGATTGCGAACCTTCGGCGACCGGCAGAACACTGCCACGATAGCCTCAGGAAGCTTTAAAGTCTTGCAACACTGTTGTTGAACAAACGCATTAATCAAGATGCCAGGTGCTGTGAGCCCCATATTAATATCGTTACGAGGCCTGCTCACGTTTGCAACAGTAGACCATGACCCCACGACTGACTTCATAGCAGGCACAACAGCAGGTAGAAAATTTGCAATCAACAATTTGAATGGCCATCGGTGTTGATAGCTTGAGCTTTCCAGGCATCGTCGGCCTTCTTATTGCTCATCCATTTGACACAGGTATGTTTGGTCGTGGGTTCCGTAGCGCCATGACATTACCTGACTGTGAAACAGTCAAAGTCCGCCTACAAAATCCTGATCTATCCTCAAGATACCATTCAGTATCGCATGCATTCGCGACCATCATTAGAGAGGAGCGTTTCAGTGGCTTGTATAAGGGCATTGCTTCACCTCTGGTTTTGTTTTCACACAAATGCTATGGCCCTAGCTTACCTGACAAATAAAGGCAACATGCGCGTTTATGAACGGTCTCGTATTCGCCTCCTACAAGTTTTTCCTTAAGGCGCAAATGGTGGATGGTTCTATTCCCTCGCTCACCGAAGTTGCAATTGCTGGCAGCTGTTGTGGCGTTGCCATGTCGTAAGCGCTCTACCTACCATTGCAGGAGTAATTTGCAGGCAACTAACCAAACGGACGTGATGATTAGAATTTTTGCTACGCCGATCGAACTGATTAAGATCAGGCAGCAAAACATGTTAGAGAGCGGACTAGGAAGCGTCTCAGCCAGCAAACTTATATACACTATTCATCGGGAACACGGTCTCAAGGGATTGTTTCGTGGTCTCACCGCTACAGCCTTTCGTGATTTAGGATATGGTGCATACTTTTTGGGGGTAAGCGCTCTCACAGCCCATTTACCATGGTTTGACGTCCACCGGGAAGTATGAGGCCTCAAGTCGATACCTCACTTCTCTTTCTCCTGGGCTTAATGGTTCCACCTCACTGTCAGACTCAAGCCAAAGATCCATACCCCTTTGGATGCTGTTTATCAGTGGAGGGGTGGCAGGTGTCGTTGGTTGGCTTCCAACATTTCCGATGGACGTTGTGAAGACGCGCATGCAGAGTACCGAGACCCCAGGAGCTCGAAGCATAATGCGGCCGGAAGTGACTACAGGCGATAACCCATATCGCACAACCATATCAACGATCCAGCATTCATATCGCACAGGTGGGGCTGGAGGCTTCCTTCGCGGACTGAGCCCGACTATGCTGCGGTAAGTTGGTCTGAGTGTGTTGCGTACAAATTCTTATTTGTGATTGTTCTTATCCCAGGGCGATTCCAGTCAACATGGCTACATTTGCAGTATACGAAACTGTTGTAGGCATACTCTCGCCATGACAGCACTATGAACCGTCTGTCGAGCAAACTGCACAGTCAATACCGTAGCAATGATACCGTAAATGCGCGTTAATGTACATTTGGCAGATTTCTAATCGATCTTGCTGTGTGGGTGGAATTGCAGATTGTGACATGGCTGCGCTGTTGACCGCATCCATGGTACCGGTAGCTTCCTCAATTGTAGCGTTCAAACTATCCCGAGCACCCAGAAGTGTGCCGACAAGTAGTTGTGTACACGGTGGCGGCGAATTCTCACCCCTGGTCTGCCTTGCATATCAGGTCATATTTTTGTACAAAAGTCCGACTGCCACCTTTATCAGTTTGTCGGAAGCTTCAATATGACAACCGCAGGAGAAATCATTCCAGCAAGTCTCTATTTGTTTACATAAAGACAACCCATGGAGGTGTTCTGGAAAAGTGACCCTTCCCACTGAGTTATACGGGTACGCGCCCGTGCTAGCGGCGAAAGCTACAGGGACATGCTGTGGTGAGAAATTGACGGAACACCGTATGGTTGCAGTTAGATTAGCCCCCGCGGACACAAAAGACTGATGAACTTAGCAGCAAGGTTTTATGTGTTTTTTTAATGAAATGTACCCCACGATGTCGCACAAGACAGGGGGCATGGTGTCGATGACAATACATTCTTGAACTCTAACTTACACGCCATGGTGCCGGTCAACATGCTTCTCAGAAAGGAGGTTGGCCAAGCATATTTGTCTAATCCATGCTTCTCGGAAGACGACATTATTAGCATTCTGTCGGAAGGAAAAGCGTCGATTGCAGTGAGCAGTGCTTGTTAACACACTATTTTCGAAAGGCGCTCCGTCAAGTATGGGCACAAAGAATCCATCAATGCGTGCCAATCGGCCAACAATCCTTGATACGCCAAACCAGAAGCTAGCTCCACATATGCTTCTAAAGCCAAACGATGAATCTTCCATGTCGGACGGTACATTGAAATGGAATGCAAAGCCTATAAAATGCAGAAAGGCCATCTCAATTAGAGCACAACACGTTTCTCTGATATGGAACAACTCATTTGCAAATATGATCTTCGGAAATGGTTTCGGTACAAGGGGGGATAGTGGGGGACAGAGCAAGGCAAGCATTTTCGGTTAGCCATCGGAGACGAAAAAGATGACAGCTCGTAGAAGCGACATGTCGAACACTAGGGCCTATCCAACCAGATTTCTGAGAATTATCAGTCAATATCCAACTTTATACTCCACAATTTCTAGTAAACACCACGGTGCACTCACATTCAGCGCTATCTGCTAGCAGTCCGACCCCTTTTCAAAGAGAAGGAAGACGGATCAAATCCAGATATAACATGCCAGTTTGAATTCACGTGGCAGGGTATGCCACTCGCCACACCATTAAGATAATAAGATCAGGACATCTGTTTCCAGAAACCAGATACGTGAGCATATGAACACAAGCACGGATCAGATAGTACAGTGAGTGCTGGTCTCAACCTCCTGGACGATGTACGATGTGAACCACGGGTCACCTAATTATCGGGGTCGCAGAGTTCAAGTAGATAAGTACCACTCGATCATCAAATCGGAGGAGATACAATCCAACCTTATATGCTGCGTGATATGCGGATCCGTCATTCACCACACCAACATCTTTTCCCATGGAGCCCATCTATGAACAGTACGCTGCAGTGCTTGAGATGATTAACCAGCCTCTCGATCACTTTGCTTTGTGCTGTGGTCCAGACCCCAGTTGATATCCGATAGTCTTCACTGTGCAATGCTGGACAGTAACAAAATAGGCCCGTTGCATTACTTTCATGCGAGAACAATTTGCTACGCCGAGCATAGCCATGTAGTTCGCCGTAGAGGCGGCTACTAGTAACTGAAAGTGCGGCCTCAAGCATGAAGGTATCGTGTCAAGTCGGAATATTTTATTTCTCACGGTCTCCCATCCTCTTCATCCAGACTTCAGAACCCGACTCTGTAGTTCAATCTGTACCACAAATGGCGTCCAGGATCGCGGTCAATGCGCTCAAGGCTTCTGGTCAGTTTTCAGGATATTCCGCCATGCTATTTTATACTGAAGTCCTGGTCAATTTCCGCAGCTCGGCCACGCGCCCTCCCTAGCTTTGCCCGGGCTGTCAACGCGTACGTTCGACGTCGGTCTCTAAAGAAATATGTTTATTTAACGATACCCATGCAGGCGCACAATGAGCTCAAATCCCCCACCTGAGCAGCGTGCAGCAGAAATTCTAAATACCCTCCCTTCCTCGCCGAGTCTAATCACCAAGACTGGTTCTGCAATCCTCGGTACCGGTCTTATTGCAACTGCTATCTCCCAGGAGCTCTATGTTGTGAACGAGGAGACCGTTGTTGCTGCCGGCACTTTTATCCTGCTTGCCTACATCGCCAAGGTACGTTCGTCGTAATTGCGCTTTCAACAATTACCATATGCTTGTTTTCGCGTAGCTTGTTCGGGAACCATACCGTGACTGGGCAAATGGTCACATTGAACGCATTAAGAACGTTTTGGAAAGCTCGCGAACGGAACACACTCAGACAGTGAAGGACCGTATCAACTCCGTCGAGCAAATGAAGGATGTCGTTTCATTGACTCAGGGTCTCTTTGCTCTCTCGAAGGTAAGCGACAGTCACCTGTTGGTTCGATAACTACTTAGTAATTCTTCTGTGAGTAGGAGACCGCTCAGCTGGAGGCAGATGCATTCGTCCAGCAACAGAAGGTCGCTCTTGCTTCTGAGGTGAAAGCTGTTCTCGATAGCTGGGTTCGGTATGAGCAGCAACAGAAAGAAAGCGAACAGCTTGAGCTCGCTAAGAGCGTGATTGCCAAGGTTATGGCCGACCTTCAGGACGAGAAGGTGCAAAAGGACATCTTGATTAGTGCAGTCGCAGAGGTTGAGCGTGAGTACCGATCTGTCTTTGTCCGTTCATCCTTCAGTTCTGAGTGTTATTTTCTTTATGCAGAGCTCGTGAAAAGCAAAGCAATCTAGATGCATACCGGGTGATCAATAGTTGATTATGGCCAGGTAATTCATGATAGAGTAGCGTAGTTTTTCTATACAACTAACTTCTATCATCCTACGAGTACAAATTCATTTGTGCGGCCATTTCATATGGAACTTTGAAAAAGTTCAGCTTGAGTGTCACCAATGCAATGGCAATGGCTGACATTTCCAATAAGTACCACAAAGCCAAACGTGGCCAAACAGGAAACGGCCGCGACGACGCGCCTCAAGGGCCTCACGCGTTTCGGCACGTACAAGTATAATTCTTTGTGCCAGTGCTCGCCAGCTTTTTCTTTCATTTCACGACCTTGAACGTAGGGAGCATACAGCCGTCATGGATTCAGACCTCATTAAGCTCGTCAACCGGTTGCAAGATACATTCAGCAACCTCGGTGAGTTCCCAAGGGTTATGCGATTAGGGTTTGCGTTGACTTGGTTGAGGGGCAGGCGGTGAACTGGACATGCCACAGCTAGTCGTGGTGCGTGCACGTTGATGGTTGTATTACCGAAAGCATTGCTCAGAAGTTCTTTGACAGGTCGGCAGTCAGTCTGCGGGCAAATCAAGTGTACTTGAAAAGTTAGTGGTAATTATCGCATCTGAAATATTGTTCATTATACCTTTATTAGCATCGTTGGTCGCGACTTCCTTCCGCGTGGGCAGGGCATTGTCACCCGCCGTCCACTTGTCCTCCAACTTATTCACACCCCTTCACCCGATCCAGCAGCCCCTACATATACGGAATGGGGTCAATTTTTGCATATCGACAAGCGGTTCACGGATTACAATGAAATACGGAAAGAGATAGAGCAGGAGACGTTCCGAGTCGCTGGACAGAATAAGGGCATTAGCAAATTGCCCATTTCGCTGAAAATATACAGCCCTGATGTCCTGGACCTCACTCTGGTAGACTTGCCTGGCTTGACTAAGGTATGTTCGATGCCAATTTCTTATAGGTACTCCTGACCTTCGTAGATTCCAGTCGGAGACCAACCGAGTGATATTGAGAGGCAGATACGCAGCCTCGTTGTCGATTATATCTCGAAATCCAATAGGTTGGCCATTAGTTCTCGCTGTTGTGATGCAGCTTTCTTATTGTATTTAGCGTTATATTGGCTGTTTCCGCTGCTAATGTCGACCTTGCCAACTCCGATGCATTAAAGCTGGCTCGCTCCGTCGATCCGCAAGGACGTCGAACGATCGGGGTGCTGACAAAGCTGGACTTGATGGACGCAGGTACCAACGCGCTCGATATCCTTACAGGACGCGTCTATCCGCTAAAGCTAGGCTTCATTGGGGTTGTGAATCGGAGTCAGCAGGACATCAACTCAGAGAAGAGTTTGCCCGACGCTCTAGATTCAGAGGCCGAGTTCTTTTGCAATCATGCTGCATACCGGAACATTGCGCACAAGAATGGCACGAAGTATCTTTCTAGAACGCTGAACCAGGTGCTGATGAATCATATACGCGATAAGCTGCCGGACATGAAAGCTCGCCTCAACACGCTCATGGGACAAGCACAGCAGGAACTGAATTCTTTTGGTGACGCTGCCATCTACGGGGACAAGAATCAGGTAGGTCATTTATCGAGATACGTGGACCATGAACTCAGTGTCACACAGCAAGGCGGACTGATCTTACGGCTCATGAATAAATTCGCACATGATTTCGTTGCATCGATAGAAGGTACCAAGGTCGACATTTCGACCAAAGAGCTCTCAGGCGGAGCGCGCATATATTACATCTTCAACGACGTCTTTGGGCACGCACTCGCTTGTATTGATTCGACCTCGAATCTTGATAACCAGGACATCCGAACTGCGATTCGGAATTCGACTGGCCCTCGGCCAAGCTTGTTTGTCCCGGAGTCTGCTTTCGATCTGCTAGTAAAGCCACAGATTAAGTTATTGGAGTCGCCCAGTCTGAGATGTGTAGAGTTGGTATACGAAGAGCTTGTCAAAATCTGCCACAATTGCACAAGTGTAGTGAGTCATTATTATTATCTTACCTCAGTTTACCTATTCAAACTCCACCACAATAGGAATTGGAGCGATTCCCCCGCCTTCACGCCCAACTAATTGAATGTGTGTCAGAACTCTTGAGAGAACGACTCGGACCCACGTCAGAATATGCGCAGAGCCTGATCGAGATACAAGCTGCATACATCAACACCAACCACCCTGCATTCATATCGGGCTCCGCGGCCGCCGCACAAGCTGCGACTTCTCCCGCTCCCAAACCTGCGCAACCGTCACGCGTACGCACCAATTTCTGATCTTGTCTCATTCTGATGGTCTCAATATGCGCTTCTTTTTCCGTTAGCCCCAAAGCAGTGAGCCGATAAATGGCGTACCCACACTAGAAGACGAGGATGAGTCGTCGGCCGAGGAGCCTGTGGGAGCAAATGGAGTCCTTTCTCGTGACGGGCGCTCCGTGTCCTCCACACTGCATGACCGCACACGAATTGCAGGCTCAGCGCCAACTACGAAAGCATCATCGTCCAAGCCGCATCCTGCTCAGGGTCCCCGTCATTCCTCCGCGCATTCCCAAGCAACGCAACCAGGAGCACCAGGAACTTCCCCACATTCTGCAAGAGAGACGTTCCTCAACTATTTCTTCGGGCAGAACGGTCCAGGGCCAATTGCGGGATCAACCGTGGATAGATCACATGCTGGTCCAGCGCCGGTACCCACAGGCAGGGACATTTCAAATGCGGAGACCACAGGCCCGACCGGTCTTATGGCCGGCAAGCGGACACTTGATGGCAATAACGCCGCATTTGATATGAAGAGCCTGGGGAAACATATCGAAGCCGTAAGTGTTTGCTAGTACAGATATTCCTTGTATGAGGATTGATGACACGGTTTTAGATATCGTCTTCTGAACCTGGCTCCCAAATCACTCTGCGAGAGGAGATGGAGACGTCACTGATAAGATCTCTGATTGCATCATACTTCTCGATTGTCCGCCAGAGCATACAGGATTTGATACCAAAGGCGATCATGCACTTCTTGGTCAACTACACCTCGCAGCAAGTGCAGAACCGATTGGTCGCATCTCTATACAAGCCTGAGCTTTTTGCGGATTTGCTGAACGAGGATGAGGCATTGGTTGCGGAGCGGACGAGGGTAAAAGCGTTGTTGGATGCATACAAAGAAGCCTTCAAAACACTTTCAGAAGTCAATTTGAAGCCCATATAGGCGGCTTTACCTTTCCTGACTATTCCAACCATCCATGACCTTAGACTCCTTCGGATTTACCGAAATACTATCCGCATAGCAAGACTAGCGTGTAGCACATGTGCACTCGGATATCAGATTGCGTAAATACTGTGAGATCTAAACCGTACCAACAAGCCTCGAAGCGATCGTCGCAAAATGGACCAAGATGCAAAGTAGCAGTGCGCGGTAATGACGAGCCCCCCGTCCGGATTCTAACAAGAAGGCAATGTGTCAACAATCATTCAACTCATGAGTCAGCCTTCACAGCGACCCATTTCTCCTTAGAGTGGTTGCTATCTTTGACACCGGAATCACCAGACCCCGTACTATCGGCGGCCTTGTCAGGCTCCTCCTCTGAGGTAATGCTTTCCTCAGTGTCTGCCTCAATACCGCCGTTACTGCTGTCCGATTCAGAGCTTGACGATTCACTGGTGCTCAGGACAACGACTGGTTCGGTCGTAGTCAGAGATGTGGTGCTGCTGGAAGCACCTTCCAACTTCAAGGCGGCCTCGGCGCGGTGAGCCTTTTTGGTTTTCGCACGCTCTTTCCTTTCGGTCTTCTCTTTGACATCCTTTTCTTCTTGCTTTAAAATTTGTCTCACCATCAGGACGCGTATAATCGAGTTTGATAAGACATTACCTCTTTGGCAACCTTCTCTTCCTTCTGAATAGCTTTGTGAGTGACATCATCCAATGGAACGGGACTAAGCACGATACCTCCTTGCGTTCCTTCTCCTCGGTCTATCCCATGATCAGATATTGCAACAGAACTAAGCGAATCACAGAAACTTACCTCTTTCTTCTCCTTCGCCTCGCGCTTGAGATAAATTCAGCATAAGTCACGCAAATATTGTACCATACGTACTTCCGCCTTCTCCTTCTTGAGCTTCTCCCGGGTCTCCCGCTCCTCAATGACCCTGTAAAGTAATTCAGTTCATGATGCGCTTCTCAAGGTATGTATACGTGCCACTGCGCAACTTCATCGACGCATTCGCGTGGGCGAACCTTATTCTTTAACAAGTAACCTTGAAGTGCGGCAACCTGAAATTGCGTCAGCGGCGAATACACCATCGGTTCCGAAAACTTACGCTTAGCTCATTCTCGGGGATACTATCTGCGAAACGCTTAGCAAGCTCAGAAATTTCAGTCTCATCAAGCACAGGAATAGTGTGACTGGGCGCCTTGCGCTTTGGCAAGGGGAGATTTTTCTGCGAAGTGTCAACGTCCTTGGACAACTCTTCAGATGGAGATGCGGCTGAAGCACCAGCGGGCTTGGAGGGGAAGAAACACTTGAAAATGCCCTCGGCTTGCCATTTTGTCGCATGTGTGAAATTCACCCAGACATCCATGCGGCCTGGGCGACTAAGAGCTGGATCAAGGCGCTCAATATGGTTAGTCGTGGCAAAAAGGAGTCTGTGATAAGGCGTATCAGTGGCAAGGTTTCAGAGGGGAGTCATAGCGACACACCGGCCTTCCGCAGCGGCGACCCCATCGAGGCTGTTCAAAAGTCCACTCAAGCTTAATGTTGATCCATCGTTAGTCTCAGTGGTAGTGCTATTGGTGTTAGATGTTGTGGGAGCACCAGTTGACGATGCATCACGACTGACGGAGCGCGTGAACGCGGCATCCAGATCTTCAAGAAGCAAAATACATCTGTTATGAGAATAATATGAATACCGGGAAATGACCGTAGATGACGGAGAACCGTACCTGGATGGTACATGACCCATCAATGTTGTCAGTGTATTATCACTCATCCTGAATTCGGCAAGCGTTAATAGTTGATTACTTAGTGGGTCGGGCGACTCTTACCCCTTTGACGACAAGCTGACAACGTAGATATCCAGACCTAATTCACCCGCCAACGAATGTATCAATGAAGTCTTGCCACTATGACCAATGGTGCGTGAGTATCGGTGATATCGTGAGCACATTAATCATACGAACCTTCCAGGAACACCGTGTAACAGATATCCACGGCGGAACGGTATACCTGTATGTCATCAGGTCTAATTTCAACGTTACACCATCTCACGCACCTCTCTCAGCATACCTGGAAAAAGTAATTGATATTCTGATAACAACTAAATTCTGGGAGCTCACTCACCAATCTTCAGAACACAGGAAATCTTTGCAATCAGCCAAGAGCATATCTTTGACGCCTGGTTGCAACACGATAGAACTCATAGGGCGCTTCTGACGAGCTCCATTCCAACGCCAACAGCCATAAGTCCTTGGAATGGAATGAGATATGTTTGTACCTTAATGACAGGCCTAGACTCACGTATCGGCCATAAAAATATGGACGCGATGTTCGGCATCCTTCTCATACTCACGCTTCGCCTCAAGAACGAGTTTTTTTCAAAATGTCATTGTTGCGAGCGATCACACTGCAGGCTGATAAGCACGTTGACGGAACACTAATAAAAAGAAGAACTGACCTAATTTTCAGAGCCGAACCATGACCGTAGTCCGGATAGCGCTTGGTCCTGGTTATCTATCAAAAAGTGTGTTAGCATTCCGAGGACATTACCGAATAGTAAAAGCATACCCGAAGCCAATGGCCACGGTAATAAATGGTGTGAGTTGTATCTGGCAAAACATTCAATCACGTGGAACCCATATGCGGCAATAACTTACCTATACTGGGCATGAACGCGACCTTGCGTTTGCGACGTCCGTGTACGAGAGCATCCTCGTCTTCATCTTCATCTTCCTCCTCTAAGTCGCCCGTCGTTGACTGCGTAAGACCATTACGGCCAACGGTCCTGGTGGTAATTTCAAATTCGCGGCTGCGTCCCCACGCGGGTTGCTATTCTCAGCATCAATGTCATTCATAGTTGGTCATGTTCAAATTGCTACCCACCTTCGAAAGCCAGTGCATGAGCCTACAAACAGAGGTAAGAACTTGTTCACGATTTTGATAGATGAAATTTACCAGTCGTACGGATAGTCTTCCTGGCTGAAGTGTGCCGTCAAGAAGAAGGCTGCAGATGTCAACATTAGATACTGGCATTCCGTAAACTGGAGCGTTCCATACAGTCAAGGAAAGTATGCCATGCTCCTGCTGAGGCTCTTCTGGCCGTTTCGACAGTCCCACCGATGACAACAAGTTTCTGTCGCGAACATTTTGCGTTAGTACATTTATTGCTCCTGAACGAACACAGCGTACAAGGGTGTCTTGTATTGCGTTAGCACTGCCGACCCCCAGTGGGGATAGCATACTCTTGAGTGCATCCATCGAGGATGAGGGTATTAGAGAAAGTAGGGGGAGGCGCACTTCTTCCCGCTACGGACGGCCTTTTAAAGGTATCTTATTGGCGCCTCGTGTACAGGGTGGCGGACAAGGATGACGGGATTAATATCTCGGTAGACTTGCCCGATTGAAAGCGAGTATGATAAATAATAAGTATTGTTCTGGCGCCGTGCGATCTGAAAGGTATTAGGGCAGCGGACAACCAAAAAGGACCGTGGCGCCACATAAGATAAGCACACATAAACTAGCATAAACTTCGCTAGTAAGTCACGGTAAACGATTCAGTTTAGCGCATCCCCATTACAACTTCAATGAAACGTCAGTTCAAATCTGTGCACGTTACGTCTATCCGCCTCAAGTCCATCAAGGTTCAAATATTCATCTGCAGGTATACTTTCGAGGCGGTACTTTCACTTAACCTCAGCTGGGATAACTAAAGTTGCGGTGTTTGCCATAGGTCCTGCGATTCGTGGCGGAGCAATCACAGACCTTCGCTTATTACGGCCTGACGATACTCAGGTACTAGTACTTGTCCCATGCTATTCGCGTGGAAACATACCATTAGCTTTCCTTCTCCAAGTTCCTTGTAAGCTCAGGTCTTGCGAATTTCATTGTGGTGCTTACAATCGTACATAAAGCTTTTTTTTTGCCTGTCTCTGGTCATAAAAGAGTGACAGCATATGAACCGAACAACTTCTGTGTTTCCTCGCGGTTTCGTAATTGAACCCGAGCTAAACTTCCAGACAAATTCGGCCGAAAAGTAATACACATGCTGCTCGCAATCAATTCTGAGTTCAAACAGTCATACATCGCACGGGCAAACGGGTCTCGACGGAAGTATTGGCCTTAGCAACGACAAGCCTATCATCTTTCGTTCACAAGTTCCACAGGGAAACCCCCTGAGTGGAAGGCAGGAAATATGAAATGGAATCCAGATGGTCAGCTTTGCGCCCTCCAGAATTAATTGCAGCTCCGAGTTGGCTCCAAGTGCCAGCAGATTCGAAGACGTTGAATTCCGACGAGACGGCCAAAGCCTAGGACACAAAAGAGGTGGATAGGAGCGAAGTTTCCACGAATGGTATCATGAGCGTCCAATGATATGTCCGCCGCCACAGACTGGTGGCTGGCCTCACCTGTGGGCAAAGGGTGCACTCGGTGGAACTCCATCAAGTCTGTGCCGGATTGTCGGAAATGACCACACGCAGGTACCGGAGCATGCTGGACAGGAATACAGTCATAAAGAGTAACTGAGTGTCGCTGTCTTTCTCAGTTGCGAAGGCGACCCTAAAGTTGGTCCTCCGGCGTTCACTCGCGATCGGTGTTTAAGAGCGAATCATAGCATTTCTTTCCATGACTGGCGAGTCGAGGCCCCAAACGGATTTGACCGATCGTTCTGAAAGTATTGTCTGGACTAATCGGTCAAAAGATATCTTTCACAAGATCGTCTCCGTTTTGAAATCTAAAGCTTGTGATCTTGATAAATGCAACGGGGTAATCCTGCTGCCTCAGCAGGACGCAGACCGCGCACCCCATTCAAACGAGGGAGTCATATTCCCATCGCCACCGCACAAGTGACACAGTTTTCCGGAGTCTGATTCCTGAATATACCATATGATAAGTTCCCAGCCCCTGTCGGAGCTCCACAACATGCCCACCATGCACCAAGGCACGTTGACATATAAATTGGGAGCTCTTCTGGGTTCAGTGATATTGAGTTGTGCGCGGTAGGAATAACAAAGACGTGTCGGCATGGAGGATCTTGTATGCATTGTACATTAGAACAATTCCTCGAACCATCTGGCTCATTCGCAGCCGCATTGCAGATCAATGGCCCAGAATCTCAAAGCTTAAATACTCTGGATTATCCAATAGAGCTATGTGTAGCAGACCTTACGTGAGTACGATCTATCAAGTGAACAGCTGCTCAATGAAATAAGCAAAAATAATTCGCATTTTGCACTTACAACATATCTACAAGCAATTGCGTGATGACACGCGAATGCATGCAGGTTCAGCAAGGCCAGAAGCTCGTCGCCCGCAAAGCTACCACATCACTGATAGCTCCAAAGCTAATGGCAAATAAGCCTGACGTCTTGGACTGGGCAGCCATATTACCCACCCACCTTAAACAAGAAAGATGGCGGCGCCATTTCCGCGGCTATCACTCAAGAAACTGACCACCTGCGGAACATGCTGGGATATGTAAAAAAATGCAACCGACTGCTGTGGGCGCAACGATATAACGAAGGTTCCCGGGTGGACCGAGCACCCAGCGGAAATGAAGAAGCAGACTTTCTGGAGGGTCATGTTCAAGTCCACTGCTTACCAATGTATGGACCTTGCATTCCGGCAGCCGGATCGAAATGAACAGGGCCACACAAACTTGGGAAATTCAAAACAAGAGAACCGCCGGTGGCGTAAATTTCAAAGTTACAAATCCAACTGTTAACTGACCTCAAACTCCCAATCAATTCCAGGTATTAGGTATCTCGCCAAGTATTTCAAATTGAAACCAGTTTAGCTCACCTAAGCGGTAATGAGTTCTGCAGATGGCTAAGCATTAAACAAATTGGTGATATCTTCTACGCCACTCAAACCTTGGCAAGATCTAGACGGTACTGGACACCACCAGGTATTGCATATGCAAAGGGGCTTCAGTTAAATTAAGACCAGTACTACAAGCAGCTGGGCCACAAGATACACGGTGACTCACTTAATCTCTGCGAAGCAATTCTCCCATCTCCAATTCATCGGCTTCGTCCCTTGGAGGAGAAATAACCAATCCTTCGGCCATCTCTCTCTTCACACAGAGTTGCTCCGCAATTATTACTGTTATTGCTGACCATGCGAAAATGACGAGCCAGAAGAACAAAGAGGTGGGTATTGAAGCCGAGTAATAAGTTGTGAGTACGAGGTGACTGAAGGCGAGTGTTAGCGCGAAATCCAAGATGAAACGCGGTCGTCGAATGAGAATACATAAATAGTATATGCTGAGTATGGTCAGTTTGTTGTAAGCATCCTGGACTGTCCAACACATACTCTGCAAAGGAAGCGATAATCCATGAGAATGCTATTACCCAACCTCGCATAGGGTCGGTCCATCCGTCCCACCTGCCTTCCTCCCACCCGGAACCGAGCTGTTTACCGCCGCTCCAGGCGCCATAGTAAGCGTCCCACCTATCTTCGCCCTGCATTCCACGGACTGTTGGACGGCCAGCCATTTCTCGCCAATCCATGATCATCCCTGGTGCGGTCTCCCTCTCAACTCTAGTTTATGACTCGGCGGTTATGTGACGCACCGACATTTGTTGCCCCTCCTTCGAAGATGAGTGCGCCGGCCTCCGCAAAGATGGACAATAATGGGGGGATGAGGACGGAGAGGGTTAGATAATGGAGAGTTTGCATTGAAATAATCTGAGGTGGACGCAGACGGTTTAGACCAATGCGGACAAAACAGGACAGAGCAAAACAGAACATACCTGAGATATAAGGAGGATTGGGTCCCAGCTAGCGTTCGATGCCCGAGATGACGCCGCCATCGTTACTACAGTACTAAATTAGCTTTCAAGTCTGCAGTGGCTCCGTCGAACTACAAACCGTAAATGACCGAGGGTGCTTATGTAATCGGCAGACTAACATGAGGCTCACGGTTTTGGTCGTACTACTACTACTACGTTCAGAGGTGCCAAGAGAGTTGGTAGTTATTTCCTGTCACGAAGACTTTGGCGTGCGGCAATGTCTTACGAGCGTGCCAATGGAGGTGATGAGGAGAACTTCGAAGACAACGATAACCGTCTTCTGGCTTCTCGCTCGAGGATTGCTGTAATACACCCAGACCTGGCCTTGAGACCTTCTGTGTACTACGAAGAAGGCCCCTTCGACGCACCTTCCTCTGACGAAGGCGAGGGTCTCATTGAGAAGCAGGATCATGTTCTTTCGGATGACCCGAATATCTTCGGTGACACGGAACCGGGAAACGGTTTGCTGGTAGGAGGAAACAAGGTCAGTCATAACTTGCATTGCTCTCGTTTCTTTACTTACATTGATACCGAAGAGGCCCGCTAGCCTAAAGTACCTTATTATCTCCCTAGCATCACTAGTTTTTCTCTCTGCCTCTATTGGACTTTTTGCTGCAACATCTCTCTACAACGGACAAACTTATCGACTACCAGGTGCCAGGAAGATTTCCTTGGACCATATATTTAACGGAACGTTCAGTGCCTCACGGGAGGGTGTGCACTGGGTTCCCGAAGGTCAGTTGTGGCACTAAACAACTTTTACCCTCACGGAGATATTTCGTAGCTGGCGACGGAGTTTTCTCTATCTTCCAGAATGGACAAATTCAGCTTGTTGACCTGAAAAGTAATAAAACGACTGACCTTGTCTCCATGATGGACATCAAGGATGTAAGCCCCCTTTTCTTCGAAGTCATCGTGCGTTGAATTTAGAGCTGCCCAGGACGAGGGGAACATTATTTACTGGACAGATTGGAAGCTTTCGCCAGACATGACGTATATACTGGTGAAGGCCGACCATCTCAAGGTCAGGATCCTCCATGAGCACGGTCTTGAAATGCTGATGTGCAACATCTAGCAATGGCGCTACTCGAACTTTGGCAATTACTACGTGCATAACCTGAACACTAAAGTAACATACCCATTGGTGCCGCCCACTCATCCTCCAGTCACTGCTTATGCTACCTGGTCCCCGACTGGGCAATCTATCGCGTTCGTTGCTGCCAATGATATATATGTACTCCCATCTCCGTCGTAAGTGCCATTTCAATGCTTGTACAACAAAGCCTTCTGATGGCTTTTCCACCAGTGCTTCCACCACTCCCATTCGTGTCACCAGCTCGGGAAATACATCATTATTTAATGGTGTGCCTGATTGGATCTATGAAGAAGAAGTTTTCGCAGCTGATTACACGCTCTGGTGGTCTCCTGACTCGAGCAAGATTGCTTTTCTACGTCTCGATGAAACCGAAGTAGACGAATTTCGGTTCCCGATCTACAATCCCACAGATGATTCTTATGCTGTCGTTCCATATACCCAAGATGTTGCCATCAAATATCCCAAACCAGGCTACAACAACCCTCTTGCCTCTGTACATGTTTTCGACGTCGCACAGTACGAACGATCTGAAACATCTTCTGACTCAACTGCCGAGATTTATACTTCCGAGCTCAGTTGGGAAGGTCGCTTCCCTGCAGCTAACAGTATTATCATGGATGTCACCTGGGTGGGTCAATCGACACTCATTGTTAAGGAGGTTACTCGCGCTGCAGACAACGGTAGCGTCGTGTACTTTGATTTAACCAACATGGGATATGCAGATATCGTGAACGGAAGGGTAGTCCGAAGGCTTGGTAGTGGTGGCGAGGAAGGTGATGAGGGCTGGATTCAAAGCGTAAGAGGCTTGCATAATTGTGTAGTCATCTCTTACCGAAACACTGATTGCAGGCCCAAAATATTCTCCCTCTTCCAGACAGCCTGCGTCCAGGGCATTCATCTGCCTATCTAGATATTGTGCCAACCGACGGCTACAATCATATTGCTCTATTCGATCCCGCCGACAGTAAGACTCCATTTTTCCTCACTTCTGGCCCGTGGGAAGTCACGGGGGGCATCAAAGCAATGGATACGCAAAGAGGATTGATGTAAGTTATTTTTTAATTCCCGTCGGAGCTTTACGATTCATTGCGCCCATATTACATCTACAGATATTTCCAAGCCGCGCGGTCATCAACCCAACGCCACATCTATTCAATCCCAATTTCAGCACCAGTTTCAGGATACGTAGAGCCCATCTCGCTCACAGATGAATCAATATCCTCTTCGTACAGTACTAGCTTTTCGCCACAAGCCGGATTTTATCTTCTTGATTACAACGGACCAGCTGTACCATGGCAGCGAATTGTCGATGTTGGCAACAATGGTGATTTCATCTCTAATTACCATCATTAATACATATAGCGCTTACACCTTAATTCCAGATTTCGATTATGTTCTGACGGATAACTCTGTATTAAATACCACGCTGACTGAATTTGAAACTGCCGCCGTCACGTATTCGACAATAGACAGTGATGGCTTTGGTTAGTTTATTTGATGCGTTCTTCTCGCGATGAAACTTTATACAGCCCCTCAGAGCTAAATGTAAAGGAAATGCGCCCTCCTCGCATGGATGACTCAGGGCGGACGAAGTACCCAGTCTTGTTCTTCGTGTTTGTACCATGCCTTTTTGAAAGTAAACATGCTTATCTCTGATGCTTTCAGGTACGGTGGGCCAGAGAGTCAGCAGGTCAATGTCGAGTACAAACGAGACTGGCATGACTATCTCGTTTGCACACTCCAGTATATCGTCGTCGTCGTCGACGGTCGGGGAACTGGATTCAAGGGGCGGCACCTGCGCAACCCAGTAAGGAATAATCTTGGCTTCTGGGAAACTCAGGACCAAATCAACGCTGCACGGTACGGAACGCCTAAAATCGTGAACTGTGGTATTGAACATCTGGCAGCATCTGGGCTGGGAAAGACTATGTTGACCGGAAACGTATTGGAATTTGGGGATGGGTGAGTCGTATTAATATTGTGGATTCTGTGGCCGATATATCAATCGACTGCTGTAGTCTTATGGCGGGTTCATGGCCTCCAAGGTTGCGGAAGCAAATGCCGGTATCCACACTTTGGCCATGGCCGTTGCTGTATGTGTATATCTCACTGACGAAGTCATTGCACTCACTAGCAAGTCTAGCCTGTGACCAGTTGGAGACTATATGATTCCATTTATACAGAACGGTACATGGACTTGCCTGACAATAATCCTGGAGGTTACATCAACGCCTCCATTTCACATGTAGAGGGCTTCAAGAGCATAGATTATCTCCTCGCTCATGGCAGCGGAGATGACAATGTCCACTATGCAAACACAGCTCACTTGTTAGATATGTTCACGGAAGCTCAAGTCAGAAACTTTCGTTTCAGGATGTTCACAGACAGGTTCGCTAATGGAATCCATTCCACATAGTACAACGCTGACTATTCACATCGTGTAGCGATCACTCGATCAGTCGCAGAGGTGCAAATAGAGAAGTTTTCGAGTACATGGCTCTGTTCCTCATTGAAAAATGGGGGAAAGGTGGCCGGCGACGCGGCTGGTGATTGAATACTAGTATGTGTGTACATAGATCTTCAATTTTCGTAAATTTCCACATCAGAAGCGGAGAATGCGGGTATATACTCATGTTGGGCCCAAACCATAACTGGTTTCAGAACTGGATAATTTTGAAGCTGGGAAAACGCCTCAATGATGACTCGGATCTTATGGGTGCAGCCAACAATCTTCACGATTCCGATATGGCAGCTTCTAGTTGGTTTTGCGCAGATCTTCACCCATAGGCTTTACCTACCTGACGGTCAAGAATGCAGGCATTCGTGAACTTCGCTTGGAAACTTAGAAGATCCTAGAAGATCAAATGCGCTGGCAATGCGCTGGAAGACAACCTATGTGACGGCAGGATCCATATACTGGGTAGACGTTGGATGTCTTCGCTTTGACCCCCGGCTTCAAGTTACGTTGATTCTGCAATGCATGTACCATGCTCCTACTACTTACTAGATTCGAAGCCTTGCTTTAATTCGTCATTATACATGAGGAATCACTAATCCATCATCCCTTACTAGAATTCAGACCCTTCTGGCAACCGAGAATACAAAGCTAACTCGAAATCTTTTCATTTCCGGACTCAGACGATTTCCAAAGGAAGCAATGTCTCCAGCTGGGATGAGAGCGCCCTCTGATATCTGAGAGCTCTAGGATAGCATATTCGCCCGGCTTTGGTGTGTTCGCCGTTCGGTGTCTTCAATGCCTTAGCGTAATGCTTACATAATATACAACTACAGTGATTCCGAGTTCAGGATTTTGCAACACGCCCTTTGATTTATCCATCAAGAAGCCAACACTTGTGCGGTTAAGAGAATCAATCAATCACCGTGTAGTCTTACAACGCACAGGACTGGGTATTATTTACATCCCGACCCAGCCGCATCTAACGCCACCCTCTGCTGGCTGGTGTTACCTTTTGGTATCATGCCATGTGCACAACTGTTCTAGCTTCTCGCGGTCAGCGCTGGAAGGCTGAGTGCGCGTTACCGTGTCTAGGCGGATCAGGTCGATATTTCCATCTCGAGCTCTCGGGGGCCAGTACTACCTATTTTTCGGCACTGGGTGGTTCCAATTCTTGACTAGAAATTCTTACATGATTCAATGATATGGGGATGGTGGTTAACTCCGCCTAAGGTTAGTTTCGAGTCACTTTGGGGGGATGGTTTGGCAGAGTGGGTGTTGGGTTGATTCCTCGCGCTAAAGAGCTGTCGCACGCTGATTTCATCCGGACATCACCACTCCCACGGGGAAGCTTGGTGCTCTTTTCGACCGCAATCGAAGGGGTGGGGAAATTCAAGAATCAAAGAGGTAGATGAGGCGGTGGACCTGTTCAACTCCTTCAGCCATCCATAAACATATGGCACTGGTCAACAGGTTTGGACTAGTAACTTTCCAGTGCGCTCGATCACAGATATACTTTGAGCTACCCTTTGACCATTATGATCCACGTTATCCGGGAATCGTGTATCTCGCACTCATCTAGCACCAAATTTTAGCGCGTAGAACTTTAGAACTTGGGTCATGCTGAAAACGGTAAGCCTTGACGTCTCCCATTTCGTCTTCAAATCTGTTTACGGAGCTTTCCACATGCCGTTATCCTCGAGAAGTCCCTAAATAGCTCTCAGACATGATAATCGGATGCAGTCGATCTTCTGGGAATAGATATCCTCGTCTCTAAAGAAAGCCCCGCGATGTCCTGCCCTTGTTGCATAAAAGACCCTAGAACGACACGCCTTGTTGAATACGCTCTGGAAGAAGAGTACACAGCGGATACTTGGGTCTCACTGTTACCTCGACAACCTTTCAGGCTCGGGTGATTGCACATGCTCAGCACATCCAATGAACGACCGACTACGCTGCACATCTATAATTTCGGGAGTGTGTTTGGCAATCGTAAGATTATCAAGGGGGAAGACAAGGTCACAACTTTGTGAGTTTTGAGGATATTTTCGATTGTTTCATCATCTTTTACTTTGTCTATCGCTGTTACAGATATTTTATGCAGAACACGCGGGGTTCGATGCACTGGACTTTTAATCTGCACGCTGATGGCCCAGATGGTCCTCTGCTCTGTCGAGCTCAGTCTTCGTACAATGGACCACCAATGTTGGATGAAGTCAACCATGGGCCTACGATTTTATCCATGACTGCCATCAGACGGCCAGTTAAGATGGAGAGGAAGCGTGGGGCCTTCAACGGAACTGTTTTCTTCGAGGGTCCCGATCATAAGGAGTATCGCTGGCAAACGACTGCACGGCTGTTTAGTGCTGCGATGGAGGTGCGTGCAAGGGCGGGTCGGATGTGGCGGCATTTATCACGTAGCTCTTGTCAGTGTTTAGATGCCGAGGACGCCCTCATAGCGACATATCGCGTTACATCCATGTCAGTGACGAAAGATGGTGTTCTCGTGGTTCAACCCGTATGTTTCTATTTCTGCAATTCCTGGTCTTTGTAATCATTTCTATGACAGTCGGGGAAGTTCATGCTGGACCTGCTCGTTGCTACCAGCCTTGCGATGCGCACACCCAATAACTAAAGTGTCTCTCGGACACGATCTCTTTTACCTCTGCTTGGTATGGTCATCCCTTTGGTGCTATTTTTATTGCGCGGGTCGTATTTTCGTAATTCACCACATCGGCAGTTTCTATTGGTATGTATCTATGTACGCACAAACAAAGGCAATAGTAAACGGTGCAACAACGAAAGCTCACGCTTCGATTAATTTCGGGAACAAGTGGTGATCGGGTCCAAGAACGCTTGTTTAGTATGCATTCATCTTTCCCGTAGCGGACACCATTGACGTTTTCTTGTGAACACTCTGACCGTGGATTCTTTGAACGCAGTATAATTCCCATATCGATCTTTACCTGACCAGCTGCAAACTAACTGTTTCTCCCGCCCATCTGGCGGTCTATTCCAGCGTTGGTGACAAACGTCAAATCAGTAGGGTTTAGATCCCTCCACCTGGCCTTTATATTACTGTAAGAGTGACATGCAAGGTGACGCAGATGAAAATGTTCACGACAATTCCACCAGCACAATGGCATTGGGATATGAAATTCATGCAAAAATAGCCTGGGGCCAGGCCCTACTACTAGAAGCAACTAAAATTTGATATTGATCTACTGATATGCCGGCTGCATTAAGTCCATAGACCAACTATAAGTAAGCTAGTAGACCCGCATCTGTGTGCCATAATTATATGCATGCCTTGTTAAACGTTGGACTAAAGACAGTCTCAGCGTCGTGAATAGAACCGCTAATATTGGAAGTACCTAAAGACAGAGTCTAGAGGTACGATACAGTGAGATGAAGACAGCGTGCAAGAAACATCGAACATACCTCAGCGTCGTGAATAGAACCGCTGAGGTACAAATAAGGCGAGACAACAAGATTAGTATAAGGTGTATGTATAGAGTCCGGAGACGGAAAAGGAAATCTATCTATGGTTGCGATGTTGAACATCCAACATGCCTAACCCTACAATCATCAAGGCTGCTTTTTATGGTGGATCTTTGGTCACAGTTCAATTTGCCGCCATGCCGCATACATTTTTCACAAAAATCATGTCACTTGTATGTCACACCAGGTTTCCGGGCTGACACGACAACATTGCACGTTGCTGAAACATTCATGCTCGTTGTGAGCAACAGTGAGCTCGACTACTGCAGCACCACTTTGTGCTACCTGTTGTCCAGCATGTACAGTGCTAGTCTCAAATCTGTCTGACAGCAGATTCACGTTGATGCCATGTGTGTGCTCCACTTAAGCCCAAGGTTTTGGTACTCTTTGATAATTCCAACTGTACACAGCTGTCTCAAGAGTGTGGAATGTGATCACCTTGTACTGCTGCAGGTAGGCAATGGCACGGGTAACCCGTGGGTATCCACGAGCGTACCCGCATCCATACCCACCACTTACCCGCACCCATGGTTCAAGGGTATGCTCGGGTATGGGTTTTGACGAGGGTATGCAAAGGGTATCATGGGTAAATAACCTGCAGCGGGTAACCCGTGACCCACATACATATATATAAGTACAACGAATGTTAGTAGTAGTAGTAACAACACAATAACAGCTAAATCTTGATGGCATCCCAGCCAGTAAGCAAGTCATCCTCTTCGCCATCAACATCTGCGAGTACAGTGACAGCTTTCACATCATTGTCGTGCACCAAGCCTAGTTTGCTCCAGATCCCAACACATAGTAAAGCACAAATGGTTTGCGATGACAGTTGGCTTCAAATGTGTGAGAGCAACAGCCATCCACAGCTAAAAATGTGTTCAATGTCGACGGATGTAGCTGGATTGGTAGGGTTAGTTACGATGTGTCACGGCTGAGGCAAGAACATACTGGGAATACTTAAATAATCGATTGCCATGCGGGAGAGACGCAAGTAGGTTGATTGGTGCTTGTGCCACCAAGCAATGACACTGCCAGGGACATGCTCACAGTCAGTGCTGAGATACGTGGTGAGCTCATTTGTGACCGAGCACGTGGGAGCTGTAAGAGCGGGGAGACAATCGAAGATGTTATCTTTTTTTGAGGACTTGGACTTGGAGAAAATTAGCTATGTCCATGATAATTAATGAACTGACATACCTTTTGAGTGTCTGGCTCATGCGAACCAGTGCGCGACTCGTTGTCATCCGAATCAATGGCAATATCAGCATATGAAAGGTCAAACTCATCCCGCACAAGGTCAGATGCAGTTTTGATCCAGTCCGCCTCCCAACCCGTGTTCTTGAAGTAGTTGAGCTTGTTGTGCGGATGAAGCACTTTGATAGGTTCATTAGTGTAGTTAGCATCAAACGAAGTGAATACAGACGTACCCATGGCGATTCGGTATGTTTGAGACATGTCAGTAAGCGAGTAGTACCTGTCCAGTGTCTTCTTGCCCATAGTGAGAGATGCACGAATTGAGGTGTTGAGGTCTTTGTCAAATGAGTGAGTAGTTAGCATCTCGTCAATATGATCCATGGCAGGGATCACAATAGCGAGGTTCGGGGTAGCATGTGAAAAGAAAGTGGTTGCATCCTTTAAGATCTAGATGTGCGCCATGAATCAGTACATCATGGACAATACTGCGACTTACCAGTAAAGTGTCCCGCAATTGCTGAGCTATTCCCCACTCGCTCTCACTCAACTCAAACTTGCGCAACCCAAATTTGCGATCTCCGGTGAAGTCATCAAGAGCTTGACAGTACTCAATGGCGAAGTCTAGCATGTCGAAGGTAGAATTCCACCTGGTGGAAACATCCCGAGGCATGATGCGAACTGGTAGTTGTAGCTCATCGAGGATCACCTTCCATGCTGGCAAAAACAGCGTGGTGGAGTGAATTATCTTGAACGCAAGTTTCTGGAGCTGTACCATGTGATATGCTGACATGTCAGCGTTGTTTATGGTGAGTCATCACATAACCTACTTTCACAAGCACCAGCTTGACCAGTCTGAGTGTCTTATGCAGTCCTGCACGTTCGGCAGGACTCAGATTTGCCACCTCGTCGACCCACCCATCCATATCATCAATGTCAGCATCTTCAGGATTTCCTTCACCTCTCTCTGCAATTGTCCTCTCATCATCAATGGTCATGCCTTTCGCAAGTTCCTGCAAGAGTTGTTCTTCAACATCATCATCGTCCAGGACATCAAGCGCTTTGGGGGACTTGTCATTGTTGTCATCTGGGATGACACTCTTGTTTTTTGGTATGTCAAACTGTCGCATTATTGACTTTGCGATGAGATTGACGATATGGAGAAAACAGCGTGTTTGGCTGAGTTCACCACCAAACAACTCAACTCGCTTTGCGAGTTCATTTGTCAGTGTGTCATTCGCACTCACATTATCCGCCATCAAGCTCAGCATCTATTACTTTGTGAGTAAAATCTTGAGCTATGTTTTTGCATGCACCTTATCTGATATACTGAACTCATCTAGTATTTTTGCGAATGCAGCGGCAAGGTTTACCCCCGAGTGAGACTGGATGTTGGTTAGTATACAGTGTATCCAGGTACGAAGCCTTTATTGTACCTCTGAAACCTCAACTATGTCCAATATCATCGCTAATGGCTCTCCATCATGTTCTAGATGTACGGAGACTGCAATGAATGCCTTATGGTTGGGCGAAGTCCACCTGTCTGTGGCAAAACTCAACTGCCCATTGTATTCCTGGTAAGATATGAGATTTATATTGTGTTTGAGTATAGTGAGGGTACTGAACTTGTAGCATCTTAGCAATTCGTTGTCGTGTGCAAGCGAACACCAGCTTAACGTCGCGCGAGACTGTCGATGGAGAAGGTATGTAGTACTCAGGCCTACCCGTTTTCATTAACGACTGAAAGCCACGATCTTTGATGATTGTGAATGGTTGCAGGCTTTCAGCCACCCAGCGGACAATCTCCACTCTGTTGCCACCATCAACTTCGGCATCAGCACAATCACAACATGAGTAAGTACTTTGTTTCTGTTCTTGTGTGTTGCCGGTGCGAATATGTGACCTTGCCTTTCCCCGTGCGTTCGAAAGATGCTGTGATAGAGCCGTCTTTTGCCCCAGAGATAATGGTACATGCCTCTTGAGCATTCTTTGTTTCATCAGCAAGCTTAACAGTCTCTTCGCCCCAACAGATCTTAGCGTGCTTCTGCATATTACTGGTTGACTTTGCATCCTTCTTGTCAAGGTAACGATGGACCCCTTTCTTGCAGCTCGTTGCTGCACACTTGAATTCATGGAAGCGGTGGCCTTCGTGATAACCAATTTCCGGAATTGGGTGATAGAATGCATAAACAGGCGAGTTCCAGTCCCCCTTCAGACATTCTATGCTCAAATGTTAACTAACTCATCACCTTGGTTATGTATCCAGGCTTACCAAGTTCAGTTTCCAAACTGTTATCAACATCCTCGTGTTTGGAGGAGACCTCAATAACATCATTATCACTGTGAAGAGCCTCTTCCTCTTCCTCGGTCCGGACGACTGCTCGATGGCTTTGTGTTGAAGGAGTTGGCGCGGTGTCATGCATGGTATGGAACTCATACCATGACATTGATAGACAGGAAGTACCCACAGAGAGTACACTAAGGTGTACCTCATTGTATTATTATGATTGGTTCCATTTTGACAGATTTACTTGTATTTATATTTCCAGTATGATAGTTTTCACCTTTCCCCTTTTCTTTTCATTTCTTTTGTGTGGTTTATTCAGCCACCAGTGAGCCACCAAGATGTGTTAGTAAGCATGTCATGTGATAGGCAATATTCTGCTTTATAAGAATCCTGCATGATTTGTCATGTGGCTTCCATTTGTTTCCATTTGCTTCTATTTGTTTCAGGCTCATTCAGCCACAGAATCCTTCAGTGAGCCACCAGATGTGTTTGTAAGCATGTCATGTGATAGGCAATAATCTGATTTGTAAGGATTTGTCATGCTTCATCATGCTTCGTCATGCTTCATCATGATTTATCATGCTTTGTAATATTATGAACTTTATTTGTAAACTACTTTGTAAGCAGCTGATTCAGCACTGCCAAATGGCATGGTTAGTAAGCCAGTGACTTACTAATGCTGTGATGAGTCATGCTTAGTAAAATGGCCTCCCAAAAGGTATAAAAGGAGCCCATTCTACACTGAGTAATAATAACTTCCCACTTTTCACTCTTCTCTCAAACCGTGAGAGTCCGTAAGACTTAAAAGTGCAGGCCGCGAGTGCCTTGAAGTAAGATAAACATTGTATCAGAGATTAGTTGTATACTACCTTACAAGGGTCGCTTATATAACAATCTATTTATAAACTACTTGTTGTGTGCTACCTTTCAGGGGCTGAGTATACAACACCAGAACAGCTTTCGTACTAGGCTTTACGTATTTAAGACAGACTTCATTACTTGTTGTGTACTACCTTACAGGGGTTGAGTATACAACACCAGAACAGCTTTCTAACTAGGCTTCACATATTTTAAGACAGACTCTCTTTTTTTCAGGAAGGGAGATACGAGAACACGACAAAGTTGAGACAGACTTTCATAGGTTGAGACACAACCTACGAGATTGAAACAGATCTTTCCATCAGAGCATTAGGGAATCTACGAGTATTCCACCAGAGAACAACAAGAAGAGGACACGTCAGCAAACCCTCCCAAGAACTCACACGTTATCTACCATGAAAACTAGAAAAGTCGTAGACCGTGTACTTAAGGACTGGCAAGAAGTCTTATCCTGTATAGTTGTGTTGTCACTATACACGTGTTGTACATAAGACCCTTAAGTAGTAAGACAGCGGTCTGGACGACTGCTCAATGGCTTTGTGTTGAAGGAGTTGGCAAGTCTTCGGAATCTGATGCCACAGTCATGGGACACTTCCCTGACTTTTTGGAGGTAAGTTCATGACTTGCCTTACGTTTTATGATCCGTTTGACATTTGATAAGAATTCTCATGCCTTTTCGGTGGGCTTGCGCTGTCTTTTGTCTGCCATTGATGCGAAGTACGAGATTTTCTCAGGTAGAAGCAATTCTTAGATTAGAAGTATTTCCTTAATAGATTAGGGTGGCAAATCCTCATTTAAGGTTTGTGATGATGTGCCATATAAGGGTAAAACTATACAGTTGAATTGCCTTCATGTTCAAATGTTCGCGAGCTAAATACCCACCAACCCATACCTAGGGGTATGGGTATTTGAAGGGTCAACAAGCTGAGACCCCTACCCAACCCACAAGTACCCCTACCCATGACCCACGTGGGTATCCAAAACCCATGGCATTGCCTACACGCACACAACTTGGGCTGTGCTGGCTCTTATACATGATAGCCAGATACTACACCCCAAGGGTCAATTATTCTTATTGCTCACACACCCAGTATACCATATACCATATAGATGTAATTACTGCGCAATGATTGAGTTGAATGTCCGGCTATTGTTAAAGCAGAATCCTGAAAAGTTCTTGTGTGCGTGAGCAGGCTTGCCAATGGGTTATATATTTGTTGTCATGTAAGGAAAGAAAGTGACTGTGGTGTTGTGGTTGTATACAGTGTGGCTAATTAGGATCAAGGCTCTCTACACACCGCCGACTGGGTAGGAGTCTGCACATAGACATCATTCTACATCTGTTCTCGTGCCTCGAACTCACGTAGAATACAATAACCGATAGTAGGTGTGTAACTCACCTGTGACATCACTCTATGGGATATACAATGATAAATATGAGATATACAACGATAAATATAGCGGAATGTGAAAAATGCACGCGGCATGACGCCAAATCGAACCGTCACTAAAGATCCATCATAGTTTTTGGAGGCCATTACAGCTGTTTGCATAAATGATGACAGTACACGACTTTTTGGGAAAGAAGAAAAATTAAATATTCTAGTGTGGCACTTCGTCTTGCGCCGCAACAATCAACCGCAATCAACATCGATGTATCAAAAAATCAGTCGCGACGTCAAACTCGCTGCCGTCAATCTCTACGAGCGTCAACACCTTTCTCTTCAGGACATTCTCGCTTGTGTTGGACAACTTGGATTCTCGGAAAGTACTTTCTGGCGTGTCCTTAAACTTTGGCGCAAGACAGGCAACGTTGTTAGCCCCACCTGTAGCCTTCTTGGTTTCTTCATTTCTGAGTATGAATACACTATGAGAGTGTACGAGATCGAGACATTGTGTGGTGGTGGAGGTACTGAGTAAAATCTCACATTCAGGTATTCAAGAATCAATGGTCAATGAACTTCGAACAATTGTACCTTCCTTGGGCTTGGGAGGGCGACTAGGGCCGCGTTTTTCGTTTTCTGGTGATTCTAGTTAGGAAGTGGGTTCCACGACAATTGTTTCATCCCCTGGAGAGATGTCATACTGGTCCCTGACAGCCGCCGTTATCGAATCGTCGTCAGAGTCCATAGAATCAGAGGATATCGAGTTTGTCATTTTCGACTCAATCGTAAGTCACATACATGCGGGATGCGTTATTTACTGCTGTGTAAGATTTATTTATTTATTCTTCTTTCTCAAAAAGTCGCGTACTGTCATCATTTATGCAAACAGCTGTAATATTGAGGTGTGCAGTTCGGAGAGATCTGAGGGTGTTCACTCGCATATAGGCTTACGGCGTGCGTGCTTTGGACTTATTACTCACGTGTTTTCGCATTTCCCTATTTATATCCCAACGTTCGTACTGAAATTATCCTTCTTCTTCCCGAACTTCGATATCGAACCATCGCACTCGAGCTCTCGAACTCTCATAATATATAACGACGTCCTGTTTACTCGTATCCAATCCTTAAGTGTTATCTGTCCACTGTCATCTTGGACAGATTTCCAGTATTAGAAAGGGCTGCAGTTATTAACGTCCTCAGTCACTCAGGCTCAGGGGTTATCCTTTTTCCGAACGCATATAAGCATCTTCTCAAACTCTTCTTTCCTCTAACATGCTTTTCAACGAGGCAGGTGTGTTTCTTCTGACGCCGTGGCTAGTGGATTTTCTGCACCTCTGATCCGTGTTCCAGCGTGTTTCAGTATGCGAGTGCCGAAGGAAACCATTCAGATATGGTGTAAGTTCTGAGCATATCATTGAGGATCTAGGTGATATCGTAGAACATCGTGGCTAACTGCTCTACCTGCTACGTACAGTGACTCATGGAGGCAGAATCTATCCTGGAGGAACCACCACTGTCGCGTCTTACTTTTTTGCCGTCAGTCGCGAAGACGAGTGGACAAGCATACTTTGCAGAAGATCGGTAGTGGTGAGATGCTTCTTTAACATCAGGTTTTCCTCTTTAAGCAGGCTTCCTATAGGTGATACATGTGGGCTGGATTTTGCACTGCGTCGCGCATTCGTTTCGTGTTCCCATTGTGGGCTACATACTTGATGGTACGATTACGTCTCATGCTACATTATTGGCCGTAGAACACTCTACTTATCATGACACACTACTGATTTCTCTGCCCATTTGATATTTCCCCTGCCACACCTCACACCTCCGGATCTCATGTACCCCCTCCACAGATGGCTTTGATGCTGGGCTGCCTTTCAGTCGTATGGGAATCCAAGATCACATACTCGCCTCCGTAGTATCCCCTCGATATCCACAACGGGTATCTCGCCCTTTTGTGCCGCGGAGTCAGCCACAAACACCTCTCTGCATCCTGCCGAACGTCCTCCAGAAGCGAAAGCGCCAGAGAGACAGCCCCGCCTACCCCAACGCACTGCATAGTGAATCAGGAGACAGTCTCCCGCGACGTCCACGTAAACGCCATATGCTCTCGGAGCTATCATCATCATCATCAGCAGAAAGTTTATCCGACATTGCGATTACAGAAGTACACATCTCCGCAGTCACTAAACGTAACCACGACGCTAGATCAACTCATGTTGTTACACCCGATATATGCGTTGCAAATACTCCTCCCGATAATCACGCGTCATCCGCTCCCCGTCACCTTACCCCATCCTTCAAAGCTATGTCAAAATACAAATCTCAGGTGTCATCATTCCACGGGTCTCCGCGAAATGATCAGGGGCATGAGAAGGCTGGTGACCTCAACTTGAATTACGCCTATGAACGTACCTCTGAATTTACTATCACCGCGAACGGTACCAGTCCTGTTGCGTGTCCGAAGGACTCTCCTCCTGTACCGGCGATCGACTTCACCCGACTGCAATTTCCTTCCAGGAACAGTTTGCGCTTTCCTCTTCTACGTTTAGAACCAGTCACTACAGCTGCCAAAGTCGGGAGCAGGGGGGATGGTGAAAATTCTGCTAGGCCGCCGGCAGCCTCAAATCACACTCCCAACCGGTTTGCGCAGGATGTGCCTTCAGCTACACAGCAACCAGGCAAGTTGGCGGCGCCAGGAGCTTGCAGTAGCAGAAATCATGAAGATACGGAAGCCGCATTGCCCGTCACACGCCAAGACACGTGAGTGGAATCCTCCAGCTCTCCTAGACGCCTTGGCGAAGCTATTGACTCCAGACACGACACGGTGACATATCACATGGATCAACTTATACGGACGAGAAAACGTGCTACAGGTCGCGATGACGTTCGATTTGCAGCGCTATGGGAGAGCAATGCGATGTGGAAGGGTATGAGATTTTGGCATGAAGACCTGAAAAAGCCGACGTGGAATGCGGATGCAGATATGCAGTATCATAGGAGATTTTAAATGTGCATTCATGTCGACCTCGACCTCGCTTCGTCGAGCCAAGGAGACTTGCAATTTGTTATTAGCTGTACCACCTATGCCGGAAGCTTTATAAATTCCGGAGATGAAGGACATGTTTGATATTGAAAGTCCAACGCACAGGGTTGAATCTACCGATTTCGGCTTTGAAGGAGCTTAGCACAGTCTTGCTACTCCACCGTCCAGGCGGGTTTGCACCATGCGGCTCGCACATCTAAGCACCGAACATTAGGTAAGAAGTAACAACATTTGGAACGCCGGTTGGCATGTGGGTCATTCACTCCTATCATATTAATATTGGATCGACTATCAGATCTTCAGACACGACCGGGAATTGTCCGACGCTAAGCATCAGTACAGCATACCGAACAATCAAGATCAATGCCCTGGTTTGTAGTCAGGGCGCAACGAACGGACGACCTTTCCGACTCTCCAGATCTCCTGCTCGTCAATCTCTTTCAACTCCTTGGCCAAGTCTTCGCGATAAGTGGCGCGCCCGTTAAATTCGAGTGCCTTGCGCGTCTCCGTGCCATTCTTTACGCTTTCATAAAGCTTCTCAAACACCGGGCGATTTGTTGCCTCGAAGATCGGCGCCCAGTCAAGGGCCCCTCGTCGAGCGGTGGTGGAACAAGCGTTGAACATGTAATCCATGCTGTGGATAGTTATAAGTCAATGACTTGTGAATTCAGAGTGATAGAGATATTTACCCCTTTTCTCCGATCAAAGGATACAGAGATTGAGTGGCTTCTTCGACGGTTTCATTGAATGCCTCTGAAGGCGAATGGCCGTTTGCACGAAGCACCTTGTATTGTGCGCAGAATAATCCCTCTGTAAACGGTTAACCAGTCAGACTGCAATCAATGACACGACAGCGATGGACTGACGGATAGCGGCTGCGAGCTAGGAAAGAGACTCGATCTTAGCGTATGCATGCAGATTGATGACGGAGCACTTACCACACCACGTTCACCAGTCAAATCTGAGAACACCTCCTTCTCGAAGGTTGTTTCGTACATGTAGCCAGAGCCGATAGCGACCCCAATAGCCACGGCTTTCTCCATTGCTTTGCCAGTTACGTCTTGAAAAACGGCGACACTGGAGTTGATGCCTCTGCCTTCTTTGAACAGGGTTCGGACAGTGCGACCAGATCCTTTTGGTGCTACTAGAATAACGTCGACATCCTTCGGAGGAATCACCTTGGTATCATCTTTGTATACCACTGAAAACCCATGCGAGAAGTAGAGTGTCTTGCCCTTCGTTATCAGAGGAGAGATATGAGACCATGTTGATGACTGTGCTGCATCTGAGAGTAAGTTCATGACGATTGTACCCTTGTCAATGGCTTCCTCGATGGAAAAGAGTGATTCTCCAGGTACCTGTAGCACAAATCGTCAAAAATCATCTGCATGAACATTTGAGATTCAACCAACCCATCCATCCTCCACTGCCTGTTTCCAGCTTTCTCCATTCTCGCGGACGCCAATGACCACATTCAAGCCGTTGTCACGAGCATTCAAGCCCTGACCATGTCCTTGCGAGCCATAGCCAATGAGGGCGAGCGTGTCATTTTTGAAGTAGTTTTGAAGTTTTGCCAGAGGCCAATCACTGCGCTCGTACACAACTTCTTTTGAACCAGCGAAATCGAGCGTCTTCAACCCTCTGGTGACACGAACCTGAAGGAGTTCATGATACCTTCTTATTTTTTCTCCTTGATTGACTACTATTGTGACTTACGCGCTTAATGTTCGTCACAAAAGAGCTTTGGGCCGGCTGTTGACGCGCCAATAGCGAATAGGTGGCAGCCTGGAATGGCTTTTTTATTAATAACCTTGGACTAGCTCGTGCTTGGCGGGAAAGAGCGCGCAGACATGCTGTGGAGGAGGTCATTTGACGATCAAAGTAGAATCCAAGGTGTCAAGCGCCGGAACATAGGGCCGCGGCATCAGTTCTTAAAACTAAAGACCGGGTCGCCAATCAGTAACCGAGTAGTAGGATCAATGATGCAGCTGCATGGCTAGCCCCGATATTGTCTCCACCGTCTTGACGCCGTTTGACAGCATCGGAGTCTGATGGAGGTCCAGCACAGCAGGTAGGGGGCACACCATACTCACCGCCGCCGACCGGAGTTATCAGGATTCAGGAGATCATGGTGACTATCATAAATCACAGTGATGCTAGTCGTGCATTAGGTCACCTACTAATATCATAGCGCAGCTTCAAGGTGAAATTTTCAAGCAGGTTGTTTCTTTCTGATCACGATGGAATTAGCTACTCCACTTGGACTAGTGGTTTGGATCATGTGAATCTTCCAACTAGAATTCTGGCTTGGTGTTCTTGGCCTATGATATTCCGTGCCCGCCGCCGGGCACCGCATTTAATTATGATTAGGATTGCTCCGCAGAAACCCGAGCGCTCGTGAGTGTGCAAGTTACGTACATAACATAATTTTTTATGTCTTTAACTCCCCATACTCATCCGTGCTTTCTTGATACTATAACTTGAACATTGTGTACGGTCCAACACGAGTCTGAAGCCATTATAAAGATCACACCAGTTAATTACACATGCGATCTCGGATCTTTGATCTTTGCTACACACTGCACCAACGTAACGTGGTCACAGGTTCACCGGCACCATGTGCATGATCACCCATGAATCATTGATCATCCATATAGCTAGTGAATCACACAGTCCAAAAGTATTTATCGTTTCGAAACACATTGTAAGCCTGAGCCCAATTAAGTCTCGAACTATACTAATACAATATGTGAAAACTTAAATGAAGTTGACAGTAACATCAGTGAATCACCGCGGTCTTCCGCAAGCCTGACTCGGAGGGGACTGTTAACTTCAAGGGGATCCGCATAAACGAGTTGTCGTATCCAGTTTCCGTAAAACTTAGTCTAACTGAACCTACCCCAAGAGGTGTGAGACATATCTGTAAGCGACATAAGTATACTTACTAAGTTATCATCCGCTCTCCGTTTCGAACGCCCTGAACTTCACAAGGCTATCATGATGAATGGCGCCCGGCGGATCAGCTTCCATTGGGTCCCGAATGTTACGGAATTCATGGAGACGGGCCATGCACCGTGTGGTTGTTTTACCAACCAGTCATGTTACAATAATCAAGATTGATCCAGTGTGTACTGCTTTTTTTATACGCTATACTGAGATCTTAGCATGTGGTCCTCGTTCCCGGGATCCGATTCAGAGCCCGAGCTACTCATATGAATAGCCGAAATAACAAGAACTTCATCCCCCAATCGACCATGGCTGGAACCACACCCTGTGATTATACGCCGCCCTCAGACTCCAACCAGGATCCAGAGTCGAAGGCGTCCAGCCTCCTCGGCCGACTCGCACCTGTACCCTATGATCTCGCATCATCCGTAGGCTCCCGCCAGGACCTGGAGTCAAAAAACTCCAGTGTCGTGGCTTGGCCGGAAGTAGACCGCGACCATCCATCTATTCCTACAAGTCTGTGGGCTGAAGGTGGTTTTCTAGGATGCCTCACACTCTTTGGTGGCTTCGTAGGAAGTTTCGCAACCATGGGGCAAGTGTCTTCATTCGGAACTTATCAGGCATGGTACCTCGAGCATCAGCTATCCGCCTATTCGCCCTCGGAAATCTCCTGGATTGGCGGGCTTCAACTTTGGTTCATGATGTTCTCGGTCAGTACATCACCAGTTTTAAATACAAGTCCTCACTTATGTTGTTACCACAGGGTGGATTTGTTGGTCGCTTATTCGACGCCTATGGACCCACACCGTTGCTCGCATCTGGGACGCTTATATACACGCTCAGTTTGATGATGACATCATTAGCAACTCGGTACTACGAGTTTATGATCGCTCAAGGATTTCTTCTTGGGTTGGGGGCCGGACTAGTGTGAGTTTCGCCTCAATTTATTTCATTGTCCTGGAAATATCTCATCATAGAATATAGGTATAATCCGTGCATTGCTGCATCAACTGCTCGCTTCCGCCATTTCGCAGGGACATCTAGTGGTATCGTGTTAGGTGGCTCTGGTGCAGGCAAGTACCCTTGAATTAACTACAGTATAAATGGACTCTGATTATATTTGAAGGCGGAGCCGTGTTTCCTATACTGCTTCAACGCCTCCTCAGTACTGTTGGGTTCGCTTGGGCAGTCCGAATACAGGGGTTTCTTGCACTTGCGTGCTGCATCATCGCAACGCTCACAATTTCGAGTCCTTTGCCTAAAAATAAAAGCACGCCGTGGATAGATACCAAGTCATTCCGCGATACGAAATACATGGTTGTGTGTCTTGCGTATGCTCTGATATGCCTTGGTGAGCATCATATGGCCATGCGCTGTGATTAATGCTGATCGCTGATCACGTACAGGCTTATTTATTCCTCCCACTTATATCGTCCAATATGCACAGGCACAGGGCTTATCCCAAAATCTCGGGTTTGATCTGCTATCGATTTTGAATGCCGCAAATACTGTCGGTCGCATTGTTCCGGGATGGTTCGCGGACAAACTTGGGAGATTAAACCTCATGATTCCCTCTGCTCTACTGGCCGGTGTTTCATGTATCGCCATCTGGTTATTTGCACATAACACAGCAACCCTAGCAGCATTCGCTGTGATATACGGCTTATTTGGAGGCGCGGTGATGGGATTGGATGTCGCTGTTACAGCACAAATTTCGCCGCCGGAAAATTTTGGTACGCGCGTTGGGATGTCCTACGCTTTCATGTCTATTCCGTAGGTTCCCGTTGCAGCGTGCTTTTTGATGAGAGCTTAATTATTATCCGACAGATCCTTGGTTGGAAGTCCTATTGGAGGTGCCATCTATGCAAGCCAACATGGTGGATACTCGGGAATGATTATATTCGCAGGGATCTTCAATCTTCTAGGATTTGCTTTCTTAATGGCGGTGAAGCTCATGATTAACCGTAACATTTTTGTTATAGTGTAAACTTCGCCCGATTGTCAGGTGACATTAGATCCCTGATGCTCTACTTAGATCGCCCTCACTAGATACTTACTAGTACTATCCCTTCCGGTGCAAACGACACCCCACAGAAGTCGGCACTTTTACACAACTTGTATTTCTAGTTATTTAAACACAATTCTTAACATCATTCTTTCTGACACGCGAGGTTGAACGACCACGATTGAGGCAGAATTGAGTGAGTGAAAGTGCCTAAGTCACGCACTTGCTGATATGTGCCGTGACGGAGTTTCAATACTGCACACACCACACTTTTCTCGGAAGTGCCGCGGACTTATGCTCTAAGACATACTATCCCTTCCACTGCAATCGGCACCCCACAGAAGTCGGCACTTTCACAAAACTCATATTTATAGCTACTTCAACACAAAATTATTTTAGTAGATATCATTCTCTCTCTAATACAACTCATTACGAGGTTGAACGACCATGATTGAAGTGGAATTGAGTGAGATAATTGAAAGTGCCGAAGTCACACAGAAATGTCACCTGCCGATATGTGCCATGGCGGAGTTTCAAACTGCAAACACCCACTTTGGAAGTGCCGACTGGTGCAGCCGCTGCTGGTCATGGGGCTGGTCCAAGTGTAGCAGCGAGATTTCGAGAGATGGGATGATCATGGTTGAGGACCTTAGGGCGATAATCAAAGAGTTTCTTGCCGACACCGAAAATCAGCACTTTGCTAACAAATCACATTTTTCTGCACTCTTCCAGACAGGAAAAACACGTTCGAAGAATTCATCATCAACAGGACCTAGAATGCAGCTGCATAATAATCCATCTGGCGGTCCCATTGCATCATCATCGAATTTACATAGACAACCTCAGCGCTGCAGCATCCATACTTAATATTAATATTGATGTACATGGTCTCCCTCATCCACCTCAATTTTACAACTACAGGCTACAGCACTAATAATGGTCACCCTCATACTTACTTAGACATACACCGAATAACTGGCTGTTTGCTGACTTTGAAACCAGCCTACGTGATGTGTCGTGACTTACAGTGACATTTGCGTGACTGCCGAATTCTGTGGGGTGCCGATTGCAGTGGAAGGGATAGTAGGGTCTTCGACCCCAAAGGGCAATAAATATGATTTTTTTTTAAAAAAGAAAAAAAAAAACACGACTTACAAATACAACACCATAGAATGACTGTTGCGACTTCACTGTGTACCACTGCCCGCCCGCTGCCGGGTCAATCTTGCTAAAAAGGCATGAAGCATAGCACGTGCATAACGTCTTTCTCCTTGGGAAACAGCATCAACCACTCGCTCCAGACGACTTGATACTTCAGGTGTGCTGCAGAACTTCATTAGTAGGTCTAGTTCCATGTTTTGAATGTCGGTGTACCTGTGGTGGTTGAGGATCAACGAGGATCGGGGTATAGAACAAGAAAGCCATACTGAGCTGTAAACCACGAGAATGCCTCAGCCAAGATATTGCTCTCGCATAAACTAGATTTGATTGCCTGGAATGCCAGAGCTTCTAAACGTGCGTTCTTGAGCTTCAGGTTTCTTGTTAAGCCGTTGCCATAAAGGACGCGAGATAGTACACCAACCTTAAGGGCGAGTCGGTACATCGACTTGGGAGAGCAGCGTAAAGTCTGAATTGTGTCGTTGCGTCGGCTGAGCGGATTTTTGGACTTCAGAGGTAGAAAGAAACTTGGTCAGTATAGCAATAGTATACGTAGGATGCCCAGCTGCACGAACAGTTTGAGTCACTTTGAGCTAGTGAGAGTAGCCGTACCAGTAGCTTACGTCGCGAATGCCGTGTTTCGAACTAACACCATTCGTTAAGTAGGAGAAACGGGTAGAGACAGCGGCTCAGCGGTCAATGTGTCCGTCGAGCGGAAACCTAGAGGCCGCGTAACCGCCGATTCCGTCCAGCCGAGGTCTAAGTAGCAGACTCAGTACGAGAGATCACCCCAGGCCCAGGGAGAAGGAAACAGGACTCACCGTCATAATCCGAGCTTAGAGCACTGCTATCGGAAGTGGTATCAGAAAAATCGGACTCAGCAGGTGCCGCCCCAGGGGAATAGCTCTGGCTAAAATAAAGCGGGGGTTGACTAGGCGCTCCTTGTTGTATTTCTTCTTCCTCGATGTCGCTGTCGAAGTCATGATCCTGATGTAGCTCGGCGTCCCCCATCAGCCTAGATTCGGTGGGGTAGTAAACGAGTAAAGAATTCTCGTTGGGAGATGCTAAAAGATAGTTCCATTATCATTCACCCACTAGGTAAGATGAGAAACCACCGACAAGAGTGAACTGGCGCGATACCGGCGCCGTGCTCTAAAACTGTATTATTCGCATATACGAAACGAGTTTCTCCAGAAGATCTCCAAGTCCTCCGCTTGGACATGGCATAGTACTTGGTGTCGACGAATTCACCGTCGTTCATGGACTGCCTGAGAGCAGTCGCAGTATTGATGAGGGGGTCGGCGATAACTGGAGCAAAGTTTGCTCCCGTAGTGACCGTAAACCACATGTAAGAGTGTGAAGCAATAGTGGACAGTGAGAACAAGCCAAGAAGTGCGGGAGGTCCATGGCCAAAGTCAGCAATCGAGATCGTCTTGCTGTCAAAAGAAGGAGCCTCTGAATTAGACCCATCTTTAGGGCAAATAGTCACCGTGGCGGCGTCTGTCGCCGACGAGTAATTGATGTGATGGAGGTAAACCTTCACTTTAGCAGAACCCCAACTTCCTCTTGCATACTGTAGCCCAAAACGCCACCCCAATCCGAACTTTTCGCCGTAAACTATGGTTGAACCCCCTTGCAGGCAGGTGGCAAGGTGTCCGTCCTCAGTTTCCAACTGGAAGATTGATGTGGCTGAATCAGATACTCTGCATGGTTGGTGGATGAAGGCAACGAGAGGATGCTTAGGCGCCTCTCGGAGCAGTCTCCTACATCGGAAAATCGGCCATGAGGTGGTTTTAATCCACCAGAGTGATATAAGATCCGACCTTGGCATCACCATAAGCTAACCCTAGACTGGTGACCAGCCCCTCTATGAGGCAAACCGTTGACTGGTAAACTTAGCAAAGACTTATCTAACTCCCGAAAAGACTTTTCCGTCATGTGAAAGCCAGATTTACCAGTCCCTCTATCGACGGTTTGCCTCATAGAGGGGCTGGTCACCAGTCCAAGCTAACCCAGCTCTCCACGTCCTATAATGCAGCGGCATTATAGTCCATCTGGTGGTCCTATTGCATAATTATAATCATCGAAAATTACATAGACAACCTCATCCATGCAATGTACATGGTCCCCCTCAATTTTATAACTACAGCACTGATGGTCACCCTCGTACATATCTACTGGTAAATAGTGAATTCTGTGCTTGCTCACTTACGCCGAATACTAACTGAACTTGCCCTCTTGCGCACTCGATTGCCGAGCTCACATTGAAACCGGCTATGACCAAGGTCAATATCAGCTAATTGTGGCTGAACCCCGTGAGAATCAATAGCCAGCGCCATAAGTACTCGAGCTGGAGCCTGGCATGTTTTGTGTCAATCGAACTAGTCTTTTTATTTCATTTTGCGTCGGCTAATCCTGTGATTCTACTGTCAGTGCGTGATGTTCTTCGACTTGTACTACAGACGTCTATCTTGATCAGTCTTGGCCAAGTGACAAGCGTAACAGGACAGAAATCCTGTGTAGGTTCGAAACCTGCTGGAGCTCTGCTCAACAATCTTTTTCCTTTTCCATGGATCCTTGATCATCCTTCAAGGTCTATCTCAAGTAGTAGTCATAGCCAACTACCACCAGAACAGCTTGGAAATCTTGGGTGGTGCAGATTCAAAACCTGCAGGCTGCCAATAAATGTCTTATCACACCTTGACATTCACTCATGGACAGCTCTTCGGAGGTTCATCTCAACTTGCGAAGTGTTCTGGCCAAAGTAATTACCACAACAGGATCGAAATCTGTTTCTCTTGGACTACACAGGTTCCTGACGACAGGTTTTTCTCTCTTGGAATACCTTGACATTCGCTCATGGATGGTTTCGTCGGAAGTTCATCTAAATGATCTTAGCCAAGTGGTTATCACAATAGAATCAAAATCTGTTTCTCCTTGACTGTGCAGGTTTGAAACTTGCAACAGCAGTTTTTTCTCTCGGAACATGCCTTTAATAAAGATTCGCTCATGGATGGTTTCCTCGGAGGTTCGTCTCAAATTTGTCACAACATAATATAAATCTATCTCTTGGACTACACCGGCCGAGGTTCGAAACCTGCCGACGATGAGGTTTTTTTATCGGAACACGCCTTGAAGATGCATTCATGAATGGGTTCCTTGGAGGTCCATCTTAACTGGTCTTATAGCCAGGTGGTTTCCACAACAGAATCAAAATCTGTCAAGCCTGCCGACAACAAAGTTTTTCTTTTTCCCTATCAGAACACACTTCGACATTCACTCATGGATGATTTCGTCAGATGTTCATCTCAACTGGTCTTAGCCAAGTGGTTACTGCAACAGAATCAAAATCTGTTCTCTCTTCGACGGCGCAGGTTCGAAACCTACCGCATGGCAGGTCTTTTTCTATCGGAACACACCTTGACACTGACTCGTGGACAGTTCCCTCAGTGGTCCATCTAACTGGTCTTAGCCAAGTGGTTACCACGACAGAGTCAAAATCTGTTTCTCTTGGAGTTGGTTCGAAACCTACTGACAACATTTTTGCAGTGTATAGATCCCCGGAGGTTCATCTTAACTAGGCCCAGTCATTGAAACCTCTTATATATGATAGTCTGTCCATGAAAAGGAATTCACTTTCATGCCCCGCGATGGCTTCAGCTTTTCCTCGGAAAGTTTTCCAGTCATCGTCCATAACTTGTGGGCGTTCGAGAAGATGACTTAACGAGAATGCGATGCCGAAAACTTAAACACCATTCACATACTGTCGGCGTCGATTCCATCAAGCTTGTTCACTATTTGTTCATTGTAAGTCATTCTCGTTCGTCTCTCGATTTCTTAATGGACTCACAATCCCATCTGAACAAGTCAAACCAACCTTCGCGAGTTGATTGTGTTACGACCACCGTTAAACATGCATTGCCTAAGCCTTCCGGTTCACTAAATTAATGTAAACCTAGCGGTAGTCCTTCATCGGACAAACCTCTCAAAGGAAAGGAATGTCACGGTGCTCAAAGCATCTTCCGGCTACTGGTAAATCCAACCCTTTAATTTTTGCTTTCTGAAAGTTATATTCATCTCCATTTGTCAGAACCTGTCTATCGAAATGCGCTCATTCTCATCACACATGTAGCATATTACAGCGAATTTTCTGCAGCTTTTCTCGATTGTTGTCCTGACTCGTTACTTTCCACAGGGTGCCGCTGATTATGATATACAATTAATATACTTTTGATGCATTCTCCACATGATAGTGCACGGCATTAGCACTTGTGGGACATTGGTGGGACAAGGTTGCTGCCGCCGGCGAAGCTCGGCCTCCATCTACTAGTGCTATATTTTTATTTGTGTGATTGCTAACTTCTGTAAGGATCAACTCGGTCGGTCACCGGTGACCACATGGTCATTGCCTAGCTCAGTTCTTGGCGCGCCCTCACCTTGCTTGCCACATGGAAGACAAACGCAAAATATCGAAGCCACCACGGTTATTTCAATAACCATAACTTCTAAGCAGTCTAACAAAACAAATATTATTAAGTCTGAGAAATTGCTGAGAAACACAAACCAGCGTGTGTATCTTACTCAAGTCGATCATCTTTGTGGCGCCATGATGCATGATTATCATGACCTGTCCGTACTACTAGCAAACTTGCATCATACTACACTTGTCTCATCGTTACAGTTACCCTCACTATTTCACGCAAAGTCATGTCACTTTTACCAGGTTGGGCATCTCAAACGGCCGACCGGGACTGAAATCCCACACCGGGGCATCCACAAATTGAAGTGCAGCAGACTGATATCCCTTAGAATAGCATACATCGTCCTCTGCATAGGATAGAAATAGCTACAGTCGACAAAACACAGCCCCTGGCCACAGTCAAGAATAGGAACGATCCTAGGCTGTGCAAACATTAACCTCCCACCGCAACGAAACAACCAACACAGCCAATATAAACAGACTATTAAGAATCATAATCTCTGAATCAGCGTACCTCATATAGGTTTTAAGATGCGACAAAACAAGAAATGGAACCTCATACACAACAGAAGCAATAACAAGTCGCTGGACAGCATCTATAAACAAAAGACTCCAACTCGACAGAATAACTGCCAAAAAATCAACCGCACCAAAACCTTTGAAAAACTAGTCAACACCACATGGTCAGATATAATAATGATAAACGGGCCATCGCCCTCGAGGTTTTAGTGGGTATCAAACCACCCAGGCCGCCCTCCACGAACGAGGTAACCAGTATCAGAGTCCCACACACCCCGCGAAAACGGGAGGGCGTAAGTGCGTTTTCTCCTCGGACCGGTAGTTCCATGAACTCCGCTACTAGCGCGTACTTGTAGAACTAGACTTGTCAGTGGCTACAAATACATATTGCTCGGCCAAAAAAAAAAATAGCTACAAAAAAGCTTGGCAACCTTGTGGACAGAATGGTTACGAGCCCACCATGGTGGCGTATCTACTTCAGGTTGCTTCAACAAATCTGAAAGATATAAACTACATAGAAAGATAATAACAAGTGAAATAAACATCGGGGCGATGATTCAGATGTCGTAAATATCAGCCTAGGTCACCCTAAATGGGAAGACAGAGCAGTCGAAATGCCGGTTTTTCAGCCACAAGGATTCATGGGTCGCGTGGGGATAAGGGCAAGTTTTGACCTACATGGGATGCACTCGTACATTACATGGAACATAATCTTTAGAGGTACTGGCGCCCGCAGTACGGAGACATGTGATAATATAATTAGCGGCCGTCCAAGACGGTGTGAGAAGGCACATCGGAGATAATGTAATATGGTGATTGTTGCGGACGTGCGCATACTATAGAGAGACTCAGAGAGGACCGGCGCGGCAAATTGAACAGAGACATTATGACGGGACCACCATTGAGCGTAGCAGCCACAAAAGCAATAGAGCGAGGCTGCAGAAAGGATGGCGAAGAATGAAACATTAAAGCGTACGAGGGGCTATAGGGCTTATATAGAAAGCAGGAATGGGGGCGTACTAAGACGACGACAAAGTAGCAAGGCAGCGCTCAGTGTTGACAACGCTAGATAAAGTCCAAAATACAAGTTTACAGATACCCCCCCTCGCACTGGGTCGGGATGTGCCTATGATAAGTAACGATAAATACCAGCGAGAAGCGTCATGGCTGACAGGTCGGACAGTCCATTTCCGGTAACCTATCGTGTTTAATGCAAACGTCTTGGGAAACCGAAATAGCGATACTTGGTTGATTTATCTGAGCACAATCAGGACCAATCCTACGAGACGGATATGAGGGTAAACATACCAGCTGCCGTTGAAATTGATCACGTGTGTATGCAGAACTGTCAGAAGAAATCTCGTGTGATAGTTCATAACGTTCGATGTCCATGTCATACTCGGATTTTGAAGAATTTCTCATGAGATTCTGGATGCGCTACATATTGGATGAGTAATATTGGAGCTGTGAAGAAAACCATCACTTACGCCCATAGAACGGTCTGCACTGCGGCTATGTGGATTACGCGGCAGACTGACGACAGTTCCAGCATCTTCATGGACCCGTCGAGTGTTCAGGCTACACAAAAATTGAATTCCCCATTCTTTCGTGTTTCGCAGTGCTAAATCACTCACGATGCCATCAAACAGTTTGCAAAAACTAAGGAACGAGGAATGAGCGCTTGCAGAGTGATAAGAATTGAGTCATTACCCTCTGTGTAAAATAGGAAAATGCCGAACCACCAGACTGAATAGCCCATCAGCAAGATCCAAAGCACGTGATCTAGACAAAGTTCTCACAGCTATGTGGAGTTGTACCCCATATGATGAGAATCACAACCGCGCTCATGCTTAGTGTCGATGGTTAGTCGAGTCCATTATCTCTGACGTACCACTGTACCTCAGAACCAGGCCAGTTTCTGCAAGACGATTAGTTTTGGAAGAAAACATTTTCGGTTTTTCTCTTACCAATGGTGTATGCCAAAAGGCGGTCGAGTAGTCTCATTGTCGTCCTACAACTGGTGAGCTTATAATAGGAGGGTCACTGGCTTATCACTCACTGCCCCATCGCAACACGTTTTTCACGGTAAATATAATAACACAGGCCTCCTGCAACGATAAGGTCGGCTCCCGCACCCGTAGCAAAGCAGGCGGTGATTAACCAGCGCCATCTTGTCGAGAAAACGTCTAAAGATATGTTTCCAAATACCTGTGCCGCAACGACCATGCTTCCCACACATCGGAATGATGCAAGACCCCAGGCGATGGACGGGAGGTACCACGATTTTGATAGCACGTACATACGGTGCGCAAAGAAGGCCTGTATTATAACATTCAGACTCAGGAAATTCTGTGGATCGAGAAGACAATGTTGCACCTCCACGATAGATCCTACTGAGCCACTGAATATGATTGACCACGCGTAGCCAGCCGGCATGGTAGTTACGGCGAGCGCGTCTGGCTGTCCAAATTGTGTCACAGTAAGGAGGTACATTCCAGTTAGAACAGAGATCGTGTGACCGATTTCTTCCAGCCTGTCCATTTAGCCATTAGGATGAAGACGGACTTGAAAGGGTCTGCACACCATATCCAGACCACCTAAAAGGCATAAGGCTGATACTTGGTAAATATTGAAGTACTCACCAGCAGCTTTATCCAGAGGCGATCATTCGGATATCTTTTGAAGTAATAATAGGTCTGCAAAGTATCAATTCCAAACAAGAACACCATGATCGTGCCCCCCACTTGGAGAGCACCGAGTGTGTCATTAGGATTTACAGACATGGGGAGGATGTATATACCAGTATTAGGCGGCGACTCCAGCGACCGCCTTAATACCTAACACGTTTTATACAGTTCTGATGAAGCTAGAGAAACCCAGGAATAGATCCTCCTGTATATGGGATCTTGCCTAACAATGTCCCGCGGTTATACTGTATACAGATGTCGATACTACTTTTGGACAAAGGGACAGCGTGGGGTCATCCCGATTCCCTGATGCTATGATGCGTGACATACCTACTACTAGTGATTACGCCGGACATTGCCAGGAATCACCATTCGCTGCATCATGCTGTTTTCTCAGCAGCATACTCCATCAATCTGATGAGAACTGCGGATCAGATTGACTTAGATCTGTTTATCCTGCCACCTAACTGTCATGCTTTTACCATGAGTATACGATAGCGCAGAGCTAGAATGTTCGAATGGCGCGAAATGGGACAGGTAAGCTCTGAAGCAACTTCGACTCGGAAGCAAGTGCTAGTTGACCATGCGGGTGTACTCTGGGTCCGAGTCACGGCAATTTCCGTAAAGACCGATGATCCGGCGGTTCGACGTCTTTTGAATGGGAGCTTGATGCGGCGGAGCGGAGGTGTGTAACTGCGGCGATGGACAATGTTGGAGGGCGTGATAGAAACGATGAACTCGCACTCGGCACGGCGTGTTAGTGGCCGGTTAGGTTTCCAGCAGATTGGGTTCAATTTCAAATAGTGGGTTTAAATTATTTAGTCTAATCAGGAAGAAAATAAATTACCAAAAGCGATTTTGATGATTTCCGGGCCCCACTCCCACAGGCTCCACGGTTGACCAATATCTCACTTTCAGCCCTTCTTCGTGGCTTTCGGAGATGTGCTAACGAGTGATTTGATTAATTTGTAACCTTCAAGTTATATCGCCAGAATGTTATATGCTCTTAGAGGTCAATCATCATTTTTATGTAATGATACTAGGCCACATCAAAACTAAGGTTCCTGCTTTTGTGCTTTTGCTTCCGCAGGTACTAACCATGTCTACTGGTGTCCGTCAACTCTCAACCACGGAAGGCTTTCTATGTGGTGGCTTGGCAGCCTGTATAGCTGTTAGTTGTTTGTTTACTTCTCGTATTGGTTTGATAAATGATGCATGAACGTAGGTGACAATATCCAACCCTGCCGAGGTTAGTGCCCGAATCGATGCGTAGACTCTGTTGCTTACTCTGGAGAAAATAGGTAGCCAAGACTCGATTGCAGTTGCAAGGAGAGCTCGTCAAGGGTGGCGGAGTCAAGGTGTACAATAATGCTTTCGACGCCATGATAAAGACATGGAGGAATGAAGGTATCCGCGGTATGCAACGCGGACTAGGTGTAGCGGTATGTCAATCTCCAAATTTTCAACTTACCGCTCTGATCAGGGTACTCCGTAGTATGCGTATCAGGCAAGTATACAGCCGTGTTGATAAGATTCAACGCTTACTCTAAGTTTAGATCCCACTGAATGGGTCCCGCCTAAGTGAGTGACATGTGATGCAATTTTGTACCCTGGTCTGAGGCTGCTGCAGGCTTCTATGAACCATTTAGACGGACTATCAATCGCGTATTTGGTTGGTCGAGTACAGACCAGATACCTATCACGTCTTTGGTGGCCGGCGCAGCCAGTGGTGCTGTCGGAGGTGTGTTTGTCATGCCCTCGTACGTGATGTTGCTCACACGTTTGAACATAGCTATAATCGGCAATCCCTTGTTTCTCATCAAGGCTCGTATGCAGGTGATCAAACTTCTTCGCCATCCACCAGTGACTGATATGTCTAAAGGCATACTCGCCCGCTCTTCCTATAGGAACACAACGCCATTATAAGAACTCTTTTGATGCCCTGGCTACCATCTGGCGGACCGAGGGTATTCGCGGTTACGTCCGCGGAATGGATGCTGCTATTCTTCGTACAGCAATGGGCTCATCTGTTCAATTACCGACATATAACTGGACTAAGAATCAGCTCGTTGGACATGCTATTCTACCCGGTGACAGTGTGTGGACGTTTCTTGCAAGCAGCTCGGTTTCTGGTGTATGCGTGGTATGCTCCCACCAAAATATGCCGTCATAATCATAACCCTTGAAAATGATTTTCGCAGTGCCTCGTCATGCAGCCCGCCGATACTGTAAGTCGACGCGTTTCGGTTCAAATTGCACCCTGACGTGTCACTTTCAGGCACTCACAAGAATGTACAATCAACCCACCACGAAATTACCCGATGGGAGGGTCGTGGGGGCACTTTACAAGAGTCCGATAGATTGTCTCTGGAGAACTGTCAAAACAGAGGGAGTTCTCGGCTGGTATAAAGGTACGTGCTCTTGGCCTGGGGATGATTATAAACGCTGAATCAGTCGACGGCAAGGTTCACTTGCACACTTCCTGCGTATCACCCCTCACACGTGAGTTGCTCCACGTTTCGCCTAAGCGTGGAACTTACCTCCCACCAGGATCATAACCCTCACTATGAATGATGTAATACGAAACCTTTACAAGGATCTGGCCTGGGGTAGGTCCTACGTGTAACAACTTTTGCATAGACGTGAGCGCCGAGATTGGGTGCTTGTTAGACACGAGCTCTCGGGCAACTTGCCGGCTTGTTGCAACTCGGTGTATATACCTTTTCTGCAAGCCAATAATAGGTGCAGTTTGCGCGCGCCTGTTGGCAGGTCTGTTGCGAGATTTGTCCTTCTGTCCAACTTTAGTACGCAACTTTGAGCCTCTCGTTGCCAGACTTTGTCAGAACGTGTCCAAAGTGTTCCCAGTAAGTAAACATGATGAAAGCTTTACCACGTCGCATCCATAATTCATCATTCTGCGTGTGCCACTTTGTTCACTACTTACTTGTAGTCAAGTACTTTTTCCTTTGCGATAGATCATGTACGGCTGCTTGTACAGTTCCAGTATACCAGGGGTGGAATTTGACCCTAGCAATATGTTTATCCGTGCCGATATGCCATCGCTTACTCGGCCGGTATCATCTCTTTGGTCCTTGATGGCATGATGAGTGATCAATCGATCATTATTTATGAGGCGCTAACATTTTTTTGGTCATCCTGGACCCTAGAATAAGTCAACGGCGAAAATGCGTTTTACCGTTTCATGATCAGGTGAGCAAGTGCTATAATTATATAGATATACTTCTAAATTCGACTCCTCTTCCTCACATTGCATTTTTCTTTACCGCTATCGACCAGGTTGCCTCTGACGACGTCCACAGGATGGAAGAGACTCTGCACAGCTCCCCCTCGGCAGACACGATGAAGGAGGTCGACCATTTCGAAGAGTTCTCAGATGCAGAGAAAGCTCTTTTTGAAAGGACTGTCTGGAGGAAGTTAGACAGATGGGTGCTGCCCGTCTGCACTATTTTCTATCTCCTCTCTTTCCTTGTGAGTGATGCCTAGTATCATTTATGAAGCCACACCAAACAGGATTGACAAACAGGACCGGAGTAATATTGCAAATGCTCGAGTTGCTGGCATGCAGACTAGTCTCGGGATGTCCAACTACCAGGTAAAACTCGGCTGTCCCGTATGTAGTGTATTATGTTCTAATACCTGTCTTTTCACAGTACAGTATTGCTCTGACCATGACATATGTGTAAGCACGCAATCTTAGCGAGTTGACGTCCTCTGACATAGCGCACTTTTCAGACCGTATATCGCAGCAGAGTTCCCTTCGAACTTGCTATTAAAGGCAAGTTTCGTCATATGACGTTCTATAGGTGCTCTCTATGGGTGAATGACTGTAACACTAAAACAGTATGTGGGACCACGGTGGATGCTGCCAACCATGGTCACTATATGGGGCCTTGTGGCAACCATGCAAGGTCAGTCTGATTGCCGTGGTATTGTAATGTGCAGCAGCCAATCATCGAATATCCAGGCGTCGTGAAGACTTATTCGGGTCTGCTTGCCTGTCGATTTTTCTTGGGCCTCATGGAAGGTATGATATTTGCACATCGTTGCCTGTCAGACCTGCTTAATTCTCACATTAGGTGGTCTATTCCCTGGTCTTGTGCTATATCTGTCTTTCTTCTATCCCAGAGAGAGATTACAGATCAGGTCCGTTATGTGGCTCCCTCGCATTCCCGGGCATATTTGATTTTGCCCTATCAGGGTTGCCACGTTCTTCGCGTCGGCATCGCTCTCTGGCGCATTTTCTGGACTGCTGGCAGCTGCTATTATGAATATCAATGGGAGGGATGGGAGACCTGGATGGGCTTGGATTTTCATTATTGTCAGTGGCTTCCATCCTCGTTGCGTTACCAATGCAGCTCATCCTCTCAAATAGGAGGGAATCATCACGTTATGCTTTGGATTGATAGCCTTCCTTGTCCTTCCCAACTCCCCGGCTCACGCGCGCTTCTTCTCTACGAAGGAACGTCACTATGTCATGGCTAAACTGAAGGCAGATGGTGCTGTTGCTGGTGACGACAAGAGCGATGGCTTCAGTTGGATTGAGGTGATTAGGTGCTTCCAGTCAGTTCACGTTTGGCTGTTGGCGCCTGTTTTGTTTTTCCTCGGTAAGTGTGTGTTGCTGGCGTTAGGTGAACTCAGGCGAATTCTGCTCAGGTACAACATTGTATGGCCTTGCTTAGTAGGTCCATGGTACTGCCGAGTTTATTCATACTAATACTTTGCCGACTCTTTAGCTTTGAGCCCACAATCGTCGCCGGTCTCGGTTACACCGGTAATAAAGCACAGTTGATGAGCGCGCCGCCCTATGCATTTGCGTTTGGAGGTGAGTTGATTTCTACTTCCTGTTAGTGATCAAGACACCGACTGTGATATTTTCAGTCTCGATGATCACTGCAGTGATATCGGATCGGTACAAATGCCGTGGCTTCATACTCATCTTCTTCTCGGTTTGTAACCTTATCGGATTTATCATGTTCTATGGTGGGTTTTTCCAGCGCCTGTCTTGACAAGTCATCTGATGGTTGCCAGCGAGCACATCAAATCATGTTCGTTATGGATCACTCTTCCTGAGCATCAGTGGGTCCTACGCAGGTGCTCCGCCGGTCATCACATGGGTAGCGAATAACAGTGCACCACACGTCAGACGCGCAACTTCGATCGCTATTGCGTTCATTATGACCAACTCGGGCGGTATCCTGGCCACCTGGCTTCTAGGTTCTTTGTCTCCTGCACCTAACTATACGAAAGCTACGATCACTTTCATTATCATGTCAGTGGGCATGGTAGTGCTCTCCTCCGCTACCCTCGCATACCTTTGGCACCAGAACCGCTTAAAGACACAAAGGCGGCAGTTCGGCACTCCTGAGGATGAACCCAAAGGTCTCGGCGATGAAAGTGCTTGGTTTATCTACAACTTGTAGTATACTTGTACCAATTGAAAAAGACAGACGCGGACTATTTCACTATCTATCAGGATCTTATTACCCTTAGTTACGAACAAGACTTACAGTAGAGAACTGCTTATTCATGATTCTTTCATTTGGTTTGTTCAGGGTTGTTATATGGGGTTGTTATATGTCGCTACGTGGAGTCGTGAACATACCCACCACGTCGTGAGACGTGGTCTCTTCTCCCACATTAAGTGTCATAATCAAAATGATTGGGTTTACAACGAAAAAGGTAGACGAGTAACCATCAGTTACTTAGTTACAAGTGACAAAAGAAGCTGCCCCAGTGAGGCTCGAACTCACGACCTTCCGATTGCGCTTAACAGTCGGACGCTGTAACCAACTCAGCCATGGGGCAGTTGTTTCTCATTTCCCGTTGGATCATATAAAGGCCAATGGCCCGTGCTTTTGGTGATCCATAAAACTACCGGATGTCCGTCGTAAGTTACTCATCATTGGTTAATTCTCTCCACGTCCTAGCTTATCCAGACAGCGAATACCCTGCTCAAACCACTCTTCTCTTGATATCCAGAATTCTGCACGGTTCTTCATGATGTCAGCGAGGACAGCACCACCCAGGAACACCATGTGTTTTCGACGAGGGGGGTCTTCAATCCGAATTTTGAATTTCTGCAGGAGGCACGAAACATGTTAGTGACGGTGAAAGGGGAACCAAGAAGCACGAAATAGAGACAAAGGACGTACGTTCAACCGCGTTGGATCGCCATTCAGCACACGCGTAAGATACAGTTGTTTCATTTCTTTCTCGAGTCGGCTTGGGAGGCCTGGGTACATGCTTGAGCCGCCTGAGAGGACGATGTGTTTGTACAGTTCCGCTCGGGTGTCAACTGCTGCGGCTTGGATGGTTAGGAAGAGCATTTCTGGGTGGAGGAGTGAGATGAGTAGAACTGGAGATATGAAAGGGTTTCACTCACCTGCTACGCCAGGTTGATCAAGGTCCACGAGATGTGGTTGGAACATGCATTCTGGAGCTTCGAAGCGCTCTGAGCCTACTTTGATCGTTCGGCCATCGGGGAGCTGTAGTAAACGGGTTTCAGCCATACGACGATGGACGGCAGAGTTGAGATACCGTGTAGCTCTCTACAAGCACCGTAGTCTCCTCTGACAATTTCTGGTCGAGGTCAAGATCGTAGCTGTAGTTCGATATTTCAATCGCATGAAGTAATACAAACCATCAAAAGTTTCACCTCACATAACAAAGTTTCTCCTTGATTTCACGCACGGTCTCGAAATCAGCAGTACGGTTGAACGCATAACCGCGCATGAGCAACAGTTTGATCAAGTACCGCGTGACATCTCGACCTGCAATATCCAAGCGTCGGGTGAGATGTGGGAGGGCAAATCCATCGTATACAGGTACGATGTGCGTGACTCCATCACCCGAGTCGACGACTACGCCCGTTGTTAAACCTGTACCCGACCAACAGTCAGCACCCAGCCATCACACAGCGCACAATAGATCTCACCTTGCGCATACAATGTCAACACAGCCTGAATCGCCACATACACCCCCTGGAAGCCATACTCCTCAAACATCACCTGCACCATCTTCTGCCGATTGACTTTAGGGTTCATGGGTGGTTCCGTGAGTAGCACTTTACGGCCGCGCGGGTCGACCTTGAGTTTCTCGTCGAAAGTGTAATCCCAGAGGTGCTTCATGTCTTCCCAGTTACGCACTATACCGTGTTCCATGGGCTGTGTGACTTGGAGGTAATTGCGGTTCTCGACGGCTTCGTCGCCCACCATGATGTCCTTGATCGCTGCGGAGCCCACGCGCTCCTCCGCACGCAGGATGGGGCGGCCTACGACGGAGGGGAATACTGGATTGTGGGATTAGTTGACTTGGAATATGTATGTGCTTTGGGTGGGGCTAACGCACCATGCTCTGGGAAGTTCGATCCTGCGTAGCCTACTTTGACGAACTGCGGATGGGATTGAGATGATTCAGAGCGCGTCAAGGAGAGCTTAAAGACTTACACCCGTGCCGTTGTCGACTACGAGTGGTGCTTCTGAGTCCATTCTGGAACGGTGCACGAAATATGGTTATATGGGATGTGATTTGGGATTGCGGTGGATAGATATGTATGCCACTGATCTTGTCTGACTTGTGCTGCTTAGCGGGCAACGGCTGTGTCCTGACTAAGTACTTACCTGCTTAAAGTCGAAATACTTACTTTCGAAAATCGCTTCAGTTCATTTCGCAGCCTGCGGTGATCAGTTATGCAATAAATTACAGTGTGTCAAATAAGATGTCCAGTATCTATATCAAAATCCGAAGTCTCGACATAAGTATAGGGTATATCACAATCACCGAGTCGCCGTCCGTCGTCTCATCGGGTATGTTCCTACATCTACCTCTGACCGCCATATTTGTCGCCTTCGCCACCTCCGATAAACAAAAAACCCTGCTATTGATATGACCAAAGAACCAAGCACCCCGCCTAAAGTCGCACCGATGATGATGCCTGTTCGCTGGCTGGTATTCGAAATTACTGTGTTCGTCGAGGAGGGCGAAAGGCTCGGAGGGAAACTTGATATGGGCAATGTTGGTGCTGGAAGATAAGAGGAGGTCGCACTATTGCGCATATGAATGGATCGCGGTATTTGGCGTACTCTCTGACAAAGACATAGGCGGTGCTTACCTACTGTTCGTGACATTGAGCGTGATCGACTCAACATCAAAACGGGTGGGAGAAAGCGATTGGAGGAATGTGACGCCTAATGTCGTCGTCTGTGACTCGGGCAGGTTATCGGCGATGATAAGGCTGATGTTAGTATTGACCTGTTTTGTAATTGTGACGCCGCTCGGATCAGCGGTTAAAGAGAAATTGACGGTCGCATTGGAAAGGGGAGATGTGCGCAGATATAGCGTTGATGCTGCATAGCGTGAGCATACTTGTAAATTGACTGAATTAAATATGACGCACCTCTAAAGGTCAAAAACAACTGGGGTACGGTGTTCCCGGTTTGTGGTATTGGGCCCGTTGTACTAGTAACAATCACCGGAGTTCCGTTAATGCTAGGACAGTCGACGTATATTTGCCTCGACATAAAGAGTTAACGAAACCCAGTTCGTGGTAGGGATCAAATGCTCACTGCCATGCACTGAAGCATCCCGTATTTGAAACATTGCATAGTGAGGGAAGGTAGACGATATCTGGATTGGTACTCCCAAGGACGACTTGCTGTTGAGCAGAAACTACCAGAGTCACGGTGGTAATAAGCAGATAAAAAGAGAGAAATAACCGAGAAAGACTGTGTGGCATGTGATGGACATACGATAGCAGGGAGTGTGGCGAAAAGGATTGCTAAAAACCGAACCTTGATGCTTATAACGAAATTATTAGGACTTCTGGGTGACCAGGAAGGGATGAAGCTTCAGATTAGAAACCGGAAATACCATGTGTCCTAACCTCGTTACCAGCGAGATATGCCGTGTTGAGTGTGAACTTCTCTAAGATCGACGTTCATAATCAAGAAATAGGCGCTGGCAGACAGGCACTGGAACCTAGCTAGCTAGCACAATGGGGCCCAGCTTGGACACACGGTGGTCCGACGGTGGCCGCTGCATAGGCCGCGCATCATAACCAATGATTAATTGCTAAGAAAATTGATCATGACATCGGGTGCACTTGACAGAAGACCTTGTGACCTGGATTTTGGCTGAACCAACCTGCGCATTATCAGCTGCAGCGGCACTGCGGGACCAGTTGATTGGAATTTGGCAATATTAATGTAGTAAGGGCCCGGCTAATACTGAGTTGGTTGTTGTCAAGGCTATGTTCGGAATGCAACTGTGTGACTGTGTGACTACAATGTGTGTGACCAACGTTTTCATTCTTTGTTCCCCACAGCGCTCGACGACATCGTCTTCGACTGCAGCTGTTAGCCTTCGTTTATCATCATTTCATTCTTTTGCACTCTCGCTCTTTACAAAATACAACTAAAAAGCTGCCAATACCAATACTAATCATGTCTGCACATCAGGATTTGGAAATGCGCAACCACATGCGCTTAGCTGCTCGTTTCAGCCCAACTCTTCCTGGGTCTATCTTGCCTTCTGCTGCTACTAGTGCTAGCACACAGACATCAGCTGCGCAGAATTCTGGCAGTGAGCTCACTTACAGTACTTGCAATTTAATGTTAATGAGCTAACAAATATTTAGCACCCAGCACTAGTTCGGCTCCAGTGATCACCAGCACCAGCACCACACCTACTTCTACCACCCCTGTAGCTACTTCTACCCAACAATCCTCCACTTCCATCACCCCTAGTACTACTTCCTCTTCTTCAACCACGTCTTCATCAACTACATCCTCAAGCACCACCATCTCCTCGAGCACTTCTACTTCGTTTACCTCCCCAACTTTAGTCCCACAAACTGTGCTGTCCACGGTCAGTATCTGACCTTTTTACACTTACAGACTATTGATCATCCGGTAGACCCCAGCAGCAGCCACTTTCTACACTACCTCCATGCTCACATCACCATCTGGTATCATCGTTGGTACCGGAACCATCACATCCGCAACTTCTTCTTCGACTGCAGGCTCTGCAAGTTCCGTTAACACTGGTGCAGTCGTAGGTGGTATCGCTGGCTGTCTCGCAGGTCTGGCTATACTGAGTTTCCTCATCATGTGGTGCATTGTATGTTTCATTTTTGAAGATCCGTTTCGTCTTCTCACTTTAAATTCTAGCGCCGCAGACGTAAGTCTGATGAAGACGAATGGAGCGCTTCAGCCTTCAAGCGTCAGTCCGCCATCCTTGTGGACGATCCTGAACCATCCTTTAATCCCCGTCCACCAACCATGATCGAACGTCACAATGCATCCCCTGCTCTCAACGCTCAAAACAACTATCAGAACTATTACGGTGGTTATGGTCAACAAACTGCCTACGGTGATACCTTGCATGCTCAGGTGGCAATGCCATATGCCCCTCACGGTGACCATAGTCACCTCACTAGGCAACCGTCCAGCGCGGCATACTTGTCTCGTCAACCATCCGCTGCAGGATACCCCATCCCTGATGATCCTCAGGCTCACTATGTAAATCTCGATCGCTCCAGCGTAACTCCATTCCAAGCTGCCCAATATGCCGATATATCCCGTCAGCTTGGCAGTGACCTACATTCCACTATGGCTCCACCCCAGCCATCGGATCCCTCCTTACCTAGCCCCTTCGACGACAAAGCAGCGGAAGAAACCTATCCTGCGCATGATGCTGCGCCTCGTGCACCATCTCCCGCTCACGTCGTCGATCCTTTTGCTGCCGCTAGCCCGGCATCTGCACCTGAGCCGGTCCCAGTGCCCCGCAGGCGAGACATCACCAATGCCCAGCGGCCCGATACCGTATACACCATGTATGAAGAAGGCGATGCCTATGATGGCATCTAAACGCCAGCGCAACCAAATTCAACTCTATTTATCCATGTTCCTGCTTTCTACGGTCTTCGAATTCTATAGCCACCCCCGTCACCTGTCACTTACTTTTCCTTATTGTTACCTTTTAGCTCCTTTGCATTTCTCTGTGCATGCTGGCCTGCCGGTGCCTATGTGATTGTCAGATCTTGCCTCAAATCCGTCACGTACACACCTTTACTCTTCCGCGCTGTCTGACTACCCTGCGCCACCTCCTACCCATTGTGAAGGATCATTCAATGCTTGAATGTGCTTTTACTCGCCGGTTAACGAGCCTCTCCTCGTCGATACCTATTTCTTGCTACGGTAGCGCTCACCAAGAGCTTTTCTCAGTTTTGCCATTTGTATCGTTATCGACTACTTTCCGGACGGCTTTTCCTTACGCGTGGTCGACCCTGTAGGATGTTTAGTGTGCAAGCACCTGGCCTTCTAATTCAAGATATGTTCACTGGTAGATACATAAGTATTACGCGTTGGGCCTGACATACACCGTCTGACATCACTCTAATGGAACCTCCCAGGTCAGATGTACAAAAAAGGTTCATTCTCCCGTTCAAGCACTCCCGTCAATTTGAGCGCTGACGTTATGCGCCTACCAAACACCTCGCACGGGTAGCCTGTCGTAACGTCTTCAGGGTGACCGTCTCCAATTATATGCGATTGTGGCCCACTGCAGGAACTGCCAGTGATCTCAAGATTCGTGTCCACCAATATGTATTCCAGGTGACACTGAAGCATTGGTGACTGCCATCAGTCTTGTCGCTCTCTCACCAAGGTTCTGCCATCGTTCCAACCGCTCAAGTTTGGTTCACACTTCACTTCTCCCCTACACGTTTATTACGTTGGTTGCCAATGTCGTTACCAGTGAAGGTTGAGAGCTGGGGCTTGTGGTTGTCTGGATACCCTATTAAAGTGTGCCAGCTCTTAGATTTTAGTACTGGGACTGTTGGAGCACCCATGTGTTATCGTTCAATTGGTCTTGACGTTGTAACTGTTTCGACCATGTCTCTATCCCCTCAGTTCATGGAAAGCCTTTGGGTACGGAAGTATGTCCATATATCGTACGACATTCCTGGATTCTCATTCGTTATTGCCTAGGTCATTTTCCGCAGCTGGCCATACGTTACTAGTATACGACTATCTCCTGACTTTCCGAGATGAAGTGAGTTTATTGCGTGATATTTAATTAATATTCACAATATACCCTTGATTGCAGTTCGTTTACATCTGGGACGCCCCCTGGACGATTGTCAAAATCTTGTTTCTTCTCAACCGGTATGGGAACCTTATTGGACAGACTGTCGTCCGGCTGGAGGAGGCTGGTCTTCTCGCACATGATTCTCAAAAGGTATGGCGCAATTTCATCAGTAGACATCTAACGAGTGACTAATTTCGTGCCAGTTCTGTCAATGCTTCGCAATTTTCACTAGTTGCTTTATGTTTTTATCCGTCGAGTCGATCCACAGTGCGTACATATATTCGATTATCGTTGCACATCTTGAGGATTTTGGTTTTTCCTCAGTCCTCGTGCTCGTGCGTGCATGGGCTATCTGGGGAACTCAGAAGCGCGTGACGAACATCCTCGCCTGGAGCTACGTGATCTACGTCGTCACGCTATTGGCCAGCACATCGTATAGTTTATACGCTGGAAATAGTGGGTCACTTCGCTCCGTTTTTATTTTTATCTGTAAAAATCGTTGCGCTTCTGTAGTTCAGTATCTATTTCTGGACGTGATTCACGTTTGCGTGACGACAATGCCTAGTATGTGGTTGTTATTTGACTCCTGCAGCATATTAATGGTTTAGTACTTCAAAGAATATGTGGTCAGTTACTTTTGCGTCGTGTTTGGTATATTGACGGACGTCTTATTGACATTACTAATATTGTAACGCTAGTGGTTGGTTTATTTCGGAAGGTTAGGATGTTCTGTTCTGTGCGCTAGCGCTTACTGAAGATCGTCAATCAAGCTTTATTCTAGATACAGTACTCTTCGTCTTGACGATGCGAAGTCTCCGGATACACTCTAGGGAATTTCAGCCACTCTACCCGTCTAGTCTTCTCCATGTGCTTTTTCGAGATGGTGAGCATGCTTTTTGGAGGCACTTCAAGGTCTGTAATTGACCACAATATAGCGATCATCTTTTTCATCGTGAGTGTAGAAACCCTGCAGAATGTATCTCGTCGCTGACAACGCGAATAGGCTAGTATGTTTTGTAATGCATTGACCATCGCTTCTTGGTGAGACTTGCTCATACTCTTGGCTCATTCTATCGGTTTATGATGTTTAGGACTGCATTCTGGAATGTCAGTATTCTTTGTTCATAGCGTACCGTTGTTCTTTCTGACTGATTTATAGAATCCAAAATATTTCCTTGCCAAAGGGTGCGTTGGACATAATGACCTATGCATCACGTTCGGTTAAGCTATTGCATGTAGGTTCGCGACTCCGTTACTTTCAGTAGTTGGTCAACGCCTAGTCCTGAACCTTCGAGGTCTCAAAACGCGTACCTACGCAACTCGCGATCTCAGCCGTGAAGTGGACCGCCAACTTCAAGCATTTGCTGAAGCAGACCTGGATGATGTAGAATAGTTGGAAGGTGTGTGAGAGTAGGTGAGTATCGGAAGTATGGTTTCAAAGTTTATCTTGGTTAATTTGATAACCATCTGTTATAGGGTGTTCTGTGCCAAAATACCTGGAAATCGATCGAACATGGCCGACCTTTATGTTCGCTTTGTTCCCGGGATTTTCTTTGTGTTTCCCATGCCTCTTCTATATATTCGTATATATTCAGTATAAGTGTATCCCTCAATCGCAATGACTGACTGTATGTACTAGTAATGTGCTAATGGGTAGTTAGCGGCCCTGTAATTCTTCTGGAGTTCTGTTAATTTCTGTATAGTGGTGATTCGATGGTTGCGGACCAGTCTACCGTACTTTTATACCACGAGAAAATATTGACAGTATAGTACAAACAAGTATATATGAGATCGCTGGTGTTCCATCATGACCTGCCCAGAAATGCACACAGCATCCAAAGGCTCCTCATGAACCTCCTAGGTCAGCGTACCCCATGATTCGCTGCGATTCAACATGGACTGACAGGAAAAAAGTAAGACGCGACAGCACTGCGGCTTCCTCCAGAATAGATTCTGCCTCCATGAACCGCTGTGCGTAGCAAGTTGAGCAGTTAGCCGCAACGTTCTACGACTCATCACCTAGATCCTCGGAGATATATTCAGAACTCACACCGTGCCTGGGTGGTTTCCTTCGGCAGCTCGCTTGCTGAAACACGAGTTAGACGTTGATTAAAGGATAAGAATACTCTAGCCACAGGCGTCGAACCAACACACCTGCCTCGTTTGAAAAGCATGTCAGAGAAAAGGGTTTGAGAGATGCAGATATACAGAAGTTCAGAATAAGTAGGTCAAGTAAATATAGATATAGGAATCATACTGCGTTCGAGGAATTCAGAATTTCTTCCACGGGCAGTATGATTTTCATATGAATTATGGTCTGAGTTGTTCACAAGAAAATGTCAGTTACTAGTGCCCGTCACAGGTAAGATGAACGTTGTATGCCCGCATGATAAATATGTGTTCTTGGACCAAATTACGATTTGATCCTCCTGTTCTCGAAGTTAAACAAGGTGTAAGCCCTCGTTGGTGTTGTTGAGTCTACATTGAAATACCTGAAAGTCAATTAAACATTAACGACCATCGTGCAGCTTTTTGTTCGCTGAGTCTGTCTCCCGTAAATTCTTTTGCATTCCCCCTTCTTCCGATTGCTGGGTGTTGACTCGGAGGGGTTTATGGTACATGTGACATGTGACGCATAGCGCTCGCGCCGTACCCCCGGGCCCTGACGCGTGACGTGTTATACTATTAACGTTTCTATAATTATTCTGCCAGTGGCGCGTACCTTGCAAAGTGCTGACTTTTGCAGTGAAGTTGATACCTACGGACCTTCCTTACTTCATACCTTTAAAAGTATATACCACTTGTCCATATCAGCCTCTGAATTACTGCTATCGCACGTTTAAGTAATATGTAATGTTCACCATTCTGATTCAACGTCAACGTCGCAAGATCAATGAATTCAGTACCACCTCGCTATGTCCAGGATCAATATATATCAGGATCCACGTCATTCTTGCAAGTCACCGTCCGATGTCAACGGTTCTTACTTTTATGTAAACTAGCTCCTGCAGTACTTATTTTGATGTCTGATCCTTAATCTCGCTGATTTAGCAAATTTTTGGCGTGTTCTGATGAGTCTAGATCTCTGCAAAATACCTAAGAAGGTGACCCTGTCAGTTCGTTGTCAAATGTCGATCTATTTGACCTTGCAACGTCCTTTCCTGATTTAGCCACCACCACTCGGTTAAACGAGATGTTAGGAGACCTTTTTTTTTTTTAAAAAAAATACAGTTTATTGTCCTCTGGGGTCGTAGACCCTATGTGTTAGGAGCTTGTTGCAGAGAATCCTCGTCCTAATCCCCGCTGTATAGAACCTAAGTTAGCTGCATGCAAAATCGCTTAAACTACTCAAAACTTGCCCAAGTAAAAAAGACAAGTACTAGATTACAAATATCATGAATAAAAGGCCTAAGAATACTACATGGGACTTACCTCCATGTTAGAAATGTTCTATTGCGTGCTCAGGTATATACAATCATCTCATTTTCACAGGAGGGCACGTCTAAAATGGTCAGGGGGGACAGCGGACTGATGGGGGCGCACCTCACACCAGGGCATTCGTGACTCCGGAGACTCGGATGCAACGGGGAGTCGGGAACACTGGGGGTCCCACTAGACTAGCACTGTCACTACATAGAGCTCATCTCTCGATGCATTGGACACAAAAAAATACTAAACGGGAAGGTTTAGGGTCTGGACGAGGACACAAGGTCATCTAGAACGCCTTCCATGCGAAGGTTTAACCGACGCGGTGGGGGCCAAATCGGGAAAGGTTTAGGGTGATTTACGAGAGGACGGGGCCGACCGCGCGCGGGCCCTTGAAGTCAAGTCGACATTAATATTGACAATGGAATCTTAGAATTGACCGAACCTTTAAGTTATGGAATTCAACGTACCCAATTTAAATTTATTCATTTGAAGATCCTGTGTTCTCCGTCGGGTGTCAAAATACGTATACAGCCGTCGGCTCGTTATCATCTACATCACTTGCAGCTCTTTATGTTTCTCTATCCATACTGTCAATGCATTTTATGTCACTGGGCAGCCTGGTGGATCTTGTTCCTAATACGTATCCACACTTGATCCGCCCTGACCATTGCTGATTACCCAGCGCCAACTAACTAGGAACTGTATCCAATGTGCCGAAATGTGCCTCTCTTGGTTTTCCTGGATCATTGTGTATCAATTTTATCTGAGGCGCTTTACAATGTCCTCCGTCCTTAGTAGTAACTATTGGTCGACGCTGCAGAAGACGATTACTGCAATGTATATTTAAAGGTGGTCATAACACAACCCACTCGCGAAGGTTGGTTTCACTTGGTCAGACTCAGATGAAATTTGAGTGCATTAAAAATCGAGAGTGATGAACAAGGATAACTTACGGTAAATAAACAGTGAATAAATTGGTGGAATCAACACCCACAGTGTATGCCAGTGAATGGTGTTCAAGTCCTCAGATGATCGCATTCTCGTTGAATCATCTTCTAAAATGCCCGTAAGTTATGGATGATAACTGGAAAACTTTCCGAGGAAAAGCTGAAGCCATCGGAGAGCATGAAAATGAATCTCTTTTCATGGACAGACTGTCACAAAAGAGGTTTCGGCGCAATGACTCAGTGGGCCTAGTCAAGATGGACCTTCGAGGAAACCATGAGCAAATCTTCGGGCCGAAGGCGTGTGCCGATAGAAAAGAAAAACCTGTCGATCGGCAAGTTTCGAACCTGCACAATCCAAGAGAAACAGATTTCAATTCTGTCGCGGTAACCATCTAGCTAAGATCAGTTATATGAGTCTACAACGACATCAGTGAATTTCAAGGTGTGTTCCGAGAGAGAGAAACAACTTGTCGTCGGCAGGTTTCGGCTGCATGGCAGTCCACCTTCTGGAAATTCTGTTGCGAGTCACCATGTTCCTAATAGCTCAGGGTCAAAAAGTGGGATTGTATAGCCACAATTATGGGCTGATATCCTTTTGGTATGTACCCGGGTATATACATAAGTATATGCACTGGCTGTTCTTATCTGATTACGGTACTCTCATGAACAGATAACTTGGTTGCCTTGGTTTATGTGGCACTTTTCTTACTCACTGGTCTTTAACTTTTGGATGGGGTATGCAAACTCATCTTCAGGGCGACCTCCCTAACACGTACACTTCTGGCAACTTGACTGTGAAGTTGCTGCGAAGACTGATACATCCCTGGCAATGTGGCACTTCGGTAACTGGTCTCGAGATCTCAGCGTTCACTGGCACCGGCGACAACCTCGCCGAATACTGGCAGCACAAGGCACCTGCCTATCGTTTTACCCACTCACGTCAGGTTCGAATTCATTTTTCTGCTTACTACGTCCGTGTTGCTCGTGTCATTGGGAGTTGGCATGCCTCTGCATACCCTATAAAGCTTAGCGGGTCTCACAATGGATCTCTTGGGATCGCTGGGTCTTCGTCACTATCATACTTGTGCTGAAATACTGCTAGGTGCTCATGTTGCCATTGTTCGAATTCTTTGACCAAATCTGGGTGCGGAAGTAGGTCGGCGTCTCTTGCGAAGTCCTTTTCTTCTCACATTTTTGTTGAGAGCACTCTCCGCAACTGGCCACACTGTGCTAATCTATGATTACCTTCTGACCTTCAATGACGAAGTGAGTTCGCTTCTTGACATGCATAATACTGAAAATATGGATTTGATTCCAGATCTTGTACATTTGGAATGCCCCTTGGACAGTCGTGAAAGTCTTGTTCCTCATCAACCGATATGGAAATATTGCTGGGCAGACTCTCATTCGGTTGGAAGAGGCCGGCATCCTCGCACATAATTCCCAATTTGTATGTTACAGTTTCACGAGTTGACATTCATTGACCTTATGGATGGGCCAGTTCTGCCAAAGGTTTTCCATTATCACCTCTTACTTTATGTTCATATCTTCAGAGTCGATCCATAGTGCGTATGCCTCATTTTAATGGTGACTTGTGCTGAGGATTAATACTCAGTACTTGTGCTCATACGTGCGTGGGCCATCTGGGGGGCTCAGAGGGGCATGTCAAATATTCTTATCGGGGGCTATGTGTCCTACGTCCTTATCCTGCTGGGCATATCTTCGTATGGTGCACACCATGATTCTAGTAGGCTACCTTCTTACAAATTTGATATTCTCTGATGTAGTTGCGCTCGGGCAGGCGAAGAGTATTTGTACCTCGACCTAGTCGAGATCTGCGTGTCGGCAATGCCAAGTATGTGATTATCATTTTGCCTCGTCTGCAGACTATTTGACTACTACTTCAAAGAATTAATGGTTAGTTGGCAACTAAATAGTTTCAAGTCAATGTATTGACGGAAATATCATTGGCCCTGTTACAACGCTAGTGGCTCTGCTATGTCGGAAGGTTAGCATGTTGTGTTCCATGTTCGCAGGGCATGCTGAAGAACATGAAGCTTTATTCTCGATGCAATAACTTTTGTCTTAACAGCGCGAAGTCTGCGGAGATACTCCAGGGAATTTCAGGGTCTCTACCCCTCCGACCTCCTCCTTTTACTTGTTCGAGATGGTAAGTACACTCGCACAGATCTGCAAAGTCCCATTGTAGTTGACCATAACTAATTAGCAACCATATTTTTTGTTGTGAGTGTATAAGACAATAATATATCACCTTTCCGACAACAAGAACCAGTTTAGTATGTTTAATAATGCCATGATTATCGCCTCCTGGTGAGACTCGCTCGAACTCTCAACTCATTCACATCTGCTTACGTTATGGTTTAGGACTGTGTACTCGAACGTCAGTCTTTCTTATTCATAACAGATTTCTTCCTGAGTAACACGAGACAATCCACAGGGTCCATATACTTTCCTGCCTAAAGGGTGCGTTGGTCATCAATGTGACCTCATCACTTTATGTAAAATTGATTGCGTGTAGGTTTTCGGGCCCGTTACTTTCAGTGGCTGGTCAGCGCGTGGTCCTGAATTTGAAAAGTCTCTCAACGCGTTCCTATTCGACGCACGATCTCAGCCGTGAGGTGGACCGACAACTTGAAGCATTCGCAGAAGAACCCTACAGCTTCCCACCTCGAGGTCAAGATGGCCTTGATGACCCAGAATCTAGCAGAGAGCTTTAGGTGGAATCAGGATGAACCGAATTCTATGTAAGTAATTGTATGTTGTCACAGAAATGGATAAGTAGGATCGAAGAGATCAGATTGGCATTGTGGATGTTTGTACCGATTATTGAAGGTGTACTGGACCTCACCTTCATATCCCCATATTTGTATTTGCATTTCCTACAAGTGCTTATCCTGCAAATGATCAGAGTACCTTGCAGTTGTGCTCCGCTTGAACTTCCTGGTCCCGAATGCTATCTTCTGTGATGACATGTCCCTGAGTTCGATGGCTGTGGTCCATGCTATAATGAAGAATATATACTGTCAGCCTTTGTTGGCAACCCCTGTATGCTACATTGTACGTCAGTGATTTAAGGGTTGAACATTGAATCCTAGGCCCCTAGCAAACACCCATAAGCCAAAATACATTCCAGGGCGATTATCGAAGGTTGCTATCACCGAGATTCGGGCTTCTGTCTCCCTACATTTTCTTTTGGATTCCACAATAAGTGCTTGGTATGAAGGGTCATTATACATACGACGGTGGTCGGGATTCAGAAGCAACCATGTCTGGCCTATTGTATGTATGAGTAATATTTTGTTATCAGCTTATCCTGCAACTTCGAAACAAAGCACACTCACATCGCGCTTAAGAGGAGACGGGGATGTGCGTTTCAACGTGCTCGGCCTTCTTTAGTCAGATATATGAAGAGTTAACATCCCGGTGTCCTCCGGAATTGAATAGTTGTGGTCCCTACCGGGACGCAAACCCCTGTGCTATGTATATGAGGTTAGTGATTCATTAGGGTCGAACGTTCAATCCCAGCGAACACCCACAAGTAGGGCGATGCTTAGCATTCAACCCAAAATGTCAATTTCACAGCCTCCTGCCCATTCACATTTCCGGATCCGAAGAAGATTCAAATCGCCGGCACCCAATCGATCTTAGTTGGGCGCGCGGACCCGTCCTGGCAGTGCAGCGATCAACTGTAACCCGACATGAGTAATTCATTGTATTCATGAAGGGATGGCGAAATAACAAATAGACGTGTTCAGAAACGGCATATTCTTGGAACAGAATCGTTGTCGTTCGGTTTTCTGAGTGCTTTAAGTGTGGGATGATGAACGAATGATGGGTCTTGTCGAGGGAAAAGGAAGTGGGAATAATCCTCGTGTGTCTGCCAGAAAGCTTTCATCCAAGCATGAGGAATGCACGCCAGAGTGCTATTCTGATAAACAGGACTTCTGTAATCATGACGTTCCTAGAGATATGTAGTTAATGTATTTTTCTGCAAGAGAAACTATCTTCGACGATAAATCGGGGGGCTGATCGACACTTCGTTGCCTCCACGAGTATTGCTCAAGACAACCGCGTGTTCTGTATATCCACTCGAAAGAGTGCCGATGTTCTCGTCTATTGTGAACTTCTGAGGAGTTATGTAGATCCGGTGACTCGTGTAACATTCGGGCTGCTGAATGCGGCCGGAGTTAGTCTTCGTCGATTCATCGTCTGCCAAGAAAGGATAGAATATGACATCACGATGGAGCGCACCTAGTGCTCCAAACCGCCCAGCGGAGCCCAATGCCCGTGTTGGCGGGTGGACCTGATGTGCGGTTCCGCGGTGGATAATTTTATTAACACTCGAGCGCTAACGCTCACCAATCATGTGAAAAGCTAGTGTTTCTATATGATGTCACACGAAGAAGGCGAGAACCGCAGCGGTAGGGCCTGGAGCCAATCCTGTCCTATTTGCAACAGCAGGTGGTTCCGCACGAACAGAATCTGAACATGCAGGCAAACATGAGTCTAGGATTCCAGTCGTCATGGATCGTATAACTAAGCCAAGGAGAAGGTATTGGATAGCCATAAAATTCCAGCAATATGAACAACTCAAGGAGGACATGCTGCTTGTGTTGGTCGATCTCGAGAAGGAGTGGCACAGTGATGGCAACATGCTAACTTGGTAATGGAAGATTAGGTAAGCAAATAGTAGCATAGCTCTCGTCCCCGAGAAAGACTGTTTGCGCAGGACTGGGCGTTATAGCTAAGGACGCCCATTATTAGCTAGCCATATCCTCACTAGTTCACTGGAGCTGTCCTTTCTTTTCACCTAATAACCGGGGTTTTCTTCACGAACGCATCACGACAACCAGTGCTCATATCGCTAACCGATCGTTACTGGACGCCTCAACGTTAGCTCATGGCTCAGCCTTACTATGACGGACATCCATTAGAAGAGTATTTGACAGGTGCAAATAGTTGCTAACCATCCTTGTAGATCACTGCTCACCTTACTTCGCCGCAGATTCGGGTGAAGCTCCCGAGCAAATGCCTGGAAGCTGGCCACTTTTCTCAATGCTCCAGCACTCATTCACGGAGTCGCCAGTGGTCTTCAAGTACAGTGCCCAGGTAGAAAAAATTTGTTTCATTATTTTTGGCGCGCTTCAGGTATGTTTACTCTTCGTAGTCATAAAACTGTTCCTGAGCCCGCTTATATCCTCGGTTGATCATCTTCATTCACCCTCCTGTGATACCATGAAGTTCCTCAGCTCACTCTTCACTTCTGACCGGGTCTCGAAGCGCACACAAGCTTTCGCTGAGCGCTTCAAGTATGGTGTTATCACATCATCCCTCCTATCCCCGGGTTTCGCGACTACCCCCGTCCCTCATCCACACCGCCGTTCGTTTTCACCCCAAATTCCTGGCAGACTCGCAAGCAATCACAGCAGAAGTACCAGCGGGGCTGAAAGCACGGCGACTGGTCAAATTTCTCTAACGATACCCGCTGAACCTGAACCACATGTATGGCCCGTAACACTTTCCATCACTCTTGCTGTTGCAGCGCTTAGCGCTCGATTTTATACCTTGTTTGTTCTGTTGCTCGTTAGCACACTGTATTATATGCACGTTCATCGATTGGATCTACACTCTAAACCTGACATCATCACACCTGTGAGCCTTGCCATTGGCAATTTATAGGCAATGAACTTACCGTTCCTTTTGCAGTCTCTGGAAGCACTCCAAAATTTAATCACAGCGGGCAAGGTGTGGGACTGCCGTTGTTCAAGACACCCTTGATAGCCTAGAAAATGAAGAGCGAAGGTAATTGATATGACATCATCGAAATGCGTGCCCTGACCGGGTCCTTTACAGCATCTTTCACGGACCATCCTCCCCAATAATGACGTCTTCGTCACTTAGAGTGGCGCTATCGACTTCCCTGCTCACGACTCAAACCCAATGCGACAACGTTCGTCAACTGCTTTCAGCTATTGTATCTCCACCCGAGCTTGCGCAGCTTTCGGAGATGTATGCCCCGCCATCACCTATGAAACTCACGTTCTCTCTGAATAGCGATAATCACCGGCCGCTTTCTCTGCCTGGATCTCGGCAACATGACAACATGACTTCCGTCCGCGATCACAAGAGGTCAACGTGGAATGGGTCCTACTCTGCTCTTGCACAAGCAGGAAGTCCTATCTCCCACATTGCAAAGAGGAGAGAAAAGCGGAGATCAGATCTTAGCGCATTACTTGGTGCTGCGTCACCATCACGAAGAAGCAGTGTCAGCGCACCCACGAGCCCATCAGCTAACCAACCGCTTCTTGATGTGGTCGAGGAGGACGATACTCACGCCGGGGCTTCGTTGCTACCAGAGGGCGAGGATGCTTGCTTTGGAGCTACTGCTCTTGATCTACGCCGACAGCATCACAGTCAGGGTATGAGCAAATTTGGGACGCCACCCCGGTCTGCTGTATCATTATTGAGGAGTAACTCTGACTCGAGGCACCTTCCAACAATGTCCCTCTGCCTCGAAATACACGAGTATGCAGACAAGCCGGCATCCGCTCTCCTTTTCATCTTTGAAGCAGTCACTTCAGAGCGCGCTTGCTTCGAAACGATACGCATGTTCTCATTTATTAGCTCTTCGTTTCGGAGAGGATGAGGATGATGCTTACTGGGAGGACGTGCGTTCACTCATGAGCCTCCTTAGGACAACATTAGTCGATGCCTCCTCGAGACTTACTGAGGTTCTGGACGAGGAGGAAGAACAGCAACAGCAATTGAAAGACGCAGCTGTATCAGACTTGTCATCCGACGCACAAGTTACCTGTTCACTACCATCGCCTCCATTCCCCATACGCCCTCTTTCGCATTCGATTTCCCAAATCACGTCCTTTGCGCCACTACCCAGTGACCTTGCACGGTTTGCAGCCCACGTCGATGCCATTTCTTCCGCTCTCAACGATGCACGAGATCACCTCGAGCAATGCGTGACCTCGCTGAAAGAAGAGACACCTTTCGGGCATTTTGTACAGTTGTCGATGTCCTCCATTGAGGAACCTTCTAGTCACCCTGCTCTTCTGGCTTACGAACGTCTGCGGCGCGAGATCGGTCTTGCCTTACGGGAGTGTGAACGTGGCCGGGAGAGGCTCACAAACATCGTACTCCCGCCAAGCCCCTCCCCAGAGGAACCAGATGACCTGCCCACCTTAGCTCTCGACATGGGCAGCGACGACTCTGACAAGCCTGAGGAAGCATCACCAGGCATGGACGCGCAGAATGAGGACATCGGGCTAACAGTAATCTCACCATCCGGAGAAACGTTCGACGCAGATGATGCGTCGTCCCCTCTGCTACTCGCAGCGTCATCGCATCATTTGCCTCCACCTGGCATCGAGCAGGTGTTTGAGACTGAAACAGGGAATTCACCGGCGTTTACGCGTGAGCGGTCGAAGATGACGAGGGAGGAGCGGATAAAGCTTGCAAAGGCACGGCGGGAGAGTGGGGGTGGGGTTGTTGGGACTGATGAGCATGCGCCCAAGATTGAGCGGTGGGGGCCGGGTGGGGAGGTGGTGCAGGAGTTGAAAGATGTGATATGGAAGGTGGGGGAGCGTCGTAGACGGATGACGGAGGAGCAGTTGAGGAATGCAGCGTCGTCGATACCGGCGTCTAGTCATGGGAGCATGACGCCGATAGAGATTGTGCAGCAGGGTGGGGTAGGGTCGTAGTACACTGCTAACCTGGTTGTATATACTTTAGGCTCGTTTTATTCAGTGGTGTGCACTAATGTAGTGTTTTCGGATTTACAAGGGTTTGAATGTTAACTCTCGGCCGCCGAGACGCTGGCCTGTCAAATTTCTTAGGAAAAGCAAAATTTAGAAAAAATTTCTAGTGTTAGGTGTGCTGAGTCTGACCGCGTGTAATACGATAGGTGATATGCAGAAAACTGGTATCTCTTTTAAAACGAGTCCCAGAATCCATCCCAGAATTGCAGGTCCTTCCCCTGCCCCTCCCTCCATTCCTCTCGCAGTATGTGTTGCCCCTGCACAAGTCTAAGCTCTCTGCCCCTCATTCGTTTGAGCTTTCGTACGGGCTCAGCGGCGTCAAGCTCATCATCAGTAGTCGTGCGGTCTTCAGGTGGAAGCCGCGCTGCAAATGCGTTGGTGAACTCAAGGATGGAGTGCGTCTTGTGCAGAGCGGCGGCGGCAGCGAATGACAATGGGGTCTGTGTTGCTGAATGAGGTTTGTTGTCTGAAGGCGTGGGAGATGGGTTGAAGTGCCCGAGAGCCAGTGCGGAGAAGAGGTCGCCTACTCCAGAGAAGTATCCTGCAATCAGTGGGACGAGTCTGGCGTGTACTGTGGAATGGGAGCTTGTTCCTATCGTGCGGGATGACGAGATGCAGAGGAGATAGGCTTGTTGGTTATCCGCAGAGGCCGGAGGCTGCATGGTTTCAGGTAGGACCTTGGATAACCATGGCTGTAAGGGGATGGAGGAAATAATGACGTGTTGAACGTGCTTGTGTAAAATGGATAGGGCATTGTGGAGAGCGCTTAGGGAGAGGAGTGGTACACCGGTAAGAGTCCTTTATCACATCAGATACCATTGATATACGTCGAGAACGTGCTCACTCGACTTCAAACCAGTTTGGGGTGATGATGGTCGCAAAAGAAAACATCACCTTGTATATGGGTATTACATCTTGTGATACATAGAGCTTTCCAGAGTCACCGAGCACAGCTGTGTTTAGGTCATCAATTGAAAAATTCTGGTGATGTTTTTGCAAACTTACGGTCCATAAGGTATATGAGGTGCGGGTTGCGTGACTTGAGTTTTTGCGCAAGTTCCTTTACGACTTCCAAAGCAGCAGCGTTTGGTATATAACCTGTGAGAAGTCTGTGGGGAGATAGCAAGCCAATCTCATCCATCATCTTCAAGATCGACGAGAGTTCTTCTGCAGATGCTCTGGTTCCACCGAAGCGTTCATAACCTGTATTAAATAGAGTTTTACTGAGAAGTGATAGTGATCCTAGCGGTAAACCCACCGGTGTGATTTGAAAAATTCACGGTGTTGACTACCTAGGTACAGTCAGAGGGCGTTCTACTTGAGATGAAAGACGTACATCAACATCATAGCCTATACATTGGAGGGGGAATACAGCGGCCTTTCCGCCCACATAACCGTATGCGACGTGCGACTGGATGCTCAATATCCTGTCGTTTTCGTCTACGGGCGAGTCACTGCTTGGTGTTAGTTGCAGAATCAAGGGATTTAAACATGAATTACAGACCAGGTTGTGCCATTTACTTGAGTGGTCTCTGGCGTTGATTGTATGGCCATCGTCGCCTCGTCGTCGATACTCCCTGCTATCATGACTCCGACTCAACGAGGCTCATGATCGCCGATCCGGAAGGCCCGCCAGAACCATTCCTTTTTGGTAAAGGCTCTTTTCCACGTGGCGTTACAAATGGGAGGGGCGTGTTCCGTAGTACTGACGTTGGAGAGCTTTTAGAGCTTAAGTTTGTTGTTTCAATAGGACTCTGTGGTATGACTGACGGTACAAGGTTTGCTCTCTTTTTCATCGTCATTCAAAGCTCTCAATGTTGTTTTCTTTCTCAGACTCCGTCAAACCTGGAAGGATGCACTGGATAGCTCTGAAGCCACTTTCCGCCAGCTCCTTACCTCTCATTCTTCGTCGGAGTGGAAACATATTTCTTTAGCAAGCGACTCACCCTCGCCAGGCAAGGGGAAGGCACGCGCCTCTCCAACTCCTGAGCTTACCGACGTCGTCGTGCACCGCAAAACTACCAAGTCGGGTGAGAATGTGTACAGAGTCGTCCTCGACGTCTCGATCACCGACCAATCTGCTTCTCTCGATGCATGGAAAGCCGTCATTACCACTCCGGAACTTAGGCAGGAGTGGGACCCCGCGGTTGAGAGCGCACATTTGGTGGAAATGTTTGATCGTGAGACACGAATATCAAAGACTAATTTTACGCTTGGCTGGCCTGCCAAGTGCGTGATTTTTATGTTCGTTTTTGAGTTGTATTGATTGTATGCTAGTCCACGAGATGCTGTAATGATTTCACGCCTCTACCAGGACACATCCACGATAATAGATATTTCTACCTCTTTACCACGCTCACCTGACGAGCCAGCGTACTTGAGGCCATCGCCCCCCTACGTCAGATCACAAGTTGCATGTAAGTCGTTTAGTTTTCCAATTCCCGCATCGCTAATAATTTTCAGTGTTCGCTTGGTGTATTCAGTATGTTCAACCATCCTCAACTCCACAGCCGCATTCCCCGGCCGATCAAATCAAACGGCGTATGTCGACATATATGGCGCAGCCACGTCTTCGCATTGCGTGTTTCTGGCAGCACGATCTTCGCGCGATCTGGAATTTTGGCTCTGCTTCCAGCATGTGCCAACAACTGTGCACGATGATGTTGGGTTTGTATAAGACCGTCGTAGTGCGTGGCTCTCGCATACCGGTGCTTGCAGGACACGGATATGGGGTTAGCATTGAGAAAATACGGTTCCAGCTCGACAGGCAGGCTCTTGTCATTGAATATGTGATACACTCGGAGGAAGAAGACCATGTAGGGGAGACAGGTCAGGGGCTAGACGTTATTAAGGAACACAGGCGCCTCGTTCGCTCTCTTGAATGCGTCCTTCCATCGAATGAAGGGTGGGATGTCCAACTAACTATGAAAGGCTCCTCTCAGAAGGTCGAAAGCCTCCCTTGGAACGCCACTGCCTTGCGACAGAAGCCTTCTTCTCCCATCGTGGGGAGTAGGCCACCGGAACTAACGGTTCTCCGTATATCCCATGCGCCTCTTCCTGACGATCATTCTATAGTCAAAGTTCGCGCGGTCATAGAACTCTCTGCGCCATCCAGCGGAATCAGGCTGAATGGGCTTCCGCAGACCATTCAGCTTCTGGAAGAGCGCGATCCGTTATCTTTCATGCAGCAGCAGCAACAACAAATCCTACAAGATGCTACCAGTGCTGCGGATGTGAGCTTCCAAACGTCATCCTCAGTGAGCTCCGTTGCATCGAGCTCCACAACGCCTACAAGACCACAACTGGCGCAGTCGATGAATGAGCGACCTGTGGCAGCGGAGAAAACGATATTGTCGCGCGTGAAAAGAAGTTATATATACTTCTCGTCACTATTGCAGGAGCCAGAAGCGAAGTGGAAGCGGAGTGAGTGGAACTCATTTTCTGCTTCTGAGCTAGTACTGAGATGTCCCGCAGCTACGGAAGCACGTGGGGTTTCGGTGACTCAACTAGATTCTATCGATCCGACCCTGGTGGTGTATAGAGCAGAAGCCACTTTTGTTGGCCTAGGATTATGGGACTTGTACGGCGCGTTGGTTTCGCCTGGTGCTAGGGTGTTTTGGGACAAGCAACATGAGGATGCAACGCTTCTCGAAGATGTGAACGAGCTGACACAATTGTGGCATTTCAAGACCAAACCTGCATGGCCCGTACAGTGCGCAAATTTCACTTGCTATCACTATGAATTACTTCTGACTTGAGCATAGGGGTCGAGACACCGTGCTCTTGAAAACTGTCTATAAATCTCCTACCACAATTCATGTCTTCTCATTCTCAGCCGATGACCCATACTTGTTCCCTTCCATCCCTCCTCAGGACCCGACTCTCATTCGTACGCAGGTCGATCTCCAAGGATGGGCCATCGAAACACTCTCTCCAAGCACCACCCAGCTCACCTTGCTCGAGCAGTCAGATCCCAAAGGATGGTCCAACAAAGCAAGCATACCACAGGCTATGATCTCTGCTCTCGCTGGCGTTGGTGACTTTGTCATCAAGTGCGGTGGTCCCCCAGTGGTGACACGACTTGCGGGGGCGAAAGCTAACGACATGAGATATGATCATGAGAGGGGTGCCTTTCGCGTCGAGTATGAAGGCTTAGAGAATCGCCAAGCACCCACAACCATCACTGAAGATTCGGCAAATGAATCAGCCTTACCCACCAATTCTCGCACGATGCACACGATTGAGTGCGAGATCCGTTGTGATATGGACACGTGGGCATCCGCACTCGATGTTGTTGTCGACCCCCCTCCGCATAGTGTCACAGCCCTACGCCGTCACCGACTGTCCGCCGGTGGAGGAGGACTGTGGTTGACGCTCACGCATGATGCATTGTTCGCTGCAGATGAGAGACTTCTGGCTATTGTACGCCGTGGGCCGATGGGATCTGGGAAAGATAAGGGCGTGGTGATGGTCAATGGTGCACGTGTAACTGTCGATGTCGAAGAACTTCCTGAGCAGGAGATTAAGGCACTTGCGAAGCGCAAACGCATCAAGCCTATACGCATTCCGCTCGACCAGCCCCCAGTCGTGGGCGTTATTCGACGGCGGCGGGCAGAGTGGGACGCAGACAGCGATATTCCGAACAGCTCAGATTCTACCCCCAGAAATTTATCACCCGAACCCCCCGAACCTGCGAAGCCTTTACCAGTGTCAACGTGGTTAACGTCTCCGAAAATCACGAGTCCGCTTGCCAGCTTTTGGTCGACTGCAGTGGAATCAGCGACGACTACGACACAGCAAGCGGTTGCTGCAATGGCTCCTGGAGATGGAGGTGCTCCGTCTGCATCACGAGCGCCCATGCAACATGCCGTGGAAGCTTTGCAATGGATGCGAGATCTCCAGTGCGGTGGTCCCGATGCAAGAACTGGGTGGGTACCGCTGGGAGACAAGGGCATGTCAGTGCATCGCAAACTACTCACAGAGATCTCGCCTTCCATCCCAGTGCACAAAGGCGAAAAAGTGATTGAAGGAGTCTCCGCAGAAGAGGTTGCTGCTGTTGTGACGAATTATGAGTGTCGCAAGCAGTGGGATGTCCGATTTGCTTCTGCCTCGATCTTGGAGAGGTTTGGGTCGAAATGCCATACTGCGTTTGTGGTATCCAAAGGAGGGTTTCCTTTCCGTGACCGGGGGTTCTTCATGGCGTCTATCATGGCTCGTTCCAGGCTTCCGCTCTCAAGTTTAGACCTCACACCAGGAGAGACGGGTCCCTCACAGGACGCTCGCTCTGTCATATTCTGCGTGTCCGCGTCTTTCAGCCCACATTCGGCTGCACCATTTTCTCCATCCAAGTACAATCCTTACGCCCTGCCGATTGGGCGGACGTATATCGATGGTTGGATGTTTGAGACCCTCGATCCGTATACCAAGGAGAACTATGCCATTCCGTCAACACGGTGCACCAGAGTCGTTGCGGTGGACTACGCGGGATCCATACCGGTAGCAATGAACTCGCTTATCAATAGCGCCCTCCCCAAGTCGATACTTGCGGTGGAGACCTACTTGAAGGGCAATTTACCCATGCCGTACACGAGGCTTCCAGCAGCAGGTATTGTCCTGGCGGAACAGAAGGGCGGCACTGGGGTTAACGCGCCATCTTGGAGATTAAGGAAGAAGGATGACAATCGGAAGTTGATCGTGTCGACCTTCAACCCTGCCAATCAAGTTCATCGCAGTGTTGTGTTGCTCACGATGACCGGTACCATATCAGGTAAACCTGATGATCTCACTCCTAGACCGAGCAGAGTGGGTCTCCCAACTCTTAGTCCTACTCCTGAGACTCGGGCCAACAATCCAGTTGAACTCCCTACATCTCCTCCGATCCCTTCATCCGCGCCATATCCTCGCAGAACCTCTTCAGCATCTGTAGGCTCTACCTCTGAACCTTTGAAACCATCCTCCTCTGCGTTTACGTTGAAGGGCGAAATCAGATATTCCATAGATCTTCTCGTTGCCGAAATCGTCGTAGACTCAAAACTCTATCCAGTGGGCTACGAAGTACTCATTACATCTCGTCCACGAGACAACGCAAAGTTTATCTCCCTCGAAACCTCCCGCGAGAACGACATGGAGCTGGTTTCAAGTGCAAGTATAACCGACCTGCCCATCAATTCGAGCGTATACACTATTCCAGCTTCGCCACTACACTCATCAGGACTGAACGCTGATCGACCACCGCGACATCTCCTAAGGTTGACTTTGCCCACGGCCCAGTACCAGGTGTCTACGGTAAAAGATCCGCTTACGGGCGAGATCAGGACAGCACCTCCCAAGCCTCAATGGTTTGATGATCTGCATGAAAAAGGGTTTGTCGTTCAGGTGGAGATTAAGCCTGTCATGGCGCCTGCTTTGGGTGTCAAGAAGAGTGAGGGTAGTGTGGTTGTGAAGGTCGGTGGCACGAATGTTGGGATTGCTAGCGAAAAGGAGTCATTAACGGCACTTGGACGCGATGAGCTCCAGGATGATCGGGTCTCCCGTCTGCCTGTACTGCAAAGGTTGGTCATAAATCGTGGTTCATGCGCGAGCCGTTGCTGACGCACATCATCAGATCCGCAAACGATGGAGACTCGTTTCCAGACGAACTCAAAGAGCCCCTGTCCCGTGCGGATGATCTCCTTGATGATGGCGCTACCATCGCTGCTATCGATATCAACGAAGATCCGGAAGCACCTGAGGAGAGTCGACCAAAGGCGGACTCAGTGATCGAGAACGGGCCGCCCTTGGTAAGTTTATTACTAAGAATGTAATGGCTTCCCTAAGCCACGATGTTATAGGATATCCCCGAGAACGGTACTGTTCCACAGGTTCTACCGCCGCCATTATCAAATAGCGGATTTTTTGGATTCCTAAACGCTTATCCCAATCCGCTATCTCGCTGGACTTCATCAGGTGTCAAGGAGGCTGTTTCACCAATACCACAATCTGTTTCATCTTCTCGTCGATCGTCTCAAAGCATTCCGAAGCTGCCTGATGGACTGTCGAGGACGGAGACAGAGAGCACGAGCCCCACACACGTTGTTCGGATGCCGACGACATACCCGTTGTCGACTGTTCTAATCATAGCACTAATTGCTTTCTTAATTGGATCGTTATTGCGATCGCTTCTCTCACCTGCGGACTTCATTTACGTCCAAGTCGTTACGGATCTTCAGCATGCCAAGGGGGGGAGCGCAGAGTGGCGGGAGATCAGACGGTTGTTGGAGGTGAAGTATATTGTTGGTGGATGGGACTTTCAGATTGCAGTTGTTCGCCGACATTGATGGAGATTTGCGATTCATTAATTGTACTGTTTACGCTAGAACTCGCATGTATCGTATGTTCTAACGTATTGTAGGAAGGAAGTAGAACGCATCCAGCCTTGACGAGCATGCGGCAAACAGCGTGTAGTTTTTTTGGTGGCAAAGTCGGCGACAATTGGAAATTTCCCATCTAGTATGACCTTGCGCCTCTCGTTTGGCACGAATTCAATCTTCCCATTCGCCTACTCCTTCTTCCTCCGCTAGGTAACTTTGTCGCCGTCGTTGTCGACGACGATCAGGCATATCTTGACGCCGTTGTTGTTGTCTTGTAATATCTTTCATTTTTCCCTCACTCGTTGGCCGGAGAACCTGTGCGCTGTCTGTCCAGCTTGAGCTGCCTTTATATATCTTTGCGGCTTACACAGCTCTAAGTCTCTGTCATCGACTTTATTTTCCACCCGCCAAACGCGAAACGTGCGCCCTCTTTCGCTGATCCTTTGAACCCCCTTCTTGTGTTTCTACTTTCACTCGTCAACCTGTATCGGAGCTCTTCATGGCCTCTGGCCCTCCCGGATCAATGCCTGCGCAACCTCCTGCAGGCGAACCCTCTCCCCCTTCGTCGGATCCATCTTGGGAAGGGGACAGGATGTTTGTCACCGCATATCTCATTCCCATGCCCCAACTTAACTTGTTGGCTGCTCACCCAGGTTCAACATTTACATTTACGACTATTGCAATAAGCGCGGATTCCGTAAAACAGCTCGCGAGCTACTAGTAGAGGCTGAAATACCACCAGACTCTGCTCCCCCCATCAATGCACGCCAGGGTCTACTTTTTGAGTATGTCTCCATCGACTTATTACTTAAGCGCTCGACTAACCAATATCCGGCACTCCAGATGGTGGAGTGTTTTTTGGGTACTTTTCACAGCAAAAAGCAACGGAACAGGAACGGATGATGCTATGGTCTATACACAGGTATGTGGGGCTGAGGCTGCAACGTTCTTAGCACTGTACCGACCGTGACCTTTGAAACAGCATCAGTTGCAGCAACAACACCTCAGACAGCACAACGCGCCCCAAATGCGGCCAGCGCCACCGGCGATGAATCGTTTCATGAACGGTACGCAAAGACCCCAAGCATCGATGCCACCAAACGGCCAGATGCCTAACGGTGTTGGACCTGCTTCTTTGCCAGGTAATGCAGGCCCAATGCAAAATGGCGCCCAGGGCCCCATGTCATTCCCAATGAACGGTCCTCAAACTAACGGTATGCCGATGTCATCAGGCGTCCCTCCAGGTCAACCAGGAAACTTCTCGCAGCTACTACCCGGACAGCAGAGGCCCGGTGGCCCTCAAAGACCAAATGGCGCTGCGCCTCCATTTCAATCCCCAACGATGTCCCATACTCCCCATATTACAGGCAACCCTGGCTCTGGACCCCAGCATCCACAGCCCCCGATGAATCAGCTGGTGGGCCCGTCCGGTCACCTTACTGGCCTCAATCGTCCCATGCACCCTTCAAATCCATCCCTTGGCTCCGCTCCCCAGACACAGACGCCGCCATTTCCGATGGGACGGTCGCCAAGTCGTCCTGGTACCCCCGGTCAAGGTGGTATGATGCAACGCAGTCCATCGTTGGTAGCCCGTCAGACACCATCGAACGAACCAAATCCAGGCATCCTCAACCAAGAACTCAGCCGTATGCCTACCGAACTTGTTACGTTGGCCAAAGCAGGAATGGGTTTTGGCGATAAGGAGTTGCACTCGCTTAACTTCCAAGATAAGGTACTTTTGTCGTCATCGCTATTATAGAAATTTATCAAGTGAATTACTTGAATTACAGCAACGAATCCTCAATGAGGTGCGGCAGCGGAGCATGAAGTCACAACTCGGCCCTGTAGGGTCATCGAATTTGCAAGGGATGGCTCCGCCTGGGCAGCAACGCCGACCTGTTCAACATCCAACAATGCAGCAGCCTCCACAACAACAACAACAGCAGCAGCAACAACAGCAGCAGCAGCAGCAACAGCAACAGCAACAGCAGCAACAGCAACAACAACAGCAGCGCACCATAAAACGTAACAGCACGTCCCCTGGAGAAGAAGTACTGTTTCTTTTCTTGGCTTAATATTACAGCGCATTAATTTGCGAAATTTGACAGCATGGCACGCTCCCGAATAGCGAAAACTCGCCTCCGGACAGGAAGCGGCAGCGCCGCACACCTCCCCCCATGGAACAAACATCATCCATGGGCCCCGGGCCAGGATACCCGCACCCGCAACAGCAGGGTATGCCGGGTGGGCCACAACAAATGCCCAATGGTAACATGATGCGTCCAGGGCAGATGCAAGGCGCGCCCATGAATAACTTCCAGCCACACGGTGTTCCACCCAACATGGGTAATCCTGGTATGGGACTGCCTATGGGTGCTCCTGGTAACGCTATGAGCCCGGGCATGCATCCAGCTCATAACATGATGATGGTCAATGCCAATGCAGTAAGTCGTCGGTTTTTGCTGGGGCCCTTGGCTACCCCTCAACTGTTCTGAAGGCCTTGCAGTACCGACAGAGTATGACCGCAGCGACAAAGGGCTTAATGGCAGCGGCCACTCCCGGTGTTTCTGAGCAAGGTTTCCATCCTGGGCAAGGTCAACAACAGTTTGTTGGTCCCCAGAACACTCGAATCGGCCAGAACTTGGTTCAAGCCAAACCTATGGGCGGCATGGCGCCACCTGCGTCACCAGCCATGGGTGGTCCCATGAAAGATCAGAAGGATGTTAAGCCCATGATCAATAACCCTTCAGGTATACCAGAAGGGTCACCTCACAGCGCTCCCGCTGCTCCAGGCCAGGGAGGGCCTTCATCCAACCCTACGGGGAGCGCACACGGCACTGCACCCCCGACTCCAAATACCATTAACTCAAGCATCACACAATCCCCTGCTCCGAATGGGACACCTTCAGTCCCTCCGGCTTCGAATCCCGCGAGCCAACCGCAACCCAATCTATCCGATCTACCACCTAATTTCATGTCTTCAGACTTCATTCAATCTATGTCAGCATTGGAAGACCTAGACCCATCCATGTTTCGGACAGATTTTGAGCAAGACTTCCGTGAATGGTTCGATCCGACCGGTGTGGATCTCAAGTAAACGGTGGATGGAAGATATGATTTTTTCGGGCTATGTGTTTGTTTCATTCCTCTTGCTTTTCGAACATTTTTACCTCAATTCATACGTGTACATGTGTTTTTTTTTGCGCTGACCCCCTTGTTTTCTCCCTCTTCGCGCGGAATCAGGATGTCTTATTTATTGCAAAAGCTGCAGCGAGCAGTGACATCTTGGCTCCTCCCAGTTTAGATAGCTTATTTTTGTCGTCGACTTGTTGCGATAGTTCCACTTGCTGTTTGTTACCTCGCTCGGTCACCCTCTCTCATCTTGCTGCATGTATAACTAATCTCATCATGATCTACTTCTCGTTCATCCATGTTTCATACTCAGGGCATCGTCTATTGAAGATCTACACAGTGCAGACGCAGTTAAAAGTATACGATCGACCTACTGTTACATGCTGTACATTCAAAGTGTCACATGTGCTGTGACGTTCATCAACCAGAGTACCTGAGCCGCTTATAGTGTTGCTCTAGCAGCTCCTCTCGAATGCTGTGAGTATCCAAGACGATAGTAAGGCAGGTTTACCAAAGTGCTCGTAATGTTTGAGGTCTCATGATTTCAAGGTACCGGCGATAACTTGAACATCCCTTGGATTCCCTTCTAAAGAACAGCGTGTACCTGTCCTCAAGAAATTCGGCGTTGGGTGCTGCAATTGCAAGCGCTCGAGTAACGTACAAAATCAACAGCTGACATGTCCTGCGAACAACTTTCTCCCCCGCAGTACTTTCACCATTCCCCTCTCACTCGTTTGGCTGTGACTTCAACTTGCAAGCCTGGTGAAGCTTGGATTGTATGCCAATCCACTAGTCATCGCGTTCAGATACCCGGACTTGCAAGTACAGGATTTGGAGACTTATCGATCCAATGGTCTTGCCATCGAGCGACCAGCACAAAGAATCCGTACCTCTCCTTTCCGTTCATATCGTCTCCTCGATGGCAACCTCTGGTGATGTTTCAGATAGCTATCAAAACATCTTGGTCGGGCGCATCTAACTTGCGCAGCCCTTTTGCACAAGGAAGCCAGATATTGCCAAACGAATTCTCTCCCACGTTTCCACACACATCGCTTTCCCCCAACTCAGGCCCATATTTTTCGACTCCCAGGGTTCACAACTCGCAATCGTCCACTTCACGTACTGAGCTGCCACGACTTGATATGAAATATCTTCAGAGTACGCATGGCCAACTTCCCATCACGCCTGATTCCCCTCTACACCCCTCCAACTTTGGGAATAGTACCGCACATGGTCAGGATCAGATAGTGCATGGATATCTATCCCAAAGCACTCCTGGTTCATACGGTACAGTTCTTGTGGAAGGGAATGACAATCGTAAGCGTGAATTTGCTAGTGATCTCTCTGGGATGCTTCCCACGCCCGTAACTCCCAATACACAATCCGGAAGGTGATGATTTGTTTGTTTAAACTTTCCAGAGCCCTACTAATATACATACAGTCCGACGAGCCCTGTTCAACCGGTTGACTTGACAGATTGGATTACTCGGAGTTACGGCCTCGATCCCGTAGCTGGGGGTGCTTTTGGAAACGTCTGGAAATGTACTTATAATGATGGTACCAGGTGCATTCCGGCTGCGTACAGATGTGAATCGACGACAACGACATGCTAATAGGTGTCTGTTTCAGGTTGCTGTGAAGGGCTTCAGATTTCAGGTTAACAAGAAGACCTCGAAGGTTTGCCAGAGCATTGATCATCCATACCTACGCCCTGATTGTTGTGTGTTACAGAGACTGAGGAGAGAAATGGGCATTTGGAGAAGACTATATCACCCGAATGTCATGGAATTCATGGGCTATGCTTTCGGCTTTGGTGTTTCGATAGCCCTTGTTGCCCCTTGGGCTGCAAATGGGACTCTGACCGATTGCTTGGAGAAAAGTTGGTCAATCATCACTATTGCTGATCAACTCAGTTTGGTATGATCGCACCACTTGCACTTGTCTTCTATCTCTAACGGAATCGTTTGTTCAGTTGGACGATATTGTCTCTGGTCTCACTTACTGTCCGTCTCTTTTGACTCATTTTCTGATCCATTCTAATTTTAGTTCCACAGTACATTCTTATCCTAATAATCCCGTGACCCACGGAGATCTCACTGGGGTATGTGACACATCCCCATACTTATTCCACGCCTCGAACTCATTCGTTCAAAGTCTAATGTTCTTATCCTTGCGGACATGACTGCATGCATCGCTGATTTTGGACTATCAAGCATGCTCGGCGACCTGCAAACCGGTTCGACTTACCTCGCAGCTACCGCTATGTATCCAGGCGCAGTACGATGGACAGCCCCCGAGCTTCTCCTATCAGATGACGTACAGCCAACGACGCTCAGCGACATCTACTCTCTCGGCAGTATCATGCTCCAAGTAAGTATTCAAACCATCCCCAGCGTTCAATAAAAGTTTACGATATTTTCTTCCGCAGGTCCTATCAGGCAAAGTACCTTGGCACGAGATCAAACGGGAAGTGATTATCATACGGGAGATCCAACAAGGAAACACCCCTCGCTGTCCGTCCCACACGCCCCTCGTCGGTGAACTATGGCCGTTTATCCGTGAGTGCTGGTCGTTATCACCAGCCTTACGACCCACAGCTGGCACCGCCCTCGAATTCATCCGACACATCCGAATTAAATTACTCCCAGTCCCTGTAGGTGGCCGCGACGCATCCAGTTCTGCCGCTGCGCACCCTGCAAGTAGTGCCGGACCATCAAAAAAGCCACGCTTGAAAATAATTATTTAGGTATCGGACGATAATAACGGAATCTATCATTACTAGAGGTGATGATGCAGACATACTTATCACGATGGACAACCAACAGGCATCCTTGTTTATTTTGGTATTAATCACTGCATTTGCACGGCCCCCCACAAATATATCGTAGATCTAAAGGGATACGAAGCCGGTTTATAATTTACACGCACACGCACACTGACATTGGCGTTTTACTACTAGTATAGTACTTACTGGTGTAGCCATTCTTCTGCCTCACTGGTTCTGTCACGTCGGAGCTGTGTCTCGTCTGACCCGGTATGCACGTTTTAATCATATAGGCGTTTAAACGTTCACTAGCACTACTAGTACTTACTGTTGTAGCCATTCTTTTGCCTCGCTGATTTGATTCGCCTGTCACATCGGAGCTGTATGGTCTCATCCGGCATGCTATTCGTCATGTTTATTGTAATATCCGTCAATTAGGCAAGGCAGCCGTGATGGCCATGGCAAGTAGATGTATGTTAACTGATGTAGGATTTAATATAGATGTGTCTCGATCACCACAACATAGATTCATCCCATGAACATGACCACGACCATCCATCCTGGACCCTCGTACAAAAAACATGAATACCTCACGAATTCCGTGTCATCGCACAGGATATGGACAGTCCTGTACACGAAAATGAAGCCCGAATTTAATATCCGAAGTAACTCAGTTAGTTCGTCTGACACTTCCGCAGTCAAACTAGCACACCATCATCATGATAGTAGTTCATCAACCCACCGCAGTCAAGGATCCTGACATGCTTCGATCCTCGCCTACAATCACACCAGGTCAAAGCAAGGTAAACGATATTGATAATCGGATCCATACCTCCCCCAAGTTCCCATCCAGCAAAGAACAACACCATGGAGCCCAATTTGAAATCGAACACGACGAAGAAGGGAATTGAATTTCGAAAGGGAACGAGGCGGGGCAGTGGCAGTGTGGCATTGGCAAGCACCAACACTCCAACAATAACAGATCTACGTAAAAAAGGAGCGATTGATGAATCGATGTATGTAATTTATAAACAGCTGGGAGTCAGAGCGCAGTATACAATATGTACTAGTACGAGTGAGAGTGGGGTTGATCTAGTACGGATTGAGCGTGCGTCGTGATGTGGCGTACAGTGTATGGCAAATAGGTGGCGTAGCGTGCCAAGAGAAGTGTGCCAGATAGGAGGGAGGAGGAGGAAAGGGAGGGAGGGAGGGAGAGTTGTTACTATACTGATAGTCGATCGTGAGCAATATCGATAATAAGTTCTGAGTCTGCAAGTCATACGATTTTGAAAAGAAGGGGGGAGAAAAGGAAAGGAAAGATAGCAAGGATATAACCAAAAACATGAGAAAAAAACACGCAAGCGTGAACACGGAGACAAGAAACAGTAAAGCAAAGCAAAACGTAGAAAAAAAAGAAAAAAAGACATTCAAACACCAGGCATGAACCCCATTAATCACAACAATTACCTCCCAAACCCGCTCCCGCTCCTCGGTCGTCCCCAATTCGCGGTAAGCCCACCAATGCCAACACCCCCGCCGGCACCAGCACCAGCACCAGCGTTCTGGCTCGTAACCCAGGTAGGCGCCGAATCACTCCTCGCCCGCTGTTGCTGTTGCTTCTTCTCACTACCGCTCCCCCCGACATCCATATCCAAATCCTGATCAAAACTCAAATTCATCTCCCCTTCAGCATCTTCTTCTCCACCCATCGAAGCGCCACTAAGTCCAGAAACAGATCCGCCCGCCATAGGAGAAACCATCGGAGACCCACCACCCATCGAAGACCCAACACTGCCCACACTAACAACACTCCCCGTCCTCCTCTGCCTCTTCTCCCTCCCTCCCTCTCGCATCCCGTGCGCGTCTACATCAGGAGTAGGCGTCAGGGTGATACTGGGCTGGCGGCCGTGTCCGTGCCGACCGAATGCGGAAAACTCGCTGGAGGTGGGAGATGGGGTTGATGTGTGCAGGGCGTATTGGGGGATGCTGAGCATTGGGACTGAGGGGTGATGGCTGTGCCCATGGCTTTGGCTGTGATGGGACGAGTGTGAATGGGAGGGTGAGTGTGAGTGTGAGGGCAATGGAGAGGGGGGAGATATGATGTAGATGTTGGGGCTGTGCTCGCTTGGAATTGGGCTTGGAGGGACTGGGGAGGGAGAGGGGCTTGGTGCGTTTAGGGCATTGAGCTCATGTATTAGCGTTGGCGATACTGTGTAATAGTAGTTAGTGATGAGTCGAAATGGGGAGGGAGGAACGGACCAGATCCAATTGCGTCACACAGCGTCCTTACGATTCCTGTCAATTTCTCCACTTTCCGTCGTTCGCGGCGCATCTCAGCACCCGCCCAATTCATCCACGCTTCGCTTCCTCCACCCATGCCCATACTGAGACCAGGCCCCATGACATTAAACGAAAACCCCTCATCGCTCCCATCATCATCCTCTTCATCTCCCCCAATATGTAATTTCGGGCCTGTCGTAGACGAGCTAGAAGATTGGGAGAGGGTGTTTGCGATGTGAGGAGGAACGCGTCCGCCTAGACGTGAGACCTCACGCCAGAGGGCCTTGTTCTCATCTCGCATGTCGTTTAGGAGACGAGCGACTTCGCCGGGGAGTTCGACGCTAGGGGTTAGATCAGTTTTAGTTCGGCGGGGATTGAGCGGGACTAACCGTCCACGTTCACGAGGATCAGGCTCGAGAGCTTTACGTTTGATGGCGTCTAAGAGATCTGGACGTGCGCGGAGGAATTTTGGGTGGCTGAATTCCCAAGTCTGGGATGTTGTTGATGTGCGTTGAGCGCGTGGGGTCTGTTTGATGAGATGTTGGATGGTGAAATGACTGGAGTGAAATACGTACTCTGTTGATTTTGTGAAAGCCGTACATGTTCAGTTGGCGCACAAAGCTTGAGAACTGTGGGGAGTGAGTAGATTAAATATTGGTGGAGAGGAGACAGACGTTATTGTGCTTGAAATGAGAGCCGAGGATGCTTCTGCTGAATTCGCCTATGTTTGAAACAACGAAACTAGAAAGAGTGAATAAGGAGGAAAGTGAAAGTGATAAAATACAACTTGCCTTGTTCCGAGTTCAGTCCAAGCGATGAAAGATTGACTCTTTGGATCGTTGATCATCCTGTAGATGTTGAATGATAGGTATAAAATACAAGATTGAACGCACTGATAAAGCTTTGTGACAAAGTTGTTCGTGCCCATTGGTTTACCGATGACGCCTAAACTAGGACCTGCTGTACTAGACTTTGCACCTTCGTCGTCGCTGTCGCCTTGATCTGCCATGGAATAAGGAGTTATGGCGTCAGGATCATCATAAGTTGCGTTGATATCGATCTGATTCGAAGGCTGTGAACTAGCCGGCGTGAGCGGACCTTGTGAAGAAGGTTCGCTTATCGAAGGCGGTGATGAAGCAGTTGTTGTTATGATTGGATGAGGGAGTATGTGTCCACCGTAAGAATGAGAGTGCGCGTGTGTATGATGAGTTGGAGGAGGAGCTGTATTTGTGAGACTTCGTTTACGTGGTACACTCTTTTCTACTGCTAGTTCGCTTGATGAAGTAGAATGAGAACCTGTACTTGGACGACGCTGTGCTAGTAAGAGGGAGGAGTCTTCTGTTGAATCAAAATTGAATTGAAAGGTAGGTGGTTGCGGACTGAGATGAGCTGGACTAAAATTTGAAGGAGATACTGGTGTTATTGGGGATACGCCAAGATTGGCTGGTGAAGTTACTGAGAGTGAACTGAGATTGAGCGTTAAATTACTGCTGGTCGGTCTTGAAGGTGATTGTTGGCTTGGAGTATAATAGTAAGCTGGCGTAGGTGAAGCTGGGGAAGAGAAACCAGAAGTAGTTGGTTGTGACCATTGTCTTGGTGATTGTTGCTGGTTTGAATAATCGTAGTCCATAGTTAAGTCCAAAGTTCACTTCGAAATCACCGCTTTTCATTGCCAGGAATCTGAATTATGTCATCAAACGTGCTCACCTCATGTACCCATACACTGCATATCGGCGTTTTACCCGAACCGGTTCACTCACAAACCTCGAAGAAGCCTCACCCTTGACTTCAGCGTCAATGTCCTCTTATCCCCATATGTACAACTATTCGTCTAGGGAAAGGCGGTGACACCTCTTTCCAATCGAAAAGTCACTGACGTCGGCAACTAACCGCCAGCCAGTCATGCATGTCTATCTCCTACCCGCAGAAATTTTACTCGACATATTCACTCGTATTTCACTTCCTCAACTTACTGTTCTTGCAAGGACATGTAGGAAATTCAAGGAGCCTGCCCTTGATATTCTTTGGAAATACATATATGGGTTCAAACCACTCATCTCATGCCTGCCTGAAGGCGTCAATAACGCAGGAAACTTGGTGAGAAAAAAATACTTCAACTTATCCGCATGATATTAAATTTCAAATAGACGCTCCAAAGACCTCTCCTAGCTGGAGAATGGGGGCTAATCCATCAATATGCACGACGTGTCCACTCCTTTACGGTCAACAGGTCTGAGCTAGACAATCATGTCATGCAAGCGCTCATGTCTACCCCATCACCCACATCCCTCTTCCCAAACCTTCGTATATTGTGTTGGTGTGACGACCGAGAACACTTCTTTCCACTCTTGCGCACCATCCTTGGGTCAACTATCACATCAATCTGGCTGGGCTTTCTATCAACATCCTCGTTTGCCCAACTTGCGTTGTTAGCTTCCCTCGGAGGTCGATGTCCATCCATTCGGGAGCTCACCTTGTGTGTCAGTGATTTTGGAGAAAGTTCGGATGCAATTTGTAAGGCTCTGTCTGGCTTGCGGGAGCTTTCCCGTCTTGACACAGGGAAACTGAGTCGGCGAGAGTTTCTTCGCTTGGCTTCTTTACCGGCCCTCAAGTCTCTGAGCTTCACACTGGGGATAAACGACACCCACGAAATGCAATCTGACTTCACTCCAACAATTTTACCCCAACTCGATCAACTACAGTTCATTGTATTGATGCAATACATTGTCGTTGCCGGACACTTTCTCGGAAGCGTCCGTCTTCCTTCCTGTCGATCAGTGAGGGTGCGCATCGATTCTGATGCCTTAAGCTATGATTCAGAGGTCCTGTGCAATCCACTGCATATCCCCAACCTCATCGTCTCCCTCTCGGAGTGCCTCTCTCCTGCTCTTGAGGAACTTCACGTCGAGTTTCATCTCGCCCTCAACTATATTGACAGAGAAGACATAATCGCCAGTCGCAGCTATGTGCTTGGCTTTAACGCGATCGCCCCGTTGCTGCCATTTAATCGCTTGACAGACTTACAGCTCGATTGGATATGTACTTCGGGCATTAATGATGTCTCGCTCAAGACACTCGCGCAATCCTGGCCTCAGCTCGAGCGGTTCTACTTTGGAGGTACAGCTTGTTGGACAGTCCTGCCATCTATGACCTTCACAGCACTCGTCCACCTCATCCAACATTGCCCGCGCTTGCACACCGTTCAAATGTCCTTTTGCGCAACTCCAGTTGACTACGATGATGACCCATTCTTTTTTGAAACCATTCCCAATGAGAAGATCACTACGCTTTCTGTGGGGATGTCTCCGATCAGCGATCCCTGCGCCGTGGCCTATATATTCCTTAGATTGCTACCCAAGTTGGAACGTGTTAGATGGCTCAATAACGGCACACCCGCGCCACCGCCATTTGAACATCTTGAGGATAGATGGAATGCTGTGAATGAGATCCTGGCGGCCGCGAACTGAAATGATGGACCCTGGACATATTATGGATATGTGTTGCGAAGTATTCCGAAGCAGCGGATCTGGGCGGGGGGAGGCTATAGCGCATCCTTACAATTTGTAGACATTAGCTGGCATCTATTGTAAGCAATATTTTGGGCATCTGAGTGTGGTGCTGATCCCGACTCCGAGCTATGGATGTTGCTGTACCCAGGGTGGAGCTCAGATGGGGTTCGCACATGTAGCCATGTTGGTGGTATACATCCTCATGCACCGCGAACATCAGTTCTGGAACAGAACTTGTACCACTTATTATGGGGTGAATCCAGCGAGGATCGCAGAGCCTGTCGCGAGCTAATTGATCCGATCTCTACAAATCTGATATCTGATATCTGACCCGCTGTCTGCAGTCGGAATCCACTCACCACGTGCGATTTCCGACGGTGGTTACACAAGTTCATCTGAGCCAGCTTCTGATATGGCGATGATTCTGGGTTTGTTGCCGATAATACTGGTAACATAGTCGTGGACCTGGTAGCGCCCCACTTGAAGGATAATTCAAGCTATCATTTCATGCATTACGCCTCAGAGACTAGCGATTGATTGGCTATTACGGGCGCACTCATGCTGATCGTGAAAGCGGCAGTCCACCATGACCTGCTCTCAGGCAGTGTTAAAGTCCAAGTTTGACTTTAACACTGCCTGAGAGCGACTGTTCTCCAAAGCTTCCGAGACATGCGGAGATGTCACAGTAGCGGCGACCTAGCTAGCTATTGAATGAATGTGCCTCTTAGCACGAGTGAGTGTACTGCCAAGCCTCGAAGAAGCCTCACCTAGGCTTCAAGTTGACCTTGGTCCTTCAGCGTCAACATCTTATTACATACTCTTATCCCCATATGTAAAACTCAGGCTATTCGTCTAGAAACCGTCCAGGGAAAGGCGGCATGTTGAACTCACACATCCTTCCAATCGAAAAGTCACAGTACTAGTGTCGGCAACTATCCGCCAACTTCGAGTGCTTTCTCTTGCCGTTATGCATGTCTGTCTCCTACCCACAGAAATTTTATTCCACATATTCACTATCCGCAACAATGAGAGTTTCAGAGATTTTTTAGTTCAACTTGCTGTTCTTGCAAGGACCTGTAGGAAATTCAAGGAGCCTGCCCTTGATATTCTTTGGAAAGACATAATCGGGTTTAAGCCACTCATCTTGTGCCTGCCTGAAGGCGTGGTTAACACAGACAGGAGGGGAAACTTGGTCAGTGAAATGCCTGAACCTACTTGCATGATATTGAATACTCGAAATTTTCAAACAGACGCTCCAAAGGCCTTTCCTAGCTGGAGAATGGAACCTGATTGATCAATATGCACCACGTGTTCACTCCTTTACGGTCACCAGCCGTCAGTTAGGCATGATAGACAATCATTTCATGCAAATGCTCATGTCTGCCCCATCACCCATGTCCCTCTTCCCAAACCTTCGTGATTTGTATTGGTATGACAACCGAGAACGCTTCTTTCCGCTCTTGCGCACTTTCCTCGGGTCAACGATCACATTAATGAAGCTGGGCTTTGCATCAGAATCCCCCTCGTCTGCCCAACCTGCGTTGTTAGCTTCCCTCGCAAGTCGATGTCCATCCATTCGGGAACTCACCTTATGTGTTGGTCATTCTGCAGAAAGTTTAGATGCAACCTGTCAAGCTCTATCTGGCTTGCGGGAGCTTTGCCATCTTTACACAGGGGTCCTCAGTCGACGAGAGTTTCCTTCGCCTGGCTTCTTTACCGTCCCTTAAGTTTCTGAGCTTCACACTGGGGATGTACGACACCCACGAAATGCAATCTGACTTCACTCCAACAATTTCCTCCCAACTCAATCATGTGCAGCTCACTGTATTGATGAACGTCCATCGCCGTCGCTGAACACTTTCTTAGAAGCGTCCGTCTTCCCTCCTGTCGATCAGCGGTGGTGTCCATCAATCATGATAACTTAAGCTATGATCCAGAGGCCCTATATAATCCACTGCATATCCCCAACCTCGTCATCTCCCTCTCCGAGTGCCTCTCTCCTGCTCTTGAGGACACTTCACATCGACTTTGACCTCGACTTATATATATCCGAGGAGATATCGCTAGTCGCAGCTATGGGCTTGGCTTCAAAGCGGTTGCCCCGTTGCTGCCCTTTAATCGCTTGAAATATTTGCGGCTCGAGTGCATTTGTACTTCGGCCATTAACGACGCCTCACTCAAGACACTCGTACAATCCTGGCCTCAGCTCGAGTGTTTCTACTTTGGAGGTACAGCTGGTTGGCTAGTCCCGCCATCTATGACCTTCACATCAGTCGTCCACCTCATCCAACATTGCCCGCGCTTGCACACTGTTCAAATGACCTTTTGCGCAACTCCGGTCGACTACGACAACGATCCGTTCTTTTTTAAAACCGTTCCCAATGAAAAGATCACTACCCTTTCTGTGGGGATGTCTCCGATCAGCGATCCCTGCGCCATGGGCTCTATACTGCTTCGATTGCTGCCCAAGTTGGGGCATGTTGATTTCTTCGGCTGGTCTAATGATGACACACCCGTGCCACCGCCATTTCAAGTTGAACATCTCGAGGATGGATGGGATGTTGTAAATGAGATCCTGGCGGATAATGATCACCGCGAATTGAAATAACGGACTCTGGACATATTGTGGATATGTGCTGCAAAGCATATATTTGGGGCGAGCGCGCTAGACAAAGGCTGGGATGGAGGAGCGGATCTGGGTAGGCTACAGCGCGTCCTTATAGATTGTAAACAATATCCTAGGCGTCGTGTGTTTCCAACCTAGATCTGAGTGTGGCGCTGATCCCGATCCCGAGCTATGGATGTTGCTTTACCCGGGGTGGAGCTCAGATGAAGTTCGCAATGTAAACTACGTCGTCTTTTGTTTGACGTAGTCAGAACAAAAACGTAAGGGGAAAGGCCGGCATTAAATTCTGAAGTGAGTCACTGACTCATACATCATGATCCTGGCAAGTCAGAGCAATATTTTAAGCACCGCCAACTTTGAGTGCTTTTTCTTGCAGTCATGCATGTCTGTCTCCTGCCCACAGAACTTTTACTTAGCATATTCACTATCGACATCCCAGAGGGCAACGATTGGCATAGCTCCTGTTTCGCGTGCTCAACTTGCTGTTCTTGCAAGGACATGTAGGAAATTCAAGGAGCCTGCCCTTGATATTCTTTGGGGACGCATATGTGGGTTTAAGCCACTCATTTCATGCCTGCCTGAAGGCGTCAGTAACAGAGACAGAGGAAAGTTGGTGAGAAAAATGCCTGAACCCACCCGCATGATATTGAATACTCAAAACAACCAAATAGACGCTCCAAAGGCCTCTCCTAGCTGGAGAATGGAGGCTGATCCATCAATTTGCACGACGTGTCCACTCCTTTACGGTCAACAGGTCTGAGCTAGACATAATAGACAACCATGTCGTGCAAGCGCTCATGACTGCCCCATCACCCACATCCCTCTTCCCAAATCTTCGTAGATTGCGTTGGTATGATGACCGAGAACACTTCTTTCCGCTCTTGCGCACCCTCCTTAGGTCAACTATCACAGCCATCCGGGCGGACTTTAGATTAGCATCCCCCACGTTTGCCCGGTCTGCGTTGTTTGCTTCCCTTGGAAGTCTATGTCCATCCATTCGGGAACTTGCCTTATGTATCGGTGATTCTGCGGAAAGTTCAGATGCAATTTGTAAAGCCCTATCTGGCTTGCGGGAGCTTTCCCATCTTAAAACAAGCGCCCTCGGTCGCCGAGAGTTTCTTCACTTGGCTTCTCTACCGTCCCTCAAGTCTCTGTACTTCAGGCCGGAGATGGACAATACCCACGAAGTGCAATCCAACTCCACTCCAATTTTCTCCCAACTCAATTAAGTGAACCTTACTGCATCGTCACCATCCGTTGTTGAACACTTTCTCAGAAGCGTCCTTCTCCCCTCCTGTCGATCAGCGAAGGTGTATCTGGATTATGATGATATATGCTATAATCCAGACGTCCTGTACAATCTACTGCATATCCCCGGCCTCATCGTCTCCCTCTCGGAGTGCCTCTCTCCTACTCTTGAGATACTTCACGTCGAGTTTAAGGACGACCTCAGATATGTCAAAGAAGACTTTGCTAGTCGAAGCGATATGTTTGGCTTTGACGCAGTTGCCCCGTTGCTGCCATTTAATCGTTTGAAAGACTTAGTGCTCGAGTGCATTTGTACTTCGGACATTAACGACGCCTCGTTCAGGACACTCGTGCAATCCTGGCCTCAGCTCGAGCGGTTCTACTTTGGAGGTGGAACTCTTTCGCTAGTCCCGCCATCTATGACCTTCACAGCACTCGTCCACCTCATCCAACATTGCCCGTGCTTGCACACCGTTTAAATGTCCTTTAGCGCAACTCCAGTCGACTACGACGATGATCCATCCTTTTTTGAAACCATTCCCAACGAGAAGATCACTACCCTTTCTGTGGGGATGTCTCTGATCAGCGATCCCTTCGTCGTGGTCCTACATACTGCTTAGATTGCTGCCCAAGTTGACACATGTTGGTTTCCTCGGCTGGTTTAATGATTACGCGCGCGCGCGCGTACCACCGCCATTTGAAAAATTTGGGGAGGGATGGATTGTTGTGAATGAGATCCTGAAGACTGAAACCCAGCGCAGATTAAAATGACGGATCCTGGGCATATTGTGGATATGTGCTGCGAAGTACATATCCGGGGCGAGCACGTTCGATGGAGGGTGAGATGGAACTGCGCAGCGGATCTAGGTGGGGGGAGACTGTAGCGCGTCCTTAGAATTTGTAGATATTAACTGGCGTTGATTGTAAGCAATATCTCGGGCATCATGTGTTTCCAACCTAGATCTGAGTGTGGCGCTGATCCCGACTCCGAACTATGGATGTCGCTCTACCCGGGGTGGAGCTCAGATGGAGATCGCACATGTAGCCGTGTCGGTGGTATACATGCTCGTGCACCACGAACATTAGTTCTGGATTGGCGAGTGCCACCCATTACGAGGTGAATCCAGCAAGGATCGAAGTATTGATCATACATGTCTCTACAAATCTGATATTTGACTGTTGTCTGCAGTTGGAATCCACTCCGAGCCATGTACAATTTCCAATGGTGGTTGAACAGCTTCTGGTACGGCAATGATTCTGCTGTCCATAATAATATTAGTACATAGGCCACCTCGTCACGGGGGCCGTAGACTTGGTAGCGCCCCACTTGAGGAAACCTATCATCTCATGCGTTACGCCTGAGGCCTGAGAGACTAGCGATCGATTAGCTATTAGTATTATGCGCGCACTCATGCTGATCGTGAAAAGCAGTATTCCACCTACTCTTAATTAGGCAGCTTTAAAGTTGACCGAAGTTTCCGAGACTCGGATGCGGGCCTAGCTACAATGAATGTAACTAAGAGTTTGGCACGAGTGTGTGTACTGCCCAAACCTCGAAGAAGCCTTGCAGCGTATAGTACTAATGACTCGGACGCACAATTTGTCCCCATCATTGTTTTGCTACTAGACTCATGACTACTTATAGTCTTTGTTCAGATAAGGGGGAAAGTAACATTTAAAATTTTTAAGCACCGCCAAATCCGGGTCTCTTCAAGTCTTGCAGTCATGCATGTCTATCTCCTACCCACAGAAATTTTAATCTACATATTCACTGTCAACGACGACGAAGAGAGCTACAATCGCAGACCTTTTTTTGCTCAACTTGCTGTTCTTGCAAGGACCTGTAGGAAGTTCAAAGAGCCTGCCCTTGATATTCTTTGGAAACACGTATATGGGTTCAAGCCGCTCATCTCATGCCTGCCTGAAGGCGTCAGTTACATAGACATGGCAGGAAACTTGGTGAGAAAATACTTCGACTTGACCGCATGATATTAAATTTCAAATAGACGCTCCGAAGGCCTTTCCTAGCTGGAGAATGGAGACTGATCCATCAATATGCACGACGTGTCCACTCCTTTGCGGTCAACAGCTCTCAGCTAGACATGATAGACAATCATGTCATGCAAGCACTCATGTCTGCCCCATCATCCACATCCCTCTTTCCAAATCTTCGTAGATTGCGTTGGTCTGATGACCGAGAACACTTCTTTCCGCTCTTGCGCTACCCTCCTTGGGTCAACTATCACATCAATCCGGGTGGGCTTTACATCTACACTTCCCTCGTTTGCCCAATCTGCGTTGTTAGCTTCCCTCGGAGGTCGATGTCCATCCATTCGGGAACTCGACTGTGAATGTGTCGGTGACTCTCCAGAAAGTTCAGATGCAATTTGTAAAGCTCTGTCTGGCTTGCGGGAGCTTTGCCGTCTTGAAACAGGGACCCTCGGTCCACGAGAGTTTCTTTCGTCTGGCTTATTTACCATCCCTCAAGTCTCTGTACTTCAGACTGAGGACGTACGACACCCACGAAATGCAATCCAACTTCACCCCAACAATTTCCCCCAAACTCAACGAAGTAGACCTCACTGCATCGTCACAGTCCGTCGTCGAACACTTTCTCAGAAATGTCCCTCTTCCCTCCTGTCGATCAGCGAAGGTGTACATCGATTACGATGATTTGGACGATGAGCCCGAGGTCCCATATGATCCACTGCATATTCCCGACTTCGTTGTCTCCCTCTCGGAGTGCTTCTCTCCTGCTCTTGAGAAACTTCACGTCGAGTTTGAGTTCGATTTCAGCACCTATATCGGAGAAGGCATAATTGCCAATCGCAGCTATGTGCTTGGCTTTAACGCGGTTGCCCCGTTGATGCCCTTTCATCGGTTGACAGACTTACGGCTCGATTGGATGTGTACTTCGGCCATTAACGACGCCTCGTTCAAGACACTCGTGCAATCCTGGCCTCAGCTCGAGCAGTTCCACTTTGGAGGTGCAGCTTATTGGCTGGTCCCGCCGTCTATGACCTTCACGGCATTCGTCCACCTCATCCGACATTGCCCGCGCTTGCACACCGTTCAAATGTCCTTTTGTGCAACTCCGGTCGACTATGCCAACGATCCGTTCTTTTTTGAAACCATTCCCAATGAGAAGATCATTACGCTTTCTGTGGGGATGTCTCCGATCAGCGATCCCTGCGCCGTGGGCTATATACTGCTTAGATTGCTGCCCAAGTTGGGAGATGTTGATTTCCTCGGCTGGCTTGATGATGACATACCCGTGCAACCGCCATTTGAACATCTTGAGGACGGATGGAATGCTGTGAATGAGATCCTAGCGGCTAATAACCAGCGCAGATTGAAATAACGGACTCGGGACATATTGTGGATATGTGTCGTGAAGTGTATATCACGGGCGAGTGCGTTCGAAGCAGCGGATCTGGGTGGGGAGGCTACAGCACGTCCTTACAATTTGTAGATATTAGCTGGCATCGATTGCAAGAAAAGCAATATCTTGGGCATCATGTGTTTCCAATCTAGATCCGAGCGTGGCGCTGATACCGACTCCGAGTTATAGATGTTGTTCTACCTGGGGTGGAGCTCAGATGGAGTTTGCACATATAGCAAGCAGTGTCGGCGGTATACACCACGAACATCGGCGCTCAGCCCTGGAACAGGATTTACAATGGGTTGGCGAGTGTCACTCATTACGGGGTAATCCAGCGAGGATCGAACAGGTCACAAGTGATAACTTTCAATTGATCTGATCGTACATGTCTCTACAAATCTGATATTTGACCTGCTGTATGTAGTCGGAATCCACTCAACATGTATGATTTCCAACGGTGGTTAGATTCATCTGAACCAGCTCCTGGTATGGCGATGATTCCGAGCATGCTGCTGATAATATTAGTACATAGTCGTGGACCTGGTAGCGCCCCGCTTAAAGATAACTCAACCTATCATCTCATGCGAGTTCAACGCCTCAGAGACTAGCGATCGATTGGCTATTACGCGCGCAGTCGTGCTGATCGTGAAAAGCGGCAATCTACCTGCTCTCAGGCAGCGTCACGGTTAAAGTTGTTCTCCAAAGCTTCCGAGGACCAAGACGCGTGCAAATGTCACAGTAGCCCAACTACACCGAGTTAACGTTTAACAGGAGTGAGTGTACTGGTACGCACCCATGATAGTGTGAAAACTGCCGGTTACTGGTAGCATGAGCACGATTCGGACGACATGTCTTATATCCTTCCGAGTCTGAATGTCTGCCAAGGATCGTCGATTAGCTTGTATTATAGTTCTCGTATGATAGGAAGATATGAGGTCCTTCATGAGAGAAAACGACAGGACTGATGGGGCACTGCCGAGAATTTGGTTGCTGCTCGAAAAGGTGAAAGGCATGAATCGTAGTGTGCTTCAGCCTTCAGAAGTCCACTGTGACCGGGAGCCTGAGGCTATAGTTGCAGCCGTACCGCTGCAAATCCAATACACTATTTCGAACTCCCCGGAGACTTGTATTTGACACCATTATATTGGTTGATAAGAAACTGATGTACTTGTCGAGGAGGACTTGAGGTTGCCAGTGAGATCCGAGACTTGGAGAAGCTCACCACCAAAACAACTCAAAACAACTGGTTTTGCGGATTGACTGACTTCGACTCGAGCAGCTCGCACTTGATTGATTACCTGATCAACTCGAGTCGACGGACCCCTCAGACTTCCAATCACGTATATTTGAGTTGCCTGATACCATGTTACTCTCGCGCTTGGGTTTGAGGTTCACGTGGTCACAACTATGGGCCCTAGCAACTTACCCTCAACTTGAACGTTCTGAACTTTGACCGGCTGTCGGACCTCTGAGCTCTCCCGGAGCTGGGCCGGTGTGGGAGCTTGCTCAAGTCCTTGAAACTACCTTTTTGAGCTTAAGGATCTGCGCCGTGTGTTCGAACACTATGCCACGGCAACCATACTGGACGCCATCATAGTGGTATATCCAGCACCCTTGATGTTATATGGCTCCATCCAACCGAACCAAACCATTTTACATCTACCAAGTTCACCATTCACTCGAATATGAGCCTAGTCTCGGACGATCCCAGACTCCAGCTGGTGGCCGACGATAAATTCGAATATGTTTTACAGCTACTTTATAGGTTCGTAGAGATTCAGTCGATGATGTTGGTGATGTCTCTGTCGATCTACTAACTATGGCTTTGCAATTGCTTCCTCTACCGGGGTGATATACGATTGGGGTGAGGGAAGGCGGTCCTAAAGAATTACTGATATTTTCAGCACTGACATTCGGACAAGAGGTAGGTCGATGCGGTCATCGGAACAGCCATCTCGCTAACAATGGTGTTATAGAGCGAGCAGACCAGAACGGCAACATAATGATGTAACTGATCCCAGGGAGAGGCGACGCTGATCCCCCAGGACTATCTCAGTGTGCATAGCTTGTATTATAGTGCAGTCAGCAACTCGTGCTGACTTCCAAATATCATAGGTGGAATAGTACACGCTGGGTATGTTAGCAAGGCCAAAAAAAGATTGTGCGGTGCTAATAACCACCTCTCACCATCAGCATCAACATGCCGAGTAAGCTTACTCATGTACAATGCGCATATTCCTTCTGACGGGCGGCATATGGGCGGTCTTCCATCACTCTCAGTGACAGAAATAGTGCGTTTTCTGCATGCCTACCATTCAAGTCCAATTAACTGCACCCCTACTAGTACATAGTAAGGGGTAAGTCAGATTCATTACTATCTTGTTGGGGTAATATGACACCTGCAGCAGCTGTGAGTTTGTTTGTTTAGAGTTTGATCCTCTAAGGCTCATCACTGAATGGCTTTCCAGGCAAACATATATTCTACATTATAATTTCGATGCAAATGTTCGCATCTCTCATGCTGGACGGTGAGCTACCAGCTGCAAATCAGCGCTGATGTTGACTTGACTGAAACGTGACGCAAGTTATCGTGACGTTCGGTTATATGCCATGCGTCAGCAATCTAGAAAGATACTGATTTTTTTCGTTGTCATTTTCCTGGTCGTCAACATTCCCTGCGGAGTGATGGCCGGAATATATACAACACACTATGTTTCAGGAGGCAAACTTGAACTACGGACAAGATTCAAGTGTATCACGCTCATTGGAAGATGCCAGAAGAACTTGTCCTCTCTGGCACCTATCAGTGCCCTTACAAGGGAATATCCGCTCTTTTAATGCCATTGGTTGGGTACTCAACACTGTGTGGGAGGCTATCGCGCTGTATCTTACTGTGTGGATTGCTGTGAAACATTTGTGTGCGCTGCGACAATTCGGATCATCGAAAGGACGTACCGTCGGGAACTGTTTCACGGTGTTGATACTACAAACGCACGTGTTATACTTTGCAAGGTGAGCTCGTATTTTCAATGTACTTATCCTTTCCCACTGAGGCTATGCACTCGCTAACTTTGCTGCTGCTTCTTGCCTCAAAACCTCAGTATCCTCTCTCCAAACATCTCGGTACGTCAGTCTGTCATGATATCTGTTTGAAACCATTGTTCATCATTTCCTTCTATAGAACTCAAGTGTCATGGAGAGTCAGATTTATCGTGGTATTCTTGAAATTGTCAAGGTCATATATTTATTTGTGCTGGGACCATGCCTCCGATCATCCTTTAACGTTCGAGAGTATCACGCTAAGCTCATATCCGATTCAGATGCAGGGACCGGCCTGACTACGATTGCTTTCCACGAGTGCATCCGTGTGTCGACTGGCAGTGCTGTATAGCACAACACATGCTCCCAGTCATTAGCGCTTGCCGGGGTTATGCAAGGAACGGGAGAATTTGTCTAGACTATCCGACAGTATAGGTTATAGTATATCCAAGATCAAGTAATTTCAACATGCATCTACATATAACATCTGCTCGGCTTAATTATGCTACCTCCAGGAGTCTATGCTGTGCTTCACAGAAGTCCACGGGGATGGACATGTAGCCGGTAGTACCCGGCGCCCGCCGCAAATTCCACGGGTTATTTTCCTGGATTCTCATTGATTTTTGTACATACATGACATAAGTATGAGATGCTGAGAAAGGTTACTCTTTCCCCTAATACGAAATGCGCACCCCAAGAAATAATATAACGCCTTCCGAAAAAGAGTTCCGGACGCCCTCTGGAGTGCTCAGTGCATCCATAATAATATTAATAATATTAAACGCTTATTAAGTAAGCCTGTTGCGACGTGTTTGCGGGAGAACTCCCCTCAAGTTCGTCGACAAAGAGCTCTCATTTTAGCCAAGGACCCTAGTTCAACCAATCGTATGAATGTTATTAGCGCTCTGCAGGTCATACATGTTAAACTGAAACAACGACAGCCTACGGCAGCATGGACAACTCACCCCTTCTGCCACGACCGATACACATAGACTCGTCGAAACTGCAGAAAGGGCAACGCGGAGGAGACAAAGTACCAGTTGATGACATCCATAAAAACAGAGTAACTTATTTGATAACGTGCCACGCCTCGAACTTACCACTGTCCAGACGCCAGTGGTACTACCCTCGTGGACGATTCAAAGAAAAGTGCGTCTTGGCAGCGTGCATTCTCCTGCTGACTCACTCTTTGCCAGATTTCAAGGCTTGAGGGAACGCTTTGATCAAGTCGTAGGGGTACGTATCTTAACCGAAGCACTCTTGACGCAACACGTTCAACCCCGCTAGTTACACGAGGAGCTCGAGAGAGATCTTGAGCTTGCAAATGCACGCATACGGAAGCTTCAAGCTGAGAACGAGTGCGCACACTCTTGCTTTTCGGCCTGCGTTACTGATATGCTTGCTTGTTTTAAGCTTGCTTCTTGACGCTATCAATCTCACAGTGCCAGCAACACCTTCCCTCATGCATCTTACGCGTCCCTCACCGACACTATATTCACACTCTGTTGCACCTCCAGCGGCGCCGCCTCCACCTCACCACATAAATGGGCACAGTGTTCCTCATGCTAATGGGAGGTATCGCCCAGTAGATGTACGCTCACAAGTTATCCCTCATCATCGTCATCTCTGATCTTTCTTTCGATAGCCACATGATATCACAACTTCGGAGCGGGATCGTGATCGTGATTACCGAGATATTCCTCCTGAAACCACAGCGAACGGACGCTTGTGAATACGAGCCAAATGCGTGACCTTCGATCAGAACCTGTTCGCAAGCCCAACATTTTGTTGCGCTCGTCTTCGTGCGTTTTTACCTCGCTATTATTGCAACTTGTACCTTTATATGCCAAACATATGATTCACTCTGATTGGCTAACAAAGTCTGCCGGGTCTCGATCTCCCCTTATTTGGAACATAATGCTTCCTGCCGGTACAGGAATAAGACCTAATATATTACTTATTCGCCTCCAACTCGATCAAGTGCTCCCATTCAGTGAGCCATTAATGCCATTGTGCGTACCGTACGCACTTGATGGATCCATGGTGAACTTTGATAGCTGTGTATATTTTCACACCAACAAAGCTACCGCTGTCATCAACGTTCAACGTTGGCTCATAATATGCAACGACGTGTATAGCCCGACGCACCTCATGACAAAGTTACATTTGTGGGCATAAGGGCAGCCCGACGGAATCAGTGCACTGACCAGCCTCCGCCCTTGTCACACCTAGAGGGTAAATCAAGCTTGGTACGTTCCGTAAACATAGAAGTCTTGCTGAACTTTCTGCCGTCCTAAGCCTCCCTCAAGACCGATATAATATTGGTGTATAGGCGTTAACAAGCGCCTAATCCGGAGTTGACGCCAGCCGATAAGACTTAATTCTAAATTTTTGGGCCATGAATACGCCGAACGAGATTAAAAACGTTACCCGCCAGGGCAGCATACAAATGAATGATTAAACTTCTAGCCGAGACGTTATAGCCCCTTTGTCGGTCGTGGATCCGGAAAACGGGTATTTCCAGATAGCTGGCTATTGTTAACAGTGGGTCGTAATGATATCTCATGCCATTCTCATAGCCCTGCGGAGCACCGCCTACCACGGTTTCACGAGGCGAAGCAATTCTGCCCCTTATAAGTTTCGTATGTCGGTGATCAGTGGCATTATCCATTTGATATACAGCGTCATGTCGGAACGACATAGTGTCGCTGACGTCCACTGGAATAGCGATATTTCCGGTTTGTCGGTGTCAGAACTAGATGCTGCTGTCTATGGCGTCCGCTGGAATGACTATATCTCCTGTTCGTCAGCTCCTTTTAAATGATCTGTGATGGAACTATCATACTGAACGTTGAATCCAGTGGCGACGATTACCCTGATATCCTATGAATACCGTGAGTAGCCTTCGAGATCCTTGTACTTTTGCTGAGTGAAAGATTATCTAGTCCTTCTCTTGGACAAAGAGGTAATAAAGAACCTCTTTTATGACGGTCGAATACTTACGGCTATGATCGGTGTAGATCACGTACGTCTGGGTCAGTGTCCAACACCAAATCTACACAATGATACTAGCCTGGAGGCTGACTAGATCTCTAGAAACGGCCGTGGTCACCAATGACATTCCTTTACCTCATCGTGAGTTTCGCGCTGCCAGGGTGCTTCATGATTTTTTATTTTCTTCCATGCTAGGTCCGATATCTTGGACTTTTCCTTGCACTGTACGTCGTTAAATTTGATTGTGTCCTTCAAACGGTGCATAGTATGTTGACGTCGACCCTAGGCTTTGGGGTTTTTGTGTGTAATGCTATGCCAACTGAATCATCATTTGCTGACCAGCTCTATAGGGGGAGGACTGTTGTATATGCCTGAACCAGTGAGTGTAGCGATACTTTCTGTCTTAACAGAGTTTGGGTTGACCCATGTTTCAGCTGTACGTCTCTATTTTGATTGAAACCCCAGTTCCAACAATTGTCGATTTCTCATCTATCTAGCTGCGAGTATACCATTTTCAGCCTGAACTGTCTTCGCTCATCATGAAAACAAAATAGGCCGCGATCTTGTCATTTTTATGGAATGGGGCTATTCCGCATATATTTTGACTGCACAAAGTAAGTGATGCATTTGCTCAGCACATTGCGCCCACCGAACTTGCATCTACAGTCATTCTCATCTGGCGTCTTTATGCGCTATACAACCGTTCGAAGCTCCTACTTCGGGTCCTACTGGGGTTATTCTTCCCCATCGTCGCTGTCTCAATAGGAACAGATGTCTTTTTATACAGTCGATCTAGCGTGTTCTCGGGTAGGTACATGTTTAATTGATATTAACTGTGACCTGATCCATGTCTCGTTGCAGTGGAAGAAGTAATAACTCCGAACGTCCAGTACTGCACGTTTTTTTTCGAGATAGGGCCTAAGGATGCGATCTATTGGGCTATCCCCATGGTGTGCTTTGATATCGTCCTAGTTATTCTCGCGGCTGCCAGACTCGCAAAACACACCGAAGAGCGGAAGAAGATGAAAGTGAGGCCTAATGCATCTATATCGATGATTGTTCGACTTCATATTATGTGCTTCGTGCTGCAAGTCCCACTTTCCTTGATCTAGTGTGTTCTGAAAGTATTAATCGAATCTTGATAGGAACTTGCTGAGCCAAATATTTCTGGTGATGATGTGGGCTCAGATCTCTGTATGATATTTCTGAACATCCTGCAGAAATCCGCTCATGCCACCTTTAATATATTCACAGGTCCAAGTGATGAATCTCGCAGAGCTCTTCAACTCTGTCGTGCCATATGTTGTCGCGCCGCGTTTCATCATCAGCATCTGGGATACGCATGCCTATGACAAGTGCGTATATGTCAGTAAGGCATTCGAGGATTGTGGCTGTTGGACTTCGCAGCGGATGGCATTCGAGGAGCATGAAATGTATTCTGAGATAGAATCTGAGACGGGAGGTTCTTGCATCGCATGATTTTGGCGTACTGCTTGCGGGCGAGTGGTGGCGGAATCAACTTCGGACGAGCTCTATGACGAGATTTTAATTGGGCAAGCGTAGGACTAAAAGTATCGAACAAAGAAGATACTACAGTAGTAGGTTTAGTACTAGTCAAGATATCATTATATGAATATGTAGCGAAGCATATCGAGGGTACAGTGATCAATAAAAATGCCAGTCCTCTTGAAACTTTGCAAGGTCTGATTCTGGTGGAATCAACCTTGAAATATGATGATGCCGTGCTTTAATGTTGGGACAGTAAACTTATCGCCAGTGCTCGAGTTCATCATATTAGTGTATAACACGTCTACGACGTGTTTATTAGCTCCCTCAAAGCGACATTAAATGATATCGACAGTCGGGCAACCGATCCAGTATTGGGAAAAATTAGATTAGATCTGCCTAGGGGAGACTATTAGATACAGCAGTCGACGATGAGAACAAAAATTAGTACTTAGCACACATAAAAATGTCGGCGTCGATATATAAGAACACGGGTGTTGCGGGTAATATATCATTATCAAATTGAAATGCAATCGATAGTCGTATATCATCTTCACTAGGATTCCAGGAATCTGCAGGATTCATCGCCGACGACGTACTTAACTGGACACAGAGAGAAGAGTGCGAATGGCGGATGGCACGCATGAACTGGATGCCGAAACCAGATCCACCAGGATGCATGTCCATAGCCACAAACAGATCAGAAACGTCTCGATGGCCTTCGACATCTATGAGACTTAAAGAGCTCTTGGCATCGATTCGCGACAGGAAGGACTAGTTGCTTGAAGAGCGACACGTCCGCGTCATCTCCGATCGAGGGATCACCTAGCGCTATGCTTTTCAACCGAGGGAGTGGCACTTTCTCGAGGAGCTTCGTTTCTATAAGAAGCCGCTCACGCGCAAGGTGCTCCAAAGTAGGCGTACGTCATAGAGTTGACGGGAGCTAAGACAAGGTAGGAAAGGATTCCAACCCTGGTTATCTGATAGATAGAATCCAAAGCCCGCTGAAAACATGAGCTATCCGGTTTATTTTAAAACTCGTAAGCTCAATACTCCGAAGTCGAGGCGCTTGTCCTTGAAAGGTGGTGTTTCATGAGCCTCGTTATGGGAGCGCCGAGCGTCGAGCGATCTGATCGGCTTGGAGAATTCGAAGGTTTCAAGTAATAGTGCAGGTTGCGATGATAACGCGTTCAGAATCCGCTTGTAAGTTGTAACGCGCGAAATTGGAGAAATTTTGATTCGCGATAGGTGCGAGAGGATTGGCTCCAAGCAATCAAGTAGCGGGATCGGTGACTTGTATATGATGAATAATGGAAGGAAGGTTCTTTGACCTCTCAAGCATGATGGCTAGCCAACGACGAGAGGAAGAACGGATGGATGTCCAACTCGTGAGCGACTTTGCGCCAGTATCTGGCCCCCCGCAGACTTGTGTGGCTACCACACAAGCAAGGACATCATTGCTCGCAGATCCATGGAAACACCATTCTTCTTCGAAATATCTGAAGGCAATCGTGAGAATCTCGGTTGGAAAACGAAATATGGGGAGTCGATCATTCAACAGGCGAAAGCGAAGGACGCGCTTGGACTCAAATGCAGCAAGCTCCTCGGAACTTGAGTGAGCATCAAACCTGGTGTGCAAGTTTCACCGATGCCTATGTAACTAGACTGTTACTCGAGTTGTCTGATCCTTGTTGTTCTGGCAGGCGTGTGGAATGAAGGCCTAACACGATGGAATATGTTTCTAGAAAGTTGTTAGCCTGAGAGACTGCTGCCGAAAAGGTCACTGCAATCTGATTAAATTACTCAAACGGCGCCCTTGAGAAGGACTGAGCCAATTTAAGTAGTCGATTCGGATCGTCATGTTGTCAATGCAACGCGTCTGCTAGTACTTATCATAAGTAGTCTCAGTCCACATCAACGCTCACGTTAACAAAGTCAACTCATCTTAACACCGATCGCACATCGACAACGGCCAGCTCGAGAACGGCGGACTGACGGGGGTAATACCAGGGCATTCGTGATTCGAGAGATGCGAAGGGTCACCGTGACTGAGTACTGGGGGATCCTGATGATAGAGTTCTCAATTAGAATTACGTAAAAATAAAAATAAAATGGAGCTACTAGCTACTACTAGCTTAGAGTCCTAGATCCATCCTACGTTTACTAGCTGGTACTATTGCTATGTACTGCACAGTACTGCATCACGCACATGAACCAACAACCGCTACGACAGCATGAATAAATTGTTCGCTCATCAATGCCCCATTACCTCTGTTCAGTTCCCATGAATGTAAGAATGAAAACTTGCCGTTGTCCTCAGCCTGACGTTGTGCTCCCTCAGGCTAGATCGAAGGCGGCGTGGCTATCAAGAGATAACAATAGCAAGCCCTTAGACCGATGTTGCATGGTGCGCAGCTGATAGGACTTCACACTCTCTAGGCTATTATAAACGTTCACCACGACGACTGGCATACCGTGCGAGTAGTGAAGAATCTAGCCAAAATATAACAGCTACTCTCCGAGTACCTTGAATTTGGGTGTAATGTCAATTCGTTTAAGTTGACAGCTAACTATTGAGAACATCGACTTGGAAATCAGCAGGAAGTGCAGGCAAACTCGGTACCATCTCGTACACCATTCATTACATCTAGTTCCGGACCATAGTGCACCAGACGAGGGACGAACACCTCAGTCCCCACGACTCGGAGGCAATCTGAGGAAATTTTGTGCCTTATCATAAGTCGCTCCAGCATCCGTTATCCTTTTCGAATTCTCCATTCCATCTGCAGTATCATGTCGGAAGAAGAGGCTGCCACTGGTCTCCGCTGGAACAACAATGTGTCTGGTTCGTCAGCTCCTCTACCTGATTTGCCGCATTGTTGTGCTGAATATCAATTACAGTAGCAGCCATTGCCCTGATATCCTATGAGTACCGTTAGTAACCTTGGTGAACCTTGTACTCTTGCTGAGCGAAAGATCATCCAGTTATTCTGTTAGACAAGGAGGTAATAGAGAACTCCTCTTCTGCTGGTCGAGTGCTGATGGTTATGATTGTCTGCATAGGTTGAGTATGTTTGGGTCAGTGTCAAACTCCTTATCTGGATGATAAACCTAATCCAAAGACTAACTGAATCTACAGAAAAGACCGTGGTCGTTCATGTCATGCCTGTACCTTGTTGTGAGTCTCGCCCTGCCATAGTGTCTAATCAAATGTACGATGTTTTTGCCAGGTTCGATATTTTGGGCTTTTCCTTGCAATGTACGTCGCCGTGGTTCCTTCACATTGTACACATCATGTTGACAAGTTTTCACACTAGGGTGTGCGCCTGCTGTATGTGTCACTAGCCCATGCCAACTCGAGCCGTCATTGACTGACTTGCGCTAGGGGGAGGTCTGATGTATATTCCTGAATCAGTAAGTATATCTATGCCTTCCATCGTTCAAGAGCTTCAGCTTAATACATATTTCAGCCGTATGTCCCCAGTTCATTTCACAGCTAACTAAATTCCAACAGTTGTCCTCTTATCTAGTTGTACGTATATCGTTTTTAACCTGAAGCGCATTTACTCATCATGCATTTGGAAAAGGTTACGATCTTATCGTTCTGATTGAATGGGGGTTTTCAGTGTATTTTTGTTTTGCGGAAGGTAAGGTATACATTCTTGCATCTCGCTACGGTACCAATCCCGTATCCACAGTCATTCTTATCTGGCGTCTTTATGCCATATGCAACCAATCCAAGCTCGTACTTCATGTTCTAGTGGGATTGTTTGTGCCTATCGTGGCCCTCTCGATAGGGACAGACGTCTATTTGTATAGTCGACCCAGCGTGTTCTCTGGTAAATTTGTACCCTGATCGCTTTGGCTGCAAGCTAAACCCGCCTCATTCCATAGTGCAAGAGGTAATGACTCCAAACGCCAAGTACTGCACCCTTTACTTCAAAATAGGGCCTATGCTTGCGATCTATACCTCTATTCCCATCATGTGTTTTGACATTTTACTTGTCATTATCGCGGCTTTCACTCTCGTGAAACATGTTATAGAACAGAGGAGGATCAAAATGAGGCCTAATACCTACATGGTAATGATTGTCCGTTATCATATCGTGTACTTTGCCCTGTAAGTTCCGCTTCGTCCATTGGGCTCCACAAGCAATACTCATATCTCACTAGGAATCTGACAAACCAGATCTTATTGGTGATATTATGGGCTGACATACCGGTATGAAACTTCCAAGTTATGCAGAGATCGGTTGACGCATACATTCGCAGACGCCAGCGATGAGTCTCGCAGAGCTCTTCAACGGCACTGCGCCCTTTATTCTCGCGCCCCGTCTCATCATCAGCATTTGGGACACGCATGCCAATGAAGAATGCGTACATGTCAGCACAACATTCGCTGATTGTCTGTGTTGGACTTCGCCACCAGACTTCGAGCAGCACGAGATGAATCCTTGTGTCGAGCATCCTGAATCTACGTTCAGCGCGGATAAAGAAGTGGTCGAGGTATAGACTCTGTAGCATGAGGTCACAATGCTATTTATATTTATGAATAAATTACTTGCGCCGATCACCTATCCATAGTTCATACTTTTGTCCCAGAATATAACCTTGCATGTATTAACTCTGAAATCTGCAGACCCACCTGGTTATCCGAGCCTCGGACAATGACGCATGTCATAAACCAACCATGAGCTTGTTTCGTCATTTACTAGCTATCTCGCACAAGAGCCTGATACAATTAGCAAACGAAAGACCTATAACTGTGCAGCCGACCCAGCACAGGAGAGCGCACCACTATGAGGCGTGATGTTATGCCGTAACAATAATCTGTCCTCATTCTTGACAGAAGACCCTCTGTTATTATAATTTCGAATATGGTTCAAGTACTTAATTGAATTAATGCCAGGCAGTTGTGAGCTTACACGACATATCGTCAGGCCTAGCGATATTCTTTTGCCTTCAAGTTGTTTGAGTACAGTATCGCGGTTCTGTAGTCGAAAAGGGTAGTGCAGACATATTAACTTGAATACGGTAGGTTGCAAATAATTATGACGTCTGCCAGTGTGTGCTAGATAGTACCCAGTCCTGAGTACATTCGCGTGGTATACGGTACGCATGAATTACAATCTACTTGCGACGAGTTAACCTCTGCCTGAGCGAAGTGAACACGCTAACAGTACGAATGCGCATGAAATATGTGAACCAAAAAGTAGCGACAATCTACAGATGGTATGTCAGCACGATATCCAAACAACGTCCACCAGTGACTCACATTAAACGCAACGAATCCAAAGACGATGGCCAGGTTGCGCCAGTGATTACTGTATTTAATGTTGAACCTCGAGTACAAGAACTGGTCAGTGGTCCTGGCGGGACAGTACTGGCAGCCCTCTGCAGCTTCGGGATTCGTGAGGTAGCCGCCGGCGAATTCGATGAAGGGACCCAAGTAGTTGCCACACCTCAAACCCTTCGGTGGATTGACAGAGACAAGTTCAGTGGAAGAGCAGTTAATCAATTGCCCGCCAACAGCTACGAGGACCAAGATGAATATGACTATTCGGCAAAAAAATCATTCACTAACCTTGACCAAGGAGACCCTCGATGATGTATGTGAAAGGAGAGACCCTGTACATCCATTTCCACCAATTAAGCTGGTTGAATGGCTGGACTACGCCATCACTGATGGACCATCAGCATGACATAACGTAGTTCAAAGCGTGCAACTCACAAGATCATGATAAAAATGACGAGAGTTGTGAAGTACACGGATGCAACTGGAGCGGTTGGCGCCATGGACGCGATGCTTTGTCCAAACGTCGTATAGTACAACGGGAAGGCGACAGAGAGCATGAGAAACGTGTAGCCTGCCCGGTTGATGGGGTATCCGACGGTCCAGTAAGAACAGAAAAAGAACGTCGCAGAACTTGTTATGTTCCAAGGAAGCTCAGCAACAAGCTGTGACATGACGAGAGCAGTCCAGTGATACATTCTACTAGGACGTTCACGGATTTCGTACACTGTGCGAATATCAATGTATACGCCCATGAGTTGATGGACAAGGGAAACACTGAGCACAAGGCCAAGGAAGATTGACTAAAGAGTGTGTAAATAGGATTAAGTGAGGAGTCGTATGGATGTACTTACAAACAGCTTGTTTTGGGTGCCCTGCAAAGAGTCATCTGCCCGGAAGAACGTAAAGCCCACAAGGAGACCGCCAGCGATGTTGAGCACAAACTTGGCGTGAATATACGTAGGATTGCGCCAGTATGCTTGGAAATTTCGTTGGGTGAGCGCAGTGAACTGGTACAACCATGAGGTGGCAAAAGCAGAATATTGGACGCTGAGCCGTTGTGGGCGAGTACGACCTTGTTGATGCATCGCTTCGATCTGAATTTGGAGATGCATTGCTTCCGATGAACGCTTCCATACATCGTGCCAATCAGTGGTGGAGATTGTAGCTGCTCCGGCGCCGATTACGTCGAGCATGTATTCCGCACTTGAACGCAATGGTGAGCACCAGACCTGGTATAATTACCCTTACTTACGGGTTGGCGTCGGAACCGCAGCGGGGAGCACCATTACACTCAAAGTAGTTCAGCGCAGTCGACGAATTCTCGCCAATGTCGCCAAAGTAGACGGTCTGCCCACCCTTGCAAAGGAGCAGCAATTTATCGAAGACCTGGAAGAGCTCCGCTGAAGGTTGATGAATCCTGGTACGACCCATAAGCGGCGGAAAACCCTCGAGTAAGAACGACACTCACGTGCAGAGAATGGCCTGACCATGATCAGCAAGCTCACGAAGAAACTGCACAATAGCCCAGGCAGATTGCGAGTCAAGACCAGACGTGGGCTCATCCAAGAAGAGTAGAAGTTGGGGCTGTCAGGCACTTAGCACAACTTCAGGCTGAAGGGTTAACGTTCTACCTTGGCAGAGAGTTCCACTGCAATGGTGGTGCGTTTACGGTGCTCAACTCCCAGAGAGCCGACAATAGCGTCGGCGTACTCCTCTAGACCACACATTTGAATGCACTTGTCAACGCTGCATTGTGAAGTTAAGTTGGGATCGATCATGGCACAAATCACACGCACTATGCTTCTTTTTCGGAGAGGGGGACTGACTGGGGCTGGCGGAGATTAGCAGAGAAAAGAAGCGCTTCACGAACAGTCGCTTCGGGAAGATGAGTGTCGAGTTGTTGGCAGAAACCACTAGGTATGGGAGTCAGGTAAGATGAGCGAAGTTAGGATGGAACTTACGTCTGTGCCTGGAAGTCTACAGGGAGCGGCTGTCCGTTCACAAATCGGTCACCACTTACTACACCAGTACTGACGCGCTGTGCAAGAACATTCAAAAGCATTGTCTACAAGCATTCAAGTAAGCGGCATGCGCGGCTGGCATCATAGGAAGGCATACCTTTCCAGCGCCAGATTCACCCATCAACGCGGTGAGCTTCCCAGGGGCAACATAGCCCGAGACATCATCAAGAAGGCATTTCATCCCTCGCTCAATAGGGACTTCATAATGCAGGTGCTGCCACGTGAAGAGGTCCAGGACAATGGTGTTCTTCTCCAGACTATCGAAAGTCGAGGAATCGGAGTGGGGTCCAGAATGACACTCTGCATCTGCCTTTTCCTCGTCAAGGGCCTTGGCGTTCTCATCGATACTAGAACCCCGCTTAAAGAGAACGACAGCGCTGTTGAAAGCAGACGAAGTATTGAGTTCTGTGGCAATTAAGAGAACAACCGACGCCCCAAGGTAGAAGGCACAAAGGACACCAAAGTTCTGCGGTGGTGTCATGAGCTATTCGTAAAGTATCGTGTGACCGGCCTACCCTCCAAAGTTGACTGTACCAAAAATCATACGTCAACCCAACATAAATGTTGCCATCGACGAGAAGTTTCCCGGGCTGCGACCCGACTGTTATACAAACCTGGTTTGCAAGCGAAACATTCTCATAGCCAGGCCCCTGAGGGATGAGAGTGGAGCAAACACCATCGAGTGTATGAAACTCATTCACGATGAGTGCGCCAAACCCCCACCACAAAGGCTGACATCGATATTGATGTATACATATTAAGTGAAAAAAAATATCCTACGAGGGATGAAATGACGCACGTTCAACCACATGATCCACCGCAAGCCCGTGTGAGCAGTTGGCCAAGGAATTGTATACCCACCATTGAACGACATCAAGAGAATGAAGATACCACAAACAGTTAGTGCGTTAGGACGAGATCTGAAACTTGCAGTAATGGCTCTAAAGAGTGACTTCATGGTTTGCGACATTAAGAAGATAAAGAGGTAAAATATGCTGTTGTGCAGCAGGGTAAGTATCAAAGCCGAGAACGAACAACATGACGAACTTACAAAAATTGTGCAGCCGAACGTTGCAACCCAACCATGAAGTAAAGGATCGCAGCGAAAACCAGTTGAACGACGAAAGTGATGGGTATATCGACGATAGTGTGCGCGAGGCTCTGAACAAAAGGATAGTGTAACGCAGCTTTCTGGTGGCGAAGCACGATAGGACGCTGGGAGAAAAGCGCAGGGACTTCTGCGACAGATGTAATAGCATTGAAGAATAGGGAGCTGAAAGAGCCGTGAAGCACAACTTGGATCACGACAGGGGAAGAAACTTACAAGAACAGAAGACCACTACGAGAGAAATAGGTCGAGATATTATCTGGCATGTTCAGAAAGACGGTGCCCAAAATTACCGCTTGGAAGATTTGGGAACTGTCACCTAGTGTCACTGAGGGTCGGACAAAACACAAAAGACACCTACCCCAGTTGTACAAAGAGCTCTAACTTGTGACCAGCAATAACTTGCACCTGGCGCTTCATGGCCGTTGCGGCTTGCTGCGAGATAGAAGTCATGTACACAGTAGATGTGGTGGTATGTTCAGCGTCCACGCTGGACAGATACGCCTGCTTGCGTTCGTGATTTCCAACACATTGTTCCCAGTGTTCTTCGACCATTTTCTGATTTTGACGACCAAGGTCGGAAGCTTTGAAACGGCCAGCAAGGTCCTCCGACGTCCGCGGGACAAAACTCTCATACCCAGGGCGAATTTTCCTCCCGTTCGCGTCTGTAACTGATAACAATGATTATGAGGTGATATAAGGGAACCCGAATGCCCTACCTGCAACCAAAAATCAGGGGTAGGCTGATTGTATTGTGGTTCGAAGCCCATATCGATGAAATAACCTTTGGCTGACTTTGCTGGACCAAAATAGGCCATTTTGCCTTCCGCAACAACACAGACCTTGTCAAACAAATCATATAACTGCTCTCCCGCTTGGTAGAGAGAGACGATTGTCGTTCTGCGTTTGATATCTGTTATGGAACGTAATGTGCGGACAAACTCAAGGGCAGTCGAGGAGTCTAATCCACGAGTGGGACTGGATGAGAAACAAGTCAGGAGGATACCACCTTGAATGACAACACCTTACTTGTCCCATGCACCAAGTGGGCCTGCAGAGCCTAAAGCTTCTGCAATAGAAACTCGCTTTCTCTCGCCGCCGGAAATACCTTGAATCTCAGCATTACCAACCAAGGTATTTTTAGAACGGTAGAGGCCAAGGACTTTCATTAGCATCGTGGCGGTATCCTCAACATAGTCCTCGCGCGTCTGACCGAGAAGACGTGTTGCGGGAGTACGGTTTCTGACAGCGAAAGAGAGCGTTTGTTTGACCGTCAGGGTCGGGAAATGGATATCATCCTCCGGACAGTAAGTGACATCGCCACGGAAGGAGTCATGAATCTCCTTTGGGGTGAATGAATCATAGAAAACTTGACCCTCAACAGCATGATACTCCCCACGTTGGTTAGCGAGTGTCTTTAGGAAGGTTGAGCACCCGGAGCCGGGTCGGCCAAGGACCACTATAGGGAGGGTCAATACCGGAGGACGGGGAAGGATGTGTGCTCACAAAGCATTTCGCCAGAAGAGACCATACCGTCGAATCCAGACAAAATGTCTCTAATTGACGGATGGAAAATCCCCCTTATCTTGCGCAGAAACGTCGAGGGATGGAAAGGTGAGCTCACGGTGGGCTGGAGCGAAGTACGAGAACCTAAACCAACGACGTGCAAGTCCTTAAACATGACACTAAGTTGGCGGTCCTTGATTCCTTCATTTTGACGGCTGAGGGAGAGAAATGTTAGACAGTTTATGCAATGATCGCGAGCCACTTGCCGTTTTGCGAGGTCTCTGAGTATCTGCTCAAAATCAAAGGCTTGTACATTTTTTATGGGGATGGATATGTCTGACAGTTTCTGAAGGAGTGAGGGAGTGGATGCGTCCGGATCTGAGTCTGGAGGTAAGATGTAGACTGGGGGAGCAAGCTGACTAGCTGAGGTGTCAACCAATCCATCTAGTTGTCTTCTTTGATGGGGAGCCATCTACTAGGAGCTGAGAGAGAGGTTTCCGTAGCTTAGTCAGTAACTGTAAGAGAGTCAGCATAGCATCCAAATGTTCACCTTTGTCCGTTTCCCTCGACCCAGTGGGGATGACTTTGAGCAGGGAAAAAGTTACCTATAGGAATAACGGTCTTTTATAGTAAACCGACCATGCTACTCGTGTTGCTGATGAGAAGCGTGCCAGCTGGACGTACCTAAGGAACATAGTAGCAATTCAAAATGAAGGCCACCTTCTGGCCACTTATTATAATAAACATTGTGCTGTCAGGTACATAAAATGTAGTATCGAACTTACTAACTTGTTTAGATTCCAGTGGGCATTATGTATTCAGACACATCAATTATGCTTCTATCATCAAAGGCTTGCGAACTGGCATCAAGTCCACGTGCATGTAGGCCTCAAACAGAACTAATCACTGTTCGCAGAGCGTAGAATAAATGTTAGCTACTGATATGGCGACATGTTGACTCGCCATTACAAAGTAACCGTTGGAGTTCCAGACCTGCTGGAAGGTGAAGACGTAACTTATTCGGACATCGATATTGAGTGGTAAGAGGACCTATCGATCTCTTAAGTGTTCCCAAAACAGACGGTCAACCGGCCCGTTGTGTTCAAGTCTGAACACAAGGCGAACGCACGGAAACTTGACTAACTTCTCCTGCGGATCGCTCCCAACCTTTTCTTGTGATAACTTCACCGGAAACAAGATATCGACCGTGACCACGCCCTAGTAAGCACTTGGAAACGAGATATATCGAGGGCAACGCCGCCATTAAGCTTTGCACTGGGTAGCCATCGTAGCGATTTTGGCCAACTATACGCCATACACGGCGTACAGAGCCGAAGTGGGTAATCGGTCCTGCTTCTTTGATATGTGAATGATTGGTTGCACCCTCCATTTTCACTTCCCGCGGAGAGGATGGCCAGTGCTAGTGACCAGTACTAGTGTAGAAGAATGATTACAAATGGGTGCCCGGTGAATCGCAGTGAGAAAGAATCAGCGACTCTACGGAGTACCCGTATCAGCGTGTGAACTTGTTACCTTTTCTTTGTAACCTACACCTTAATAAGCATTCCCCCTTGTCTTCCTTGCTTCCCCCATGAACTTAGCAAGATGTTGCACATAAGCCCGCGTTCTCGATCTCGATGATTGTCCTCCGTATAACGAATTAATTGACACACGCATTACCCGCATATTCATTTTTTATTATCCGTTATACTATTTTAATATCAACTTCATCCGCTCCCCCGGGTCTATACTCCGTCTTCGCTGCGATACTGTGATGTTCATCCAGCACTCTTGATATAGATACGCCTGCGACGCTCGTTTTCTCATCTTGTACATTCATTTGACTCGCCACATTTTGGTGCTTGGACTACGATGTTATAGTCGGACTCATCGTGAACTAAGCATCGATATTTACAGGGACAAGAGCGCTACGCTCTGCAGTTCTATACCTGTACTAGACACCGCATGCCACGAACTTTCGTTTAGTGGCTGAGCACTTGCTAGCCACCGTGTCACATACCCCCACGCTCCGTCGATTCTCACTAGCAGGGAAAAACCTGATAGGTTGTAAGTCACAATTATCTCTCGTCTAATGTAGCTCAGATGTACATACTGTCCTACTCTGCAAGTACTAAAGATTCTGTGTAGAAATCTCACAGCCATTCTTGTCAGTCCTAAAATTGGGCGTGATAGCCATTAATGTCGTTGGTAACTTGATAACTAACTTGATCGCTAACTAATGAGAACAGGAACTCAATAATGGCGACATAACTGGACAAGAATGAAAATCACAATCCTTCCGGGGCGATCGCAAGGCAAGGAAAATTCCGCGCCGTCAACTTATAGGTCATTCCAACATCTATCATTGATATTCATCTCAAATTCTCCATTCTATGTGAATCGTTGTCATGTCGGAACAAGAAGCTATTATTGGTCTCCGGTGGAACGATAGGGTTCGTCAGCTCCTTTTAACTGGTTTGTGAATGAATCACCGTGCTGAATATCGGTTCCATTAGCGTTCTTTACTATGAGTACCGATAGCAGTGTTCGTGAACCTTGCACTGCTGCTGAGTGAAGGATTATCCGGTACTTCTTTTGGACGAGGTGATAAAAAAATTTCTTGTTGTCGGTCGAGTACTCATAGTTATTATCGGCGCAGATTTCTTGTGTCTGTTACATTGCATGTTGACACCGACGCTAGAATTTGGGGCTGCTGTATGTAACGCTGTGTCGTTTGAGCCACCCTTCGCTGACCAGCGTCAGGGGGAGGATTTTTATATATACCTGAATCAGTCAGTGCATCGACGATCGCCAGAGTGTTCTAAGTCTATCCGTGTTTAAGTTGTACGTTTCACTGAGTTTGTTTCACAGCCAAGGCCTAACCACGGTTGACCTCTCTCATTCAGCTGCAAGTATAATTCATGTCTTCAAACAACAGTAATTCCCTCATCATGTAATGGCTACGACATTCATGTTGTACTGGAAATGGGGTGCGATCTGTATATTTTTGCTTTGCAGAAGGTAAGTCATGCAGTCGGCAACTCATCGTGCATATCGATTTTTCATCCGCAGCTGTTCTCAAAGTCTCGTTGCATAATCAAAGAATTGGCAAGTCCGAACACCAAGTGCTGCACCTTTTCCTTCAACATTGGGCCTATGCCTGCGATCTATACATCCATCCCCAATGTCTTCCTATTCATTCTCGTCGCTGCCACTATCGTGAGACACCTCAAAGAACAAAAGGAATACAAAATGGGGCCTAAGGCCATGACGACTGCGTATGTGTCAGTACGACGTTCGCAGATTGTGTGTCAGACTTTGCTGCCGAGGTTCGAGCAGCACGAGATGGACTCTGACTCCCATTACCTTGGCGTGCTGAAGTGTCTTGCGACAATGTGCTCCGCGACCGAAATTGAAAAGTAGAGTGGATGAGATGAAACTCGAGCGCTGTGGGAATCATGAATGTAACATCACATACTTATTGGTAGTTGAACCAGCAGGAGTGGCCCTGAAACTTTAGATAGGCATTATGGGAGATTCCTCGATGAAGTACTGCGTGGGGCAACCTCATTTGCTACTGCGGAGGTTTCAACTGCGGCGGCTAGCCAGTGATCGTCGGATGCCTTCCGTGTCTATTTATTACGTTATTGCATGCATTGTTGATCTTTGGTGGTTGGCGGCTTGGCCTGTGCATGATGCATTGATGGACGTGATGCATTCGCGTTCCTGTCTCTAATTATCGATTCCCTCACGTTCGTCTCTTTTTGGGCTTCACCCTTTTTTAAAATCCCGTTTGTTCTAATCTATAATAGGGAAGTTCAAAGTTGAATTTGGAGGATGATTTGGACGTTGATTAATGATTGAGCGTCAAAATTCAACTTTGAACTTGCCTATTAAATATCGACAGTACGTACTGTGGGGCTTCACCTTGTATTCACAATTGTCTCCACACACGTACTACTTGACGCTCGGTCTGGTTCGGTTTCCATCTCCTAGCGTTGTGGGGAGAACTGGCAGAACTTGGCAGAACCGTGTTCTCCTAGTGTGGCAGGTGGTAGAATTAACGAAGAATTTTGACGGCACTTCAAGTGTGCTATATTGATGGGAGACCACTAGATAGCAAGTCCAATTCCTTGCATTGTGATCCGTGGCCAATGGCCATTATCCCGGTATTGATACTTGAGGTTGCCAACGGTTGACATTCTCAAGTATCAATGTCGTCAAGTCGGCAAGTTGGCTTGTTATCAGTAATGTTTAACATGATAGCGAACTTGAAGATCTGCATCAGACCTTGCCGAGTTTCGAACATCGTCCGTTGACGCAGGCATAAAGGTAGTTGCAATTCTATTGGACTTGGCAGAAGTAGGATCCCCTTAACTTCCCACAAGAGAATTGAGATGGCGGCTTCCAGACTTAGACATTGTAGAGAGCCTGCAGTACATCTTGAGTTCTGTCACATTCTGCCAGGGACGTTCCGCCATCTGCCCAGTGGCAGTGCCAGTTCTGCCCTGCCACATGGCAGAATGTTGCAGTTTTTAAATTTTAGGTTTAATCTCACCGGATTCTGCCGCACTTGTGCACCTGCCGGCTATTAACTTCTGCCCCGGCCAGTGCGCCTCTAGCAGCTTCGGGTGGCCTCAAGAGGCTCCCCTGCCAATGCAAGACCACTTTTTCGTGCACTGTGCAGGGTGGTAGGGGCTGCTCAGTACCCTAATCCTAAACAACTGGCAAAATCGCGACGCCACGAAGTATTAATTGTCACTTGAACAAACACAGCATAGATTCGGATAATCATGATTCACCGCCGACAACATGAGGTACGCTCAACTAGACAAGGGATATATATAATTCATTGCAGGTGGTGCAATGATATTGGATTACCCATGTGGGCACGAGTCAAGGTCGCATCATGTCGCTGTGTGTCATTGTTAGTCCATCGATGGCGCTGTTGTAGCGCCTTCGGCGGTAAAATGGAAACCTTGATTGAATTTCTGGACAAATAGTTCTGACTATTCTCTTGTTCAAAGAATAAGTTTGGTATGTTCCCGTGATTAATGTTAGATAGAGGTCTTTGCTGATCTTTTCGCTGTCCTTAGCCTGCTTTCTACTCCCTCAAAGTGTACTGGGCCATGTTCTATCAAGAGGGTTGAACTATCTAAGCGCCTGTATATTGCAGACGCCTGTACAGCATATCTGATCCAACTTATTGAGACCTCGTTGCACTTTCTATAAAGGCACTTTTACCAACTATGGAACATGGTGGGAACACGTTGGCCATGACAGCCATGGGTACGAGTGATGATCGATGATGACCCTAGCCAAGATGCAACAGCCATTCTCGTCAGTCGCGAATCTCGAAATGATATCTATTTATTCATAGCTATCTACTGAGAACAGCAATTCGCGATACCGACGGCGGGTTCGGGAGAACTCGGTACAATATGTACAACTATAATTCGACCACCACAGCCCTCAAGACGCAAGCAAATCCTACATCTTATAAGTATCGTATGTGAGTCATCAACGATTGGCGGCTCATCAGTCTCTTCAGATCCCCCACTCAATCTACGCAGTCTCATGTCCGAACAAGAAGTCGCTGGTCTCCTCTGGAATAACTATGTTTCCGGTTCGTCAGTTCCTTATAGCCTATGTGTAAGCGAACCATCGTGTTGAAACATCGGTTTCAGTGCCAGTATTTACCGTGATGTCCTATGAGTACCGTTAGTAACTTACCTTTGGGAACTTTGCACTACCGCTGAACGAAAGATTATCCAGTCCTTCTGTTGGACAAGGAGGTAATCAAAGTCTTCTCTTTTGTCAGTCGAATACTTATCTTGTCATAATCGGCGTAGGTTAAATATGTCTGGGTCAGTCTTACACATAATCATATCGGCCCGGAATTTAATCGAATATCTAGGGACGACCATGGTCAATAATGTCATTCCTGTACCTCGTTGTAAGTTTCGTCTTGTCAAGGCCGTTTTGTTTTGTTTGATTTATTTGCTACGGTAGGTTCGATATTTTGGTCTTTTCTTGGCACTGTACGTCGTTGTGGCTTCTTGACATGGTGCATATGCATGTTAACACTCGCATTAGGTTGTGCGGCTTATGTATGTAACCCTGTGCCTACCAGAGCTATTATCAACTGACTAGTGCCAGGGGGAGGGCTGTTGTACATGCCTGAATCAGTAAGTGTATCAATGCTTTCTATTTAAAGAGTTTGTGACTGACACACATTCTAGCCGTAAGTCTCAAGTTTGACTTAGAGCCAATTCTCACTCGTCATTGTCCTCTTATATAGCTGCAAGTATATCGGTTTCAACCCGAATTGCCTTCGCTCACCACTCAGTTGAAATAGGCTATGGTCTTGTCGTTCTGATTGAATGGGGTTTTTCAGTGTATTTTTGCTTTGCGGAAGGTAAGTTACACATTCTCGCATCTCCCTACGCGTCCCAATCTTACATCCGCAGCCATTCTCATATGGCGCCTTTACGCACTATGCAACCAATCCAAGCTCCTACTTTATGTTCTAGTGGGATTATTTTTGCCTATCGTCGCCCTCTCAATCGGGACAGACATCTATCTATACAGTCGACGCAACGTGTTCTCAGGTGAATTTTTACTCGGATGGAGTTAGCTGCAAATTGACCCCATCTCATTGCATAGTGAAAGAAATCATAACTCCGCACGCCAAGTACTGCACTCTTTCCTACAACATCGGGCCTATGCCTGCAATCTATACTTCCATCCCCATTGTGTGCTATGATGTCTTATTAGTGGTTCTCGCGGCTGCCATCCTCGTGAGGCACCTTAGGCAACAGAGGGGATTCCAAATGAGGGCTAATACCTATATGGTTATGATCGTCCGGTATCATATCATGTACTTTGCCCTGTAAGTCCCTCTTCATCTAGTGGGTTCTAAAAGTATCCATTGATTCCCGCTAGGAATTTGACAAACCAAATCTTACTGGTTATATTGTGGGCTCATATTCCGGTATGATGCTTTCAAAGGATTATACAGAGACCAGCTAAACATTTACACTATTAGACCCCGGCGATGAGTCTCTCAGAGCTTTTCAACGATACCGCGCCATTTATTCTCGCGCCCCGTCTTATCATCAGTATTTGGGATACACATGCCCAGGATAATTGCGCGGAAGTCAGTAAACCGTTCGAGGATTGTGTATGTTGGACTTCTCCACCGAGGTTCGACTCGGAGCAGCAAGAGATGGACTCCGTTGTCGTATAATTCTGGCATGCTGGTTCCTCAGTATGAAGAAAAAGTGATCGGGGTCGAGTGAGGCAAATTTATGAATGAATAACTTACAGTTTTGTGTAGCGCCTAATAGTGTGGTTACTAGTTATACACGTATATCCCTTCCGGTGCAATTAGCACCCTTCAGCACCCCACAGTAGTCGACACTTTCACAAAACTTGTATTTCTAACTACTTAAATTATTAACTTAGATAGCATTCTCTCGCTAACACAATTCATAAATATTATAGAGTTTGAACGGCCAAGATTGAGGTGGAATTGAGTGAGATAGTTGAAAGTGCTGAAGTCACGCAGAAATGTTACCTGCCTATATGCGTTGTGACCGTGACGGAGTTTCACTCCATTTATGATTTATGATTTTGAAAGCGCCGACAGCTTGTGCCGGATATTTTATATTTTCTGCGCTGACCCAGCTCTCCACCTCCTACAATGCAGCATGATAATATCAATTCATCTGACGGTCCTATTGCATCATCATCGAACTTACATATACGTGGTCCGAGTCTCACTACATCCCCCTCAGTTTTACAACTACAGCACTAATACTTGCTAAGTTAGCGACTGGCTTGGATAAACTAAGCCCAAGCCAGAGCGTCCAGCAGAGCGTCGCGAGGCAGACCATGTTCTCAGCACCCGCTACAGTCACCCGTCTCCTAGGATAAGGGTCTGTTAGCTAGGGCAAGAGGAACGATAGGATCACGGGGATAACAGCGGTTTCGAATCTGCGAAAGTTCTCGTCAGGGGCTACCGCTGCCCCAATCGCGCTGATTTTCTCATTCTGTGTAGGATAATACTACAGCCTATATACCTAGTGGGAGTAAAGCTCCCGATGACCGGCCAGCTGCATGCAGTAACCATGACCCACCGGCAGGGTAGTTTACGGTTGGGGTAGGAAGCTCCAGACCCCATGCCTCCTGGCCTTTAGCACGTCGGGGCCCCAAACCCACTCACCGAGGTAATTTCGGCCGTTTCCGAACCGAATGGGAACTGGCGTGCAGAGACGATGCTGGACGCCTATGCCGAATACTGAGGTGTCGATTGCACCGGAGGAGATAGTACCCTGTTAATCATTCGGACCTTACTCGGTGCCTTCACTTCAAATGGATAGCGAACGTTCAAGCTTGAAGAGCCGAGCAGGAGACTCGGAGGCAATCGGGTCTTCATTTTAACACTTTTATATGTAAGTAGCCGTTCTCAAGCCCCCAGGTCACTTCGCGGACGTGTTACTAGCTACTGTATACTGACCCCGGGATGTCCTTCCCTCACCTTATTGGATACAGTGTGCTTACCCTTGCAGTATGGAAGCTCGTTCAGAGGCAGGCCTCTAGAAAGGCAAACGCCCTAGATGTTGCAGGTCCAGAAAATGAGCACTGGTGGAAAGGTTGGGTTTTTCTCGCATTCAGTCACGGATTCCGCATATTGGATACTCACGGACATCAATGTAGGCAACATGGAATCAGTATTCGTGGACAGTTTCGAGCGCTGCTTAAAGATTGCAGCAGACTATGGTGGGGCCATCAAAATACATGCTTTGTTTGGCGTGCGTAGTATGCATCCCTGCAAAGGCATATTATTGACACATGGCCTATAGGATGAATGGCTGTTTGTATCGGATCCACGTGCGCTCCATCATATCCTTGTCAAGGAGCCGCATATCTTTGAAGAAGTTGATGACTTTATATTGTTAGTGTCAAGTATTGTTTGAACATTCCTCATTGACCCTTCTTAAGGTCCAACAAGCTCGTCTTCGGCGATGGTCTTATTTCTACGCTAGGTAAACCTTGGTTAATTATCATGAATTTGTTCTCATCGCTGCGCAGGGGAACAGCACCGAAAGCAACGCAAAATGCTCAATCCAGTGTTTTCCCTCTCTAATATGCGGGAGCTTTTGCCCATTATTCAAACCGTCTCCCATCAGCTAAAATCCATCCTCGTGTCTAATCTTGCTACCCACCGTGAGTATGGCCATGCACGCCATCATCCATAACTTCACTATTGGCACGTACAGATCCAGTAGAACTCGACGTGTTGCCTTGGCTCTCTCGCAGTTCTCTGGATTGCATTTGTGAGGGCATGCTGGGCTACCATTCAGCTGCATTAGACACAGGAAATGAGAATGAATACACAGAGGCACTGCGGATGCTAGGGTGCGTACACTGGTCTGCCGGTGAAATCACCATTTGACATGTTTGGTCTCGTAGTCCATCTATCAGTAAAACCATGATTTTTCGATCCATCGTTCCGGTAGTTATGCGCAATTTCTCTCTTTACTGGTGCAAAAAGATAGCAGACTGGCTCACGATAAGTTGGTTGCCGACGCAGACAATGAGGGATCTTAGAGAACTACGCCGTGTAGCTGAAACCATGGACTCAGGCAGTAGAAAGATCCTTCAAGAGAAGAAGGCTGCATTGGCGATGTCCTCCTCCATGCCCTCACAGTCCCATGACACGTCAGGAGGAACGAGGGGAAAAGATATCATGTCTATCATGCGTACGTAATCATTAGCCATGGAATACCCATTCTCATGTGGGACATGCGCAGTCAAAGCAAATGCCTCATCTGCCGAAGGGGATAGGCTGAGTGACGCTGAGCTCCTTGGACAGATGAAATCAGTCATGATGGCTTCCCTGTGGTGAAACTAATTTTTCTGTGCAATAGTGTTATGATTTTTGCTGGTCTCGAGACAACAACGGCAGCAGTGGCCCGTGCATTGTACATGCTCGCCAAGCATCCTCATGTCCAGCAGTAGTTGAGAGCAGAGATCTGTGATGCCGCAACTGCACACCAGGCTGTTGACGTCGACCATTCGCACGCCAAAGATGGCTTCGAGTCCGTCAGACTGCCACCCTTGGCAGCACTTTTTAGAGCTTGTCAAGGTCTGTTAGACCCGGTTTCCATGTAGGACAAAACACATCTCTGAGACAACCCTCTCGCAAGAGGGTCTCCCTCAAATCCTCAAGAGTCACCAGAATACCCTTGTAGGCCTCGTTGGAGGGTTGGTTCTGGTCGTCTCATGTGGTTCTAGAGAGCCTTTAGCGTGTTATTTTATGTTCCGCTGCCCTCGAGATCATCATATTGTAGGTCCCGCTGCCCTCAAGATAACCTAGAGCCTCTGGTGCTCCTCGCGCATGACTCATGTTTTACCCCCCGTGTTTCTACTTACACCTATGTCATTTTCTCGCATGTTTTCTCTACTTACATTATGTTTTTTTCCGTTGTAGTTGTCATTCTAATAATATATATCACACTGCTGTATCATTGTTCTTAAGATTCAGTGTTTTCAAATGTGTCCTGACGCAATCGAGAGCAGGCATTGGAGCCGCTATACTGACATTGTCAAAACAAGGAGAAGTCAAAACAATAAGTCCATAGTAACATAAGTAGGGTACGAAAGGGACAGGGAAAGATGAGCGCAGGATGAGTTAGGAATGAGCAAACCATCATCTGCAGCACGAGACGATGAGCAAAAGTAGCATCCAAAAAAACACGAGCGTACGCAAATTGAAATACAATTAAGATGAAGGGGGGCGAGGAGGGTTAACTGGATCTTGACTAAATGATCGTGCCACATTGTCATGAGGAACATAGTCCAAAGGCACAGTATCGCGGATGTGATCTGCCCATCTGGAATTATGGTAACGAGTCCTGCCTTGAGGGTATCCACCACGGTAAGTTCCTCCACCAAGTGCCCGCCGTTCATCAAGGTCATTCGCGTCGAGAGTATCCACTTCTCACGAGCATAGTTAGGACCAAGTACCGGACTGTATCGACTTGAGTATGAGCGTTCGTGCTCACTGTGAGCATAATGATCATCACGGTATACCTCCAAGGCTGGTGAGCTATCCCGCATGGCATATTCATCGTTAGTACGAGGCTCAGGTCCATAATGGTCGGGAGGTTGCGAACCAGCATAACGGTGATTGCGAACGTCACGGTGGTAGAAGGCATCGCGAGGGTAGAGAGCATCATGCTCAGTGATTGGGGTATCTTCACGCAGATGGTGGACCTCACGACGATGCACAGCCTCGTGTATGTACCATGGCTCACGAGAATGATTGCGAAGAGGCTGATGAGGATCGCGCGAGGTGTTGCGAGGGACGTGATGGGGAGTGTCTCGAGGGTCCTGACGAGGCTCGCGGGGATCGTGAAGAGGCTCACCCTCATGAGGGTCATTGTGGACAATTTCATGTTGAGGTTCCCGTGAGAGGCGTACAGCATCACCCTTGTCAGAGCCTTGCTGGATACCCTCACGAGGGTCATGATGGACAGAGAGCTCATCATGAGCTTGGGGTGGGTTGGCTGGAGGGTCACGGGAGTCATGAGAGTCGTCAATAGTACGAGGATCCTTGATGGGATTGGTGACTCGAGGTGGTTCCTGCTGATCTCCTACTGGTCCGTCATCCTGCATCGCCTCTGAAGGTAGGTCCTTCTGTAACGTCTCCTTAGGGACATGATCTAAACCAGAGGAGACACCACTCTTCACAGCTGCAACCGCCTCCTCGCCCTCATCAACTTCAGATCCATCCGAGCGGCCATACGCCATGCGAAGAGCACGTTTCATCTTACCCTTGGATTCCTTTGTGAGTGGGCGTGGTTTTACTAGAGAGTACATAGACGGTAGATCCTTAGCCATTCTGTAAGAATAGCTGTTTCGAAAAAAGGCTTACCCTTTGTGCGCACGTTAGAGGGACCATCCTGGAGGAATGCTGGTACCATAGCTATACGCCTCGAGTCAAGTAAAGTTAATATTAAAATAAAGAGTACTCACCTGCAGTCTCAGGCTCTGGCGATGCTGCTACACTCGATGATCCCACTGTCAATGGGGACAGAGGGCCACCCTTTATCGGAGAAGTTGGTAGGGCAGGCGTTTTGGGTTGCTTCGGCTGTGCAGCCTTCTTCTCCACTTTCGAAGTATCAGACTTCTCGCTGGACGGGGCCGGCCTTTTTAACGCATGTGAAGTATCCACGAACTTCAGTTTCCTCTTCTTCCCGCGTGCTTCTTCATACTCCGATTCAGGCTCTGTGGCGACATTCTCCCCAGCTGAAGTACTAATTTCAATCACCTTGCACTGTGCTGCGGCAGTCGGTCCCGGCTTTCGAGCGACTTTGAGCGGGTGTGAGGGTGGTAGTGTAACGACTCTAAATGGACGTGATGGTGGTGGTTCCATGACTTCTACTCGTGTGGCAAATTTTCTGAACTTCCGAGTAGTAGGTACTATTGGATGATCATCATCTGAATCATCATCGTCGTTGGCGTTGGCGTTAGGTGGTGGAGGGGCCTTCGTCACTTTATCAGCCTTCTTGACTTTGGTAGTCGCATTGCTGGGCTTGAGACGAGCTGGGCCATGGTAGTCGGTGTCGCCATTAACAAACAGCCGTCTAGCACCAGCATGTGGCCAGTCAGAAGGAGGCGCTATGCCTGTGATGACAGGCCTCTCAGAGGCCATAACAGATGCTGCACATAACATTAGAATCAGAATGTTCTTACAATGAGAATCTTACCTCGATACGCCTTGTCAACTTTGACAACTTTCATGGTTCCTGACTTCAATGCCTCCACGAGCACCGCAATTTCCTTCTGTGTCAGCGCTCCAATGCCCTTATTCTTCGAGTTCTCATTGTGAGTTTCACCAGGCAAGAGACACCTTTCAGTTGGATATCCCTTGATGCAGAGATTGGCGTCAGCAAGTGCGCTGGACATGCCCTTCCAAGGGAAGTTTTTATCCCAGGCACACTTGCCCCCAAGCTGGGCTAGTATACATTTAGTCAGATGAATCAAAAGACCAGTGACGTTCTGACATACCGACTTGTTTGATAAGTTCAAGCTTAACCCACTTCAAAGCATCATCCCGTCCCTCGGGTGCCTGAGACTGATCACGACCATTGTTTGGAGGTGAGTGGGGGGTCAATAGGTCACTGCAAGTATCATCATGGAATGCTTCATCCACCTCGGCCAAGGATGTACTATTACTGTTTGAAGATGTGGTGTCAGTCATAGCATAAAGGTAGATACAATCATACTTACTACACATGTGCTTTAAGATGCCTGATGATGGCATCATCACTCGCACGGCATCGTGTTTGCCAGAACTGCATCTTGCTAAGTATACGTGAGGATTTAGACGACAAAGAATCTTACCCCTGCGGCACCTGGCGTGTTATATGAATGGCCGAGTGACCCGTCTTCATTGACCACTGTGCCACATAGGACGATGGCTGCTTTGAAGCCAGATTTAGCGGAGGCAGACTCGAGCTACAATAGCAATGTGAGATGATGACGAAAGTTCAGGTGAGATGACATACAATCTGTATTACTCTTCGATAATGTTTCTGAAATCCCTGTCCACGCTGAGCTATTGTTTGAGTAGATGATCCAAGGAGTGATGCCTCCTCGTGCATGAACAAGAGGTCTTGGTAAGAATCGGGATAGGCCTCTTTGAATTTGTCGTAACACTGCGTGCGCACGGTTGCACCTGTAATGAATATAAACCTTGTGCAAAACAAGATGTAATATAGTACTTACTGGGCGTGCCGCCTTTGGCTGGGGCCTCTCTGCCAATGCGCGCAAGTTCCATCTGCATATGCTCTTTGAAGTAGTTAGCGTACAAGTTCCAGTAATTAATACCATTCACGGTGCGCCCGTGACTCTTCAAGAATAAGTTGATCAATTGGGAAATAGGGAGTGTAGTAGACATAGAGAGATCAAGAAAGCCGCGCTCGACTGCAGCAAACCCGACATCTAATGCTGCATTCAGCTCCGCCGACCTGCGTCCAGTAATTGTATGTCCCTCTTGATGGGTCACCGGCTCGCACTCTTCGGGAAAGCGTTCATGGAATGAAGGACTTGCACCAATTGTATTCATCAAAGAGGCAGCATTAGTCTGGAATGGCGTTGGTGGAATAATGTTCGTTGCTGGGACGGGAGGTGCATGATCTTAAGACAATGACGATGGAACAGGCTGAGGGATGAATGGGGCAACATCACCAGAAAAATCCTGTGTAAATCCTGAAGGAGTTTGGCCTGTAGCGTAAGGCTCCAGGGAACATGTACGAGAGGTTGCTTGACCCGATGAACTCGTAGGAAAATTAAAACTTGGTGGTGGTGCTAGACGGCTCATGTCCTGCGCGATGAGGTGATGTTGGGTTCCCCCGGGTAAAAAAGACTCAGCCCCCATCATACTAAAGGTGTCAGAGGAGTCAGGATCCATCCATGCAGGTTGCTGGCGCATAGAATTAAAAAAAATATCCTGGATCTGCGCAGGGGTTTGTGGGGTAGGAAACGGTGAGGCATGTCGACTAGCCACGGGGACTGTCATATCCCGTATTCTGGACCTACGTCCGATGATGTTCCCACGCCTTCCGGACGCCTTCCGGATGCACATCCGGACCTCCATACCCTTATCCATGACTCCATACCCTTATCCATGCCTGCAGTCCTCCAGTCCACTATCGGTTCGGATCCGTACACCTTCGTACATCCATATATCCATACCTTCGGACCTCCGCAGCTAAGCCTGCTTCATCCACCCTTGATCCCATCGGATCCGAGCTCATCCTACCTGAGACTTTAACAAGTTCAAGAATGTGTGGGCAAGGGCCTAAGTGAGGGTTTGAGTGAGGCGCTGAGGAGGCTCTGAGGAGGCTTGGGAGGCTAAAAAGAGGGTTCAGAATGATTCAAATACAGATGACATTGAGCACAAGTGACTTACTTTGCGGCCGATATGGTCTAGACCCAATGACAGTACTGTCATGTCAGAAAGGCTGAAAAGAATATTACAGATGATGCGAAAATTGAAAGAACAAGGGACTTATAGTGCAGCTGAAGATCCAGACTGTAGTATCATTATGTCACAAAGGCTGAAATGAGTGCTAGAAAGCGCAAGTGACTTACTCTGCAACCGATGACCCCCGAATAACTTCAAATCGAAGTGGTTACCAGAAACGAAGGAGTGATCAGAAACAGTAACTGCGACCCAAGACGTTAGTAGTAGCCGAAGAGGGTATAAAGGATGAGGGTTTGGGGAGGCCCGAGAGGCTACAGAGAGGCTGAAAAATGAATGTCGTGTTGTAACTAAGGATAATGTCAATGAACCGACAAAGTTACCTCTACTGAGTTTGAATCAAGATGAGGTCTGATACTGTACATCAGAAATCAAAGTACAATTTCAAAAAAGAACTGTTGTACTGACATGCTATCTACATTTGAAAGTATTCAGTTACTTGCCGTTATACCAGTTAACGTCTGAGATGCTTGGTAGGGCGACAATCACTCTCACTAATATACCGGTCCTCATCCACGGTAACACTTTCATCATCAGATGCAGACCGCTCCACAAAAGATATTGGTGGGATAAGATCATCAGTGTGAGCAATGTTGGGCCATGTTGATTTGTGCACAGCTCTAGAAGCCAGCTAGGGTGGCGGGCGTGACAATGGTGGTGTTGATTTAGGCACAGATCTAGAGGCTGGCCAGGGTGGTGGACGTGAGATCTCTACAAAAAACTTGAATGCGACGACGACTAGCAGGAAGAGCAGAATGAGGAGGTGCAGTAGGATGAGGAGGTATAGCAGGACAAGTAGAAGGTGAAGCAGAGCGAGTAGAAGGTGTGGCAGGAGGTGAGGGGAGACGGTGAAGACCTTTTCGGTCAATGTTATCGTCAGCGAATGCACGTCGACCACGAGAGTGGATGGAATGATGTGACGGTGCCTCTCCAATGATAATCGGGTCTTTGGACATTGTGAGGCGTGTGCGGCCAGCATCACTTGTGACGGCTCGAATAGTGAGGGCGCCTGTCTTGAGAGCGTTGACCAGATTAGCACGATGACGGAGGGTCAAATCATGTATTCCTTTGGTCCGAGTGAGCGTGGGTCGAGTCTCGCCAGGCATCAAAGTCTCATCCGGATAGTTCACAAGGCAACATCCGAGCTGAGCAAGTTCCTTTGGTAGAGTTTTCCAGGGGAAGTCGTTTTGAGTGCGGCCATGCAGGGTGCCACCGACAGACGCTGAAATAAAGTCAAGATTAGTGTAAAAGGGAACTAACGAAACTCACCAGCGAGGGCTGCTATACCACCCATGATACAGGGAATTCCATCCAGTGCCTTCCATCCGTCATCAACTTGGAGACTGGCATTAACCCCACTAACTTCTAAGTCCTCTGTTGACACTACTACATCCACGAGCTAGAAGTGATCAGCGGATTTTTGGATATAAAACTGACTAGAGAACTTACAAGGTGAGTAATTGTAAAAGAGTGCGCATCCGTCTGCATGGCAGCATCAACATGCAAGGGTCTAGATATGGTCGTAGTCATCTGCAACAGAGTAACAGGGTACGAGAAAATAGTTAATCGATAACACACAAAAGAGGCCATAGAAATCTTCGGAACATGGATAATTATAGTAAGTTTGAACTTCGAAGAAGCCTCGAAGCCACCGAAAAGCTCAGGCGCCCCCGATTCAAGTATGGAGGGGCAACATGAACATTGAGGGTGATATGGACGGTCTGGGTACAAGTCTATATAGACTTCAGGTCTGGACTTTGCGGTCTGGGTACAGGTGGCGATGCCCAGACAGAGTTTGAAGCTGTCGGCGCCCCCCGAGCATGGCTGACCACTCCCACCAGTCACATCACGTTGTGTAATATTGTTTGTCAACACTGGCACAGATATTGAGGTGAGCACTGGTGCAGATATTGATGAACTTACTTGCATTAACAGTCTTGTCATGCACTTCACACTTCACTGGGTCTCGCTAGTCTCAAACTCAGAGGATCGACGTCGTACATGCAAGAACGATTGCCCGCAAGGAATGTCATCATGAAGGATGTGCAGTCAGTCAGACATATGCAACAAAATGATTACTGTGACACACATAGATGAATAAACGCCTGTGTATCTTACTCCATCCTGTCACAGTAATCATTTTGTTGCATATGTCTGACTGACTGCACATCCTTCATGATGACATTCCTTGCGGGCAATCGTTCTTGCATGTACGACGTCGATCCTCTGAGTTTGAATCTGTTTTAACGATCCACTTCCCCAACAGAGGCTTCAAATTTGCCAAAATGGAATTAAGTGAGACATTCAGGCTGTCGGCCATTCTTCCACACATAGATGAATAAACGCCTGTGTATCTTACTCCATCCTTGGCTCCAGCTAAAAGAATCTTGATAAGTAACTACCTCTTTTGTATGCACAAAGGCTGACCTTGGGTAAAGTTGAGCCATCGCTCAGGTTTCCATTCCTATGTGGCAAGCCACCGGTCCCCACCACCACCTACTGTAACCAATGAAGAAAGTTTGACATCAACTGTCTTACACTTTGGCTGATGTGCTCCACTTATCGCACAGTGCTGTCTAGCATGCTTTGGTGGGACACTGTATGGCAGACCCGTCGATCAAGGTGGGGACATACATGTTGCTACGGATGGCAACTTTCATCATCGTCACCGACGTTCTGCGGGTGACTGTCCTCGCTTCTATGAACCAACTTATTTCCTTTCGAAACAGTTTGTTGATGCAATCGGGCGCCGAATTGATGCACAACGTAAACGACCTCTGAAGCTATGCACATCCCTTGTGCCTGATGAAGCTATTGATCAATGTGAGAGTGCATACGAAGCAGCCGATGGGAAGAAACAAAAGGCTGCGATGGACAGCTTCGACGACACAGGAATAATGGCCCTCATTTGCCGTCATGACATTCCCTTATTTTTTGCTAATATCAACTCTCCTGGAGAGCAGCAGAAATATTTGGTAGCACTGATAGAACACCTGTTCACATTACTCCCTCCTCAAGCCACGGTTGTTACGCTCTATGATGTAGGCTGTGTTCTCGCTCGGAGTCGCTTTCAAAGGTATGTACATGGTTGTAATCAGATTTGTTTGCTATTCATTCGCTATTCATTCACTAATTATTTTCAGTTTGAGATTCTCCCCCCCTGAAGTTGTCTCACGTCTGCGCTTTGCGACTACGGCTATGCATGCCTATGGTCATGAATGGGCCTGTCAGCTGGTGCACAATCCACGGATTTGCATAGGCCTTGGCTTATCTGATGGCGAGGGGACTGAACGGTTATGGTCACGATTCGTTCGCTTGATTGGTGTAGAAAGGTCATCATCAGTGCATTACATTTTGTTCTACCAACAATATACTAACTATTTTGAGTCACTTAGCGCCAGCGCCGTCTTTGGTTAATCGACCGTCAAGCCACTGCGATAGGGTCAGAAATGAAAGCGGACCTTGGAGACTGGATCAGACACCGTCTCAATCGGGGCATTAAGGCCCAGGGCTCTGCTGCCCTCGACATCATTGACCGCTGTGAAACGTCTGTGGATGACTTGCAGGCTCAGTGGGCTGACCAACGACAAGCCCAGCTCTCGATTTGTGCTCGTGAGCAATCCTATGATATGCACGCACTGAATACTGATGCTGGATGTTTCTAGATGCTCCTGCTCGCCTCAGGAAGGAGCTAGACACTGTTCTCGCTCTACAGGCCGACTTGGACGCATCAGAACGAGCCCTGCAGACTACTAGGACTATGCTGGAGAAGGAGACAGCGTCCAATGACACCCTCGATGCCCTCGAGAGCCTCCGAAGAGGCCACGATCGTCTCATGACTAAAGTCGAAGCATTATACTCTTCTCTTAATGTTCATGATAGATTCCCTGAGCTCAATGGAGTTAGTCTCGACTTCGTCCATGTCCTTCTCATGACACGTGATCTCAAGATCAATATTCGAAAGCGTGCTATTGCCAGCTTCTTTGAATGGGATAAACTTGATTGTGCTGTAGGCGGATCCCACCAAGCATTAGGTAACTCTTCGCGTATACTGTTTCCTCCATTCTAAACTTTATTGTTCAGGGACGAAACTTCATCAACACACTCGCAAAGCTATAGCCAAACGCCAACCTGCTCTCATGACGCAAATCCGAAAGTTCAATTCTTACTGT